CCCACTTCTGTGTCGATTTCGTTCATTTACAAACACTCTAGAATTTCTTTAAATTTGGGTGCATTAATTAGTGTTCAGCTTTTCGGTACCGAAACTTGTAGTAAAGAACTTTCCGGATAGTATCTCCAGAGTAGTGAACGACATATCGACTTTTTCTTAAGGAAAAAAAGTCGTTTTAAAAAAATCTACAATTATTCGCGAACGACTTTTTTTAATAAACAAAACGCCAGAACTACGTCGATGTTTTACGCCAAACGATTGCGAAACGACTTTTTTGTATCTCTTTTTCTCTAATTTTTCATTATATTTCCTTTCTCTTTTTCTATTAATTTTCGTCTCTCTTGTTTTGTGCAGTCCATTTTTCTTGGAATCCAAAAACTTTGTAGGGCCATAACTTCCTTTATTTTTGTCTGTTCGAATTATTTTTGGCACCATTCGAAACAGCTCGAAAAGCTCCATCGAATGAAACATCAAACTTACAAAACATACCAATTTTGTATGTTTTGAATAATTAAAAGAAAACAATAGAAAAAAACGAAGAATTGATAAAAAAAATTATCATCTACTTGATTTGGGGTCGCTTTAGTATAATCCCACAGATTTTCCAGCGAAGATTCTGTTGAACATTTTCTAAAGAACATTTTCAAATGTAGTCGAATCTTGACTCTAGGCTTTTCTTGGGCTTTTTCGGGCATAGGGGGAAGTTAAAAACAAAATTTCAATAAAAAAATGAGACAAATAAACAAAAATTTATCAAAAAAACTAAAAGCCAATGTCTCGTTTCACTCATTAGATTTGTGGCCCTAAATAGGGCCGTTTGGGTTGTCGCTTCTATTCCATTAAGACTGCAATTCAAAGGTTGCCAGGCAGAATCACTTCAACAGCAAATCGCCCGAGCACGTCGTTGTAACACTTAGAAAAATGAATTAAAAAATTGAAAAAATTTTAAAAAATTCCAAAAAAATAAGATTTAAAAAACAACCTCTCCTATTGTTTCCCCATTGTTGCAGCCGTAGGATGGAGTTCGACACACATCAAACAAGTTTTGATTAAACATAAAAAAGAAAAAATTTAGGAATGAAAAAAATTTAGCAACTAATTCTAGGATCAATGAAATCTGACCAATATTCAGATTTCTCAATATTCGGATACAGATCACTGAATATTGAGAAACCTTATGAATATTGAGAAACCTTTACCCACAAATTATAATGCACCGAAAAACAAAATAACCTGATAATGGTTGCTGCTCCAAATGTCGTTGATGGTAAGTGTTTGCTTCTGAAAATTCACTACTACCATTAACAATAAGACTTCCAAATGTTGTACTAGGAGGCTAATGAGACAGGCATTAATTCTACAGCTTCAAAATTTCAATTTTTCTCCAATTTTCCTTCAAATTTCCTTTCCTACCTCCAAAGCCTTAAAAAAACTTTTGTAACCCCTAAAAATAAAAAAAATGAAATCCAATTTACAAAAAACCTCCTTACAAATTGAGAGACTGCACTGAACGAAAATTAATAGAAAAAGAGAAAGGAAATATAATGTGAAATTAGAGAAAAAGAGACACAAAAAAGTCGTTTCGCAATCGTTTGGCGCAAAACATCGATATTTACGTAGTTCTGGCGTTTTGTATTAAAAAAAAGTCGTTCGCGAATAAAAGTAGTTATTCGCCGCGAATCGACGAAAACGTAGATATGTCGTTCACTACTCCAGAGTACCAAACCTGCCGAAAATTAATATTTATTAACTTAATGGAGATAAAACATAAAACTTCAGTACACCCCCCCCCCTCTCTGTCTTTAACAATATAAAAAATATTTTGAATACTTTTTTCTTTTTATATTTTGCCCATTCCTCTTTTAATTTTTTATCCAATTTTTTATTTCCTTTTGTGCTGATTTTTCGCCCTTGGCATTACTTAAAGGGTTTTTTTGTTTTTTCTCCTTTTTTGTCTGCCAGCCGAATTTTTTTCTCTTTTTTCCAAGGCCGTTGTGAAAATCTGTTTATTTCCCCACATTTAATACTCAAAATTATTTTCCTCTCATTTTCAGTCATTTATTTCTCTCATAAATAAATCAAAGAAAGATCAAAAATTGTTTTAAAAAATTAAAGAAATTCTAGACTATTTTAACCAAAATTATTAAAATAAATAAATAAATAGTTTTAAATTTTCAATCAAAATTTTTGTCCTTAAATTGAATTTAAAATGTATATATTTTAGCTGTTGAGTATAAAATGTAAATCATATGAAGATAATTTAAAGATTATTAATTTTATTTATTTTTGTATAATATTTTTATTCATTTTTTCCATTCTTTTAAATATTTTTCTAATTCATGTATGTATTGTCATATTTTGTCCTTATTATTATTATTCAACAATTTTCTTAAAATATTTTTACTTCTCCTTTTGTTTCATAATTTTAAATCTGATGAAATTGTTCTATCCTTATTTAAACTTTTTCAATCCTCCCAAAAAGCACTCACTTTTTACTCTCTTTTCCCCAAAATTAAAAACCACCCAAATTTTAAAGAATAAATATTTGCAAGTTTATATAGTTTAATTTATTTTAAATTCTCTTGATCAGACATTGTGACTTTCTTTTTTTTATTTTTAGAGCATTTTGTGTTACTTCCTCCTACATATTTTTCCTTTAAAAATAAATCTATCATTGTTTTAATGTCCATTAATTCTTTTTTTTTTTAAATTTAACCAATAAATTACAAAATGACCCATCATTACATAAATATATATTTGTTTATTTTTGGATAATTTTGAAAGTTTTTTTAAAAGTCTAGACTTTTTATTTATTTTTTAAATTTTTTGAAGAAAATTTATTTTTATTTTTAAATTTATTTTTCAACAAAACCTGCTTTCCAATTTTTTCTATTATTAAATAAATAAATTTAATAAAACAATTTTCTTTTTAAAATAAAGTACTCCCTTTTTCACTCTCTTTTTTATAGGCAAAAAGGAAGCAAAAAAAGTATTTTATTTTTAAATTGAGTTAATTTAAAAATATATTTTTTAAAAATATTAATTTAAAATAATAAATTAATTTAATAAATATTTTTATTTTATTAATAATAAAAAAATATTTAAATATAAAGATTTCCCCCCACTTACTTTTTAATTTGTAGAATATTTCTATGCTTTAAATTTCGAAATTTCAAGGAATATTCTACTAACATTCTCGTTTAATTTTCGAAATTCTTTAAAATATCCTCCAAATAATTATTTTTCATTGTTCCTTTTTTTGACTTCTTTCCTTCTTTTCCTCTTTTTTTTTAAAAAATATCAAAAATATAAAATACCCCCCTACCCTAATTTTGCGCAGCTAACACCTCTAAATAATATTATTTATTTAATTTTTACTTTTCTTCATTTCCTCTTTTACTCATTTTCTTCTTTTTTTTCTTCCAATAAACTGGCGTTCCAATAAAAAATGAACATTCCAATAAAATTATTTTTAAAGACGGCCAAATGTGTGTAAATTACAGCATTATTTACTACTACAAAATTGGTGTGTGGGTGTGGGTTTGTTTGATATTTACTTAATAAAATAAATATATTTTTGTTGGAACAAATAAAATAAAATAATTATTTAATTAACTCTAAAAATATATAAATTAATTTATTGTTTATGCTCGTTCTCCTTTCCCTATTTTCTATTTTAAATTAATTTTGTTAAAAATTCAGATTTCTCAAAGTCCGCATTAGACTTTTGAAGTTGAATCTTGACAGATTTGTCATAATTCGATAATCTCGTTGAGCGCCCTCGGAAGGTACCAAAACCGACTTACTGACTTTCTTTTACATCTAGTTAAGTCTCTGCGGTGTGTGCCTATTTATTATTCTTTTTCCTTTTAAATATTTAATAAACATATCTAAATACACAATTACTTTCTTCCTCTAAATTCTCTTTTTTAATTAATCAAAACTTTAAAAATATTTCTTCATATTTCCTTTAATCAAGTGATATAGTCCATTACATATATATTTTTTATATCATAAGTACTCATTCTACAAATGAAATTCTAATTTACTTTTCAATTTTTCAATTTAAAGTATTTTATGATTTTTATTCTTTTATTTTTCGCAACTCAAAAAATTACTACTATTGAATTAATTAATTATCTTCCCCCGCCCCCCCCCCCCCCTACTCAATTTTTCTTTACATTTGTTTTTATTTTTTTTGGTCTCATTAAAGCTTCCGGCTTCTTCAAATATATAATTTTTATCCAAAAGAATGTCAACAACTGTCTATTCTTTTTACTGATTTAATGTTGGGGGAAGGGGGAAGGGAATCCATACAAAAGTTTATTAAAAGGAATTTTGAGTGTGTTTATTTTGTTGTTTTTTTAAAAAGAAGAAGATAAAAGCATAAAAAGTGTAAATCACTGTTGTTATTGACTTTTTTTTGTTTTTTAAAGGAAAAGTGTTAATCAAAGAGAGAATAAATAATTCATTAGAAATTCCGAAAAAGTGAAAAAAAGTAAAGAAGGGGGGGGGGCATAAGTTAAAGAGAATTTTTAATCAATTATATTTTAATTTTATATGTAAGTATTTGTTGGTGTTGTTATTAAATTTTAATTTATTTTTTATTTAAAAAATTTATTTTAAAATAATTTTTGTGGCATTTTGTTCACCGATTTTAAATTTTTTTCAAATTTCTGGCATTTTTAAATTATTTTTCTTTCACTATACTAATTTTTTGGGTTAATAAAAATTTAATTATTTGTTTGTTTGTTGTTTGCACAATTTATGTAATTTTGTTAATCTCTAAAAATAATAAATATGTCCTCTTAAATAAATACTATAAAATTTTTTATTTATTAAATCTCCCCCCAAAAATTTTCAAAAAAAACATTTTCTCTCTTTTTAATTTAAAATTTGTCAATTTTTATTTATTATTTAATTTAAAAATTATTTTATTTAGATTTACAAACAATATATTTTTTATTTTTTAAATAACAACAAATAATTTTATTAAAAAATGTTGAGATGTTTAAATTTAAAAGGGAAACTGCAATTTTTGTTGTTAATTGCAATTACTTTTAAAGGCAAGTTTTTTTTGAATTAATTATTAATAAATATTCTATTTATATTTTAAAGTTATTTCTGGTCAAACATTTGAATCAACTTCTACAGAAGAAAAAAGACCATTTTTTGATTCAACTACAATAATACCCCCAACAACAATTGACAACCAACAAGTTTAGATTTTAAAATAATTTTAATTTTTTCCAAATTTTTTAGCCTCGAAAAGATTTAAATGAATTACCCGAAATGAAAAAAGCAAAAGAATTAAAAGGGGAAAGTGAAAAGGCTGAGATTGAAAGAATGCGGGAACTTGCATTAGTTGAAGAAGAATTGAGACAAAAAGAGACGACTGAGGGAATTGAATTAACAACAACTATTTTACCTAAAATTAATGAAGAGGAGGTAATTAAATATTTAATTTTGATTAAAAAACTTGTAAGATTTCCCCAATTTTTTAAACATTCTTTTATAGTCCTTATAACCTTCTTTATCTTTTAATTTATTAAAATTTTTGGTACTATGCGTTTATATCCCCCCATGTCCGCAAATGTTTGTCCGCACTTTTCTTTCTTTTCCTTTCCCCTCTCATAAGGATTATAAATGGTCTGCAAAAACGTTAATGGCAGATGAGAGGGGAAAGGAAAAGAAAGAAAAGTGCGGACAAACATTTGCGGACATGGGGGGATATAAACGCATAGTACCAAATTTTTTTAGAAAAAATCAAATGACTCGCAAAACAAAAAACCAATGACTTTTGAAGAATCTAAAGGAATGCATCAAGTAGAGCCTTCACCGAATGCTGGGGATTCTGTTGATGAATCTGTTGGATTTGAAATTAAAAATAATACTTTTACAACAACAATTTCAACACAATTAAATTCTGAGGTTTCTTTCCCTCCTCTTCAAACAACCCCCAAAGCTTCAACAACGCTTGCTGAAAGTGGACAAGATGGAGTAAATTAAATTTTAAAAATATGAAAATTTTGTAAATTCTTTTAGGAAAGTAGTGCTGATGATCCATTCCAAACATCCACAGCAACTTTTGAAGACGAAACAGAACACGAAACTATTCATGAAACAATGCATGTTCAAGCACCAATTAATCAAAGCAATGAGGAAATTAAAGAAAAAGAAGAATTTTCTTTAACAGATTTTGGTATATATTTTTTATAAAATTTTATATATTAAATTAATTTTAGCAACTCAATCTACAGAAATAAAAAATAAAGAAATGACTGAGCCTCCATTTATTGAGGCCAATCCTGGAGATAAATCAAAAATTGAAGAGAAAGTTGATGAATCGAAAGAAACAAAAACTCAAAAAAATCCTTCCGAATCAACAGAATCTAAAGTTGAAGGAGCACATCCAATTTCATTTATGGAATCATCTACCACCCCGCCACATACTGAAAATCCATTGACAACATTCCAAATGACTACAACAGAGTAAATTTAAAATTAGAAAACAAATTAGTAATTTAAAAATATTTTTTTGAAGAGAGCCAACAATTATGGTTGGAGATAAATCAGTTTTTGAAGGTGGAGAAGATATTGGGTTACCTGCACCAGAAAAGGCACAAATTCATCATATGAGTAGTGAAAATGGAGAAATGATTAATAATAAAGTAAAATGGGTATTTTTAATTAATTTTTTATTTAAAGGAAGAAAAGAAAGAAGAAGTAATGATTGAGGAATCTTCTAAATCCCCACCATCAATTAATGTTGGGAATATTGAAAATAAAGAAGAAAATGTTGGAAGTTTTGTTTTATCCAAAGAAGAAATGGAAGAATTAAAAATAACAACAAAAGAACCTATTGAAGAAGAAAAAGAAGAAGAAGGGGAGAATGTTAACGGTAAAATGTCAACAATTCCAGAAAAACCTTCTGAAAATGAAGGAAAAATAAATGATGGAATTGAACCTGGTTTTTAAATAAATTTATAATTTATAATTAAAATTGTAATTTTTTAGAAGATAATAGTGGTGGTGTTGTTGTTGATAATTCTACTTCAACAATGTTTATTCCAACTGAAAGAATTTTAATTACACAAGAGAATATAGAAAATGAGACAAACAATCAAAGTTTTGATGATTCTGTTAAATCCACAAAAACTTTAATGACAACAATATCAACAATAAATGACGGAGAAAAGGGAGAAGAAAGGAATGATGATAGTGAAAGTAAAATATTTGAGAATATTGATACTTCGACACCAAAAAGAGGTTTTAATTTAATTTAAATATTTTGTAAAAATTATTTTAAGGGGATCTTCCTGGTGAAAATGGGGAAACAACGGTAACTGCTGCTGAAACTGAAGTTGAGGTTACGACTGAAATGGGCGAAAAGAAGCCTTTCGTTGCTCCAAATGAAACTTCTGATGATAATGACAGTAATCATATTATTGGAGAAAAAGTTCAAACAAGTAAGGGAAAATATAAAATTAAAAGAGGCAATAAACTAACTCAAAAGTTTTTAATATTTTCCTTTTATTTGGACTAAATTTCCTTTTATTCCCAGCATTTTCTCCAATTCTATTTTTAAATTTAACTGAATTTTTTTAGCTGAATTACCTCTTATTACATCAACATTAAATCCTGAACAAGTAGAAAAAGCCAAACAAAATGCCTTCCATACTTCTTTCTCTATTCGCGTTCCTGATATTGAATGGAGGTCTGAATTTTCTGATCTTTCAAGTGGGGCAGCTAAAAAGCTTATTGAACAAATTATGGATGATTTAAAAATGGTTAGAAAAATAATCTTTTAAAAATAATTTTTTTAAAGGTTTTATCAAAAGCTTTGGGTCCATCGAATACTTTATTGGATGTCAATATTTCTAATCTTCGAATGGGTTCAGTTTTGGTTGAGGGTGAAATTTTGACAACTGAAGAAGTGACAGAACCACAAACATTGTCAGCTGCATTGGAACCAGACCTGGGCGAAACTCAAAATTTTTTTCTGACGAAACGAAACGAAACAAAATTTTTTAAAAATCGTTTCGTTAACGAAACGAAACGAAACAACCAAAATCTTACGAAACGAAACGAAACAAAACGAAACATTTTAATATTCAAAAAATTTTCAAAACTGCATTTATTTCGCAATTATTCGACCTCATATACTTTATTAGTCGCCTATGACTCATAAATGATTTAGTTATTGGTTTATTTACAACAATTGTGTCCCATAAGCCAGGTCCGTAGCAAGGAAAATTTTCGGGGAAGGGGGGGGGGGGGATCAATCGTTTTCGGAGCCGAATTTTTGGCGACGCTTTTTTTAAATTTAAAATTGAATATTTTTCAACTAAAATTTTATTTTAAGCGCCGCAGACGAAAAATTTTAAAATTTTGAAAAAAATTTTAAAATTTTCAATTATAAATGGATTTGGGGAAATAACAGAGGTATTGAGGGAATTTAGGATTAACAGAGTTATCGATGTGAGTAATGAGTTATTTGGGGAATTAATAGAGACATAGGGTATTATTTTACATTTAAAATTGGTGGATTAAGGGCTACGGGTTGGGAATTACAAGAGATATTGAGGGATTTATTGATTAATCCCCTATATCCCCTCTAATCCCAAAATCCTTCAAGGGCGTATCCAGGGGGTTAGCTTCAGGGGGGCATGTGAGTTTTTACAATTGTTTACAACTCTTTCTCTCTTAGCGCCGCAGGCGAAAATTTTGTAAATTTTGAAGGTCCTTAAGCTAGATTTCTTCCATTTCCTGCGCCGCAGGCGAAACTTTTGAGAATTTTAGAAGGCCGTAGGCCAAAAAATTAACTTTTTCAGCGCCGCAGGCGAGAATTTTGACAATTTGGGAAGGCCAAGCAGCCGAAATTCTTCTTTTTTTCAGCGCCGCAGGCGAAAATTTTTTTAATTTTCAATAAAAAATGGTAAATTTTATAGATTTTGGCCTTAGTTTGGGCTTAAAAAATTGTTTCGTTTCGTTGAAAAATCACAGGTGTTTCGTAACGAAACGAAACGAAACAAATTAAAAAGTGTTTCGTGACGAAACGAAACGATACTCAAAAAAACCCACGAAACATACGAAACAACGAAACGAAACGAAACGTTTCGCCCACGTCTGATTGGAACAAGTAAATTTTTGAAGGAAAAATTTTTTTTTGATTTATTTATTTTTTAGGCAATTCTTTCAAAAGGAGGGGAATTGGGAGGAAATTCAGTTGATACAGATAAATTACAAATTGGTGGGCATTTGCCTAATGCTGGGATGACATTAAATAATAATGGTATTTCTCCTTCTTTATCTGATGGACAACAAAAAAGAGACGAAGTATTAAATTATTATTTAATTTTTAAATTAAATAATTTAAAGGAAAATAATAACGCTACAAATACTGGGTTAATTATTGGGGCTGCAGTTGTTGTTGGTGTTTTAATTATTGTTTTTGCCGTTTTTGCAATTGTTGTTTTTGGATTAAATAATCGAAGAAGTGGTCGAGGTTCTATGAAATTATCTGGTCGTGGAGGTGGAGGAAAGAAAAGGGAAGAAATTTCTATGGTAGAAAATGGAAATGGGGCTTTTGGTCAAAGGCGTTTTGTTTCGACAAATGATGTTGTTGGTGGTGATTCTCATAATTCTCGTCAGGGAGATGGAGTTAGTTTGTAAGTTTTTTTGGAATTTTTTTATTAAAAAACAATTTAAAAATAATTAAGAACTGCTTTGAGAAGCACAAATGGCGGAGCTGGATCACAATTTACCTCTCCAACAAATGGTTATGGAACAAACAGGCATTGAGGACTTTTTATATTTTATTTTAAAAAATTTAAAACGGGGAGAGTTCGAGTTAGAATACCCAAGATTAAAATTGTGAATAGCCAAAAATATTCAAATACCTATTATTTTAATTTCCCCATTATCTCATATCCTATTTTATTTTGAATATTTGTACTTCTTTTGGATGTTTGGTATTTTTAAATTATTTTTGAACTTTTGAAAATTTAAAAAGAAAAATTATCAAGAAAATTTTCATCCAAAAGTTGTACAAAAAATTGATCACTTTTGAAAAATTTTATTTTTGCATTTTATTTCAATTATTTAAAAATTATATATAAGAATGCATAATCAACAAGTCAAAATGTTACATTTTTGTTTGTACAAAAATTCACTTAAAATATCTATCATCTTAAAATTATTTCTATGCAGTTATCATCAAAATTCTCGCAAATAAATATTTTAAAAAATCTAAACTTTAATTTCTTAACATTCTCGTGTAACGCCGAGATTAATGGGAAAGAATTCGAAAGTCTTGATCAGATTAGTGGAAATACAGCCCACATCTTTGAAATGGTTTTTCGAATTTCGAAGATATGTATGAAACGGGAGTCGAACTCATTTTTAGTGTATAATTACCAAAAAATATTAAAATACCTATTATTTTATTATAATTATTAAATTTACAACATACAAATATTCTATAAAAGTGAAAAAAATTGCCTTTTTGAATTTGAACTATATTTTTTGAAATTTTTTGGATCGGATCCATTTATGGCTGCCATAAGATTTATTATTGCCTCATTGATTGTGATAATTTGATGATGAAAATAAAGTCTCAGTTTGATTTGGCACATGATTAAATATTTGTGAAGATTCTTTTTTAATTGAAGGTATTGCTGAATTAAAAGAAATTGGCATTGACGTAGTCATTGAGCTGAGAGGAGGAATGACACAAGCAGAACGTATATCAGCTAAATTTAAAAGTTTAGTTTGTTAAGTATTCTCGTTATCAGTATTTTCGGAAAATTTTTCATTATATTTAATAAGAATCTGTGTTACTTACCAATGCTTGGTGCTGTTGGGGTAGCAGCAGAGATTGTTGAATTTCTTCGTTCTGGTAATGGAGGGGGTTGAACGGTTTTATTCTGTTCATGACCAAAAAAATTAGAATCATTTCTAAATCGAACATTAGGTGGTGGACAGAAATTCTAAAAAAAATTTAACATTTAATTTTAACAATTTTAATATAAAAATTAACCTCAGTTCTCTTAGGCGGAACTGGTGGAAGTTTTTGTTTGTTTTTATTATTATGAATATTTTCTTGTTTATCATAATATTTCTTTTCTTCGTCATTACTCTCAATATCTAATCCTGTACAATAATTATCCAATTCTAATCCAAGACGGTCAATTTGTTGTAAAGTTTCAGCTATAAGAGCAGCTGATGAATTAGTTGTAATAGATCCATTAACGAAAAATAAATTAATTTTTAATATTATAGTAAATTTACAGAAAATAACCAGAATTTGTAGGATCTGCAATTGCAGTACTTCCAATACTTGAAGGCCTTAGTTGATTGATAATCCCTCCATCAGACACTTTAATTAAATTATTCTGTTGTTCACTATTATTAGAATAACTAGTACCAGAATCTACAGTTCTTATTGAAGAACAATTACTGCTACAACAGGGCAATGATTGTTGAACTGTGTGAGAAAAATAAAGAAATTATTTTCTGAAATAAAAATTAAAATATAAAAAATCAATACTAAAATTTTGTTTATTTTTAATTAAGTTTGTAGGAGAATTTTGTGATGAACAAGCTGATGAAGAAACAATAAAAGCATCTGGCAATGGAAGTCGGTATCGAGAAGGAACAGAAGTGTTAACATCAGAGTGAATGAATGTGTGGGTTGGAGAAGTGCACAATTGGGAAGGAGGCAAAAAGCACTGAAAATTAAATATAAATTGACCACAAAAAATAATTAAAATGTCAAACTTATTTAAATTGCTTAAACTAAGGTAAATAAAAGTGAGCGAGATCGTTTTGTTAAGATATTTTAAAAACTAAATAGAAAACTAATGGTCAAAAACAATAAATCCAGTTAATAAAATCAAAAAAGATATGTAGATAAAATAAAACCTCTCTTTGTGAGTCTTGTTGTGGCATTGAATTTCGATTACAAACTACAAGATTATCATTATTTTGCCCATTAATAAAAAACATTGAAGAGGTAGAAGGGCAATGATGTTGTTGAGTTAGAATTTTTGAACTTTTAAAAGAATAATAATTAAAAGTATAATTTAAAAAAACCTTTTACTATCATTGACAATTCCAATTTGTTTTAAATTTTGTTTTTCAAATACTTTATTTGACTCATCACAAGTTTTGCCATCTATTTTTGAAGAAGATGAACAAAGAGTAATATCCTCTTAAAAATTTAAAATTCTAAAAAAAATATTTTCTTAAAAAATACCAATAAGTGCATCTACTAATAAATGTGCATCAGATCCATTTAATGTCGCCTCCAATGAATCTCGAACTTGTCGTAAATGTGTATTCTCATCCAAAACGTCCAATTGTGAACCCTAAATAATACAAATATATTTTTGTAGCTTTTTAAGAAATTTTAATACTTCCCAGCCAAATAAAGATTGAAATGTACTGCATAAAAATTTAGATAATAGTATAATTACAATAAATGGAAGCAACAAAGCTATAAACCCAGCATAATGACTCCTCTGCATATGTAACAGTTCAATAAAGGTATGACGCTTCTCTGCATCTGCTTGCGACGAATGGGATGACTTTAGACGTTTACAAGAACGTTGGTGTCGACGCTCAGCATCAGCAAGCTTAAATTTTCCCAATTAGTTTTAGGAAAATTAATTTAATAACTGAATGCTTCCATTCTGCACATTTTTTCTCCAATTCGCCGGCAAATTCTTCGATCAAAGGCTGGGAAATTTTTCGGAGTCCACTCTCAATGCTACGCTGTCTAATACAATAGCGCGTAAGTGCAGCCCCAATGTCACGACTTATACCTAAATTATAAATTTTAAAAATAACTTTAGGGAAATTTGTGGTCCCTTGTATCAACTATAACGTTTAATTGTAAAATCTGAAAGAAAACAAACCATTAACGTTGTTGGCACAATCGCTGACAGTTTGTAATGCATCAACAAAATTAGAAAGTGCTGAAGCCGTTGCATTCAATTGCGCTGCTAATTTTGTTGCTCTTGTAGATATACATTCCCACATTGAATTTGAAGTCTTTAAATCAGAAAAAACCTCCTTGAATAAAACATTAAATATTTGAGGCGAATTATTAGAGCCTAATACAACCATTAAAAATATAAATAAATTAGGAATTTCTAAAAATTAAGATTATTTTAGTTATTCGAAATAAAATATAATAGAACTGATGAAAATTGAATTCAAGAATTATCGAAATAAGCAGGAGTTAAAAAAGAAATTTCATTCCAATGCATCGATGTTTTAACATTTTCTACCAATTATCTTCTGTCCAATTGTCGTGCACCATTTGAATTTTAAAATACATTATGACAATTAAATTTTCGCTAAAAACGTCAAAGTTGCTGACGCGGCACAACAAAATTATTTTTTTATCAAACTTGTTTTCTTAACTTGTAATTTCTTAGATTATTAGTCGAGTGTCTTAATATTTCTCTTTTTTATTTTTTAAAAGTTCAATTAGAATTTATTTGTTCTTCTAGATAAGCTTGTTAAAAATAAAATGAACAAGACTGTACTCAAAGCTCGTTATGGATCAGAATTGCGTAAGAATTGGATTTATCACAACAATGATGTGAGCCTTGATGACTTGATTTCAAAGATGCAACGTTATTTTGACATTAAAGAATTGGATGGAATTAAGCTGAAATATCGTGATGAAGGTTTTGTTTATTTACATATTAAATTTATATTTTTGCAAAATTTTAAACATTAAATTTTTAGAGGATGATTGGATTACTCTTGTTGATGATAATGACTTATCTTTTGCGCTTTCTACTTTGGAGGTTCTATTTATTGAAGTTTTTCTTGACAAGTCAAAAACGACAAAGGAAGAAAAGAGTAGTTCTGATGTGAAGGTTAGTGAGTCAAACACCGACACAACGCAAAAGCAATTGACGGGTACTAAGAAACAAATATCTATTGAACAACTCACTGATATTCCATTGAATAACGATCAAGTCCCCCCGACTCTACATCAAAATGGTGGACTGCATCAGCAAACGCCATATGCTGGGGGAGGGCCACCGATGCAGCACCCGTCATCTGTTGGAGGAGGGGTTATGCCGCCACCTGTTGTTTCCAGTTATTGTTTGTGTTTTTGGATTTAAGTAACTAATTTTTAATTTGAAAGGTCCCACGCCAATTTCACAGCAAGTAAGTGCAGGGCATCATCAGCCACCTGTTGGCGGAGTTCTGCCACCACCTGTTTCCAATTATGGTTTGTATTTTTGTATATACACTTCAGGTTTAGACTTCCGATTTAATTTTTTATTTTAAAGGTCCTCCACATACAATGCAGCAATTGGGTCGTCCACCTTCTCAGCAATTAGGAGCAATGCCACAGCAACCATCCTATATTGGAGGAGTTCTGCCACCGCCTCAATTGTCCGAACAACTCACCGATATTCCGCTTGATGCAGGTCATATTCCACCTACATCACAAATTGGTGGAATGCAACATCAACTTTCATATACTAGCGGAGGAGTTTTGCCACCGGTGCAGCAGCCGTCATATGTCGGAGGAGGGGTTGTACCGCCACCTATCGTTTCCAATTATGGTTTATATCCTAGATTTATACCAATTATTTTCAATTTGAAAGGTCCCCTGCCCAATTCGCAGCATATGAATCTCCCACCTACTTCACATCAGATGGGCCTTCCACCTACTTCGCAACAACCTAGTGGAGTGCATCAGCCGGCATATGTTGGGGGAGCTTTGCCGCCACCTCCTATTGTTTCTTCTATTGGTTTGTATTTGCTCTATCCAAGTTTTGAGTTTGGGAGCTTCATAGGCTTATTGTTAGTTAGATTTTCGGGGATGAAGATAAACATTTGGCTTTGAATTTTCCACCTGGAAAAATGCGTTTATGTTCAAATTTTTAAGGTACGCATGGTACATCGGCAAATCCATTCAGTCGTCAAGTTCGTTAAGGTGAAAGAAATAAACAAATATGATATAAACTTCTGGTTATTTATATGTCAAGATTGAGAGGGAATTTTTTGTTGGATATAAATTATAAAATGTAGCTAATTTACATTTATTTAAAACCCCTTAAATTTGTTGTGTTTTTGTCCCTTTGACTTTATATTTGTGGCACATTCTTTTCTCATAGGGCAAACAATTCATGGGTTGGATTACATGAAATAACTTTGGGAGTTCTCTTCGGCACACGATTATAATTTTCTTTGAAAGGATGTGCCACGATAAACCTCCATGGAAAAATTTCGGAATACTAAACAGAACGCAAATGGGTCAAACTATATGTCATTCGAAAGAGCTCGTCGAGTTGAGTCGAATGGTGAAAAAATTTTCGTGCGGACTCATACAAGGGCTGAGATATAGGCCCCCGAAAATCGAAAAACCATAGGGGGGACCAAGCACTTTTTTGGGGTAAAAAATTCGAACATGCAAATAGTAGCTCATTCGAAAGAGCTCCTCGAGCTGAGTCGAATGACACCAAAATCATCGTGATTGGACAAGTTTGGACAAAGTTACGATAGAAAAACTAAAACCTAAACCTATGGGGCGTAGGCGAGGCGCTTGTGCAAAACCCCGCGCTTCGCGCGGGGTTTTGCGGCACGCGCCTCGCGGGAAGTCTACGGGCGCTGGGTCTGGGCTCGTAACATAAACCTATTCCTATCTCCCTTGCTCTGGACGTATTTGGGGCCTCCGTAGCAGCAAAAATCTCCTCAGATGCCATAGGTAAGGAGCTAAAATAAAAGATCATAACTTTGTCCAATCAAGTCGGATTTCGTTGATTTTGGTGGCATTCGACTCAGCTCGACGAGCTCTTTCGAATGAGGTATAATTTGCATTTTCGAATTTTTTACCCCAAAAAAGTGCTTGGTCCCCCCTATGGTTTTTCGATTTTCGGGGGCCTATATCTCAGCCCCTGTATGAGTCCGCACGAAAATTTTTTCACCATTCGACTCAACTCGACGAGCTCTTTCGAATGACATATAGTTTGACCCATTTGCGTTCTGTTTAGTATTCCGAAATTATACCAACCTCCATATATATTTCAACAATATAGTCCTATTTTTTTAAGTAAACGTCTTATAAAATGACATTTCTGGTCCAATCTGATTCCGCAAGGATTCAATTTGATTCCCACGATCGAAAAATAATAATAGCCAGCGCCGCAGTTTTCGCATTAATTTGGCCAAAAATAACGCAGCCAAAAACCAACCCATGCGCCCAACTTAATCCATATGAGGATAACATAACGAAACTGACAAATCCATTTTATTCTTGTGAAAGGAAAATCACTTTATGTGTGGAAGGAATAAACAAAGCATGAAAAATGAAAATAGGTAAATTATATTTAAAAGAAAAATCCCATCAAGCTTCTCCAAAATAAACCACATTAATAACGTCCGGCGCTCCATTGCTGTGGAGGTGGGACACCTTGCGGTCCTTGAGGTGGCCATTGATTCGACGCTAAAAATGTTTATTATTAGACATTAATTTCTTAAATTCAAAGTTAAGATAGGCTTTAAATTATAACTATAAGATAGTCTTTTGGTTATGTGGGTAGGGTAGAAATAATTTCGACCAATCCGCCAATTAAGAATTAATATTAGAATTAATCCAATAAAAGACAGAAAGATTTGTAAAATTTAAGTATTATTAGAATCTTTTAACTGTAATCTTGTTGAGTGGCGGTGGCTCCAGTGCCTGATTGAGCTCCTCCACCAACACCTGTATATATTTGAATGTTGATAACGAGCATTAATATTTGCAAACAATCTAAAATTACAACAAACCTCCACTAGCAGCATAACCACCACCTCCACCCGCAGCCCACTGTCCTTGCTCAGCAGCTTGAGGCCCTGTAGGTGCACCACCACCCCATGGCGCGGGTCCTGGTCCATAACTTGCAGCATACCCGCCTCCTCCGTAACTTCCAGCATAACCGCCCCCTCCTAAATATGACAATAATCTAAAGCTGATTAAAATTTTAACCCCATTGCGGTGCAGGTGCTGGAGGTCCCCATGCAGGCGGTGGCCCATAACCACCACCATATTGCCCACCATAGCCACCTCCGCCATAACCGCCGCCACTTCTTCCACCGCCATAAGGCTGTGAACCACGACCAACAGGATCTAGAAATGTATACTATTAATCCTAAAATTATGTTTAAACCTCTCGTGCGAGTTCCTCTCTCCATACGATCACGTTCTTTTTGGGCAGCCCTCTGCATTTCATCTCGACTCAATGCCTTTTTTACATCACAACGATAGCCATAGATCATATGTGATTTTAGAAGAACACATCTTTAAAATATATATTAGATTTAAATAATTCACCATAAAAAGGAAAATAAAAATAACAAACTTATCCACAGAATCATAATCATCAAAAGAAATAAAGGCAAATCCACGCGCTTTTTGAGTAACTTTATCAGTGATGATTTCAACCTTTTAATTAGAAAATAATTATTTTGAGACCCAATCTAATTACTTTTGTGACAACTCCAAATTGTGCAAAATATTTGCTAAATATATCTTCTGTATGCTCCTCTCGAACACCGGACACATAAAGACGCTTTGTTGACATATTCTGTTCAGATTTTTGTGACTGATCGCGTGGAACAGCTCGTTTCGGATCCACCACTTTGCCATCAATATTATGCGGACGTGCAGCCATGGCCAGATCAACCTTTAAAATATTTAAGGAAATTAGCGAACTGAAAATATATAAAAAAACCTCGCTTTGACAAGAATACGAGACAAATCCAAATCCACGCGAGCGTTTACTTGCAGGATCACGCATTACAATACAATCAACAAGTTCACCCCATTGTGAATAAAAGTTATGAAGATTTTCATCTGTTGTGTTCAATGAGAGTCCTCCAATGAAAATCTTCCGAAATTGTTCAGGTTCAAGCTGTGCATTATTCCTCGATGCTCTGTTACTAAATCCAGCAAATCCTCCACCACCAACCCCTCCTCCTCCACCAGTCTCTTCTTTGATACCAGTTCCATCTCCATCGACTGTTCCTTCTCCTCCACCATTATCACAATTAACTGGATCAGCTCCATTTCCATTTTGATAAACCTAAAAATTATTAACGTTATTACTTTAAAAAATGTCAACTTTTGGAGAATAAATTTACTCATTCAGATATTCTTATACTCGTTCAATCTATTCCCCTACTTTCTAACTTACATCAGGCTTAACATCTTCATTAACGTCACCCATTTTGTATTTGAATGTGTTCTCGCTCAGTAATAAAGTCTAGACAAGGTTCTTACTCAATATTATGAAAGAAGCTAAAGCTGCGCTAGAATTAAATAATTTGTCAAGTAAACTTATTCTTTGCTGAAAACTAAAAAACTAATTTTTAATGGCATTAAGTAATTGTAAAGTATAAAAATTATAAAAAAAATTAAATTAATTGACACTAAACAATAACTGATTTATAAATAGGTATAAAAACTAAATTATGGGATAAGTTATAGAAAGCACTTGAAAATCTTAAAATAAGTAGATCAATATAGCCAATGTGTTGAAATTTTCTCTCTTAAACGAAGCTTGTAGTTGATATGACCACTCCAAGTAATAAGACTTAATCTAGAACTTATTTAGCATCCAATCTAACATCCAAATATGTTTGCCTGTTATTAACTATCGATACCTTTACATTTGCTGCATTCTTCAGGTATTTTTGCTGGTCGAAAGATCCAAGTTTACGTCCCAGACGAAGAAAATACGGCCAAAATCATGCATATGACACACCGAAGTCTGAAAATCGGGAAAAATCTACACCAAGCTGTGCCAAATTTAACATTGATTGATGAAATAGTACGGTATAATTGGAAGAATTCGTTGTATAATTTAATTTTTAAATATCCAGAAAATATGCATTTCGTCACGGCGACAAAATAAACCAAGTACAATTGAGAAGTAAACCTTTTTACCAAAAAATTGGGAAGTTTTTTTAAAAGGTCTTTATGAAAGGTTTATAAGTTAGGTATTTATTCTCATTTTAAAAATCACAAAGATCTATAACCTTTGCTCCTAGTATTTTCTGGCTGTGTAAAATTTTTGAGGTGTGTGGAGTTTATAGATTTTTTGGTGAAAATAAGTGAGAATTAAAAGACATTTTCGCCGCGTCTAACGTTTTGATCTTTATTGTTTATACCGGTGATTATGCAAATGTATGTATGATAAAAAGTAATAATGAAAGATCCAGACTTAAAGTTTTTTTTGTTTTGAAAGAGTCAGTCGATATATGTCGAATAAACTAAAAGACTTTTCCAATTAAGTCAGATTTCGTTGGATCTCGATTCTTCGATCTCGATCAACTTTCAAATGAACTATGGTTAAAAATGTAATCCAGACCCCTCATTATTTTAAAATATAAATGAACAAAGTTGTAAACAAGATACACATTTTAGTGCCCAGTAAAGGCGATTTTCCCTGACTTGGATTTACTAACAGGGCGGGATCCGATTGCGGGCACTAAGAAAATTGTAATAATCTTGAACACAAACAAAATAGAATATATTTATTTAAAATTTTAAATAGCGTTTTAGATTTATTAATTTTCTAAAAATATTTTAGTAAATCCAAAACCTTATTTTTAATTACAATATCACACCAAGAAATTAAAAAATATTAACAGGCATTTAATTGCTTGTTAAATAAATTGTTTTTAATAAAAATAATCATTATTTAACAGATTGAAGTGAACCAGCCAACCATTCCATTGCTTCATCTAAACCATCTCCTTTTGTTGCAGAAGTTTTAAATATTTGGAATGTTCGGTTACGAATTGCCTAAATTTTGATTAATTAAAGAATAAAGATTCCCAAAAAATATACTTCTAATCCTAATGCTTTATGTACTTCAGCCAATGAAAGACAACCATGAATATCTTGTTTATTTGCCAAAACCATAAGGATAGCATTTTTAAGTTCTTCCTCTTCTAGCATTGAAACGAGTTCCTAAAATATATTTAAGTGAATAAAACATATTTTCTGTAAAAGTAAAAGGAAATTTTTATGTTAAGAGTTAAAACTAGAAATCTCCCCTTCTTACTAAATAGGCATATTTTTTAACTAACATATTAAAAGCCTAAAAAACAAAATTAAAATACCTGTTTTGATATACCAATTCTGTCACGATCTGCTGAATCTACGACATAAATAATTGCATCAGTATTTGAATAATAACATCTCCAATATGGCCGGATGGATGTTTGGCCACCCAAATCCCAAACTTGAAATTTAAGATTTTTGTAAGTCACCTAAAAATAAATATTTTTTAAAAAATTATTAAATTGATAACCTGTTCAACATTAAAACCAATAGTTGGAATTGTTGTGACTACTTCGCCCACTTGTAAACTAAAAATAAAATAAAAATTAATGCCTTTAAACAAAAAAATACCGATATAAAATTGTAGTTTTTCCAGCTCCATCCAAACCAAGAACAAGAATTCTAAGTTCACGTTGTCCAAAAAGACTTCGAAAATAACTAAGAACAGATCCCATAAAGTCAAATTGAGATTATTTAATTTGTAGCAATTAAAAAAAATTGTTCTAAAAATATTAAAAGTCTGGTACTTTTAAAAAAATTGAAATTTTGATTAAAAAATATAAAATAAATAAAATAAAAATGAATGAAAAAGAATAAATAAATAAAAATCCAACAAAAATATAGGAAAAATGCTTTTCCACGACTAATTACAAAACGCCAAAGTTGTTTACATTTAAAAAAGTTTGAACGGCTGGCTGGAGGTACCTCATCGAATGAAGATAAGAGCCCTCACGGCAGTTCTTACAATGAACAGACTAGAAATGTACTAGATCGAAACTCATTAAAAACATTTTTCCTTAACACAAATTTAGTAGTATAAAAACAACAAAAACAATTGAAAAAATAAAAGAGAAAATATTCGTTAAAGTTCAAAATATTGTCTAAAATATTCACAATTCTCTGGTGATATTACATGACCGGGTGTACATTCTCCACTCATTGGGCATTGTAAACATGGAATAGAAGCTAAGGGTGTTGTACGTTTCCGTAGTCGAAGTGCTCTAAAAATAAGAGAAAAAATTAATAATGAAGACTAAAAAACATTTAATAAAACCTATAAGAGCGATCAAGTCTTTTCTCCATACGCCCATCTAAAACAGCTATATCAAGCACACTTTCAACATCTGCAGTACCAAGTTGCACACGGCATATGCCTTTTTCATGAATGTATCGAGCAACATAAAATTTAAAAAAAAATTTAAAGTAAATCCTCCAAAATTTTTTTTGATTTTTAATTAAATTAATTAAATCAAAATTAAATGGAAGCCTAACAAAATAAATTGTTTTTAAAAATTAATTTAAAAAAATTACTTCTTCTGATAAAACAAAAGATGCCTCACGTTGTGCAACTGGATCTGAACGATGTAATTCTTCGGCTTGCCGAGCTCGTTGCTTTAAAATATTTTCAATTAAATTAACAAAAATATCAAAAATTACCAATAACCAATTAGTACAAACATGAATAAGTGTTTGGACAAATTCAGAGTCCAATTGTTGATCAGAATAAAATGTACCCCCAGTTAAAGATTCGTCTGCTTCGAGACCATAAAGAATATAACTTAAATAATTTATTTAAAAAAATTTTTGCGAAAATTTTTGTCAGATAAATCTGTAATTTCTTTTAAAAAAATTTTCAAAAATTTTTAAATTTCTCTACGTTTTTCTAGTTGTTCCTGCTGCTTTAATAGATCGAATCAATTTTCTTTGTTCAAGCGCTTTTAGTACACGTCTCATTTGTAAATCGTTCAGACCAGATCGTTCACGAATATCTCTAATCCAAACACCCATTCTCTTTGCTTCTTCAACGATTGAGTAAACCTAAATAAAGAAAATAAATTTACATAAATATTAAAATGTACCAATTGTTCTTCAGGACTAACATTAGTCAAATCACTGCCTTTCTTTAAACGCAAATAAAAATCACTTCCACCACCTAATTAATTACTAGTAATTAAATAAAAATTATTGTCTTACTAGCTTGATCTGCACGTCTTAACATTTCTATTTTTGATTCAGAAAGAAGCCGATTCACAACTGCACCCAACTCGACCGCGGTTGTAGGAGTTTCATTAGAAGGCTGCATAGCCGACATTTCTGGCCGATTTAAAAATTTATTTTAATTATAGAAATTAAATACCTTTAAGAAGTTCTGCATTACTAAATCCGTCAGGTCGTTGAGCGAGCAATTGCAGTACACGAGCATCTAAGGACTCGAGACCACCAGGGTCAGTCACATTAGCTCCAAGAGACAAACTTGTTCCGGCCATTTATTTTTAATAAAATTTAAAATACGTTTAAAAATATTAAAATAAATAGAAAATAAAACAATTATTTAAAAAGAAAATAAATACCAAAAAATATTTACAAGCAATTACTTTTAAAAACAAAAGAAGTTATTAATAAATTAGAATAAATAAAAAATATAGACCCGCAAAAACTAAAATAGTTAATATCACAAATTAAAAATCTATTCCCTCTATTAGAAATGACATTATTGAATAAAACGTTGAATGAAGCGACAAAGAATTTCCTAAAAAAATTTAAAATTATACACTAAAATAAAAATTAAATAACAACCAATATCCATTGAGGTAAAATTGAACGTAAAAAAGAAACAATTAAACCAAAATTTCTTTCATTTAAATTGTTTTGTTGTGACTTATCCATTTCTTCAGAAACTTCTTTATCTACATATTCTTGTTGACTAGCTCTATAAAAATTATTTAAAAATAAAAAATAAATAAAAATATTACTTGGGAGGACAAGGATTAATTTGAATACATCCACCCAAATTCAATTTAGCATCGATAACGAGTGTTTCAGGAATGGACAAACCATTAATCAAACAATGTCTTGCTATATTTTCAGGTAATCCAGTAAATAATTGTTTTCGCCTTTAAATGACTAAATTAACAAGTAAAAAATATTTAAAAACTTTTTTGCCCATTGATCCATTTCTTTCTTTCTAACAGATTGTAGTCTGGGAAGTACTTTATGTGTAGTTATTTCAAGCCAATTAAGAATTACTGGGTCACTCCAAATTTTGTTAGAATGATGCAAATAGATACGCACAAGCAATAATAAACCTTCAGGTTCACTTTAATTAAAACAATTACGAATAAAATAATTACGAATTATATAGTTATTTTGGTTGAGGTAATGTGTTAGTTCAGATTACTTTAATTTAACTTTTTTTTATTTGGACCCAAAATTCAGAGACTAATAAATATATTTTACCGATAAGAAGCCAATGTATTCAAATAGTAGTTGCTCTCAATTAAAGGATCTGCTCGAATTTGTAAAAAATCAAGTATTTGAGAAAGAATAAATGGGAATGCCACCAATGCTTCCTCAAACTAAAATTCAAAAAAATATTAAAAAAAAAAAAAATACATTTCTAACAGCTTCATCCTCCATTCCGAGTAAATTAAGTGCCAAAGATATAGAGAATCTAAAATTGGGAAGCAAATCAAGGCGCTTACTTTTGAGAAAATATTCATAAAAATCAAGAAGGAAATTTGGACAATTAGCTCTGAAAATTTTAGAAAAAATTAAATATTTATTTGTAAAAAACCTGATTGCTAAAGAATCAATTAAAAGTAAAATTCCCAATGGATCACCCTCAAAATCTTTAGAAAATAATAATTTTGCAATTTCAAGAGATATTTTTAAATTATTCTTTTGAATATTTTTTAATAAATAACGATAAAATAAAAGAAAAAATGGGCGGTTTTCCTTCCAAGAATAATTCTAAAAAACTTTAAAAGTTTTAGAAAAAATTCAAAACAAACCAATCGGTGAGTACTTGAACATAAATTGAAATTAGGGTGAAAAGCAGTTTCTAGGGCGAAAATTCCACGTTCTAAAAAACAAAAAAAATTCAAAATATTTTAAATAAAGTACCTATAAAATCATTAGCTCGTTCATTATTGCCCTCATTTTGTATTAAATCTGCCATCAAAAGTAAACTATCAAGATGATAGGGATTTTGATTGTTGAGAATAATATTCTAAAAAAATCAGAAAAAAATCAAAAGAAAAATCCAAAAAAACCAAAATATCCGAATAACGCCTTTCCCTATAACATAAACAGAAAAATTGTTGTTGACGTTGATAAGTCTCATTATGCCAAAAACGAAACCATTTAATTAAATTATTTTGAGAATTTCCAAAAGAATCAAAAATCATTCGAAATTCTAAAAAATTATTTTTTCTTTCAATTAAATTTTAATTTACCCAAATTTTTCGGAATAGGCCAACTTCTTTGAACATCAACTAATTTACTTTCAAAAGACGTTTTAATTTGTGATTCCAAATTATTTAAAGAAACAATATTAGTTGATTCTTTTAAAATATTTAAATTAATATTTAACAATTTATCAATAATATTTTCTTCTTCTTCATTTTCCTCTAAATTATTTAATTCTTCAATTTCTAAAAAAATATAAAAATTTCTTTTAAATATCCAAAAAAAAACCTTCATTCCCCAATTCTTTATTTAATTTATTTTTTGACTCAATTAATTTAACCAATTCGTCAATTTCGTTGTCTAGGGACTTTTTCCGTATTTTTCTTTTATTATACTTCTTTTTCCTTTTTTCTTCTTTTAATTTTAAATTTAAATCAACAACATCTTCATCCTTGTCTAGGGAAGAGGTCTCATTTTGATTCTCAAGAAGTACACAAAATTTTGACTCAAAACTGAAAATTAATTTTTTTAAGAAACTTAAAGAAAAAAAAAACCTCAAAATTTCTTCACTTTCATCTGACTCCTTCTGCTCGTTATTGTCTGAAATATTTTGATTTGATTCCTCCATGTTGTTCAAAAAATATTAAATAATTTTTAAAAGAAAAATTTAAAAAAGTATAATCTAATTTATATATAATTTAATAATTAAAATTAAAAAATAAAATAATTATTATTAAATTTTATATTAAAATTAAAACAAAATTTGACTAAAAATAAAATTAATTTTTTTATGTTTTTGGCCACCAATTAGGCCTCCATACTTCCAATGCCCGACCATTTGAATCAAAAAGCCGAATAAAAATATTTTCAGGTATTAACCCAACAGAAACTAAACAAAGTCCAAATTTCCCATTTGAGGTAATTAACTAAAAAATAATTTTGGAAATTAAAATTCTTTCTAAAAAACCTTTCCTTGCCGTTGACCTTTCTCGTCTTTCAAAGTTAAATCCTCTGGCATTTTATTTGAATCATTAAATAACCATTTAAAAGGCATTAAACGTCTTCTAACAATTCCGCTATGGTAAGTACGGGAAATTAATTCTTGTCCAATATAACAACCAAAAATAAACAAAAATTTTAAATTAAAAATTAAAAATCTAACCTTTATCAAAACTAATTCCATTTAACAAATCTCCATTCATAGCCAACGGTATTTGATCAATTATTTCCATTCCTTCCCCAATTCCCCATTTATATCGACGGGAAATATATTCTTTTTCCAAATTTTGATTAAATTCTAAACAATTTCCCTCTTCATTTTCAATTAAAGAACGATATCCAAAATTGGGTATTCGAGGATCTGAAGTCCAATTAATTAAAGTTTTTGAAGAAGTTTGTTGTTGGAATAAATTATTTGTAGAATAAAAACAAACATTTAAATTATTTAAATTTTCAATAATTATTGGCCTTCTTAATTTATAAATATTTAAAGCTTTCTGTAAAACTTCCAATCTTTTTGGATCAATTTCAATTCCATAACTTTCAACATCATTATTTTCTAAAATATTTGTTAATCTCCAAATAAACATATCAACAAAAATTCTTCCTTTAACATTTAACAAAAATGTATATATTAATTTATTTTCTTCATTTAATAATCTAAAAAAGAAAATAAATAAATTTTTAAAAATACAAAAACTAAACTCAATATCTTTTGTTATTAATCCTTGTAAAAATTGTTTTGAGCCGTGGCCTTTGACTAAAAGTAAATGACGAAAATTTAATTTAAATGGAGGCAACATTTACTAAAAGAAAATAAATAATATTAATTAACAAATTAAAAAAAATAAATATTTATTAGTAATAAGGGCGAACAGATCAAATCCTAGGGAGCCTTAATTTTTTCGCACGAAATTGTAGTTTATTTTAAGAATAATATTTACAGTAATCTTTTTTAATACAGTATTTCCCCATATTTTTATTTCTTTAAACAACAAACAATTTACAAATATTTTTTTCGAAAAATATAAATTAAAATAAAACAAATTTAATTTTTAAAATTAAAATTAAATTAAAAATAATTATTTAATTATTCTCTTCTCCTTTTTGTTTAATAATTTCTTTTTCTTCAATTATTTTATTATCATTTATTTCTAAAGCCCATTTTCTTGGTTTAGATTTTGCAAATAACATAAAAATAGTTATTGAAATAAATACAAGAATTGAAATTGTTAAAAATATATTTGTCCACTTTAAATTAAATAAATTAATTAATTATACCTAAATTCTTTTACTTGTTTAATTGTATCATTTGGCGCCGCGGCGGCAACAATTCCTGGGAGGATTAGAGGGACAATACTAATTACTATATTAATCCAAGAAATGAGTAATTCTGAATGTTTAGCAGATATCTTTTAAATTTTAATTATTAAATAATTTAAAAATTAAAAAAAACTTTTTGTGAATATCGAAAAAATCCAAGAAAATTAAATCCAGTAAAAATATTTAAAATTGAAAAGAAAGGTAAAATTAACCAAAGTGATGAACTTAAAAGAGGAATAAAAGCTAAACCAGCCATTGAAATACAAATTCCATACTTTTAATAAATTTAAATTAATTTTTAATTTTAATTAAAAATTACTTGAGATATAGCAGCAAATAATTTAGTTCTAAATTGTTCATTAAATATTTTCGAAAGTAATTTATCATTAATTGGCCCAATTAATAATTTTGTTATTAAAGAAAGTAAATAAGGAATTGCCGAGAAATATCCAGTACCGGCAATACTTATACCCAGAACCTTTTTTTGGAAATATTAGAGAACATTTATATTTAATTTCCCTTACTTTATTTAAATAATAAGGACCAAGTTCTGAAATAAATTGAAAAGCAATTTCATCACAAAAAAATCCTAAAAATAATAACCAAATTGTCCAATCAGTTAATATTTTAAAATATGGAGGTTTTTGTTGTTTTTTATTATTTTCTCTCATTTCTTTTTCAGTTTTTCCAAATTCAATTTGTTTTAATTCAATTTCAGATATCCATCTATTAATATCTTTATTAAAAAAGTTTAAATATATTTACGGATGTTCAGAAGGACAACCACGAAAAATAAAAAAGAAAATAATTGTAAATATTAAAGTTAAAATAGCCATTAAATAATATATTCCTTCCCAACCAAAATTACTTTCACAAAAATATCCAGCTGTCGGCATTGTAATTAATGAACCAATCTACACATATATTTTTTAAATTTAAAAATATATACTTGATAATGTGTAGAAGCTAAAATTAAAAAAGTAGCCGTCGATGTAGCCGTTGCCCATTTACGTGAAACTAGGGAAATAGTTACATATTCAGCTGGATAACAAGTACCCTTTTAATTTGTTTTTTTTGTATACTTTGATTAAAGAAATTTATATTTTTACTTGAATTACTCGTAAAAAACAGAGAAACCAAAAACCAAAAAATTTTTCTCCAAAAGGAATAAACAAAGTGGATATTGCGGAAATTAAACAAAAGAAGGTTATTGTATGTCTATTATGAAGAATTTAAAAAATAAAAATTTATTTTTATTTATTTCAAACCTAACATTAAATAAATTAATTAAAGGAGAGATAATAAAACCACCAAAAATTGCCCCTAAAGCAGGACCAGAAAATAAAAGAGAACGTTCAATTGCTGAGAATTCATTTTTATCATTTTGCTGTTTTATTGTTTGATTATTCAAAATATTAGTTTCTTAAAATTAAAAAAAGAGTGAATAAATTTAAATAAAAAGCAAATGGAACTACAGCCCAAGTCGAGAGGAAATACATATATCTACATAGATTAGAGAGATAACTTCAAATTTAATTAAGATAATCATAATCTCGTCAATATTTTCTATCAAAATATCGTCTCTGTCCAATCTTTAACTGATTCTTAATTTTTAATTAAATTTAACACAATCCCCCTTTCCCTAGTAAAAAACTCTTCATAAAAAATTTACTTGAAAAATATATATTTACTCTACCTATTAATTCTTCTTTAATTGGATTCATACAAATTATTGTAAAATTTAATAAAATACTATTTGAAAATATTAATGTCATACAAATAATTGAAATAATTAAAATTAAATAACGAAGTTTTAGAAAATTATCAAAAAAATTTATTAAAGTCATTTTAATTCTTAAAAAGATTTTTTTGTTTTTAATTAAAATTTTAAATAAATAAATATCCAAAATATTTAAAGAAAAATTGTTCTATAATAATAAATACATGTATTTTCATAGTACATTTTTAACAATTTTTATTTAATTCCAAAGAATTTACATAAGATTAATTTTTGCAAAAATAAAAAAAAGTCTATGTAGAATAGTAAGTATTAAAAAAGGTTTGTAAAGTGAGGGGAGGAGGGGAAGGGGAATAGTTTTTTGTTATCTTTGTTAATTATCTCTATTTTCCTTCTTTTTTCTTTGTTTTGGTATTGTAAAAGTTAATAATTTTTAATTAAATAAATTTATGTAGATTTTTTTGTAAAAATAATTAAAAATAATAAATTGGCCAAGAGAATCATCTAAATTAATCTTTTATTATTTTATGAAAATAAAAATGTCTATAAATGTCTGACCGCTGATAAACCATTATTTTTACCTCTTTTTTCGTTAATTTAAATGGAATATAAATTTGAATGTTAAAAAATATGAAGGAAAAATAAAATAAATAAAATGTGAAAAATAATTTTATAAAAATTAATTATTAAAAAAAATTAAAAATAATTAAATAATTTATTTTTATTTAAAAATTTATCCCCTATTTTTAAATTCAAATATTTTATATCAAATATTTTTAACACAAAAATAATCAGAAAAATAAACAAAAAAAATAAATGATGAATAATAATAATAATAAATAATAATTATTCTTTAAATTAAGTATTTAAGTAAATAATTTCTAAAAAGTTTTTTTAATATTCCCAAATATTAAGAATGAAGGAGTGAGTATTCATTTAAATTCTTTTTCTCCAAGTTTTCTAAAAAATATTTTATTTTATATAATATTTAAAAATAAATATTTAAAAGAAATATTTTTTTCGGTTAATTTTTAACAAATTTCCTTTAAATAAATTTAATTTTTAAATGGTCAAGAATTTAAAAATTATTTTTTGATTGTTCTTTTCTTTTTGCAAAAATCAAATTATTATTTTTTCTATTATTTTTCCACCTGTTTAATAGTAAAAATAACAAACATCGATCGAAGCTTTTCAAATATTTAAAGAAATTGATATTTGGCAATTATTTATTTTTAAAAGCTTTATTTTTAAATGGGAGGAGGAGGAGATTGTAGAGGAATACAAAAAAATAAAAAAATATTTATTTTTATTTTAATTATTTTAATTATTTTATTATTGTTATTATTTTTATTTGTTTTTATTTTTTTCATTAAACAACAAATTGATATTGATAATAAAAAAGAGGAAAAAAATGGTAGTTGATTAATTTAAATTAATATTTAAAAAAATATTGAACCTTTAAATATGTATATCCTCTCGTTTAGAATTTAGTTTGGAAGAGTCGCCTAGTTTTAAATTAATTTGTTCAATTTCCAATTTTTAAATAAATAAAAAATCTAAACTCTTTTTTTTCTATTCATTAATTATTATATTTATTTTTAATTATTAATATTTAATGTAATCACTGTTAAAATAATTAATATTTATTCAAAATAATTTTTAATAAAATTAATTAATTATTAATTAATAACGGAAATTTAGATAAAAATTAATTTAAATTTTAGATAATTTGTGGGGATGTACTTACCTTAATTGCTCTTTAAATACATTATTGGATCCCTGTGATGATTTTTATGATTATGTTTGTTATGGATTTGTTAAAAATACAAGTAATTTACCTGAAGGGTATACAAGAAAAAGCCAATTTAATATTTTATGGGAAAAAAGTTATAAGCAAATTATTGGTTTGTTTTGAATGTTTGTTTTTAAGTCAAACCTAGCTATAGTATATCCCCAATAATATGGGCACATTAATTTGGTTGGGCACTGAGTGATAATCTTTTATTTATAATTTATTTCACTCCTTGAATTTAACCCCCAATACTGTAAACTTATCATTTAGCGAAAAAATATTACATGTGATAGATTGGGAGATATATATTTTATTTAAAATTATTTTAATATGCTTAAATAAACAAAGAATGGTTCTATTATTTTTTTATAAATAGGCTTCCAAAAACCCCCCAGTTTAGTGAGAATGTATATTTAACTATCAAAATAAGTTAAAATAATTTTTATGTTGCTAAGTTTAGAATCTGGATACCTAAAAAATATAACTAATTTTTAAACAATTTTGAATATATTTTTATAAAATTATTTTTATATTATTTTTTTGTAGATTTATTAAACAATAAAGAATTAAGAAAAGAAAAAATATTAGACAATTCATTATTTAAACAAATGTTTCAATTTTATGATTCTTGTTTAAATAATCAAAGTCGTGAAGAAATTAAAAGTCAACCTTTACTTGAATTTATTGAAAAAATAATTGGAGGGAGTGGGGCTGTTGGAAGATTGAGGAAATTTGAAACAGAATGGATTTTAAAAGTAAAAATGTAAAAAGAAAATATTTTCTTTAAATTTATTTAAAGGCATTTCCATTTGTGCCGTTTTTTGATATAGAAACTACTTGGGATGTTAGAAAAGAATCTTTAGAAAAAAGTTTTTAAAAATATTTTATTTAAAATTAATTAAATAAAAAAGGTATGTTTATGTTACAACCAAAATCTCCATTTTCATTTTCAAATAATTTGTGGAAAGACAATGAAAGAATTAATTTTGAAAATAAATTAAAGAAAATTTTACGTTATTTAATTGATGATTCTTTGGAAATAAATAAAAAACTTCCGGCATTTATGGAAAGTGGATTAAATGAAGAAGAAATTAATTGTTTGTATAAAAAAATTAAATTTTGTAAATACCTTCCCCCTATCCAAAGAGGGAGGGAAAATGTTTACTATTTACTACCATCATTATTAATTCTTGGCCATTTTTAATTAGGAAACGGGGGAATGTTTTGAACTTAATACTCGTTTGTGGATATACTAATAAAGTTTAGGGAATCTCAGTTAAATTGACCAAACGTTATGGAGTTATATAAAATTCCAAAAAATTTAACAAAAATAAAGCAAAAAAAAAAATAAATTTAAACAAAATAATTTTTTAAGTAAATATTGAAAGACGTGTTAAAAATTTAATTCTTGTGGAACAAAAAATGTCAAAAGCATTTGGTACTGTAATTATTTAAAAAAAATAATTAAATTTAATATTTAAATTAAGAAAAATATTCGAATACTTTACAAAGATTTTATAATTGGAATGAACCAGAAGTGTATTTAGAATTAGGGGAAATATCTTCTTTATATGCAAGTATTCCTATTGATTTTGTTAAAATTTTGAATGAAATTGCTAGGTAAAATTAAAGAAAAAATTAATTTTAATTTATCTTTAAAGTGAAGGAAATCCTTTAATTAACGAAAAAACAAAAATATTAATATTGGGAAATGAAATATTAAAAGAATATCGTTTAATAATTGAGTGGGCAGGAAATGAAGATGGAGGAAATGTTTTGTCTGATTATTTGGATTGGGCATTAATTTGGAGAATTTTATTTGAATTAGATTTTAGATTTTCGAATTTATTAAATTCTTACAAAAAAGATGAAATTGGGTGTGTGAGGAATTTTGTTAGGATTTATTTTAAACATTGGCTTGATAAATTATATGTAGAGAAGTTTGTTGATAAAAAGGTTGTTGGACAAATTGAAAATATTTTTAGGTAATTTTTAAATTTAAATATGGGAAAAATATATAAAAATAGCCGAAAAAACTAAAAACTCTTTCCGAAGTTGAGTTCTGAAACTCTGGAGCAAGGCTGGTTAAGAAATGTTGAAGGCCTTGTTTGAAGGCCCATTAAATTTACTCTCACCAAAAATAGAATTTATTAAGCGTTACTATTTTATGATTATAAAAACTCCAGCTAAATCGGTTGTTAAAAACCAGGAAAAATTTCGAAAATGTCTTGAAGCAGAGCTTATGTAGAAAGGAAAAATTGGATGTTGTTTTTAATCTAAAAAAAGGAGAATCTCCCCTAAATTATTTTAAAATTTTCTTTTATTTTTATTCCTAATTTTTTATCTTACTCAAGAATTAAACAAAAAATAATAATTTAATTTTCAGTTTTATTAAACAAAGTTTTGGACAATTAATTAATGAAGCTAATTGGATTGGAGATGAATCTAAAAATAAAGCAAAAATTAAATTATCAAAAATGAAACAAAATATTGGATATTACAAATTAATTGAAGATTTAATATTTTTAAATAAATTATATAAAAAATATAAAATTGAAGACAATATGTCTTGGATTGAAATGTTTGTACAATTAAATAGAAATTATTATTTATGGCCAACAATTGATTATCAAGTAAAAATTTAGTTAAATATTTTATTAAATTAAATATTAATTATACATATATACCCCAATTAAATATTTTAAAAATTATTAGAGAGAGAGGGTTAACATAATTATGAATTGTTTGTTGGGTAGTTTAAACACACAAATATTTTTTAATTAAAACAAAAATTAATTTAAAGGCATCTTTCTTTGTTGATGGTTATTATAAATGGGCATTTAATTCATTAGCTATTTATGGAGGAATTATGCATTCACCTTGGTTTGACCCAACATTCCCCGAACCTTTAAATTTTGGAGGTATTGGAACTTTATTAGGCCACGAAATTTCTCATGGATTTGATTCTTCTGGTTTTCATTTTGATGAAAATGGAGATAGAATTGATGAAAGGGATGTAGATAAAGAGATGAATAAAAAAATGGAAGAAAAATTTGAATGTTTTATTAACCAATATAATAATTATGAGGTATGTAAAATAATTTCTGAATGACTTAAATTTCTGATTGAAAATCATTCTTCAAATTATTTTGTAAAAAAAATTCAAAATTCATTCAAGCCATTTAAAAATTAAATAAAAATTTTCTTCATAGAATAACAATTTACGTCCAAATACTCGTTTTACATTATCTGAGAATATTGCAGACAATGCAGGTATTCGGGCCTCATATAAAGCTTGGAAATTATTTACAACTTCTCCAAAAAAGATTAAAAATTTAAACAAATCTTTAAATCAATTTACTGACGAACAAATATTTTTTATTGGAAATGCTTTTGTAAGTATTTAGAAAATAAAATGAAATAATTTTTTAATTTAAAAAGACTTATTGTTCTGTAATGACTGAGGAAGATAAAAATAATTATGCAAAAACAGATAATCACGCTTTCCCTAAAGCAAGAGTTAATTTACCTCTGAGTAATTTTCAAGCATTTGCAAAAGCATTTGAATGCAGTTCTGGAACAAAGATGAATAATAATGAACAAAAATGTCAACTTTGGTAGTAAAATGAATTGAAAAGAAAGAAAAAATTATTTTGTTTTTTTATTTTTATATTTTTAAATTTTATTTTAAAATAATAAATTGACTCTCATTATACCCTAAAAGACTGTATGTGGGAATATATCTCTGTGGTATGAAAATTTGTACTATAAAAGAGTAAATTATAAGGGTTTTTAACTATCAACATTCAATTAGTGTCGCTGGTTTGCTGCTTGCCGTTCTTCGCTTCCTAAGGTAGTTTGAATTATTCTTTCCTTGTTTTTTTCCAATACACTTTTACTCAATTTAGATGAAATCTGGCGCTGCTAAGACCAAAAGCTCTGAGGGCAAGACTAAAGGAGATGAACAACAACAACCGCAGCAGCAGCAGAAGAAAAGTGCTAGCAGTGTCAAAAGTAGCGGATCAAAGGACTCGTTACCGGCAAACAATGAAGATAGTGATCTGGTCTTCTCTAGTGTCTCACAAGCAAGTGTCATCGAAAGGGAGCCAACAAAACCTTCTACTCCTGTGACGCCTCCAATGCAGTCCAGACCATTGCCAGTTGCTAACCTGTCTATGACTGAAACTGTGAATAGTGATTGTAAGGCATACAATTATTTATTTCTAAAAAAATTCTTTTCTCGTTTTTAGCTGTCAGCCCTAATGATGATGACAAGAAGAGTGATCAGCGTAAGCGTCAAGGGGTCGCAAGCATCTGGAAACTTCCAAAAGGCGCAGATGTTAACAAGGACCCGCGAAGCAGCAATTATTCGTGAATGGCCGTGAATAAAAGAAGTTGAAGAAGGATAGATTTGTGATAATATTGTTATAGTTCATATGTATAATTGCTGTAATATATTGTAGGTAGTGTGTTTGTGTAATAAATTGTTTGTCCTTTTGATTTGTGCGCATTGTTATTGCCCTCCAAAGTATTGTTTTGTAAATTTCCCAGAATTCTACAAATTCTGGAACTAGATTGCCTAGAATTCTGTCTGTGACGAATTTATATTTTTCCCAGACGGCGTAATTCCTCTTTGTCTTTTGCAGCTTTATTCAAAATTTTTAATCTTCTGCATAAGAATGTGGAAAAACTATAGCAAACGCCTCATTTCTTTAGGAAATGGAACAGCTAAAAACTTTTGGAAAAATTCCGTCATATGTCCCGGAAACCGATTCGGACGAACGATATGTCATTCGAAAGATCTCGCCGAGCTGAGTCGAACGGCACCAAAATTAGCTTGGGGACTCACATATGGGCCGAGATATAGGTCCCCGAAAATCGAAAAACAAAAGGGGGGACCAAGCACTTTTTTGGGGTGAAAAATTCGATTTTACAAATGATAGCTCATTCGAAAGAGCTCCTTGAGCAGAGTCGAATGACACCGAAATCGCCGTAATTGAACAAGTTTAGACAAAGTAACAACACAAAAAACAAACAACATAAACCTATGGAGCGTCGGCGAGGCGCTTGTGCAAAACCCCGCGCTTCGCGCGGGGTTTTGCGGCACGCGCCTCGCGGGGAGTCTACGGGCGCTGGGTCTGGGTTCGTAACATAAACTTATGCCTAATTTAGCTGCGGTCGGCATTCTGGCTTCCTCCGCAGCAGCAAAAACCTGCACGTAGGCCAAAGGTAAGGAGCCAAAACAAATGGTCATAACTTTGTCAAATCAAGTCATATTTCGTTGATTTTGGTGTCATTCGACTCAGCTCGAAGAGCTCTTTCGAATGAGGTATAATTTGCATGTTCGAATTTTTCACCCCAAAAAAGTGCTTGGTCCCCCCTTTTGTTTTTCGATTTTCGGGGACCTATATCTCGGCCCATATGTGAGTCCCCAAGCTAATTTTGGTGCCGTTCGACTCAGCTCGGCGAGATCTTTCGAATGACATATCGTTCGTCCGAATCGGTTTCCGGGACATATGACGGAATTTTACCAAACTTTAAAACATCATAACTATCTCATGAGCAACTGAAGCTTTGTTTTGACTTTTGGGATTTTAAAAAGTTGGGTAGGAGAAAAGGAGAAAAATTTCGCCTGTAGGCCAAGTAAAGTAAAATTTTCCATGCCTCTGGCAACCTAAATTTTCAAAATTTTTGCCTATGGCGCTAAAAAGTGAGTTTAACGCGCTAACGTGAGACAGGTTATAAGAATCCCTGCATTTTTCTTAGATTTTTACTGTTCCTATATTACCCCACCATTTTTTATCCACTAATTCTCCCAAAAAATTGCCCTATGTGACCAAGAAATTCTGTCTTGAGTCTTGTAATTGTTTAGTTTTGAGTCTTTGAGTTTTGTTCTCGTATCTTGTAAAATTTTGGTCTCGAACTCTAGGAAAATAAAAATGCGAAATAAGATCTAAACTTTTACCGAAATTCTTGCATATTTTCAAGTCCTTGAAATTTGATTTTGTGCAATTCGAATGTCGCTTATTTCGATTGTACAAAATTTTTTATTTAGATAAATTTGTTAATTTTTAAATACTAAATTAAAAATTTAAATGGAAGATGATCCAAAAAGCAAAGTTGATTATCAAGTTGAAAAAGAGATTTTGGATGAGCTCGTTCAAAAAGTAATTTCTTTAGAGGAAGACAATGATTCTCAACACAAAGAGCAGACACAATCAATTAAAAAACAAGAAGAAGATGGATTAGAAAAACCTCAACAAATTGAAAAAGAAGGGGGGAATGACCGTCAAATTGCTGAGGAAGATCAGGACGATGAGGAAGAATGGGAAGATGCTGGCGATGGACGAGAAGAGGATGAACAACTAGGGGATGAACAAGAGTTTGATGATGAGCAGGAAGATGAAGAATGCGATGATCAAGAAGAAGAGGAGGATGGTGATGAGAAGAAAGATTTGGATGATGATGAGATTGTAGAAAATCCAGCCTACATTCCAAAACAAGGTTAAATTTTAATATTTTTTTGTTTAATTGAATGGAGTAAGCGCAACTTTTTGTTTTTCAACTGATGATTGTGTTTGCTCCTTCAATGATTTTTCTAAAATTTTGATTAGGTAAATTCTACATGCATGATATTGACCGGTCTGTTCCTCCGGCTCGTCGTAGCCGTGTGTTTAATCCCTCTGAGGATGATGAAGAAGAGGAAGATACAGGAGGTATATCAGCTGTATCAAAATGTGAAGATGACATGCCAAAAACAAGGGCAGAACGCGTCCATAGTAATTTTTAATTAAAATAAATTTTATTGTTTATTGTTATCTTTAGAATGGAAACACGACATGTTTGATGAACGTGCACAAGGTCCTAAAGGCAGAGGGGAATTGGTATCTCTTTTATTAAAAATGTTTTTTTCAAATTTTATTTAGATTCGCCGTTATGGACGTGATATTCGACGTGTTAATGAGGATGATGATGATGGAGATGAACAACTAAATATTCAAAATACAGATCGAAGTCAACAACGGACTCGAGGAGCAAGAGAAAGAGGTGGTGGAGGAATAAGACGTTCAAGAGGAAGAGGTTTAGTTGTAACAAATCGGCGACAGCCTGTACAACAGCAACAATTTTCTTATCCAAAAGAAAGGGATGGAAGACAGGAAGGACAAAAAGAAGAAGATAAACAACAAGAAAGACAATCACAACAATTTAGTGGAAGTGGCGGCCGTGTTGTAAATTTTATTTTTTTCTTATTTTTACATTGATTTTCAATAGATTCGAAATAGTGGAACTCATGGAGAACGTGGCCGAGCTTATGGACTCGGTAGAAATGGTGGTGGCACTAATGTTGGTTCTCGTGATGGTCGTCCTATGTCAAACAATGTAATGAAGCTATACTTTTTTCCTTTTATTTATAAAGTCTAACATAAGTTGTTTTTATTTGTAGCAACCGTTTCAACGTGAAGGGCGTTTTTCAGGAGAGGCACAAAGAGAAGGACGTTTCTCTAGAGGAGAATCCCAACAACAACAGGATAATCAACATTATAATCAACAAAAACAATATAACCAATCATCACCTCGTATTAATCAAAATGTCAGAGGAATGCGTGGAGGACGAGGGGGAGGCAGAGGATTTCAAGTATATTAAATCCTGTTATTTAAATTATTCCTATTCCTTTAAATAATTTAATAATTAAACGGTTATTTTTGTGTTGTAAATCATGGTTTACTAGTATTGAGCATGCGTATTCGGAGGGCTGGTTTCCTAAAGCCGACTTGAAAGCCTTGTTATTGAGTAGATCTATGATAATTTCATTTAACCGCTTGTGGATATTTTTGTACCAGTTTTGAAACCTTAACAGATCTTTAGTTCACAAAGATACGGAGATGTTTATTAAACTTCCTCTTACATTAGCAGACTGTTCATCGTGAAGGACGATTTGCTGACAATGAAAGAGATTACCATCGAGAAGGTCGTTTCGCTGGAGAGGATTCGCAGAGAGGTCGATTTTCTAGAGGTGATTCACAGAGAGAAGGTCGATTTGCGGGAGGTGGATCACAGCGAGCACGTACTTTTGGAGGAGATTCACAACGAGGACATCATGAAGGAGGACGTTTTGCAGGAGGAGAGTCACAGCGAGAAGAAAGTTTTTTTGTTGGAGATACACAACAATTCCAATCGCAGCAATATAACCAGCAACATAATTCGCAGCATCAATACAATCAACCACCGCCTAATCAGAATATCAAAGTGCCAATGCGCGGAGGACGAGGGGGAGGAGGTGGATTTGGGGTAATAAGTTTGTCAATGAGAGACATTTTTGATTATTTAATTTTTAGGGTGGCAGCCATCGAAGTAATTTTCATCAAGAAGCAAATGTTCAATCTCCTATTGTACCACCACAACAACAATACAATCAACAGGCACACGTTAATTATCAGGCCCCAACACGTGGAGGACGAGGTGGAGGTGGATTTGGGGTAAATTATGTTATAAATTAGAATGATAAATATTAAACTTGAAGGGTGGCAGTCAACGCGGTAATTTCCAAGGTTCGATGCCTTCCCGTGCAGCACCTTTACCTCAACAACAGGTAATGCCACAATATGCTGGTGGAGATAACAATTACAACAGCAATATGAGCAATGTTCCTCCTCCCCAAATACCAATTCAACAACCTATTGTGCAACATTATCAGCCTCAACAACAGCAACAGATATATCGCCAGCCACCACAGCAAATCGCGATGGCTCCTCCGCCTCTTATGGGACAACAGCAAAATTATCCTCATCCGAGACAGCCGACAGAGCCTGTAAGTTTTTCGAAGCATGTAAAATTTCAGTTAATGTCAATCATTAGGTATTCTTCGTTACTGACCAGCAACAGAATCGAATGATGGGACAGTTTCCAAAACAAGAACGCCAACGGCAACCCTTACACATTGAACCTCCACATTAATTATATCTTTTGATAAGAATTATTTTTTATTTTATATATACGATTACTTTTTTAAGTAAATATAATGTTATTTTATGGTTTTTGCTTTAAGAGTTTGGGAACTAAATTTTCATTTTTTTAACTAAAATTTCATTTTCTAAGCTCTTATTCTACTTATATTGAACAATTTTTTTAAATTAGTGATAAATTTTAATCAAAAAATAGTGAAAATACAATAAAATGCTAAATTTTTGCTGCAATTCTCAATATTTCAAGACAAAAGGTTTTAAAACGACAATAGAATGAATGATAAATGTCTTTAGATTATAAATTTAGATTAAGTCTACTTGTTATAATATAATGTTTAACAGCTTTTAAAAAGGTCACAGAATAAATTTATTCAATCAAAACCAAAAGCGATCACAGGAAATACCAAATTCGACTAACAATAAATTGTATGGTTTTGGTTTTAGTTGTGTTTGAGAGACTGAGGGGCATGAATTCTTGTGGATCGCCTATGGAGAGATTTTCATTCTTACAAATGACCAGTAATTTTTACCTATTCAAACGTCCATTTTGTTTAAATCAGTTACATTCTCTGTTGGATTTCCATAGTTGAGAAGCTCTCGGAATTCATCTTCATCTACGTTATTCCAATGCTCACCCATTGAATCTGAGAAATTGAAGCGACCTGCAGTTGCGTCATCTAAATTTTTGTATCATAAAATTTTTATTATTCGTAAAATTATCTTCGTAAAACCTACCGTTGTCCAAGTACGCATTTAACCCAGCAATTGAAGCAATTTCTTCATCATTCAACATCATTCCATCTGTAGTGAATGGGGGAACAGAGGCCGTAGGAGTGTGCAGAACTGAACTGCTATGACTATTAGTAGTATTATAGTTAACAGCGTCAAATGGCTGTTGTTGTATAAATTGTGACACCTAAAAATGTCAAAACTAGAAAAAATATAGATGTTAGACCTGTTCCTGTTCGTTTGGTGCAACTGACGAAGAAGTGCGCATGTATAATCCTTGTGGAGGTGCTGTCGGACACTGTCGTGGTACTTCCTGCTGCTGAATGAAACGCTGCTCTTCCTGGTTCTGTTGTAGTTTTTGAGGTCTGGCTGAATTCGAAGGTGGAGGTCGAAAAGTATTTGTTTGTTGTTGTTGATTTGGATTGATAGTAGTGAAGGAGATTTGAGGTTGATAAACAGGCATCGCCTGATTTTGTTGATTGTAAAGAATTTGTTGTTGTTCCTTTGAATATTTAAAGTAAGGTATATTTTTTAAAGAAATATAAAAAATACATGTCCAGGAAATATAAGTCTCTTTTGTTCTTGAACATAACCATTAGTTGTTGTATTTTTTGGTTGAAAACAGTTATTCTGTGATGGCAAAATATGTTGTTGTTGAATTTGTTGGTTAGTGCCAAAATGTCGTTGTTCAATAAGAGAAGCAATATGAGGAGATTTTGCTCCATTATTAATTATTTGTTGTTGAGGTTGATAAATATAGCCAGTATTTATGCCATTATTCGCAGATGTGTCAGCAATAGAATTAACGCCATCCAAATCCTAAGATAAAATTTAAGTGTATTAACTTGGAATAAAAGTTAAAGAGCTAACCTCAATCACTTCAGCAATTATTGGACCATCAGAACACCCAGAAACTGAACGATCAGAACGTAAACTTTCTCTTTCATCGTTCATAGTTTTCATTCCTTTGCCAGTATAAGGTTGAATTTGTTGATTATTTCTACCATTGTTATCCATCAAAAGATTATCTATTGCATCGAGTTCAGTAGGGATGTGATGATTGAATTGATCATATTGATGTTTCATTCCTTGTTTATGAGGAGAACGACCAAAAATCTTTTTAAAAAACAAACATTTATTGAAGATAGAATAAGTTACCAAATTTCCGGCTGACGAACTAAAACTTGTCCCATCACCAGATGTAATTTCATTGATGAGACGATCTAATATCTCCGAAGCATTAACAGGTAAGATAGACTGGAGTTGGCCAATTGCATTATTAGAAGATTCACCGGTGTGATTAACAGAACGTTCAGAACTAAAAGAACAAATAGAATTCAAAGAATACTTGAGGACAAACATTAGACGTTTTCCAAGTCGATTAGATTGTTTTCCATTTGGTCCTACCAACGCGACAAGGAACTGAATTAATTTATTTACCAACTGTTGTTGCTTCAAATGTGTTCCCTAAAAAATTAGACAAGATTAAAATTTTTAAACATGTGAAAATATTAAAAGTCTTACGCGAACATGAGCCATTTCATTCCAAAGCATCTCATTTTCTCTAAAAATTAAACAGAATGACTTAAGTATACAGAAAAAATTCAAAATACTTGGTTAACTCCTCAATTCGAATTTCCATATGATGCTGACGTTCACGCAACGTTCCCAACTCTTCAAGAATTTCATTCATATCAAATGAGTTTTGTCCAACTCCACCATCCGCAACTTCCATTGGAATAGAATTACTGTTATATTTATGTTGATTAGAAGTTGGGGAATTCTTTCCTCCAGGTGCTTTTCTTTTAATATTCACAAGAAAATGTGGGTGGTCACGACGAAAATAAGGGTGAGCAAACTCTAAGTGATCTTGGTCAGATTCAGCACGAGCCAGTCCAGAACGATCAATTGGTGTGTTCTTTCGGAAACCATCTAAAAAACACTCAAAATACTACAATTATAATAATTTTTAGTCTAAAAAACATAAACAAAATATAAACATACACATATTCAATTGGCGTACAAGACTATTTAGATTCTTATGTTTGAAATACTGAGGAAGCACGTTGCTGCAAAATGCATAAGGATCCATTATGTGAAAGCTACGGCCGGACTAAAATATTAAATAATAAAAAATCTGCAAATAATTCTAAAAACCTCATCCCAGCAAACAATGTCTTTGTATGCTTGACCTTCAACAATGTTCCATAGCTTCACAAGAAATGCAGGAATTTTACGTTCATCATCTTCCTTCAAAAGATACGGCTTATAAGTCATTACAGGAAAATTATGTTGTCGATTATTATTGTAAGAAGAATTGGGGGGCCGTGGATGCCGCATTTTTTAAGATTATATTCAATCTTAAAGATAAAATATAGATTCCAATTGTTATAAAATAAGGGGATAACAGGACGACGAAATAAGAAATCCGATACGGAAACTTGACGAGACCGTTTAGGCGCATACTAGTTTTTACATAGCCCCATTTAGGCGCAAGGCACTTTCATTCTGTTCAACAGCAATGTTCTGTTCATTTGTTGACAAAAAGAAAGTTTGTCAAGATAAAACTTGGCTGTGTAAATAATTTGAAATATTTTTCTATTAATCATTTCTATTTGTAAATTTTGTTCTGTATTAATCTTCAAGATTTTAGTAATGGATTCTCATTTAAATGTTAATATTCATCCAGACAATGAGTTGGATCAACAACAAACACATCTTAAACAACCAAAACAGCAAGTAATTGAGGATGAAGAATGTAATGTTGAAGTTGTCTTAGACGATAGTCACCTGTTGCATATTCAGGAAGGAAATGAATTGCCGCCAGAAAATTCTGTTCAAGGTGAACTTGTAGAATTTTTGCGAGGAGTTACTAATTTCGGAAATCTTTGCATATGGCATGAAGGTTAAATTAAATTAAAATTTGCTTTTAAAATTAATCTTTGAAGGGTATCGTTACTCGAAACTTAAAGGACCTTACTGGCGTTGCTCCGATCGACGATGTCCAGCAAAAGCGATTGCGCGCGTGCAAGAAGATGGAAGAATTTTGGGTAAAACAAAGTTAGAGCATACACATTTTCCTCAACCAGAACGTCGACAAGCTGAACTGAAACGATACGAATTAAAGCAGCGTGCCTTAGAAGAACCAAATGCGGTGCGAAGTAGACTTATTGCTAATGTACGTTCTGAAGTTGATGATGAGACATTCGTTGCTATGGGCACTGACAATGCATTGGGGCTTATGACTTATAGGTATTTTTCTGTATTTTTTAATACATTATTTTTAATTAAATAGGGCAAGAACTAAGCTATTTGGAAGGGTTGGTGGAAAAGTAGAAGTTTCTTCCATAAAGATACCACTAATGTTAGTTGAAAGGAACGGCCATTCTATATTACTTTATGATTCGAGAATACATCGACCAAATGATCAACAGACTGTGCTTGTGTTTGCCCATCCATATGTTTGTTTCTATATTTATTTTACAAATTTTTGCCAACTAGATGTTACAACAACTTGCCATACATCCATCTTGGACAATGAGTGGTTCACCCAACTCTGCACCTAAGCAATTTAGGCAATCTTTTGTTATTGGCGCAATTGTTCGAAATCGAGTCATTTTTGCGGCACGTGCTCTTTTGCAAGGTGACACGTCGAGTTATTATGAGGAAGCTTTAGACGTGATTGCTAATTCAATTGAGCCAACAAAACCACGTAAAAGTAAGTTGTATATTTCCTTTTTAGATTAATTATTGTTATTTTATGTTTTGTTACTTTTTAGTTATTTTGGATTACGACAATGAGATGGTATGTGCTGCACAAAATGTTTTTCCTGAAGCCATATGTAGTGGCAGCTACCTTCGTTTTGCTCAAGCTTTGTTCCGAAAATGGAGAGAATTAAAACTTGGTACCCTTTATGGGAATGAAAAAGGTCAAGAAGGCAATGTTGCTAGAATGACTTTCCGGTTTGAATTTTAAGAGCTCTTTTATCTTTCTTTTCATTTTTAGTCGGCTTCTTTGTTTGGCACTCATTCCTGCTGAACATGTCATTCGTGCTTTTTATATTATCGCTGAGCTTGCATCAATTCATGAATTAGCAGAATTTATTTATTTCTTTAAATGCACATATATTGGACTGACAGACTATGAATTTAAAATGAAGGCATTGGCATTTGGACCTAATTTTGAAGATAATTTAATGCAAGTTGAGCAAACTGTTGCTTATGAAGGTTCTTGTTCTATATTTTTCTTTTTTTATTTTTTGTTCTTTCCTTATCAGGTGATGGGAATGTTAGCCATGTTGAACATGTTTATGCATCTCAATCTCATTATGAAACGGATCAGCCTTCGCATTCTGCAGTTGTTGTAACAAATATATCATTACCAATGAGTTTACAGCCAATGAGTCATAGGCCTTATTGTCCAATAGAGTTTTGGAATATTCATGATAGAACTTTGTCTGCATTGGCGACAACAAATTATGCTACAGAGTCTACATATTTTCAGTTTAAGGTAAATAGAATTATATATTTTTCATAAATTGATTATTTAAAAATTTTAGACCCAGCCTTTATTGCCAGATTATTTGTTAGCGTTTTGGGACGATTTTGAAAAGCAACATGATGCTGCTCGTTCTGCTGTAACAAACAAACAAAAGAGACATAAGAAAAATGCTGTTCGTGAAGAGCTTGTTGCCTTAACTCTTCGTGAAGCTTCTTATGAAGCTGATCAAGATATTCTAAATACCTTAGATATCCTCTCTCATCATATTCAAGGATATGTTAATTTTCTTCATTTTGATACTAGAATTGTTTATGATAATTTTGATAACTTTTTAAATGTTCCCTGCACTATTCCTAAATGTGATTATGATAATTTTTGTTCTCCTTCAACTTCAATGCAGAGTACTTCTTTTCGTTAACTTATTTTTATTTAATGTTTTATTGAATAAATATTATTTTAGAAAATTTTTTTGTTTAATTCATTATTGGATGATGAATCTGGTTATTTTTGTTTAAATGTACGAATTTAAGAATAAATAAGTTAAATTTTTTATAGGAACGTCACTGGAATTCGCATGATACTTTGGCCATATGAGGCTGTTTTTGTTGATTGTTTGTTTATTTTATCAGATTTCAATTCTAATTTAAATTATTTTAGTTACTTTTAACGGCATATTCGCGCGAGGATGTGTTACAAATGGATAGTAGTAACATTGAAGAAGCATTAAAGAGGGAGTTGGTCCTTGTAAATTTCTATGCCGATTGGTGCCGATTTTCACAACAATTAAAGCCAACCTTTTTGCAAGCAAGCGATAGACTTAAGGTGGTTTTCCTTAAAATTATCACAAATTCTGAATTTCGATAAATTTAAATTTATAGGATAAACCTGAAGTTTTATTTGCTGCAGTAGATTGTGATAAAGAACGTAATCCTATCCATTTTAACAATTTATTCCTATTTTTCAGCAAGTATTGCTCATAAATTTAATGTGAATAAATACCCAACGATTAAACTTTTTCGACATGGAGATCTCATAAAAAAGGAATACAGGTTTCGTTTAATTTAAAATTTTTTCTTTATCCCTAATTTATTTTTGAGATCTCAACGATCTGCTGAGGCCATTGAAGCATTTATTCGTAAACAATTGGAGTCTCCAGTGCAATTATTCAATTCTGAAGAAGAATTGTCATCTAGAATTGAAGTATATATTGTTTATATATTGTTTAGCTTTGTTTTAATATAATTATATTAGAGCGCCAAACGCAATGTAATTGCCTATATTCTCGATGACCAAGTACAACCTTTACATTCAAATTATTACAAGTCAGCTTCATCGCTTCGTGAAGATTGTGGGTTTTGGCTTGGTTCTGGTGATTGGATTTTGCAGCGGGAAGAACAAATGCATAGGAATGCAACAATTTATTTTCGCGAACCAAATGTTTTAATTTTTTTAGATTCAATAAATTCTGAATTTTAGAAAGCGGCAGAGGGAAATTTTGAATACACTGGTCCATCGGATGATTATGATTATCTTAAGTACTTAATAATTTTTAAATTTATTTTTTATTTTAATTTTAGAAATTGGTTAACAGACAAATGTGTCCCGTTGGTTAGAGAAATAACTTTTGAGAATGCAGAAGAGTTAACAGAAGAAGGGCTTCCATTTTTGATTCTCTTCCGTCAAAACGATGATATCGAATCTGAAAAACTATTTAATTCTATTGTAACAAAAGAATTGTTTGATCAAAAAAGTAAATTTAAAAAATAATTTAATTTTTTATAAACAAAATCTTTTTTAGATTCAATAAATTTTTTGGTTGCAGATGGAAAAAGATTTGCACATCCACTTCAACATTTGGGGAAATCTGAAAAAGATTTGCCATTAATTGCTATAGATTCATTTAGACATATGTATTTATTTCCGAATTTTAAACAGCTTGGGTAAATTAATTTTTTTAAATTTTTTTTTTAAATTTTTATTTAATTTTTTAGCGAGAAAGGCAAATTACGTCAATTTGTTTTGGATTTAAATTCTGGGGTGAGAATATAAAATAAATTTATTTTTTTTTAATTTCTAAAGAAACTTCATCGTGAATTTCATCAAGGACCAGATACTACACCAGAATCGCTTTCTGATGGTAAAATAACTCAACCACCATCTTCTGTCTTTAAACAGCTTAAACCCGCGGAGACTCGGTTTATTTTTTATTTTATAATCTCTAATAAAGTCTATTTATTTAAGTTACTCTTTTTCGGACAAGACAGAGCTTTAAAATTGTTGGCTTTAACTATATTGCAGGGATTGAGTTTTTTTTAATTTTCTTTTCTGAAATATGTGTTGACTTTTCATTGATTTATTAATTCTCTCCTAATTACGGTCTTTGTTTTTTAATTCTCCTTTAGGTTTAAAACTCAAAAATACACACTTCTATTTCTTTTACTATTTTTGTAATTCAGGATTTCTTCTAGTCATTATCTAGAATATTTAAAATTTATTTAATTATTTAAAAATTAACAATTTCCAACGAAAAATACTCTGATCTAGTTCTTTATTTATTGCCATATATAAATACATATTCTCGTTATTTCATGAAAATCTTTTCTGCTATTATAGTCAAACCTTTATAAGTGAGACATAAATTTATGATTTTGAGAGGCCAAAAGAGGTACTTTCAAAAATAGGAAAATTCAAGCAAAAATTTTAGAATTTTCTTTTCATCTTCTTATAATGGTTTGATTTGTTTAATTTCTTTTATTGTTTCTTGTATTGGTTAAATATTTTTTTAAATTTGTTTTTTAAATTAAATTTTTATGCTTTTTACAACTTGATTATTTTTGAATAATTCTTAATTTTCTTTTTATTTATTTTGTTTTAAACAGGTTTATATATACTACAATTTATTGAATGTATATTCTGCCAAGATTTATTAGAAATTTTAGTCCTTTCAAACGAAGTTTTTCTCCACAAATTTTTGGTAAAAATAATTTTTGAATATATTTAAGTAATTTCTTTAAAGAAGCAGTTGTGGAATCTCAGCAACAACATCCAGTCGAGCTTCCAAATGAAGTTACGAAGATGCTTGGGTCACTGAAAGTGAGTTTATATTCTATAAAAATAATCTTTTTAATTCTTAAAAAGGATGACATTCTTGAATCATTAATGGAACGTACAATGGTTAATGGATTGGCAACATATACAGATAATCCTTTTAAATTTACAAAAGAATTACGTGAGATGTCGAGATATTATTTTGATAAGGGAGGAAAAATGATTCGGCCTACAATTTCTTTGCTTATGAGTGCTGCTTGTAATCAACAAATGTTAAAATTTTGAAAAAAAATTTTTAAGAGGTTTTTCTATTTTTTAGGGCTTCTTCGACAAATTCTATAGCTGATATTAGTCTAAACCAGTATAGAATTGCAATTGTGGCTGAAATGATTCATAGTGCTACTTTGGTCTTTATAATAATTTTTTAATAAAATTTAAATCTTAAAATTAGGTTCATGACGATGTAATTGATGAATCCAATACAAGACGGGGACAACCAACGACAAATGCCCGATGGGGAAATAAAAGAGTTAAAAGAGAAAAGTTTATTTTTTTTAATATTATTCTTTAAAGGCAATTCTTATTGGAGATTTTATTCTTGCACGTGCCACAAAAGTTCTTTGCAGCATTGGACAACCACAAGTAATTGAAACAATGGCAGTAATTGTTGAGGATTTAGTTAAAGGAGAATTGTTACAATTAAATTCTCCACGTAAGAAAATTAAAAAAAAAAAGATTTTTTAATTAAAAATTATTTTAGCTCAATCAAAAAATGCCCGTTTCAAACATTATATGACAAAAACTTTTTATAAAACAGGAAGTTTATTTTCAAATAGCTGTAAATCTGCTGCAATGCTTTCTGGTAAGAAGAATATTTTTTGTTAAATAATTTTTATTTTTTCAAATTAAAGGATGTTCAGAATCTACCCAACATTTAGCTAGTGAATTTGGACGTAATTTGGGTCTGGCCTTTCAATTAATTGATGACGTCCTTGATTATGTTGCCTCTGCATCCGAATTGGGTAAACCTACAGCTTCTGATCTTCGTTTAGGATTAGCAACTTGTCCAGTTAATTTTTTCTTAAAGATTTTTTCAACAAAATTTTTAATTTTTTAAAGGTTCTTTTTGCTGCAGATGAATTCCCTGAATTAGATCCACTTATTGAACGGCGATTCTCCCAGCCTGGAGATGTTGAAAAAGCACTTGAATTAGTTAAACGCTCAAATGGATTACAAAATTCTAGAAAATTGGCAAGGCAACACGGGGAGGCAGCAATTGAAAATGTGCTTATTTTTAAAAATTATTGTTATAAAATTATTTTTTATAGATTCGCCAGCTCCTTCCTCAACGTGGTCAAATACATGATTGTCTAGTAAACAGTGTACTTAGACAATTGGAAAGGCAACGATAGAAAAATAATTTTAGCTTCTCTGTTATATTAATTTGTTGAAACTTTTCCCCCTTCCGATTAGTTTTTGTTCCCATTGCTCCTAAAAATTTCCTCAAAAAATTTTATACCTAGAAATTTTTGATAAATTCTTAAATAAAGTTTTTTATACATAAATTACATTTACTCCTGTCCAACTTTTCTGGACGAATTGTTTGCCTCTACTGTTATTCTTGTTTACGTCAACATCGGACAACCCTCGGATATAACAATGGGAATCTTTATTAGTCCTTAAGTAAAAATACATATTTAAGTTAAGCATTAAATATTTTATTTGAATATATCATTATTATAAAGTCAAATTGTTTTTATATTTAAAATAGTTAAAAAATACTAATTTCTTAACAAAACCAAGAATATTAAATAAATTTAAAATATAAGATTCAAACTTAAAAGCATTTTATGGTCAATTTTCTTATTTCTATTGAAAAACACTGCTGTCATCATCGTCATCGTCAATATTGTAAACAACAGTTTGTGTGTTGTTATTGCTAATTTAAAAATTAAAGAATTTTAAAATAAATTTTCTTACTTATTTTCTTGTCGAATATTTGCCTCTTTTCGAATTCGTCCCAAACTAACGTCCAATTTGCTTTTCTCATTTGGAGTCAATTTTCGTGGAAAAAACATTCCAATATTATTTTTATTCCCACCAATAATGTCAGAAGATTGTGTCGGAATATTATCATTAGAATTTAATTCCTCAACAGAATTTTCAATTAAATTTTGTTTTTTATAAATTTTTGGAGCTAAAATAGAAAATAATTTTTTTTAATTTTTAAAAGGAGTTTACATTGATGTTTTTCATATTTTTTAATTTCTTCAAAATCTCCTTTTAAATTGGCTGCCTCAACATCATAACGTCTAGTAATTTCGGCCTCAGTTGGTGCCGGAGATCCTTTATAATCTAATATTTTTATATTTAAATTTTGATCAAAATTAAATGTGTTAATGTCATTTAAATTATAAAAATATTTTTTTGTTTCATTATTTTATCTAAAAATTGTTAAAATTTAAAATAAAAATTTTGTTATTTTTAAAAATTTTTATAGATTTTTTTGTTACATTTTATTATTTCCTATATTATTATTTTTATTAAAAATGTATTATTTGTTAATAATCCATTTATTATTTATAACAATTTTAGAATTTATTTAATTATTTTGTTAATGTATAGTTATTTTATTTAGACATTATTTTTTAAAAACCTTTATTCTGCTGTAAATCTACATCTTCCAAAAATGCTTCCAAATCAAAATCATTGCCCTTAATTACACAGATGGTCCAATATTTATTTTTAAATTATTACATATTTTTATTTATTTACATATTTAAATTAAATTTATCTTAAATTTATTTCTCCAATTTTTTTTAAAATTCTTTATAAGAATCTTATTATTCTTGTATTTATAAGAGTTTATTATAAAAGAATAATAAAAACATTTTATGTATTATTCTTTTAGGTTTTTAAATTTTTGATTAAGTTTTTTAAACTCCATTTAATTTCTTTTAAATTAATATTATTTGTTATTAATTTTTAATTTTTAAAAATTAAATTACGGGAATAAACGCCTTATGAAGCAAATTTAAAACTGCAGCCATTCGCATATGGGCAATATGTGGAACAGAATAAACATCAACTCGAACATGCAAACTTTTTTTAAATTTATTTAAAATTTAAATAAAAATAAATATTTACGGTCCAGCAAAATGTGCATAACGAGGGTCACCAGAAGTAAGCAATTCAATTTCCTAAAAAAATTTTTTTAATTTCTAATAATTTAAAAAACCTGTGTCCGATCCTTTGTAGAATGTGCTCCTTGAATAGACAAAGAACATTTATATTTTTTACAAATTTTTTGTAAAGTCAATCCTTTAACGCCAATTAAACGTCCAACAAAATTAATCTTTAAAGGAAAAAAAATTTTTTAATAATAAAAATTTAAAAATACTTTTGGATATCGATAAGTCGGTACCAAAACATAACGACAAATTTTAATTCTTTTATTATCCAATTCTAACCATTCCGTATTATAAGATTCTTCCAATCTACTAACTTCTAAAAAATTATATATTTAAAAAAATATTTCTAATAATAAATACCTGCATTCAAGAGTCTTTTAGAATGATTTAAATTAACATTTATTGGATCATCCAAAGAATTGATAAAATTTGTTTCTTGTCGCATTTCAAACGCCAAAAACTTTAAACAAAATTTAATTAAAAAAATATTTTAAAAAATCTCAAACTTTGCTCTCTTTTTCCAAAGGACTAACAGTTGGTATCATTTCTGACTCATAACGGTCAAATAAAGGAATACTAAATCTCGCATTCGAAACAGCATAAAAATAAATTTAAAAATATTTTTTAATTATTTTAAAAAATACCGAAACAAAAGAAAATCGAGGCTGTTTAGCAGCTAGAGACATATGAGATTCATTTGTTTGTAAGGAATTATTTCCAACAGTTCGTTTAATTGTAACAGGAGGATCGTCAAAAAATTGCTAAAAAATATTTAAAAAAATTTTTAAATTTAATTTATTACCCTCTTTCTAGTTCCATAAATAATTGGTAAAGATTGGCGCTTCAATGAACTCTCAATGGTTGCAGACTGTTGAGACAAATCATTATTGTCTGCATGACGTGCACTCTATAAAATATGTAAATTTTAAATTCATTTTAATTTTTGTAACACACTACACTGGCTTTCAAAAGTGGAAAGGAATTGTTAACATTTAAAGAGTTTTGAAGAATTATGTGGTTAATTTTAAAAAACTCTCACACGATGAAGTAATTGCAGATTAAGTCCGGATGAGAAAAAGCCACCACCGACATCTTGATTCTCATATCCCTCACCTCTTTCCGAAACAAGTTTTCGTCCTCTAAAGTTTTATTTTAAAATCTCTTATTTAAAAAGACAAACCTTTCAAAAACTCCTCTATTTTCTCTTCCCCCTCCCTCAGACAATCTATTTTCAAAGAAACGAGTCCCATTTGTTGATCGATTGAAAAATTGTGTCGATTCCACTCTTCCAAATGAATCTGTATAATCATCAATACGGCTACGAGATCGAGCAAATCCAAATCCACCAGGAACAGTCAGAGAACTTTGATCGTCTTTAAATTTAATTTAAACCTTTTCTCTCAAATAAATTCTCATACTTAAATTACTGTTTGTTCCCCATCTAATACCGCCACGTTCAGGTTTTACTGTTCGACTTCCTTCCATTTGAAATGCTGAAGTTCGGTGGTCATCATAAGGTTCAGGACTACTCTCAACCAAATCAATAAACTGAAAATTAATTTTAGAAAAAAATTCAAAAATATTAAACTTACATCCATCGCTCAAAAAAATAAGTCAAAGTTATTGCAAGCTAATTTAAAAAATAAACGAAATAAATATAAGAAAAATACAATTCTGAAAAATAAGGGATAAGTTTTCTTAATTTGATGTACCCCATTTATCGAATGACCCCTATACAGAACTATAAAAATTTCTTTAAATTTATTATTTTCTAAAGTATAGTAAGTGGATTTGAAAGATTTCTCGTATTCCGTATGTGGGAGCATCGATATTTTAGTTTGCAGTATTCTTAAAAGGTTTACCTTTGTAAATTTTTCTTCCCTGATTTTTTCGTCCCTGAGACTCAAAGGGATTAATTTTATTAGGGACACGCCCGACTTGCCGCGGGCCGACTTGTCGCAACCGACTTGTCGCGACCGACTTGTCGCCGGCCGACTTGTCGCGACCGACTTGTCGCCGGCCGACTTGTCGCGACCGACTTGTCGCCGGCCGACTTGTCGCGGGGCCGACTTGTCGCCGGCCGATTTGTCGCCAAGCTTTTCCCTCCCCCTTCCACAAGGACTACGCGGAAAAGTTTTTGCCGCTGCGGAGGAAGCCGGGCATGTCGAGCGGAACGACGGCCGCCGCTTCGCTACGGTCGCCGCGAGCGAAGCGAGCACGACCGCAGCGAAGCACGGCCATCGTGTAGCGAAGACCATGCCCAGCCTACCCTCCGTAGCAGCACAAAAACAGTTTTTCCAGCGAAGATTCAGTTGGTCATAACTTTGTTCATAATCATTCAATCGAGCTGATTTTGGTGTCATTCAGCTCAGCTCGTCGAGCTCTTTCAAATGACATATAAATTGTCCAATTTTGAGTCTGGTACGGAAACTGTAATAGGGGTTTTTTAATCTTGGAAAATTTTTTTGTAAAATTTTTGTTTTATAATTCAGCATGGTCCCATTTGATGGTCGTTGGGACCATTCCAATTGATTATAAATCAGAATATTTAATTAAAAAGCTTGGCGACAAATCGGCCGGCGACAAGTCGGCCTCGCGACAAGTCGGCCGGCGACAAGTCGGTCGCGACAAGTCGGCCGCGACAAGTCGGGCTGTACCCATTTTATTAATTTTTTTGTTTTTTTCTAAGAAAATACTTTTATTTACTGTATTTTATGCGTTTTGTTCGGAACATTTAAAAGTAAATTTTTATTAAAAACATTTGAAATTTACAAATTATTTTATTTATTTAAGGTTTTTAATGGAGAATTCTTTAAAACTTTTTGAATCTTTCCTTCTTTGGAGTCGTCGCTCAAATACGTCAAAAATTTTGAAGGTGAACGATTTGTTGTTAAACAAAAATGTTTCCGAGCTTCATTCAAAACAATTAACAGAGAATCGTTTGTTTGCAACTTCATCTACAAAAATGGTTTTATTTTCTTTTTTAAATTAAATTTATTTTTTTATTAGGCTGCTAGAAAGCCATTGATTAAATTTTTGGGTCGACGTTCTCCACAACCTAAATTTGATCCTTCTATATCAACTACTCAACAGCAAAGTAAGCAACCAAACAACAATAAATCGGAATCTACAGCAAGTATTGAATTCTATCAATTACCTGAACGTTATAAACCCAAACCTTTGAGTGAACAAGAAATCCAAATTATTAATGTTTGTTTATTTTTTTTGTAAAATTTTTTTAAATTTTTCAGAGTGGAGGGTGTCCAAACTAAAAAGGATATCTTTAACTGTTGCTCAAAATAGTTGTTTCTTTTAATAGTGCAGTAATATATTAAAAAAATACCCATATATTGAAGAATACAGAAGAATTTAAATAATTAAAATATATTCTTTTCTTTTTTTCCTTTTTTTGTTATAAAAATTTAAAAAATATATTTTTTTAATTAATTAATTTTATATTTATTTGGATAATATTTTAAAAGAATTTATTAAATTTTTATTGGATAATTTTAATATTTTATTTGTTATAAATTTTTTGGGTAATGACCAATCAACATTCCAAATTTTGTGGCAATACGTGCCCTTCTACATCTACTTATGTTTTGACAAACAGGTTTATTTTTGTTTAAAAAACTGGCCAATAAGTTTTTTTCTCTTAATTTTTAATTTGAGTCACTCTGTTTATTTTTATGCTTTGTGTTTGCTCATAAATTCAAAGATTATTTTTAAATAATTAAATTTAAATATTTTTAAGTCTCTGTTCTCAACAGCGATTAGAATGTTCTTCTGAATTAGCTTCTCTTACCTCTTTATTAGTTCATCTTTGCTTGACGGGTTCAGATGTTTGTGAACAACAATCAATTGCTTCTTTTATTTTAAAAAAATTTGAAAAAGAAATTAATAAAATGTCAACAACTTTTGAGTTTTTAATTTTTTTTAATTAAAATTTTTATTTTTTTTTAAAGTTTTGTCGAAGCTTCCCCTATTTTTATTTCTTCGCCAACAACTTCTAAATCAGAATTAATAGTAACAAAAGAATTAAAAACAAAGAAATTGCCTAATCGAAATTCAGTAAAAACTTCAATTTCTGGTGAAAATGAAGAAGAAAAAATTAAGAAAAAAAGTGGAAATATTTCAAAAAATATTGAATTAAATAAATCTTTTAAAGAAGAAAAACAAAATCAGAAAAAGGTTTTTTTGTTAATTAAAAAAAATAATTGTCATTTTTAGCCATTAAAATCATTTTCTGGAAGGTTGTCTAAATCAAAAGGTTTAAAAACTAAAAATTCTTTTAAATCCTCAAAAAACGAAGAATCATCAAGTTCTTTACAAAGACCTTCTTCAAAACGAAAAATTAAACAAAAATCAAATATTGTTGGAATGTTAAAATCTAAAAGTGAAATTAATTTATTTACAAAAATATCTGAAAATAAAAGGTTTTGTTTTCTTTAAATTAATTATTTTAATTTTAAAATAATTTATCTAAATTTTTTAATTTTATTTTTAAAATATTTTTTTAAATTTCTTTTTTTTAGTAAATTACGCCGTCCAAATACTACGAGTGGAGGAAGTTTAACAAATAAAAAATTAAAATCTCCAATTCGTTCATTACATAAATGTAGACAACAACAAAAACGAACATTCTCTTTTGATAATAAAAATGATAAGCAATTATTTAAAAAAGAAATAAATTCAACAAACAGTCCAACATTGTTAGAATATATTATTAAATCTTTTGAAGTAAGAAAAATTTTTGTAATTTAATTATTTTTTAGTTTACAAATGATTCTTTGTGTTTGTTTGTATTTTGTAAATTAATTAGTGGATATATTGAATATTGTGAAAATTTAGGTAAAATTATATTTTTTATTTTTTAAATTTATTTTTTTAGTTAAACAAAATCGTTTACGTTTCCTTGTCAAATTAGATTTAATTAACCATCTTTTGCGTGTTATTCGAAAACGTTTTGAGTTTTTTGAAAAATGGGAAATTTTAGATAATTTAATTGTCGACTTTTTGGCAAAAATAATTTTGTTAATTTCTGAAAAAGGTTTGTCTTTAATTTAAATTTTAATTAATTTTTAAAAATTTTAAATAAAAAATTTGTTTTAAAAGTTAGATTAAGGTAATTATTTAATTTTTAATTAAATTATTTTTTAAAAAATTTTTAAGTGGTGTTTTAACTCTTTTGGAAAATTATTTATTTTTTAATGATTCTATTGACAAACAAAATATTAATTTATTTAAATTATTAATTAAATCACTTCAATCAAGTAAATTTAAAAGAAAATATTTTCTTTTAATTTAAAAATTATTTTTTTAAGTTAGAAATGCTCAAATTTTGACTTCTGAACATAATTTTATTAAACGTTTTGTTAATACTTTGGATGTCTTTAATTCTTATTTAATAAATTGTGAGTATATTTTGTTATAAGAAAATTGAATTAAGGGCTTACGAGGAACAATTCAAACTGAAGTCAAAACTTTGTATTTTTTGCAACTATCGATAGAGTATCTTCGATGTACTCCAGAAAATTTTCGACTTTCTTTTCCTAAAAATATGAAACTAAAAAGTTAAGGGCATCAAAATTTGTCAAAAATGTGGGAGAAAATGAAGGGATAAGGGTCAAAATTTAAAAATGGTCAGTCACTAGAAAAGAAGAGGGGAGTAAAAATGGTTAAACAAGGGAAATTTCTCTCATTTACAAGAGAGTCTGAATCAATCCTAATTTTCGTAAACTTCTGATAATTTTTTAGTTTTGAAAAAAACCGAAAATTTTTTGGATTAAATCGTCAAAAAAGTATTAAGTTTTGACTTAAAGTTTGGATAGTTCTTTTATTAGAGGAAAGAAGGAAAAACTAATATAATATATTTCAAATTAATTTCTCTTTTAGCATAAAAACTTAAAAATTATTTTATAGCACTACAAACTTCAAAACAAGAGAGTTTGTCTCAAAAAGAAATTGTTGTTAATCAAAATCAAAATTTATTATTTAATAATTTTCTAGAAGAAGAACAAATCATTTTAGATAATTCAAATTTGTGTTCATTAAAGATGGCTAAATTAATGGAATGTTTAATTATATTTTCAAAAAATCGTTAGTTTTTTCTTAATTTAAAAAAAATAAAAGAAAAATCAATTAACTTGAAAAGATCAAAAAATCTCTTTGATTTTAATTTACTCAAAAAAATTTTTTTTGATGCAACAAATAAATCTTTTAAAATTTCTTCTTTTTTTTCAATTTATTTGTGTTCATTCTTTTTTCTTTTAAATTAAAAAATAAAATTATTTTTTTTAGAAAAAAATAAACCTTTATTTATTCGACACAATATTCTTCCAATTTTAAAATTAATTTTTGAAACAAATTTCCCCAAACGTTTAATTAATTTAAATTATCAACAAATTGTTTTTATTTCTTTGGCTACTTTGAGGCAATTTGCAAAAATTGGTAAAAATAAAATATTTTAATTTTTAAATTTATTTATTTTTTAATTTAGAAGAATGTCGAGAACAACTGTTTAAATTAAATATATTAAAAATGTGTGAAAATTTTATTGAAGATTTGGCTGGTAATTTTAATGAAAGAAAAACAAATGTTGAAAAAATGGAAAGTTTTTTGGAAAATAATTTTAAAGAAAATGGTGGGGATGATGCTCAATTATATGTAAATTTAAATTAATTAAAAATTACCTAATTTAAAATAATATTATTTTTTTGTAGGATTCACTTTGTTCTTTATGTTTAAGATGTTTACCTTCAAAAGAATTTCCTTACTGTTTGGATGATTTTCCGTTAAAATTTGTTCTTCCTTTAATGTTTTTATTTTTAATAATTCTTTTAAATTTTATTTTTAAGAGAAACAAAAAACAAAAAAGTTTTGTCTAAATTACCTTCCTCTTCTTCTCAAATTGTTAATAATTTTAAGTCAAATTTAGTTGATGAAAGTGGTAAATAAATTAAAATTAAAAAGAAGTATTTTTAAAAATAAATTTAGATGAAGATTCGAATCTTTGGCCGTTTAATTCTTTTTCTTTAAATAATTTAGAAGAAGAAGAAGAGGATGGTGAACAAAATAATGAAGGATTGACAAATAATAAAGGAAAAGAAAAAAATAAAAAACAAAAAAATAATTTATTATTACCTCCAGATATTAGCCAATATAGTCGATTGAAACAAAATGAATTAATTGTAAGTTTGTTTTGAAAATTAAATATTTTTATAAAATTATTTTGTAAATTTATCAAAATATTATTTTTTTCCTCAAAAAAATTTAATAATTTTTTTTTAATTTAAAAGAAATATCAAAAATACTTCCCAGAATTTGGCCTTGAAGGTTGTAAACAATTAATTTTCGATGAATTTACTAATAACGATTCCTTTCAAATTAATGAATATAAACAAATTGTTTTGAAAGAATGGAAGGTTTGTTTTTAATTTTAAAATTTTAAAATTAAACTTTTATTTAAAAAGAAAATTAATTCTGTTGGAAATTTTGTCAAAATTGCAAATCCGGAATTGTTTGATTGTGGGGATTTAATTAATGGAAAAGAAGAAAATATTTGTGAAAATTCTTTAAATAATTCAATGAAGTAATTTTTTAATTAAAAAATTAAAAAAAATTTTTTTAGGCAAGTAATTAATGAAAAATTAATTGAATATAAAAAGGGGGAGAAAAAAGAAGAAAAAAATAATTATTTGCCTCGTATTGTTTTTGATTTAAATGGAAAAATAAATTCTAAAAACGAACTTTTAAATAATAATTGTTTAAATTTTGAAAGTCGTTTTGAATCTGGAAATTTGTGGAAAGCTATACAAGTAATTAAAAGAAATTAATTTTTAATTAAATTAATTTTTTAGGTAGGCACAAATAAATACGAATTAATTATTTCTCCGGACATTAATCAACAAACTTTACATTTTCAATGGTTTTATTTTGAAGTAACAAATATGCGTGCTGGAATTCCTTATATTTTTGAAATAATTAATTGTTTAAAAAATATATCAATGTTTTCTAAAGGTTTATATTTAAATTTTTAAAAATAATTTAAAAATTAAAAAAGGAATGCAACCAGTTTTATTCTCTTTAATTGAAGCAAAAAAAGGAAATATTGGTTGGAGAAGGGCTGGAACTGAAATTAGTTATTTTAGAAATTTATTTAAAATCCCTAATGATGATGAAAGAAAAGAAAATAATAAAAAAATTGGAAAAAATGTAAAATAAAAAATATTTTTTAAATTAAATTATAAATTTTTAGGAAAATTCTGTTAATTCAAAAAATAATGGAAAAATAATTAATAAATCGAAAAAACAAAATAATGAAGATTTACAAATTATGGAAAAAAGGTAATTATATTTTAATTATAAATAATAAAGGGGGGTGGGGAGAAGGAGGGGAGGGGGGGGGGGGGTTATTTGTGGTTATTTTTTGGATAAAGTTTTGTTTAAATAAAGTATTAAAATTTAATTACCAAAAATGAATTGAACATTTAAAATAATAAAAGAATTAAACTTTTTGAATAAACGGCATTTTTCTCCAAATAAAAAATGTTTTTTTAAGAAATTTTTCTTCTCTTCGTTTTACTTTATGTTTTCCTCATGATGAAGATGTTTGTTATATTGCTTATCATTTCCCTTATACATATACAAGACTTCAGGTATTTCTTTTTTTCTAAAAATTATCTATTATATTATTTTAAAAGTCAACAATTGAATGGTGGATATCTTCTTCTTCCTCTTTAAATTTATTCTTTTATCGTCAAAAACTTTGTTCAACTTTAAATAAAATTTCAATTTCTTTATTAACAATTACAACAAATAAAAATATAAAATCAAAACAAATAATCTTAATTACTTCACGTGTTCACCCAGGAGAATCTAATAGTTCTTGGATTATTCATGGTTTTTTTGGAAATTAAAAAAAAATTTATTTAAATTAAAGGTTTTATTCAATTTTTATTATCTTCCCATCCTTTGGCTATTCGTGCACGTGATTTATTTATTTTTAAAATAATTCCAATGCTAAATCCAGATGGGGTAATTAATGGAAGGTAAAATTTTTTTAAAAAGTTACAGTAAGGGGAATTATTCAATTAATAATGTCGGTCATTCTTTTTAGAGGATTTGTGAGAAATAGTCAATTATAGTGAGAGAGATAAATTAATTTATTAATTCCCACCTAAATTTTTTAGCTAATTATAAAATATTTTTTTAACAGTCATCGTTGTTCTCTTGCTGGTCAAGATTTAAATAGAGTATGGAATTGCCCATCACCTATTTTACATCCACCTATATTTCACACAAAAGCATTAATACAATATATGGTGAGGGGGAGGGAGGGGGGAATTGAGGGGGTTTTAAATTTAATTTTTAAAGGTTGAAATACTCAAAATTCCTCCATTTTCTTTCATTGATTTACACGGACATTCACGTAAACCAAATATTTTTATGTATGGGAATAATCCGTTGGAATCATGGTGTCCAACAGATATTACTAATTCTCAACAATCAAAAACATTTTCTCTTCTCCCAGAAATTCTTTCAAAAGTTTTTCTTAAATTTAAATTAATTTAATTTTTTATTTTTTAAAAAAGTCTTCTGATTCGTTTTCATTAAAAGACTGTTCATTCTCAATTACTAAAGCTAAAGAATTTTCTGCACGGGTATCTATTTGGCGTCAATTTAAACTAGAACGGGTTTATACTTGTGAATCTAGTTATTTTGGGTTTGATTTTGGATCAAAAGCTGGAACTCAAGTAAAATTTTTTGAAAAAAAAATAAAATTTTCTTAATTTAAAGATAACAATAACTGATTTAAAAAGAATGGGTGCAGAATTGGTGGAAGGATTGGTATATCTTAAAGAATTTAATAAAACAACAAATCTCCCAGATGAAACCGACCAAAAAATTTAAATTATGTAGGAATACAAGCATATCAAAGAATATATACCCATTTTTAGATTTATCTAATATATATTTTATGTTATTTTAATTCGTGCAAAATTTATTAGAATGCTAGAAAAATATTCATGTACAATTTTTCTTGTAATATAAATTATAAATATATTAAAATAAACACAAAAATATAGCTGTTAAAATTTATATCATTTAGTTTACGAAAAAATAATTTAAATTTAGTAATTTAAGGTTTCTTTTAAAAAAGTGAATGTCAATTAATTATTATTATTTTTACATCAAAGTGCACTTCCTTCATGTGCTTCCCCATTTCCATAATGTTGGGATTGTGGTTGGTATATAGGTGGAGGGAAATGTCTAATTGTTTGCTCGTTATTTTCATTAATAACATAATTATTTAAAATAGTAAAAAGTTGATTGTTTTGAGCTTGAACTCGACGTATTCTGTCAATTAATTGACTAATTTCCTTTAAAATTAATTTTTAAAATAATTATTAAAATTAAAAAAAAACAATTTTTTGTTGAGAAGACCCCAATTCTACATGTTCTTTTCCTTCAATTTGTGCCCCAACAGTTCTATTAACACGTAGTAAATGATAACAAAAATCTAAAACTTCAAATCTTCTATGTTGGCCCAATAAACGAATTAATAAACATCCTGCCCAATAAATACCATCACCAAACAATTCTTCAATACTTAAACCTTGCCAAAGATTTTCTACAATAGTTGGAGAATTATTAACATTTGTTGTTGGTATTCCTTTCTTTAATGTACTATAAATGTCTTCTGTAGATTGGCCAGAATTTTGATTAATATTTGTTTGATTAAAATAAGCAAGGCATAAAATAAATTGAAAACTTGACCTTAAAGAGAATAAAAATATTTATTTTAAATTAAATAAATAACCATATTCTATGAAATTCAACGCATTCATCTATCCACATAACTCCATTTGAAGGTTTTGGTCCAATCCAAATAGGATCTGCCAAAAGAGTATCTCTTAAACGATTTAAAATCCTTTTTAAAATTAAATTATTTTTTAAAAATTAATTTCAATTTTTTACATTCCAAAAATATTAAGTCCACAACAAAGCCTTTCTCTTGTTAATAATTCACTTTCTGCAGCAACTTTTGCTTGCTAAAAATTAAAAAATATTTACAATTAGAATAATTGTTTCCTTACAGATTCAGTTCCAAATTGTTGACAAATAGAAGAAATTTGAAGTCGAGAATATTTTGCTTCTAATCTTTGAATTTTTAATTCTCGTTCTTCAGAAGCTAAAAATTAAAGTAAAAAAGAATAATTAAAAATCATGCACATTTTGCATAAGGTTTTGGAATTTGGCCAGTAAATGTGGATGCAGCAAGTAAATCAAACATTTCTTCATGAGCCAAACCCATCTCTAACCCAAGTATAAATGTTATAATATTTCCAAATTCACGCAAAGATTGACAAAATTCTTTATGTAAATGTATATAACCAGAAAATGTTCTTAATTGATGAACAAAATATTGAAGATTACCTAAAAATTAAAAAATATACCTAACAATAAGTTGTAAAATAAGTCAAAATTTCAAGCACTCAAATGTATTATTTTTAAAATAAATTACCTTCAATTCCATAATCAAATCTTTGTAATTTACATTGTTTTGGTGCTAATCCAAATAAAACTCTAACATGTGTTTTAATTTGGTCATTTAATAATCTTCGTGCCGAACTTAATAAATCCCCAAGAATAGCCGCAATACCCTTAAAAAAGATTTTTAAATAAATATTTAATTTATTTAATTTACTTGATAACCAATTAATTTTGACATTACTCTAAAATGTGGAATACCAATAAACCCGCTATACATCATTGAAAGATTATAAAAAGCAGCATTTAAAGATTTTGATCCAAATTCATATTGAGCAGCTACAGTTGGTGGACGACCTCTATCTGGCGGATTTCGATAATTAACCTGAAGAAAAAAAGAATTTATCAAAATTTAAAATCTTTTTCTAAAATTAAAAACCGGATCAGAACTTCTTAGAGGTTAAAAGGCCATGGAAATGTCCCAACAGGTCTGTGAGAGTTTATCTTCATCTCCGGTAAGTTAAAACAATCTTTCACAAAATAAACAAAACATTAACCAACTTAACTACAAACGTTTATATGTGCTCCTCACAAAAATTCTATTAAATTTAATTTTTTTTTACCTTCCCCCTAACAAATCTTTTAGTTGTTGTATTATAACAAAAATTTGGAAATAAATCATCATTTAATTCAGAATAAATATGTAAAGTTATTCTTCCATTTTGTGAAGATACTTGACGATTTGCTTCAAAAAATAAATCATCAAAATTAGCCAAAGACCCCAAATTTTCATTTAAAAGTCTGTGACATAAACGATTAACTTCCAATAAATTATCCAAAACAATTATAAAATATAATCCTTCTGATTCAAATTTTGTAATTGCATTTTCTAATGAACGAAGAATACAAGAATTTATTCTTTGAGATATTAATCTATTTAAATCTATTGAACGACCAAGAAGCTTTAAAAAGAAATTTTTTAAAAAATTATTTAAAAAGAAAATTTACTTGAAAATGTCTTTGTCTAAGCAAAGTTTCAAATTTAACTGCGGAAGGTGTTCTTATTGTAAAATATTGTGTACAATCAGATTTAAATTCTTTATCTAATAACATCCTTTAAAAATATTTTTTTAATTTTTATTTAATTTTCTAAATTTACGTTGCTGCCAATTGTTTATAATGTGTAAATACAGCTTCAGATAATTTATAAATAAATTGATCAAAACATAAATTTACCTTTAAAAAATATTTTAATTTAAAAAATAATTTTTAAAAAACTTCAGCTTCAACTTCATCATATAAAAATTGTTTTTTAAACATTTTTAAAGCAAAAGAAGCAGCATCATTATATAAATCTAATTGAAATAAAACACATTCTAATAAAGAAGAATCAAAAGAATCTAATATAAAATTAACAAAAATCCAAGGTAAAGACATATCAATTGGAAACTTTAAATTTTTAAATATTAATTCTTTAATTAATTTAAATTTACCTGAATTCTTGTCCCCATTGCCATTTCAAGAAAAAATTCTCGAAACCTTAAAATTAAAAAAATACTCAAAAATTACATATTTAGTACCAAAGTTGAGAAAGATCAGCACATTTTTCCAAAGAAAATTTAAATTCTAAAAGAATTGGCCAAAAATAAGAAGAACGCAAAAAATTAATCTAAAAAAATTATTATTTCTTTTATTTAAAATTTAACCATTTTTTCTCTATATTTTTCATCAATTTCTTTTTTATAAACTCTACGGCCAGTAGAAGCAGATTTTTCATAAATAATAGATTCCAACATTGTTCGAGCCAAATATAACTTTTTTTAAAAAATTAAATTTAAAATAATTTTAAATTAGACATTATCTAAATCCTTATATTTTTGGTTGTTTTTAGGAAAGTAAATATTCAATTAAACAAATAGGTTTATGTGTAACAGACACAAACCAATCTTACTTATGTTAGAATTTTGTGTTTAATTTTTCATTCCTTTATTACCATCTTTAAATGGAAATATACCGTTAAATGCAATATTTAAATAAAAAAATAAAATAATTACTTGTGTATTACTCGGAACAACATTTCTCCTTCCAACACGTAAATCAGGCATTGAACCAATATTATTTTCTAATTTCTTTCCTTTTTTTAATAATTTTGAAGAAGATGAAAGTTCTGAGGATCTAGAACTAAACTTTCCCAATTGATTGCCAACAATCATTGATTGGTCAGAACAAGTCTCAATTATTGCCGTTAAAATACAAGACAAAACATCCTTTTTATGTTTTAAAGCTTTTGTTTGCAATTCAATTAATGTCCCCCCAACAAAATCCCGCATTTCAACATAAATATGTTGTCTAATTGCTACACAAAATTCATCTTCCATTTGCCCAAGTAATGACTGAATTCCTTTAACCATTGAAATAATCTTTTAAAATATTTTTAAAAAAATTTTTTTTAAATTAAATACTTCAACAATTGCCGATTTTTCTTCATTATTATAATTATATTTTGTTGCTAATTCATAAGTTTCAGCATTTTCTGGACATTCTGGATTCTTTCTGTGATTGGAAGGGTTTAATAATTTCCAGGCAATCTAAGAAAATAATTTTTTTTAATTTTAGATGAAAGGATAAAATTTTTTTTTAATTTTGTATTAATGAACAAATAAAAAAATATTCCCCTCCTTTTTAAATATTCCTTACAGTTTCAACAACATCACTCGTCCAAAAACAAATTAATTGTAATCCATTTAAAGTCAATTCAGCAATTTCTTTATTTTCATTGTCATTTAAAGGGCCTTTTCTATTATAAATAGAAAATTCATTTCTAATTTTCCCCAAATGTGTTATATATTGGTCGTGTTGTTCTCTTATTTGATTTAATTTATTTATAATATTTACATGACATTTTTCAGCTTAAATTATTTAAATTAAAAAAGAAAAATTTAAAAGAAAAACCTTCAATATTAGATAAAGGCCATTTATTTGGATCATAACATTTACATTGTTCAACACATTGATTTGGATGTTTACATTGAGAAACAAAAGTAAAAGGAAGAATATTCATATCCCCAAATAAAGGAACAACTTCTACAGACTTTTATTGGAATATTTTTAATAAAAAATATTTTTTTAAAAACCTTAAATATTTTATCAATTTTTTGTATAAAAATTCGTTTTTTCTGTTCCAATTTATTATAAATTTCAACATTCATTAAATAAAAACAGAAAGCAATAACCTTTTAAAAAATAAAAATTTAAATTAATTTTAAACTGTCAAAAACCTTAACATGAGTATGCTTTTCTTCTGGACTTGTATAAAGTTTTTGTTCAAAAAAGTGAACACTTAAATTTATTAAATCTGCCAAAACTTCTTCGAAAGCATCGATCTAACAATAAGTCTTTTAATTTAAAAAATAAATTTTAAAAACTTTTTGAATTTTTTCTCTTAGTGTTTGTTTAATTCTATTTTGAGTGGCAAGAAAAAGAGTAAGGCTGTGTTCTGGAGATTGTGATGCCCTGAAAATAAAAGTTAAATTTTTCTTTAAAGTTCTCTTTTGTATTGGACTGATAGTTGCAAAACTTTTCTTAAAAATAATTTTTTGTTTTTTTTTAATATTGATAGAAAAAGCCAAAAAAGATTTGATTTTTTAACCAAAAATTTCTTAAAAAAATAGAATTGAAAAGTATGAGGGCTTATGTCTCAAAAATTGTTGATTGACAAAGAAAAGGTTCAGCACTAATTTTTCCAAAAATATTTATAATATGAAACCTATGAAATGTTGAAAGATCATTTTTTATCGAGGCCTGAAATAATTAAAAAATTAATTTCTTTAAATTAAAAAAATGAAAGTTGGTTTTGTATTGCTCTTTTTCTCATTTTTTTCATTTACCAGAAAAATGTTGAAATACCTTTTCGACATTTTAAAGGTTTGCCAGTAAGTAATCGAGGGTGCTGAGTCCGAATATGATTAGAAATTTTATTTATTTCGAATACTGGACTCGAAATTCGAACAGGAGAATTGAACTTGGAAATTAGAAATTAAAAAACGGACATTAAAATTTGTCGATTACTTAAGTGCAAACCCCTGAAATATCGAAAAAAACATTTCTTCCTCTTTTTTCTAGGTAGATGAAAAAACGAGAAAAAAGGGGAACACAAACCCGACTTTTACAAAAAAACCTTCATATCTTTTAATGCATCCAAAACAACAAACATATTTAATAATTTGCCAATCATTAGTAAAAGAGATTCAGAAACAAAATCTTTACGTTTTTCTGGATGAGAAATTGATTGAAATTCTTCAATAAAACGATCAATTGACAAAGACTAAAAATTTAAAAAAACTTAAAATTTCAAAAAAATCTTCTCTACAGTAAATTTCATAAATTCATTCAATTTTTGAACTTCAGGTCCAAGTACTTGAACTATTTTTTCGTTTATTTCAACTCTATTTGGCTGATCATTTGATCTAGGCATTGGAACAGCTCTTGAACAACATCTCCAAGTATATAAATTAGCAGCATGTTGAAATCCTTTATTTAGCATTTCATTCTAAAAAATAATAATTTAAAAAAAATATTTAAAGAAAAAAACAAACAAATTCTGCTTGACGATTTGCTTCTTCAATATACCTTTTTTAAAAATATAAAATTTTAATTTTAAAACAAAAAAAAACTTTGAACATCCAGTAATAAAAGCCCCTCTATCTTCAAATTTTGTATCAAGAGAAGCAAAACATTGTAATGGTTGCGAATTACCCTCTATACAAGGTTGGTCATCAACTATTTGTAAATCATCTAACGCCTAGTTATTTTTTTACAAAATTATTCAGTTAATTTTTAATAAAATTTATAACCTGAACATTATGAATTGCATTCTGATAATTAACAGAATCTTGATTTAATGAAGACATTTTCTTAAAAAAATAGTTTAGAAAAATGAAAATTATTTTATTAAAATATTTACAAATGTAATGAATAATAATAGATGACAAATTATTGCATTTGTAATGCATTTGTTTGACAAAATTTTAAACGTACAAACGAAAACTTAATTCTAAGTCAATAAATTATGAGTTATTATTATTATTAGTAATTAAAAAATAAAGAGAAAAGAATTCGTGTATATTCAAAAATACAGAATTAAACAAATTAAATTTTATCTTTGTTTAATAAAGTTTATAAAATTTACAAAATTATTTGATCACAATTTATGTGTGTCAAGTACATAATAATTTTAATAAAATTATTAAAAATTTAATTTTTTTAAATTTAAAATCTACTTTTTTAATTTTAAGTTTGATTAAAGCTTTCAGCATGAAGCTCTATGGGGTTAAAATATTTTTTCAAGTCCTTCAACTCCCTATTTCCCTCCAACTTATTTAATATCTATCCAATACAACTTTTATCCAAATACATCTCTTGATCCCTCGCTATCAGTTGAAAATCAGTCAACATTCCATCTAAATTTTAATTAGAGAATAAATTTGGATCTTGATTAATGGATTAATTTTAATCTGAATCTAGACCTTGAATTTTCTGGATTCAGAATCCAGATTTCTTCCCTTTCTGCGCCAAAGGCGAAAATTTTGAGAATTTTGGAGGTTCATAAGCCAGATATATTTTGGAAAGGACTTTATTTGTAAAATCACAAGTGTTGAACTAAGGAAAGCTAAAGCTCAATCTGATTGAACACTTAACAAAATTAAAGCAAAAAAATCGACAGTTTCAAAAATTTATTTACATACAATAGCAATACAACTTCAAATATATAGGCAACAAAAAATTAAGTGAACATATACAAACAAATATACAATCAAGAAAAATATCAACAGGTTTATCTAATTAGCATCTCGATTCATCTGGTTCTAAACACGTCTTTGTGTAGTCGATGTTGGGAAGCTGTCGAGTTGTTGTTCGCCTTCAGCCGGTACCTCTGGTTCCTCAGCAATTTCCCAGTCCATTTTTGCTTTCTTGTCGATTCCCTGTTCAGTGATTATCTGCAAAATGAATTAAGAAACTGATTATTTGACCCATAGATTACCCTCTCAAGCACCCTGGCCATCTCCTTGTAGGCAGGTGCATCTTCGAATTTGAGTTTGATGATGGGACCAATCAGCTCCCTGTAGCCTTGAGGGCAGCCATTGAGGAAGCCGTCCAGGTTGCTGAGTGCTGCCAGTTTTGCGTTGTAGACTGCGGCCCGATCTAAAAATTTGAAGTTATTAGGATTTCGCGTGCAAATTATTAACGAATATTTTCTCACCTCTCTCCGCTGACCATGGGAGTGATCCCTTTGTCATCTCAACGATCATGTAGAACCAGCTCTCGACGTCATCCCTCCGCGCCAAGTCCTGGTGTTGATGAGCACTACGCGAGCCATATCGAGTCGTCCCTCTCCATCCAACATCCTGTCTGGCGGCGATGATGTTGTTATTCTGAAAAAAAGAAATTATTGAAAGGAAGAACTGCTGAGGCACACACCGCGTCCTTGTACCGCCGACACAGGCCGAAGTCAATCAGATAGATGTTGCGTATATCGTCGCTTGTCGTTTGTCCTGTGACAAAATTCCCCGCCTTGATATCCCTTGAAATGAAGCCGCATACTTCATGGAGTTCCCTGATGGCCTAAAAAATAAAAAGACAAATTATTGCATTAAGAATTTTTTAAAGGCAAAATCTTCTACCTCAAGAGTGGCAAGAGCAACACGCACAGCTGTCCCGAGTGTGAAACTGCCATTGTTCCGGTCCTTCCGCAGTCTGTACAGGTCGCGTCCCTTAAGCTCCATCGCAATGAATGAGCAGCCTCGACTTTGAATGACCCCCTAAAAATTAAAATCAGTTAGATTGACCAAAATCAAAAACACGATATAACTTACATTGTCAAAAATCTTCGGAATGTGGCGGCAGTTCTTATCCTTTGCTGTTTCAAGCACGCGAGCCTCGATGTCTGTTGCTCCTGAACGTCGCTCCAGCTTGACCGCGAGTCGCTTTGTGTCCTGCTTTTTTCCCTTTGAGATGGCGTCGGCCTCATACACTTGTCCATAACCACCATCGCCAATCAGCTCCTCCAGCTTGTAGTTGTACCTCTCCGACTCGAAGATGAAGCCTGCGCGGACATTCAGATCGCCTTCCCTGGGACGGACTGACATTGCAACGAAGTTGTTGGCCAGCAGAGCACTGAATGCGAAGAACGAACGGCACTGTTGGTTGTAAAATGGTCGACGAGCAGCAGGCACTGTTGATTGTAGAGAAGGATGATGAGCGCTGTTGTGAAGAGAGTTGAGTGGTCACTGAAAATTTTATCCTTTTATAGATATACTAGGCCGTGAAACCAGGGAACCGGATTGATTCCCCTCCGATAAATTATAGAAGCCTTGAAACATACCCTCATGTCAAAACCGCACCGTTGCTTGCTCTCGGATTTAATGCAATTACTGAGTATTCAGAGGGTATCGTTTGTGTCGCAGATTAATTACTTGGCCAAAAGCGATTCTACATGCACCATGGTGGCCCTTTCAAAACACTAAAATATGTAAAAATAGGGCATTATTATATTTTTCAAATAAAAAGCTTTATTAAGCATATTTTTCACTAGCTTTTCTAAATTGAGTAATTAGTATTACAGATAAAGTGCCTGGGTATATTTAAAACAAGTTGTCCCTTTACAAATCATCAAAAGAGAGCATGATTTCTCAAGAAGCGGTCGAAATTGGCCAAAAAGGACAAAAAAGGAGGTATTATTTTTACACTTAAAAATAGTCATAATTTAAGCTTTATTCTGCATATTTTTCACTAGCTTTAATTTAGTTGAACAAATCGGGATCAGAAATAAACAGATCATAACAGTGGAAGAAATTAAATGAGATTTTTTCAAGGTTATGATTCTTCTTTTTTCTGTGCCGAAGGCAAAAATTTTGAGTTTTGGAAGGCCGCGAAGCCAGATTTCTTCCTTTTTCTTGTTTATATGAATAAACTTTTTTATTTAATATACTTATTTAAAAAAATTAAATTATTTTATATTACATACATATATCATTTATAATTTAACTACTAAAAATATTATGTTTCTAATTATTTATGTATAATTTTTATACACATGTATATTTCCGGTTCAAAAACTTTTCTTTTATTTTTGGTCAATTCTTCCCTTGTTTATAAATAAACTATTTATATGTAAGAGGTAGCTTATTAAAAGATATTTATATTTTTATATCTTTTTTAAAAGTTTTTCAATGCTTCTCTTTTTATTTATTGAGTTTTCCGCCTATCAGTAGAGAAAATATAATAAAAAATAAAAATATCGAAAAAAGGCAGCAATAATCATCTTCTTCTTCTTTTTTCTTCTCCAACACGTTCAAACATTGTTCCAACAAGAAAAATGACCAACCAAACCAACCAGCCACACACAGAAAATAATTAAATAAATATATCCGCCCGCAGACAATACACACATATAATTTATCAAAAAAATCCCCCTTCCCTCCCCAACCAAAAGCCAATGCAATAATTAAAGTAAGGCATATTTGTGTTTATGTGTGTGGGACCCGTTCATCATCAATCTCTTTTTAAATGATAATCGCCTAAATCTCTCCCTCTCTCTCCTAAATTTTTCTTCAAGCTTTTTCTCTGAAAAACTTTGTTCCTCCTTTCTTTAAAAAAATCGTCCAATTAATCAAAAAAGGCAAAAAAATAATTTCAAGTTTTTAAAGAAAATATTTGGACATTTTTACTTTACATAGTCTTCACACAAACACGCCCAGGTAATTAAACAAAATAAATATTCATAAAATTAAAAAAAATTTTTTTTAGGACAATTAATAAAAAGATTGCATTTAATTTGGATTATTTTAATTTTTCTGTAAATAAAAAAATAAAAAAAACAATTTTAATTTAATAATTAAAAAAAAAGTTTTAATAAAAAAATGTTATTACAATTAATTATTAAATTTAAACAACAATTTAATAAACCTTCAATATTTTCTAATTTATTATTAATATTTTTATTATTATTACCTTCAACTATTCAAATTCCTATACCTAATGGGCAAGTGGGTGAGATTATTAAATTTTTTTTTTTAATTTTAAAAGAAAATTAATTTAAATAAATAAAATAAATTTTTAAAGGAAGAGCAGAAGTAGAATGTGGACAAGAAGAAATTGAAGTAGTCTTTTTAACAGAAGATTTATTTCAAGTAATTTTTTGAAAATTTATTTTGTAAAAAATTGTTTTTTTTAAATTAAAGGGACGTGTTTTTGTTGTTGGACATTCAAACGAGACTGGATGTTCTTCTCGTGATATTGGCAAAAAATCGACATCAATTATTGTTAAAAAAGATAATTGTGGGGTTGTAACTATACGTTCGGTTATTGAAATTTTTAAAGAAAATTTTAAAAAATTATTTTTTTAAAGCAAAATCCTCCAGGATTATTTGTTAATGTAAAAATAATGATTAGTTTTCATGAAGAATTTATTACAAAAATTGATAGAGTAAATTGATATTATTTAAAATTAAACATTTAATTTAAAAAAGGGTTATGAAATCTCTTGTTTTTATATGGAAGCAGCAAAAACAGTTACTTTCCCAATTTCTGTCGAACCAAATACTTTACAACCATTTACTGAATTTGCAGAAATGCCTAGATGTAGATATGAAGTTGTTGATCCAACAACACAAGAACCTGTTAGTGTTGTTTCTGTTGGAAATAAATTATTACATAAATGGTAATTTTAAATGAAATTTATTCCCCCCCCCCCCCCCCCCCCTTCTCTCTTCCTTTTTTCAAAAATTTTATTTTTCGCGTATTTTTTCTCTTTATTTTAGTGTTTTACTTTCCTTTTTTTATTTAAAATTAGTTAATTTGAAATTATTTTAATTAGGGGGAGTTTTTGGCGTAGTGACAGAAGACCCACAGACAGAAGACCCAAGGACAGAAGAACCACAGACAAAAGACCCACAGACAGAAGACCCACAAGGACAGAATACCCACAGACAAAAGACCCACAAGAAAAAATTTTTAACCAAAACTTAAGAAGAAATTTTCTGAAATTTTTGAAAAAGACTTGTCTATTTTTCTAGGCACAAGATTTTTGAAATCTCTAGGCACAAGATTTCAAAAAATATTTTTAAATTATTAAAAAATTTTATTCAAAGTTAATCAATAATGTTTGAAAAATTGGGATATGTAGGAATACGTGGGATTTAGACGATATAGGGGTAAAACCTCAAATCCACCGATGTCTATTCTTATCCATAAATTGTTTATAACAGGAACCGGGAGAAGGATACTCCGATATCTCTCTTTAACAGAAAATCGGATATGTCTGGGGATTTAAATGGATGTAAACAGATTTAAACCTTTTAAGCTTTTTTATTTCTACTAATCCGTTTTTATCAAGCGATATCCCTCCATCTTACTCATAAATAATTACCTAATCTCTGCTAACACCAATGATCCATGACATCCTTGCATATCTCCAATACCCTTGATCACTTCCTGTATTAGTTAATCTTTTATCAAGGGGTATTAACTTAAATCAAGGGGTATTAAGTTTATCTTGAATACACCTTGATACTAAATGTCCCTTTGATCTACTTTTTCTTCAAAAATTTTGGGGACAAAAATTTTGGGAATTTTGAAAGGGCAAAAAGCAATGTTTCTACATTTTTAACAACCTAGGTGAAAATTCCTTGAATTTTGGAAGGCTAATTAGCTATTTTTATATCATTTTTATATCTGAACCTGATCAGATTATGTTTTTTGACACGAACTGGGCCGGATTAAAAATCCCGAAAGTCCGGGAAATCAAGATCCCCCTTCGTTAAACAAGCTCCCTTGTCATTGGGACAAGATTCCCATCGTTGGACCAACTTGACCCGTTTTTGGAACAACATCCCCCATTGATAAAATAACATCCCCGTTGTTGGAACAACTTCCCCGTTATTAGAAAAACATCCTACATTGTTGGAACAACCTTCCCGATTATTGGAACGACCTTCGCTAATATCGAAACAACTTTTCCCGTCACCCTCTTATTATGGAAAACTAATAAAATTAACAACATCCCTTGCGCCAAAATTTATGCACAATAAAACTGAAAAATAGTTGTGGGTCTTTTGTCTGTGGGTATTCTGTCCTTGTGGGTCTTCTGTCTGTGGGTCTTTTGTCTGTGGGTCTTCTGTCCTTGGGTCTTCTGTCTGTGGGTCTTCTGCGTCGACACGGGAGTTTTTACAATTTATTAATTGTAAAAATTAACATTTTTGGGCCAGCCTAGAACTTCAACTACTTTCATTTATTATCTCAAATCTTTTTTTGGTATCCCAATTGGACAAAAAAAGGAACTGAATTTCAAATACTTTTAAATTAAGTTCTCCCTTTTATTAGTAACTTTTAAGATAATTTTAATGTTTTCAATAAATTCTCTATTTAAATTAATGGGAAATAATTATAAAGAAAAAATAAAAGAATTTTTTAATTATTTTAAAAGGACATGTGAATCAACAGCTACAGATCTTTGGTGTATGGTTGTACATTCTTGTTTTGTTGAAGATGGATCTGGAACTGAATTTCAAATTCTTACAGATGAAGGGTTAGTTGATAAAAATTATTTTTGAAAAAAGTCCTTTAAATAGATGTGCAATTGATAGATATTTATTAGATAATTTGGAATATGGACCAGGTCCATTACAAGCACAAAAAGAAGCACACGCTTTTAAGGTTGTAAATAATAAAACTTTTGTGAATAAAAGTTTATCTTTTTTTAGTTTGCTGATCGTGTTGTTGTAAACTTCCAATGTTCAATTAGATTAGACATTCGGGATGGGGAATGCCCGGTAAATTTATTTTAAAATTAATAAAACAATTATTTTTTTAAATTTTTGATACCAAAATGTCAAGATCTATCAAAACAAAAACCTCGACTAACAAGATCATTAACAAATGAATTATCAGCAGCTACTAACGAAAATGAAGGTTTTGCACAAATTGATGTACGTGCACAAGAAGTTGATGTTTTAGACCCAGAAATTGGTTTAAATTTAATTTTTGGAGATTTATTTTTAATAAAAAAATTAAGGTTATGGACTAGAACGTTCCTTCTCTAACAACAAAAATGGAAATCAAGAATTGAGACGGATAGATTTATTAAATCAAAGAAAGTTTACATCCCCAACTCGCTGTGTGCCAATTGAAGATTTGGCATTCCCAGCAAGTTTATGTGCTGGACTTTTATTAGTAATGCTTTTGGTTGTTACTTGTATGTCTATTGAACGCCGACAACTTAGGCAAACATTATAAAAAAGAAACAATTGGGAAAATATGTGCAATATATGCATTTCTTTTTGATATTTTTATTATTTTATATTAATTATTAAATTAATTTTTTTTATTTTAATAAAAATCACAATCATTAAAAAAACAAAAATGAATCTTTACATTAAAATAAAATAATAATTGCCAAAATTTAAAATAATTTGAATATTTTTTTTCATTTTATAAGTAATTCACTCAACTTCTTCATTATCCTCTTGTTCTTCCTCTTCTCTTTCAGATTCATTTTCATCTTTTTCAGCAGAAGGTGAATGTTCAGGTTCTTCCCGTTCAGGCTCCCCTCCCTCACTTTCTTCTTCATTATTTACCTCCTCCTCTTCTTTATCAGATTCCACTTCATTTTCCTTTTCAGAAGCAGAATGCTCTGACTCCTGTAGTTGAGCCTCTTCATTTCCTTCATCACTTTCTTCTTTTTCTTCCTCTTCTTTCTCCTCCTCTTTGTCCGATTCATTTTTGTTTTCCCCAACAAAACTTGCATTTTCTGTTTCCTGCTGTTGAACAGCCTCCTCCTCATCACCACTTGAACTCTGTCCTTCAGTTCTACGCGTGGGTGATGGAGAAGAGGATGAAGATGATGAAGAAAGGAATGCTTTACTCTTGACTAAAAATAATATTTTTTAGTAAACTTAATTAATCTTATAAATATACGAACTTTTTCCACGTTGACGTGCTGGCACCATTTCATCTTCTCTTTCTGCACGTCTCCTCTCAGAAACTTTTGTCCTTCTCCCCACATTGGTATCATCTTCCTCTTCTTCACTTTCTTCGCCACCACGTTCACGATGTCGACGTTTCAATTTTCTTCGAGAAGATGTAGCATGAAGTTCTTCGTCATATTCACCCAAATCAGAACTGTCATTAACAAAATCTTCAGCTTCACCACCTTCCTTTCTCTTCTTATGTGTGGACACGCGCGCCGGACGTTTTTCTTCACGGAGCTATTTTTAAATTGTAATTATTTAAAAATATTAATTATTATTACTTGTTTAAGCTTCAACATTTCTTTAGTTTTATCTTTATATTCTTCTCGCAACTGTTTTAACTTTTCTAATTTTTGAATATTTTCTTCTCGTTTACGACTCTCTTCTTCTTGTTGCTGTTTAAGTATTCTTTGTCTTTGCTCTTCTTGAATAGCTTTTTGACGGCGTTCTTCTTCATCTTTTTGTTGAGCTCTTTCTAAATAAACTTTTGCTTGTTTAGTTAAATCTGTACATGATTGTGCCTCATTTGCACAAATTGTTCTACTAATATATTTTGCTTTTGCCACAATTTCAGGTTGTGTACTCGCAATTGATTTAAATGTTCTAAATAAAAAAAAAGTTCAAAAAAATATTTTTTTTATTTTACCTTTCTGCAACTTTTAAATCTTCTACAGCATTTGTAACTGCTTCCAAATTAGATTTAACATCTTTTAATACTTGTGTTGCCATTCTTTGTAAAACAACTGCATGATTAAATTGATGAACAAGTTTATCTGGTTCTTCTTTTAAAATCTTAAAAAAACCTTTTTTTATTAATAATTATAAAAAATACCTTTTCAATATATTCTCTACATTCTATAATTTTTCCAGCCTTCCAATAAGCTCTTGCAATATATCCCATTAATTGAATATCGTTATTTCTATCAAATTTTGTCATACAATTCTTGTACATTTGTAAAGCACTGACATACTGCTTTTGTTCCATATAAATATGAGCTATGTTAATCCAAACATCAGGAAAATCAGCAGTGGCTTCGCGAACTTGTGAGAAAATATCACGAGCATCAAGGAAAGCGCCTTTATGTGCAAGTACACATCCAACACCATTAGCAGCCCAAATATTGTGAGGACGAAGTTTTATGACTCTTGTATAGTAACTGAGAGCACGATCACGATATAATGCATCCTTTAAAATATTTTAAGAATATTTTAAAAATGAACTATTTTTAAATTGGTTTTATTTTGCGTAAAAATTAGGCTGGGTATGATTTTTTGTTTGTGGATTTTCTGAACTCGTTCAGACCTAGCCAGTTTTTGATTCTCTAAAGTTTTAAATTGACCTAGATTTTTCTGAACTATAGGCCCAGGTTCCAGTCAAAGTCAGTGGTGAACATTTTTAAAATGAGTATATTTAGAACCTTTTCGCGAGTTTTTGATGAGAAAAGCATTTCTAACCAAATATTTCCCAGAGCAACAAAACTATAAACGTCCGTATTATTTGTCAATTTAAGAATATGTTCAAATTTTTTTTGTCCAGGCCCCCACTCTTCTTTAGCCATATGCATATTTCCTATTAAAGTCCATGGATCTGGATGTGTTGGATTAACAGACATCGACTCCTTAAAGAGCATTGAAGCATTATGTAAATCACCTTTATCACGAATTAAGCATCCCAATCGAAGAATACCTACAAATTATTTTTGTATTCGATTCAATAAATAATTAACATACAATCCATATAATTTGGCCTTTGTCTAATTATATCTCTATACAACTTCTCAGCTTCATCAAGCAGACCAAGTTGTTCATTTACTCTTCCAAGATTATAACTAATTGTAATTAAAAGTGCCGCTGCCTCATCATTAAGATTTTCCATTCCTTCAGATACTATATGATCTCTAGCTTCTTGGAAATATTTCTAAATTTTTTTAATATTAAAAAGAAAATATTCTTAAATTTTGAATACTTTAGAATCATCCAATTCGTTCAACATAAAATGTAAAGAACCAATATTATTAAGAATTTCTGCAGGAATATCAACACCAATTTCTTCTTTTAAAAGAGTAGCAACACGTAAATAAAGCTGTAATGATTCTTGTGGATTTAATTGTTCTAATAATTGTGCAAGTTCAATTAAAGCTTCAATTGGTGGTTTATCTGTTTGACTTTCAACTACTTTTTTGAGATATTCTCGAGCCTTTTCTCGTCGTTCAGCACATATCTTCGGATCTTTATGTTGGACATTAACATAAAGAGAACCAAGAACAGCAAGTGTATCCAAGTCATTAGGTACCGTTTTTAGAATTTTCTCAAATGCAGAAATTGCCTTAAATATTAAAAATTCAATTATTTTCGGCATTTACGACGTTTTGTCATTTAACAAGGGTAGATCTAGGGGCAAGATACCCCAGCCCTCTGAATACGCCTTTGACTACATAAAAACATGCTTATATTTTTATTAAGTTTTAAATCTTACATTTTCGTAGTCTTCTCGATGTATATAAATTAAACCAAGGCCATAATAAGGAAGAACGAATTTAAGATGACATAAAGTTGTAGCCTGATAGTAAAATTGAAAAGCGTGTTGATAATCTAATTTTTTGTGATAACAACGGGCCTGATTTAATTTAATAATTTAAAAGTAAGAATCAATTAAAGTAACTTACCATGTGATACATGCTTTCAGCCTATAAATTTAAAAAAATAGAAAAGATATAAAATATGTTATCTTAATAAATTTTATGAGTTCTCTAACCAAAACCTAAATACAATTTATGAACATTCTATTTTGTCTCTTTATTCAAGCTTAAAACTAGTGAGATAAGTGGAGGTTGTTAATAATAATAATTAATTAACAAACCCTCATCAAATCATTATCAGCCAATTGGTGGGCAACTTGAGCCAAATTAAATGTCTTGTCAACATCCTAAAGTGTTTTAAGTCATTTAAAAAGGAAATAAAAAAACCTGTTTGTAAAAAAAGTGATTTGCTAGATGATTCAAAACCATAGGATTTTCTGGTTCATGATGATATGCCAGACCTAGAGCTTGAATTCCACTTCGAATACCTTCTGGAGTGCCAATATTTAAATCGAGAACAGCCAAAGCAACAATTGAAGGAACATTTTTTGAATCTAATTGTAATGCTCGTTCAAAAGCCAGCCTTTTAATAAAAAACAAAATTTTAAGTAAATTAAAAAAACCTTGCTTTATCCATCCTTCCAAGTCTTGCAAAACAATAACCCATGCCAACACGGACATCTGCTGGGGCATTTGGATTTAATCGTAAACAACGTTTATAATATTGAAGTGCTGTTTTATATTCTTTTTTATTGAAGGCAATACAAGCTTTTCCCATCATTGCTGGAATTACTCTTCCATCATTGGCCATTTGTGCCTTTAAAATTTTAAAATAAATATTTGAAATGTTAACAGAAAAAAACTTGATTCATAACAAAAGAAAATTGAGCATCAGCTTGTTCAACTTTATTTCCTTCGAGAAGACAAAAATATGCTCGACCGAGTAAATGATTCTGATCATACATAATTATTTTATCGGCTGTTGTGTAAAGAAGTGTGGCACGTGTAAACCATTCTTTGCGTTTTTCTTTGTTTCTTTCCTTATTTCCCTTAAAAAAATAAAAAAAAAATTTTTGGAAAATTTTAAAAAAAACCATCAAAACATAATGGGCTGCCAACATATCGAGAGCCCTCATTTGATCTCTTTCGTAATCTGGATACTCTAAACCAGCTTCCCCTCCACTTAATTCCAAAATTTTTACAAAATCCTGTACCATTCCTTGTTTGTAATATTCAAGCTAAATTTTTATTTTTTAAATTAAAAAATAAATATGTATATACAGCAATATCAAGCCAAAAATGCAACGCTGCCTTTTCACTTTTTAAAATTTGTAAAACTTCATCGCCTTCAGGTAATTCATTAAAATCAATTTCAATAATTTCCTAAATATAAAAATTATATATGTAGTAGAATTTAAAAAAATAAAATTTACATCTTCTGTGCTGTTTCTCAACGGAATAACAATTGCAGTTTTTTGTTGATAATTTGAAGACATTAATCCTAAAAAATTTAAATAAAATACTTACAATTAGTAGAAAACTTTTCTCTCTTTTTGAGAAAATTATAAAGGGTACATCCCAAAAGCAACCATAACTTGCTGGAAAATTTCTGTCCCTTATCAATTTTGAATCAATCTCTTTAGCTCGATGAGAGGAATCGTTTAATGCCAAATTTGGTAAGATCCGGTAATCTTGAAGCAAGTTATGGCTTTACGCCGTTATGGCCGCGCGCCCTTTTGGGCGTGCATAAGTGTTGAAAAGACGTAGGACAATTCCACACTAACTACAGTAAGAAGTACATAAAATAACACAAACATGCTCATGGATACGGACGGATAATATCCGGATACCCGCTGATTTAACTGAATACGGGCGGATATGGATAGTGTTTTTTAATCAGGCGTAAAATTGTAAATGAAGGGGGAACGAAAAGTTCGTTTCTTCCATGTTGATGAACGAACAGCAGCAAAATTGCTAACTTCAATAGCTTCTATTATTTATTGTATGGGAAGCAATTCGGTTGCCTGGTATAAAAGGATAAAATTTTCAGTGATAGTTACCACTCAACTCTCTTCACAACAGAGCTCATCATCCTTCTCTACAATCAACAGTGCCTGCTGCTCGTCGACCATTTTACAACCAACAGTGCCGTTCGTTCTCCTTCGCATTCAGTGCTCTGCTCGCCAACAACTTCGTTGCAATGTCAGTCCGTCCCAGGGAAGGCGATCTGAATGTCCGCGCAGGCTTCATCTTCGAGTCGGAGAGGTACAACTACAAGCTGGAGGAGCTGATTGGCGATGGTGGTTATGGACAAGTGTATGAGGCCGACGCCATCTCAAAGGGAAAAAAGCAGGACACAAAGCGACTCGCGGTCAAGCTGGAGCGACGTTCAGGAGCAACAGACATCGAGGCTCGCGTGCTTGAAACAGCAAAGGATAAGAACTGCCGCCACATTCCGAAGATTTTTGACAATGTAAGTTATATCGTGTTTTTAATTTTGGTCAATCTAACTGATTTTAATTTTTAGGGGGTCATTCAAAGTCGAGGCTGCTCATTCATTGCGATGGAGCTTAAGGGACGCGACCTGTACAGACTGCGGAAGGACCGGAACAATGGCAGTTTCACACTCGGGACAGCTGTGCGTGTTGCTCTTGTCACTCTTGAGGTAGAAGATTTTGCCTTTAAAAAATTCTTAATCCAATAATTTGTCTTTTTATTTTTTAGGCCATCAGGGAACTCCATGAAGTATGCGGCTTCATTTCAAGGGATATCAAGGCGGGGAATTTTGTCACAGGACAAACGACAAGCGACGATATACGCAACATCTATCTGATTGACTTCGGCCTGTGTCGGCGGTACAAGGACGCGGTGTGTGCCTCAGCAGTTCTTCCTTTCAATAATTTCTTTTTTCAGAATAACAACATCATCGCCGCCAGACAGGATGTTGGATGGAGAGGGACGACTCGATATGGCTCGCGTAGTGCTCATCAACACCAGGACTTGGCGCGGAGGGATGACGTCGAGAGCTGGTTCTACATGATCGTTGAGATGACAAAGGGATCGCTCCCATGGTCAGCAGAGAGAGGTGAGAAAATATTCGTTAATAATTTGCACGCGAAATCCTAATAACTTCAAATTTTTAGATCGGGCCGCAGTCTACAACGCAAAACTGGCAGCACTCAGCAACCTGGACGACTTCCTTAACGGCTGCCCTCAAGGCTACAGGGAGCTGATTGGTCCCATCATCAAACTCAAATTCGAGGATGCACCTGCCTACAAGGAGATGGCCAGGGTGCTTGAGAGGGTAATTTATGGGTCAAATAATCAGTTTCTTAATTCATTTTGCAGATAATCACTGAACAGGGAATCGACAAGAAAGCAAAAATGGACTGGGAAATTGCTGAGGAACCAGAGGTACCGGCTGAAGGCGAACAACAACTCGACAGCTTCCCAACATCGACTACACAAAGACGTGTTTAGAACCAGATGAATCGAGATGCTAATTAGATAAACCTGTTGATATTTTTCTTCATTGTATATTTGTTTGTATATGTTCACTTAATTTTTTGTTGCCTGCTTATTTGAAATTGTATTGCTATTGTATGTAAATAAATTTTTGAAACTGTCGATTTTTTGCTTTAATTTTGTTAAGTGTTCAATCAGATTGAGCTTTAGCTTTCCTTAGTTCAACACTTGGGATTTTACAAATAAAGTCCTTTCCAAAATATAGGCTTATGAACCTCCAAAATTCTCAAAATTTTCGCCTTTGGCGCAGAAAGGGAAGAAATCTGGATTCTGAATTTAGAAAAAATCAAAGTCTAGATTCAGATTAAAATTAATCCATTAATCAAGATCCAAATTAATTCTCTAATTAAAATTTAGATGGAATGTTGACTGATTTTCAACTGATAGCGAGGGATCAAGAGATGTATTTGGATAAAAGTTGTATTGGATAGATATTAAATAAGTTGGAGGGAAATAGGGAGTTGAAGGACTTGAAAAAATATTTTAACCCCATAGAGCTTCATGCCGAAAGCTTTAATCAAACATTAAAATTAAAAAAGTGGATTTTAAATTTAAAAAAATTAAATTTTTAATAATTTTATTAAAATTATTATGTAATTGACACACATAAATTGTGATCAAATAATTTTATAAATTTTATAAACTTCATTAAACAAAGATTAAACCTCTTTAGAGGTCAAAGATCCAACCTCTTTAGAGCTTCATGCCGAAAGCTTTAATCAAACTTAAAATTAAAAGAGTGGATTTTAAATTAAAAAAAAATTAAAATTTTTAATAACGGGGATTAATGTGTAATAAAAGTCGGAATACTTGTACTTATTTAATTTTTCTTATATTAAGGAGAATAAGTACCCGATTCAATCACAACAAATATCCCTCCAAATCCCTCGATTCTCTTTCAAAAGTTGTACTATGTCGTTAGAGTGGTGTAGTTCTTCAGTAATTTACTCAAATTCATTCCTCCTTTAAAATAAAAAAAAAGTAATTTCCGACGTCTAAGATTTCAAAAATAAATTGAACTGAGAACTTTAAACTTTAAAACTTAAATTTTAATATCACAAAGTTTATAACTTTTTGAGATGAACAAAAAATTAAATTTTAATTAGCAATTCAAAATTTAAATTTTTTATTTGTTTTATAAAAATACAAGATTTTCATTATTTATTTATTTAATTACTTAACATAAGTAAATATTTTTTATGTAAAAAAAACAAAGAAAATCAAGTTTTAATTGTTTGTCTCATTTTAGAATTAATGTTTTCTTTTTTGTTTTATTAAGGCAAAAGAGCAAAAACAAAGTTTTGTTTTTCTGTTCTAAAAATTAAATATTTATACAAATACATTATACTAATTTAATTACACAATTATTTATCATGGCCTTGAATTAAAAAATGATTACTAATATCTAGTTTTATATATTTTTTGTTGCGAAAAGGAATTATTTTAATTGTAAAAAACATTTTTTTTTAGATTATTTTGTCTAATTTATTTATTTATTTTGCTTATATTTATTAGAGAAATACAAATTAATTAACTATTTATTTTCTACTTTAATGGCCGCTTAAATAGCAATATACCGTATTTCCTATATTAGAGCCCCATGGGGCTCTATTTTTCAACTATTCTCCAAGGTGGGGCTGTATTAAAGGGTGGGGCTCTAATTGAGGGTGGGGCTCTATTTTTCAACCCTCTTTTGAGATAAAATCCCATTTATTAAATATCCATTGCAACTAGAGATAGGCTGGAGGGGTGGTCGATAAAACCGAAAAATATCGAAAGGAATCGAAATTTTCGATTTTTCACAAAAATTAAAACTTTTTAAGCAATGAATAACAAAATAGTCGCAATAGTTCAATTAGAGTAAGATTACTAAGTATGAAATTTTGGTAGATTTGGACGGATTAAAAGAAATATTAGGGGACTAGTATTTGACATCGATGGATCAGAGGTATAAAAGTTGATTTTAAGGGATTATGGGGAATATAATAGGATTAAGTTTATATTGAGAGATTTAGCGGGATTAATTTGTAAGAGGGGTATTCTGAATTAGGGGTATTAGGAGGCATATGAAGCGATTTTGTTTGATGAGGCCTTGGAACAGGTTCCAGAACTGGAACTGAAGTAATTCAAAAAGCAGTTCCAAAACGGGAACCGGTTCCAGAGAAATTTTGGAACTTCTCCATCACTGATTATAAGCGAATAGATCTCTAATAATCTCGCGAATTATCGTCAATTTCCTAACACGATTGCAACACTTCATACAATGATTAGATTTTGGAGGTAATAGGAGGAATTTAGAGGAATATAGGCGATATTAGAGTATTTTGACGGATAACGGGATTAATCCCTCATTTTCATCCCTAATCCCCATGATCCCTCCTCCTCCATGATCACAATATCATCAATATCCCCCTTTACTTCCTTAACTCTCGAAATACATCTAAAAAGTTATTCGGATATTTTTTTCCTCCAATATTTTTAAGTGGGGCTGTATTTGGGGTGGGGCTCTAATTGAGGGTGGGGCTCTATTTTTCAACTATCCTCCAAAGTGGGGCTGTATTAGAGGGTGGGGCTCTAACAGAGGGTGGGGCTCTAATATAGGAAATACGGTAATTCCGAAATATTAAACTTTTTAATTACCCTTCTTCTCATTGAAGTCAAAATATATTTGTTTTACCCTTGGGCACTTTAATTTAAATAATTATGTATTTCTAAAATAATTATCCTCTCACTTTCTTTCAAATTATTTTTATAAAACTGTCACGGTCACGATTATTTATATTTGTAAATAACAATTAAATCCTAAAATAAATAAATATAAAAAAACGTCCTTCATTTATTTTAACTATTATTTAGATTTTTCGCCAATATTTTGCGCAAAACCGCATTAAAAATTGGGGAAAGGATTTTCTAATTGACTAAATAAATATAAATAAATATTTGTATTGAGTACTACTCTAGATAAATATTTTTTTATATTTAATTTAAAAAAGGAAAATATAATTTATATATCTAAAAAAATATTTTCAACTAATTTTCCTCTCTCCAATCATTTTCCTCAACACACTCATTGAAGACATTCATTGAAGAATCTCAATTGCCAATTATCAGCAAATCTCAAATTTATTTAAATAAAAAAGCGGAAATATACAGGAGAAAAATATAAAATAATTAACTGCCGGGGTAAATGTCCAGTCCAACCTTTTGCGGACATGTAGACATCGAGCTGCACAAAATTTTTTAAATTTTTTACTTTAAATAAATTTATAAAATTTTATTTTTTCTTTAATTATATTTCCTTTTTTCTTTTCTTCTGTTTTTCGCGCACTTTTCTAAATAAATATATTTTTAGGGATAAATAATGTACATATATAAATATTTCTTTTCTTTTTTTTCTTTATTATAAGCAGAATTTATATATTTTTTATCGGACTTTGAAAGACCGGGTTTTTATTGTAAAAATGTATTGAAGGATTATAAGCAGAATTTATTTATTTATTAATCAATGTTTTTATATAAAACTAGTTTATTTAAATAAATCCTGTGGAAAAACTTTTAAAAAATATTTTATATTTAAGAATTAAAAAATAAATTTTATTGTTTAATATTAAAGATAAAAATATTTCTAAAATAAATTTTCTTTTAAATTAAAAAAACAACAAAAAAATAAATTTTATTTAAATTAATGGCTATTAAAAATGTTTTTAAAAATAATAATAAATATTTAATTATTTTATTTTATTTAATTAATTATTGTAATTCTAAACCAATTGAAATAAAGTTTTTTAATCAAAAAAAAATATTTTTAATTTTTAATTTAAGTAAACAAAATATTGTTTATTCTGTTCTTCGTTTACGTGCTGAAAATGAAACTCAATTAAATTTTTTAATGAATGAATTTATTAATAATAGTGTTAAAGTAAATAAAAAATTAAAAGAAAATAAATATTTTCTTTTTTAAAGTTAGATTTTTGGAAAGAGCCATCAAATATTGGAGAAGATACTCATGTAATGGTTGCTAAAGGTCCAATATTAGATGATTTTCTTAATCGTCTAAATAAATATAATTTAAATATTCAAATAATGATTGAGGACGTTAACGAGTAGATTTTTTTGAAAAATTTTTTTTTTTAATTTTTAAAAATTTTTTAAAAAGATTAATTAAAAAACGTCAAAAAGAAATTGAAGAAAATAAAGATGAAGAAGAAGAAGAAAAAAAGCAGAAGGAAAATATTAATTTTCGTCGTCAAAGAGATGATCCTTTTATTAATTCTTCTCCAAGACTTAAAAAAGCAGCTGCTTTAGGAAGATTTTCTTTAGGGAAATATAAGTAGGGGGAATTTTAAAATTAAAAGAAAAATTCTAAAAAATTAAAAGGTCATTTGCCGATATAATTCATTATTTGAATGCTTTAGCAGTTAATTATCCAAATATAGTAACTGTACAACCTATTGGGTCTACACATGAAGGAAGGCAAATACCCTTAATTAAAATTGGGACAAACAATAATTTAATTGGAAAGCCGGCTATTTGGGTGGGTAAATTTTTGAGAGAAATTTTATAAAAAAAATATTTTTTGTAAATAATTTTCCCCTAAAATTCATTCTCTCTCTTTCACTGGTCATTATAGTAAAGCAGCTGGGCTATAGCTTTTTACCTCCTTTACCTAGTGCAAAAGGTTATTCGGCGGCTGGGAGCGAAGCAGCATCTTCAGTAGACCGGACCATTACACCACGCCGTCTACTGCATAGCCTTAGGAAATAAATAGCTTATATGCTTTACAAAATTTAGAATTTTAAAATCATCCTTTAATTATTTAAAAGATTGATGGAGGAATTCATGCAAGAGAGTGGGTATCCCCAGCAGTTGTTTTATTTATGATAGATCAATTAGTAATTGGTTATGACACTCAACCATTAATTAAACAATTTGTTGACCAATTAGATTGGTTTATTGTTCCTTTATTAAATCCTGATGGTTATGAATATTCTAGAAGTAGTTCTGACCCAGAAATTCGTCTTTGGAGGAAAAATCGTTCACCGACACAATGTACACAAATAAATACTGGTAATTATATGGAATTTAAGTTTTTAAATAAATGGGGATGGATTTAAATAATTAATTAATCTGCAAGAAAAAAATAACTAAACAAATGGGAAATTGGCCGGGAAATTAATTAATTAAAGCTTAACTGGGCAATTCTCTTTTAACTAATGGAGGTTATTTATGCGGCTGGGAGAAAATCAGCATCTTTAGTTAACCGATGTTTGCTATATTGTAGATTTAATTATTTTTAGCCAATCCCTTAAATTACCTAAAAACAATTTTTATTTAATCATTTTAATTAAAAAATCCAAAAAACAAAAGAATAATTTATTTAAACAACAGGCCTTTTTACCCCTCCAAATACTCAATGTTGTCAGGGTGTTGATTTAAATAGAAATTTCGATTGGTTTTTTGGGCAAGTTGGTTCTTCTTCAGATCCTTGTTCAGAAATATTTGCTGTAATTAATTAAAAAAATATTTCCATAAATAATTATTTTTAGGGAAATTTTGCTTTCTCAGAGCCGGAAACTCAGTCAGTTAGAGATTTTATTTCTCAACAACAAGGAAGAATTAAAACATTTATGACATTTCATAGGTTTTTATATTTAAATAATTAAAAAGCTTTACATAGCATAGCTTTTTTAAAAGATCTTGAAAGAGAGAAAGAAATTAAATAAAAGTTAAAATAAATACAAGAATTATTCTTTTTAATTTTTCATTTAAAAATAGGCCCAAAATAAATTAAAATTTCTCTAAAAATTTTTTTTATTTTAAAGTTATTCTCAAATATTAATGTATCCATTTGGCCATTCATTACGTACATATCCACAAGATGTAAATTTATTTTTTTCAATTAATTTAAAATTAAATTTTCAAAGGTCCAAGAATTAAGTAATGTAGCATTGCGGGCTGCCCAAGCACTGCAATCAACTTACGGAACTAAATATACAGTTGGCACTGGTGCTGATACTCTGTCCGTATTTAAAAAGAACTTTTAGTATTTTTATAAAATAATTGAAGGAAATATATAAGTAGATGAAAAATTGGCTGCTTTGCAGCTATCCGGCATCTGGTGGCAGCGAAGACTGGGCAAAAGGCAGAATGGGCGTTAAATTCTCGTTTTTGTTTGAACTTAGACCCGAAGACAGTGTTTATGATGGATTTTTGTTGCCTGAAAGTCAGGTGGGAGGGAAATTGGAAGGAAATTTAAACAAAATAATTATTTGGAGAAAAAGAAATACATACACAAAATTTAATTAATTTAAATAGGGAATTTTCCCTTTAACTTCTCCTCTTTAAAGATTGTCCCAACAGCAAGAGAAACTTGGGAAGCAGTTAAAGTGATTGGGGTATTCTTTTTTAAATTTTAATTTAAAGAATAAAATATTTAAAAGACTTCAACAATAAAACAATTCCAACAACCCCAACAACAAATATTTAATGGAATACAAACAAATAACAGAGCAAAACGTGTTTGTAGAGATACAGATAGTTTATGTTTATATTGGACACAACAAGTAATCTTTAAATTAAAAGAGTTAATTAATTTATTTAAAAAGAGTTCATCAACGTGTCAACAATGGCCAGCAATGAAAGAACGTTGTTCTCGTTCTTGCAATTTTTGTTCAGCTGACGAAGAAAATTAAAATAAAAAATATTTTCTGATACATAATATATATAAATTGTTTTAATTAAATTTTTTTATTAAAAATATTTGTAAAAATTAAGAATATAAAAATGGAGGAGAATTTGAGAGGTATTAATAAATTAATGATAAATGACATTTATTTGTGCCAGACATGTGTACATAATTTTTCTCCCAATAAAGTATAAAATAAAAAATTTAAAAAGCATTGTTTATAGAAAATAAAAAAAATTTTTTTTAATTTAATATAAGGAATTTTTCTTTTTTTATTAAAAAAGATTATTTATTTATTTATTCTTTATTCTCTCTCCCTCTTTCTCAACAACCTTTTTTCTTTATAATAAACAAGTAAGTAAGTTGATGACCATGGCCGAAGAATAAAAAAAACTTTATATATTTTATTTATTACTTAATAAACTTTTATTGATCTCAAAAAACACAAAAATATTTTTTTTTAAATTAAAGAATAATTTAGTGAAACTGTTGTTTTTTTATTTAATAAAAAATTAATTAAAAAGAAATTCCTGTATATATTTTTATTTAATTATCCCTTCAGGGTCAAACTTTAAATATATTGTTATAAATCAAAGTTTATTTTTAGCAGAAAATATAAAAAAAGGTAAAAAAGTAAATAAATAATAATTATTAAATAAATAAAAGGAGAGAAGAAATTCTCTTTTTAATTAATCATTTATTTATGTACTCACATTATTATCCTCTCCTCTCCCCAAAAAACTTCTTTTTCTTATTACAGTGTTCATAAAAATATATATTTATTATTAATTAACTAAAGCTTTTATCATCTTTTCTTTATCAATTGAGCGAAATAAATTATTAAAAAGTTTTTAGGTAAATATTTAATTTTAAATTTAATTTATTTTCACTCAGTAAATTTGGAAGATTGGAATTAATTTTTAAAATTTAATTTCTTTTATTAAAAAATGTTTATTTAATTTCCTTTAATATAATTACTTATTAATTAATTATTAACAACTGCTTAGCTTTTATTAATTTTTAAAAATTCTTCTAAATCAATACACAAATAAATATATTAATCATTTTATTCCAACTTTTTTCTAATTAAATGAATATTTTATTTTTTATTTTTTTATTTTTAATTACAAAATTTAATTTAATTAATACAATTCCGTAAGTGATACAATTAAATTAATTAAAATTAATTAAAAAATAAATTTAAATTAAAGAAGAACAAAAATTAATGATTTGGTTATTAGTAAAGAAATAAATGAATTAATTGAAGAAGAAGAAAAAGAAGGAGGAAATAATTTAAAAAAGGAATTAAAAACAAATAATTTATTTGGAAATTCTTCTACAAATTCTTTTGTTGTAATTAGAGTTATTCCTTTAAATGATGCTCATTTAAAATTATTAGAACAATTGGAAATTAATGGGGCTGATATGGAGGTAATTTTTAAAAAAAGAAGAGAGGAGGATTATTGTGTATACAAGGAAGGAATCGGAAATTGACCCCCTAAAACAGAGAATAGTTTATTTTTTATGTCGGCAGAATCTTTGTTTTATATCCAATAAACAATTAAATTAAATTTTCTTTTTTAAGTTAAATTTTTGGACATCCCCCGTTCGAATTAAATCAGGAATTGATATTATGTTACCTAAAGAGAAATTACCTTTATTACAACATTATTTACATAAACACAAAATTAATAATTTTAATGTTTGTATTTAATTTTTTTAAATTTCAAAATAAAAAATTAAAAGATAATAATAAATGATGTTGAAAATTTAATAATTGAAAGAGAAAGAAAAAATAAAAATATTAAAAGAAGAAGGTTAGCTGATGAACCTATTAGAGAAGAAATAAATAATAATAAAATTGAAGAAGAAATTAATTTTCATAATTGTAAGTGGTTGGTTGGTTGGAAATAAATTAAAAATTAATTTACTTGGATACTCAAAAAATAATTAAAATAATTTAATTTAAAAAATAAAAATTTAATTTAAAATTTCAAAAAAAAGATAATTCTTATTCCCAAATGGTTGCTTGGATGAGAGCTTTAGCTAAACAAAACCCAAAATTCGTTCAATTTATTTCAATTGGAAAAAGTCATGAAGGGAGAGGAATTGAGGGACTTGAAGTTATTTTTATATTATTTAAATTTAAATTTAAAAAAAAGATTGGAAGTAGAGGATTTAGAAAGAGAGCATTTTGGATTGATGGGGGGATACATGCAAGAGAAGTTTGCCTATTTTTAATCAGATTTAAAAAAAATATTTTTTAAGTGGGCGGCTCCACATACAGCACTTTATTTTATTCATCAAGTAAGGGGGAAGAGGAGGGGGGATATTTTTAAAAAATTATTTTTCTTTTAATAAAATAAGTTGGTTTCTCGTTATGGAAAAGATGAAGAAATAACTCGTTTGGCAAATGAAATAACTTGGATTATAGTTCCTTTATTAAATCCTGACGGTTTTTCTTTTAAATTAAATTTAATATTTTATTTTAAAAAAAAGGTTATGAATTTACTCGTTCTTCCACAAATCCAAATGTTTTTTTAATTTTTAATTTTAAATTTAAAAAAATATTTAAAAAAAAGATAAGACTTTGGAGAAAAAATCGTTCACCAACTCATTGTGTTAGAGACCAGTGGGGAAGAAATAGATGCTGTAAAGGGGTTGATTTAAATAGAAATTTTGATTTTCATTTTAAAGGTAAATAATCGAAATAAATTTAAAAATTGTTTTTTTTTCTAAAGAAAGTGGTTCTAGTGATGATCCGTGTTCTGAAATATATCAAGTATATTTTTTTGAATATTTAATTTATTTTAATTTAAATAAGGGAAAACACGCTTTTTCTGAACCTGAAGCTAGGTAATTAGTACATAAATTAATTTTAAATTTAAATCTCTCTTCTTTTTTTAGAGCAGTTAGGGATGCTTTACTTTCAAATAGATATAGAGGTAGAATTGATGGATATATTACTTTACACACTTATTCACAAATTTGGATACATCCATATGGACATAAAAGGTTTAGGAAAAGAGATTTCTTTTTAAATAATTTAAATGTTTGTAGAGATAGCTATCCGGGGGATGTCCAGGATTTATTTTCTGTTGGACAAAGAGCAGCTTCAGCACTTAGCCGTCTTTATGGAACAAAATATGTTGTTGGAAGTGGGGCTGATACTTTGTATAGGATTTCTTTTAATTTATTAGAAAATATTTTTAGATATCCAGCATCTGGTGGAAGTGAAGATTGGGCAAAAGAAAGTGCTAATATTAAATATGTTTATTTATTAGAATTAAGGCCTGACGAGAAAAGTATTTTTTAGAAGTAATTTTTAATTTAAAATAAAAAAGATTGGGACGGGTTTATTCTCGATGAAAGGCAATTAATGCCTACAGCGACAGAAACCTGGGCAGGTGTTCGTGTTGTAGCAGAAGCAATAATTCAAAGAGCTAGGGCAAGAAGAGTAGCTACTATTTTAAATAATAATGGAAGTGGAAATTTTTCTGTTGGGGGTTTGGAATTTAGAGAAAAGAGAATCTTTTTTTTAATTAAAGGGGTTAAACAATTTATTTTAACTGATAAAACAACAACAATTAATACACCGGAAATTAAAGAAGAAGAAGAACAAAAAATTATAAAAAGTTGTGTAGACAGAAGAAGAGCATGTAAACGTATGAATTGATTAATTAAAAATTATTTATTTATTTTTTAAATTAAAAAAGGTTGGGTAAAACAAAGTGAACATCTTTGCCAATCTGTAACAATTTTTATGGCAGATCAATGTGCCCGTTCTTGTGGATTTTGTTAAAAAATCAAAAAAAAATCTTTTTTGATAAATTAAAGATCTCACGGATTAAAAAGAAGAAGAATTTGAATAATTTTTAAAAAAATGTTTTCTTTTAATAAATAAAAAATAAAATATTTTTGAAATTTATTCTAAAAAATAATTACTCCAAATAATTACTACAATTTACTACACAAAACTATTTATGTAGTGTTTAGCTGCCTTCCAAGCAGTAGACATGGATTCGTGTTTTTTCTCGTGCGAATTTCGTTTTTGTAGATTTTTCATAATGTCAAAAACCAAAGTGGGCGTACTAGTAAAGTTTAAGTGTTTTCGAAAATTTTCAATTTGTGAAAAAATTTATGTAAATACATACTATTTCGAAAATTTTTAATGTTTACTATGTTTCTAATTTAATATTATCAAATTTTTTGCAAAATCCCGAGTTAAAGAATTTTTACAAGTTAGCTTATACTTTTGTGCAATACTGTAGAAATTTTTGTGAAATATAGTAGAAAATTTTACACGTTTTTGATCAACGTCTACATGCTAAAAAGTTGCTGAAAACTTCAAATAATTGCATTTATCGTGTTGACTTATTACTGAATGATCAAAGTAGATATGTGCTCTGTTGGAAAAGGATTTCGATCATAGAAGGTATTCGGATAAGGCTGGTACGTGTTTTTTGACTTGCGGCTGCGGAAAATTTTTATTTGCATCCAGCCCTTCAAGACTATATTGTACTAGTATTCAAATATTCAAAATAACGCGTCAGAATTGACAATAAAACAAAATGCCAACTTTAAATTTTATAATTATTTATATAAAAGCAAGTTTTATTTTCATTGATAGAAGGGAAAAAGAATTATTAAAAATTTATTTTAATTAAAAAGAAACGAATTTTTTAACTGATTTTTTTTCAGTGGTTAATTTCTTATTTTTGTAAAAATTTTGAATATGGATAATAATCAACAACAGACACCAGCATTTGTTGGAAGAGGACGTGCAAATTTTGGAAATGGTAAATGATATGTCCTTTTAAATATAAGTATCAGGGCTGAGGCAGTGTGGTTAGGCAAATTTAGTATCAAAAAATTTTATTGATCATTATTTATATACTCATTAAATAATGAATTAAAATCAATTAAATTTTCTAAAGTTTCTTCACGAACTGATTCTATTTCTGATAACAATGACACAACTTCTAACGAGCAGCAACAAGTAAATGGAAGGGGTGGTGCTCGATTTGGACGAGGACGAGGGATTTTTGGGAATGGTAAAGTTTTGTGTTTTCAACTTTTAGGTAATACTGAAGATTACTGGTCCCTAGAAAAAAAACGCTAAAAGGTCTTTTTCGATCATTTTTAGGAGGTGTCAACTTTGTTTGAGGTGTCAAAACAATAATTTTGATACCATTCAATCAAAACCGGTAATCTTCATTACTTCCCACTTTTACTTGATCTAAAAATTTTCTTTAAATATAATTTATTATTAAATTTTGTTATTTTAGATACTTCTAAAACAAATAACTTTTCTGCTATTAACAATTCTTCAACGACAAACGATGACCAGCAAAATACAATTTTCAATGGGAGAGGTGGTACTCGTGGACGTAGCCGGGGAAGCTTTGGAAATAATGCCGGTTTAAATTTTAAAGTTTTTATTTGGAAAAAAGAATTAATTTTTAGCTCCTATTGATAATTCTCAAGCATTTGACAATAATTCAACAACAAGTAATCAACAACCAGTTCGAGGAAAAGCTGCTATTCGTAGTTGGCGGGGAAATAATCGTGGTGGAAATTTGGGATCTGGTAAGTTATTTTAAATTAAAATTTATATTTAATTGAAATTTTTAAATTTTAGTAGGTTCGAGTACTGGTTCTACTTCAGATCTCAATAATAATGGCAACCAATCAACCCCATTTGGTGGAAGGGGTCGTGCTGGTGGTACTCGAGGAAACTTTGGATATGGTAAATTTCATTTTTTATTACTGTCTTCCCCCCCCCCCTTATTAATCATTATAATTTGTTTTTATAATGTTCAGATTTCTGGTAACAGTAATATTTATAGCCAAGACTTGAGATACTTTTGTTAATAAATTTTTAATTAAATAATTTTTATATTTTTAAAGCTGGTTCTCGCACAAGCTCGAATGGCGATGTTCGTGATACAGCGTCTTTGGGCGGCCAGCAATCAGCAATTTTCAATGGGAGAGGTGGAACTAGTGGACGTAGCCGAGGAAGCAGCTTTGGCAATAATGCCGGTTTAAATTCTAAATATTTTACTAAAAAAAGAATTTTTAGCTCCTATTGATAATTTTAGCTCCTATAAATAACTAATTTGATATTTTTAAAGTTGGTTCTCGCACAAATTCGAATAGTGATGTTCGTGATACAGCGGCTTTGGATGGTCAACAATCAACAAAATTTATTGGAAGAGGCGGCTCACGTGGCCTTGGCCGAGGAAATTGTATAATTTTATTTAATAAGATTTGTTTTTATATGTATAATTTTTGTTCCAGACTTATACCAAATTTGCCCCCCCCCCTCCCCATTTTCTGCTTCCCCTATTTTCTGCTCCCCCCCCCCCCCCCCACATTTTCTGCTCCCTTTATCGTTTGCATACGTACACAGATTTATAGTCCTTTATTCAAAATTTCCTTTAATTTCTCAATAAATTTTAAATTAATAAAAAAAAATTTAATAATTCTTTCAAGCTGTTCCACAAACGAACACTTCTGACTTTGATAATTCTTCGACGACAAATAATCAACAATTTCGAGGACGAGGTGGCTTTAACGGCGGACGTGGCAATGGACGTGGAAATTTTGCTTCTGGTAAGTTTTCGAAGTTTTAAATCTCTGTTTTTTATTACTCCTTTAACAAACTTTTTTAAATAAAAATCTTAGGGCTATAGAAGACTCGTTCCTTTATTTCTTTAAAATTAAGGTGCTAATTCCGTTCCACTTTTGGAGTCTATTTCTGTAGAACGCCCAAATGTGAGGAACAACTGCAATACTTTTAATAATGATTTTGAACGTCGCCAACGATCACGACAGCCAAGCTTTTCCAACGCATCGACTGAAGATTTTGGTCGAAAACGTCAATCACGCAGTTATAGACCTGTTGATAAACCAATTGAAGAAGTCTTTGCTGAAGATCAGGAATGTAAAGAAATGTATATTGATGTAACTGATCAGGATGATAATGTGGATATAATTGGTATTGCGAGTGGTGATCAAAGGATATTTGAGTGGGTTTTTTTAATAAAACTTAAATAATTGTTAACGACTTTACAATAATTTAAGAAACTGGAATGAACTCAATTTGCATCCTGCCTTGTATGAAAATATTATGAAGGCAAAATATATACGTCCAAGAAAAATTCAATCTCATGTTATTCCGTATTTACTTGATGGTTATTTTTTGGAATATTAAACTAATATAAAAATAATTTTTATTTAAGGTTGCGATTTAAAAGGTCATTCTGAGACTGGAAGTGGAAAGACAGGAGCTTTTGCAATACCCATTATTCAAGTATCTTTTTTGTTTTTCATTTTAATATTTTTTAAAGAAAATTCTTTCAACTCCTGAGTTTAAACGTGAACTTCCTGGACCTGTTCCTCTTGCAGTCATTATAGAACCAACACGTGAACTTTGTGTTCAAGTGTATGATCAATTTCGAAAATTTGCTAACGGTGAATTTAATTTAAAATCCCTAAATTTAAAATTATTTTGTTAACTTTTAGGCACTTTCATAAGAGTTTGCAAAGTATATGGAGAGACATCTATGCAAGATTCAATTGCACAAATTACGAAAGGCTGTGATATTCTTATTGCCACGCCTGGAAGAATTAAACATTTTATTGTAAAAGCCAATTTTGTAAGGAAATTTTGAAAATAACTGTTATAATTTTAATTTTTAGGTTGACATTTCAAAATTGAAATTTTTTGTTTTGGATGAAGTTGATCATATGTTAAATACAGAGTTTTTGGAGGATATTCGAGCACTTATTGAATTTCCTCGTTTTCCAACGGTATTTATTTTTTCTCTAACATAAAAAGATTTTTCAATTTTTTAAAGAAAAGTAACAGACAATGTCTTCTATTTTCTGCGACGTTCCCGCCTGATATTCAGCAATTGGCTTCAGAATTGCTTCGAGATAACTTCGTTTTTGCATCAAACAAAAAACCTGTCTCGCCTAATTCTAAGATTGTCCAAAACTTTTATCAAGTTGAAACAAACCACAAGGGAGAATTTCTTTTGGAATTATTAAAAAAAGAATTGGATGGGGATGGAATGAAAAATTGCAAGTTTAAGAAAAAATTTTCAACAAAACTTTATTTTTTAAAATCATACTTGGACAAATTTTAATATTTTCTTTAGGCGATGTCAAACTTCGACGCACATTGGTTTTTGTGGAAACTCGGAAAGATGCCGATAGAATTTCCGTTTATTTATGCGAGAATGACATTAAATCATCAACAATTAACGGGTAAAATAAATTTATGTTTTAAAAATAATTGTGTATATTTTGATAGTGACCGTACTCAGTCTGAACGAGAAGTTGCTTTGCGAAAATTTGAAAAAGGAGAAATTGATGTTCTCGTCGCAACAGACGTACTTGCGCGTGGAATTGATATTAAAAATTTGAATCATGTAAATTATTTTAAATAAAAATAATTTTTAATTAATTTTTAGGTAATTAATTTTGATCTCCCGGATGATGATGTTACTTATGTGCACCGGATTGGACGCACTGGACGTTTGGGAATTGGATATGCGACAAGTTTGGTAGATCCAAAGGTCGACGCTTCTCTTATTCCAAAGCTCGTCGATGTAATTTTTAATTTTTTTAACCCAAATTATTTTTATCTAAATTTTCGTTTTGGCTTCTCATGGAATCTGACATTGAATTCCCTGCGTTTATGAATTCACACACAAATGGGAAATCCGAATTTTGTCCGAAAGACGCCCAGGATGAGGATGATGACGATGACTGGTAGAATGACGATGATGACTGGTGAATTAAAAAATGAGAAAAATATCTTTATAAATTTTTGAGTGAATTTTCTATAATTGTTGTCTTTGTATGGATTTTCTATTGTTACTTTTATTTTTTACATTAAAAATTTTTACGTTTTAAATTTCAATTTAAATGGGCAAAATAGTATATTAGAAAGTAATTGACATCAAAATATAGAGAATAAACATTGAAGTTTTTGTATATTTTGTTTTTTGTCTTAATAATGTTCTAGAACTTCAAAGTGAATCCTTTACAAATTAAAAATTATTGTTTTCATTTCTTTTCTAATAATTTGTTAAATTCTTCGTCTAATATTTGAGCGTAGAATCTTCCAAAAGTATTCCAATTATGCATTACAATTGCATAATAACGTGATGTAAAGGAAGCCAATTCTGTTTGGAATGTAGACATTCCTGGAGGAATTTTAAGAGGGTCACCGCTTTGTTTAAGTACTTGACGAATAAAATCACAAATTCTTGTCACTTAAAAAATAAATTATTTTTCTCAATTAAATTAAAATTAATTTCTTTTACTTGCAATTTTCCTGACAGGTTCTTCTGAATTTACAAAATTAAGAATTTGTTGTTTTAACATTTTTGACCGTTCTTCATTCCATCCAAAATTTTCACCAAATTCTTTTTCACAATGTTTACAGCATTGAATAGCTATATTTTCAAGTCTTTCTGAACAATTTCTAAAAAAAGAAAGAAAATATTTTTTTTAATTTAAAAGAAAAACAAACATAAAATTCAAATCATTTAATAAAATAATTAATTCATTTTTTAATTTAATTTTAAATAACTGTTTTGATTCAATAGCTAAACGTCCAGCTAAATTAATGCATGCAAATAAAGAACTAGACAATAATTCTAATTGTAATAATTTATTTTTTAATTCTTCAATTCTTTTTTCATCCATTTTTATTGTTTCTGGAAATTGAAAGGAAGAATAAATTGATTTTGTTGAAAAAGAAATTAATAATTCTAAATAAAATGACAAAATTAATTCATTTATATCAGAATGTGAAAGACTATTCTTCTTCTTTTCTTCTTTATCTAAAAATTCTTTTAATAATGTACAAAGCCATTGTCTAATATTATTAGCGACAGCTTTAAAAAAAAATAAAAAAAATATTAACAGATTCAAAAATAAACTTACATTTATCCATTTCATAAATCTTCATAAATTCCTCAAATTCGATTTTTGCTGACTGCGAAGTAATTAATTGACGATTTTGTGAAAGTGCAAAATTAGCCATATCCATTTTCATTAATTCTACAAGTTCAAAAATTCCTCTAAAAAATTCCTCATTTAAATAAATTAAAAAGAAAAATCTACTTAAATAATTCAATTGTATCTTCTGTTGTTTTAAGTTTTATAACAAGTTCATCTCTAATTGGAGCACATAATCTCTCCAAAACTGAAAGAATAGTGCCAAGTATTTCATTTAAATTGAGAGCATTTTTATCAAATAAATTTTGTAAATGTTCAAAATCTAAGGCTTCATTAACTGCAGAAAGAGCATTTAATAAATTTGCTGATTCTAAGTGTTCAGTAATCATCTTTAAATTTAAAAAAAGTAAAAAGGAGACTAAATACTCCTAGAAAAAATAAAAATCTAAAAACAGTCAATGACATATGTGTCAAATGAAAAAGGAGGTGTATAGGTATCTAAATTTGTACATAATAATAAAAGAAAAGAAACTTACATTTTTTAGGTCAACGATCAAAGAAAAAGCATTCTTCTTATCAGGTGGATTTTTAGACAAATCTTCACGCAGTAAATCCCAAAAAGCTTTTTGCATATCATTTTTAACTGTTTCATGAAGTTTTGAATGTGGACATTGACGGCGAAGATCCTCAACTTTACATAATGGATTTACAGCAATTTGATGTACAATAGCCATTTTCTCTATGCTGTCATGAACTTTAATTAATTCATCCAGAGATAAATATTTGGCTGGTGAAGAACCTTAAAGTATTTTTAATTAAAGATAAAAAATATTTTTAAAAAACCTGCAACCCAATTTGGGATATTATTTCCGTCATTTTTATTTTCTGAAATTTTTTGACTAGTAGAACATTGAGGAACATCCTCATTTAAAACTGGTGATCCTTGCTTTTGTCGCTTTTTTTCAGGGCTGTCAGTAAAGGGTTGATTGTTTAATTTATTATCTTCATTTTTTTCGTTGTGTCTCGCGTCGTTATTATTTTTATTATCTTCTTTAAAGGGCATAAATAAAATTAAATTTAATATTTTAACATCTATAAATTAAAAAAAATCCTGTTTAAAACATTAAAAAAGAAAAACAAGTAAATCTCAATACAAAATGATAGCAACAACAACCCATTGCCAATTGTCATATCTCCATTAAATGGACATTATGTAATTTGATCTTATGTACATAAAGTATATGTTTGGCAAATTGAAATGCCAAAAGAGTTTTAGGAACGTTTCAGTAATCGCTATTATTTAGGTAATTTTCTGCGGCTAATTTACCAAATTTATTAAAAACCGCTTAAATGGCTAACGATGAAAATGGTTTACACGTGGTTAATGAAGATGAGGAGATAGGAGATCAAGTATTTTTAATTGTTTTTATTTAATTTCATTTCTATTTTCAGTTTATTCTGGTACTTGATCCAACAGATAATGATCCTGTAGAAATTCTTCTTTCAAAAGACCAAACTTTGCCGATTTCTTCACTTGAGCACGCTTTTCCTGGTGCCCATGGCTTAAAATATAAAAATCCAAGTACTGGTGGAAAACGGATTGTTTCGTATGTTGTTGTTAACTTTTAACGTTAATTTTGTTAATTTTTAAATTCAGGTTTGATGATAATAAAAAAGCTTTTGTGGCACCTTCTGATGGATGGGGAGGAAAATTGTTTGATGTTATTTTTCAACCAAAGGTTCCTCCTATAGTCAGTGTTTCGTCGGGTGAGTTTTTTTAATTGTAGATTTATTGAAAGTTTTAATAACTGGGGGTTTGTAAAGTAATTTGTTATCTACCTTTAATTATATCAAGGTACAACGTTATGTTTCTTTAACTTAAGTAATTTGGGTACTACTGAAGAAAAGGGTGCTTTTTCTGCGGACTTATTTTGCGGACTTTTCCTTTCTTTCTTTTTTAATGTTTTGGTTCTTTTGCTTGTAGCGAGTTTTGCTTGTAGCAACTAAACTGTCAAAGGATTAATTTTTATGCCAATTTGAAAAATATGTGTTCACCATTAATTTGAACATTATAAACGTTAAAATTGACTTTAACTATATTTTCAATTACCCGATGATGAATTTCAACAATGGATCACTGATCTCGGAATGCTTCATAGAAAAAAAATATGTGATTGTGGACAGAAATGCGGGTAATTTCAAACCTTGTCCCCTCCCCATTATTTTTATTACCTAAGATTGTACAAAATGGTCAGATTTCCTCCTTCCTCTCTTTCCTCTATTTAAGCTTGGCATATTCAAACAAGAGACATTGTTGATAAAGAGAAGATTAATTGAGTTGTTCAATATTGAGTTCATTTTATTTTTTCAGTTGTTCAATATTTTTAAATATAAGTAAGAATGTAATGTTTTTACACAGAAATTCATAATGTTATACACCAAATCAATTATATTTAATTCTTTTTTGGTTTAAATTGTTTTCGAAGGCAAAAAATAAGTGTATGACTATGTATAAAATTAATCTTCTCTTTATCAATGTCACTTGTTTGAATATGCCACAGAGCAAATAGAGGAAGGAGAGGAAGAAGAAAATCTGACCTTTATGTACAATCTTAGGTAAGAAAAATAATAGGGGGGAGGACCTTTGACAGTTAGTTGCTACAAGTAAAACATTTAAAAGAAAGGAAAAGTCCGCAAAAAAAGTCCGCAGAAAAAGCACCCTTTTCTTCAGTAGTGCCGTAATTTGATGTGTTTCTAGTTTTTTGAGGTCAAAAATTTTGTTTAAGATTTGGAAAACATCTCAAATTATTTTAATAATAACAGAGTTGTGGTGTAATGATTTGAAAATTTTTTTGTATATATTTTAGTAAAATATTCTATATATAATTTGATTATTCAGAAATATGGATACAATTCTGTAAATTAAACTAAAATCATTTCTTTCCTAGTAATCGCTTTTTTGGTTTAAAAGTTAAGAGAGTTATCAAACTCAGAAAATAATTTGAAATAAAAAACTACAATGAAGATTCATGATTAAGTATTAAGTAGTATATTATAGTACGAGTTCATATTTGTATTTAACGGTAACCACAATGTATAATATAGTGAGGGTTAAAATAGGGTTGCCAAAATGGACCGACTCGGACCGAAAGATCGAGTCAGGCCTCGATGTTTGGCCCGAAAAAGTCTCGTACCGGCCCGACTCGATAAATTTGGGCCCGAAAAAGACTCGTAACGGCCCGACTCGATAAAGTTAGGCCCGAAAGTGACTCTTACCGGCCCGACTCGATAAATTTAGGCCCGAAAAAGACTCGTATCGGCCCGACTCGATAAAGTTAGGCCCGAAAAAGACTCGTAACGGCCCGACTCGATAAAGTTAGGCCCGAAAGTGACTCTTACCGGCCCGACTCGATAAATTTAGGCCCGAAAAAGACTCGTACCGGCCCGACTCGATAAAAACAAGCCCGAAAAAAGAAATGCCTCGACCGTCGGCCCGACTCGAAAACGGCAACCCTAGTTAAAAATATACTGAAAAATTTTTAAAAATATCACAGTCAATTCTTATGATTAATGTTGATAGTTTTTGAAATTTGTTCTAAAATATTTTTTGTTATTTCGCTTCCCATTGCAAATCATAGTTAAGAAAAGATGTTCCCGATAAATAATATCTATCTTTTTGTTTCATCTTCTTTGGATGGGGTTCCATAATTTACTTATTGTTAGATTGCTTTTTGAATTATATTCTTAAGTTCGTAAAGTGAGGGATTTTTCTATTAGCTATATCTGATAAGAGTGAAATGTCAATAAAATTAAACGAGAAAAAGAAAAGATTTTTTTACAACATTTTTTGAATGGAATTTTTGTAAAAAGTTATTTTAAATTTATTAGATAATGATGTGAAAACTGAGCCTTTTGAAAAGGAACCTATTCCTATTGCAAATTTGAAACGAAAATCTGATAGTGAAAGTAGCAACAACAATAAGAAAGTTTTAAAAAAAGATAATAATTTGTTAGTAGAAGAATTAGATGAAAAGCCAAATAATTTTAATGAAGAAAATAAGGAGCATCATGAGGGAGGGAGTGAGTATAAGGAGGAGTTTATCTCTAAAGGTTCGACACGTAGTGGTAATTTTGAATTACCACCTGCGGCTGTTGAAAGAGTTCCATCTGACCTTATTGTTTTTGGTCTTCCATACGAGCTTGATGATTGGGAATTTCGAGAATATTTTGAACAATTTGGAGCTGTCGAGTATGAAGAGGTTTGTAAATACATAATTAGGTTGTGAAATGTTGAATATGTTTTATTAAGATATGGGTCTGGATATTTTTAGTTTCCTGCTATATGTTTATAAAGACATTCAGGCAAAACATTTCAATTTTTTGTTATAGTTTTGTTTTGATGATTAAAAGAAATTTATTCTAATAGAAAATTGTGTCTAATTATATTTAATTTTTTAAAAGAGTTCTAAAGTTCTTAGGATGTTAGTTTTATTTTTCTTAAAAGAAATAATGAATTTTTTAGATTTGAGGCTGAAAATTTTAGAAAAATATTCAAACTTTACTGGTTTAAAAATTATTTTTAGATTAAGAGAAAACCAAATGGTGGTTCTCGCGGTTTTGCTTTTGTTAGAATGATAAATTATTTGGATCAAGTCCGTGCACTTTCTGTTCCAATCCATACTATTGGTGGACGTGAATGTGTTATAAAAATGTCTGCATTAGATAAAGTAAATTTATTTTTTTATAAAAATTTTAAAAATTAATTTAAAGGGAAAAAGTGATAGTTTTGAGAATATTTCTGTTAATCCTCGACTTTATATTGGCAATTTGGGTGGAGATGTTGGAAAAGAACGTTTACGGGAATACTTGCAAGAACATCTTTATCGTTTTGATAAACGAGCGACAATTAATGAAATTTTTTATCCAAATCCTTTTCGCCATTTTTCTTTTGTCACAGTTACTTCGGCAGTTGCTGCACGGGAATTACTTAAGTAAAAAAGACTTTTATTTTATTTTTTTATCTTTTTTTTCAGACAACATGATTTCTTTATTGATGGTCATTATTTTATGTTAACACTTGCTATGCCTAGAAAAGGTGAAGAAACAACACCAGGAATTATTGCTCCTCCAGTACAAAATCAACGTGGGAATGGTTGGTTTCCAAAGCAAGGACCTCAACAAATTGTTGGTCCACCGCCACGAGGTCCTCCTCCTCCAGTGATTGATAATTGGCCTAGGCAGCCAGAGGTTTATTGGAATAATTATCCACCTTCTTCTGTTCAACATCCTCAATTACCTCCACAACAAATTAAAAAACCACCTGTGTTTGGAGCTTATGCAGTGAGAAGTAATGAAGATTATATGCCAAGAGGTGGCGGTGTCCCTGCTGATTATGTTTTGCCTCCAAGAGGTGAACGAGGATATGTATATAATAATCAAATACAAAGACCTCATCCATCAACATGTGATCAATCTGCGGTTTTTTTTTGTTATAATTTTCGTTTAAAATTCTCATTTAGTTCCCTCCTGTTGGTGTTGGTGCCGGATTTACACGAAAACCTCGATCACCTTCGTTTGATCCACGTGAGGAGATGCTTCGTTCTATGCCATTTGGAAATCAACAAAAATTAGGTAATTTAAATTTTGTTTTAAAAATATTTTTTAATTACTAAAAAGGTCGTTCTGACAATTATGATTCTTGGGTTGGAGGAGAAAGTAATAGCAGTGGTGGTCCTTCACTTATGAATCCAAATGACGCTGAAGCTGTTCTTAATAAACTTCCAAATGATGCAGTTAGTACAGCACTTCGAATGCTTCAATCAATTATGACTGCTCAACAACAAAAAGAACGACTTTATGACGGAAGAAATGAAGAAGAAGGAAATCAACGTTAAAAAATATTGAAACAAAAGAAAAAAGAAATTAACTAAAAAATGTGTGGAAATGTATTTATTTAAATATAATTTGTTTTATCTTTTTTTTAATATTTGATTTGTGTATTGATTAAAATTATTATTTTCTTCTAAATACCTTTGGCAACATTTAATTTCTACATACTACATTTTCTTTTCTAAAAGGAAAGGGACACTTTTCACGTTTATTGATAATTTTTTATTTGATAATACTTTTGAAATGATTTATTTGTCTTATTAAATTAAAACAATTTCCGTAAAATAAATTTCATAATAAAACATTAAAAAAGTTGTTCCTTAGTATGTTTTTCTTAATTTTTATCTTTTTAAGATTTGTATTAAAAAAATTAAATTTATTTTTATTTTATAGGAAATGAAAAAAATTGATTAAAAAGGAATGATTAAGGAAAAGTCTAATTCTTCAAATAAACAACCACTTTTAGTTTCTTTTGACGGAAAATTTTTTGATATTGCTGAATTTGCACCTCGACACCCTGGTATTTATTTTTTTAATATTTACATTTAGGAAATAAATATTAGAATTTTCTAATAATAAATTAAAAGAAAAAGTAAAATAATTAACTTGATTAATTTTTGAAAATAATTTTTATAATCATTAATTCCAATTAATATGTATTTTCTAAGGCGGAGAGAAAGTTCTTCAAATCGCCGCAGGTTCAGATATTGGACAGTTTTTGAGAGGAGAAGAGGAATTACTTGGATTTATACACAAACATTCATTGGGAGCTTATAATATTTTGAAAAGATATTCTCTTGACAAACAATTTAAAGTTAGTTTTTTAAATTTTCTTTTAAAATTAATTTAATTTAAAAAGAATGATCCACTTATTGATGGCCAGGAACCAATTTTATTTAAAATTGGGGAATTAGGAGAACGTTATTGGACTTGGTTTTATTTTTTATTTTTAAATATTGTTATTTTTTAAGGATTCATCAACCTTATGATGGGGCTGTTCGAATGTTTAAATCAAATTTTTTAGAACAACTTACTCGAACGGTAATTAATATAAAATTTTAAAAAAAATTTTATTTTTAGAAATGGTGGATTATTCCAATGTTTTGGTTACCTTTAGTTATTACTTTTCTGTTAGAAGGATATAATTTGTTAATAAATGATTTTGGTAAATTAATTTTTTATTTTTTAAATTTATTTTTAATTTTTAGGTTCTTTTACTGGGGGTTTCTTTACTTTTTCACTTTTTATGTTTGGAATTCTTTTTTGGACTTTAATGGAATATTCTTTACATCGTTTTATTTTTCATTGGCATCCTAATCCAAATTCCAAACAACAATTGACTTTGCATTTTTTATTAGTAAAAATTTTTATTTTTTGTTTAAATTTTTATTTATTTTTTTAGCACGGCCTTCATCACAAAACTCCCCTAGACAAGGATCGTTTAGTTTTTCCTCCTGCAGCTGCCCTTATTATTGTTGGATTCTTTTATTGTTTTTATCGTTTATTGCTTCCATATCCGGTTTTTTAAAGATTATTTTTAATATTTTTTAAATTTTTTAAAGATTTTTTGTTGTTTTGGTACAGGAAAATTAACTGGATATATTATTTATGATTTAATACATTATTAGTTTTGTTTTGATTTTTAAATTACTAAAAAGATAATTTTTTAACTAGTCTTCATCATGGAACTCCAGAGGCAAACAGTAAATGGCATAAAAAGAAAATATATCATCACAATCATCATTTTAAAGATTCTCAATCCGGATTTGGAATTTCCACAACACTTTGGTAAGTATTTATTTTTTTAATTAAATCCTTTCTTTTTTAGGGATCACGTGTTTGGAACATTAGGTGCTGTTAGATAAATTTTTATATTTATTTTATGCCAGCAACTTGCCTTTTTTTAATTGAATTTCAGTATTAAAGAAAGTATTTTTTGTATGGGGTTTCAATTTATTTGACCTTTACAAAAAATTACCACGGACCCTTAAAGAAGTCGAGTACCTTATTTGAATAAATTTTGGTAAAAATTGCGTCAGAAAATCAAATTTTCTTGATGTTTTATAATTTTCTGTCAAACAAAATAAAAATATATTTTATTTTAAGTGGGATACTCGACTTTTATCATTTTATTCACTTTTATATTTTTGATATCCAAATTATTATACTCCCATTTATTAGACCCGATGTCTACTTAAAAATGTCAAAATTTTTGACTTTTATATTAATATAAACATTTTAAATAAATAAAAATGGAAAGAAAATAATTAATCGAAAATAAATATAAAATGAAAATTTTTTTATAAAAAAATTAAAGAATATTACTATTTCCATTATTTAATTGTTCAAATTGTGTCAATTTATCTTCTTTAATTGGGCAACTTTTTATATTTTCTTCATTTGTTTGTTCATATAAATTTTGCCATTTCGATAAATTATTCCTATAATTATCCATTTTTCGACACCATTCTCTCTGAACAGCGTGGAATTGTTCAAGACTTTTTGGTTTTGTACAATTTTCTTTAAAAAATAAAATTATAATTTTTATTTAATCAAAAAAACCTCCATCAACTTTAATTAAATATTCCACTAATTTATTTTCATTCTCCAAACAAGTCCAGACACCACTCAAACTTTCAGTTAGATTTAAAAAAATTAATCCCCCATTTTTTGTTAAAATATATTTATCTGATTCAAAAACTAAAGAAAAATTTTAAATAAAAATTACAATTAAAAAACCCAAACCTTTTTCTCCATTAAAAATCCATTTAATTTTATTTTCATCTCCAAAACATTTTAAATGCAAAGAATCGCCTGGGAAAACATTTAATTCTGTCGGTTTTATTAATTCAGAACAGCTAAAAATTGAAGTTTCGTCTGTCAGCCAACCGGGGGAACTTGAATGTGTTGATTCCTTTAAAGAGAATTATTTAATTGAGAGAAACAAATTTAAACAAACCAAATAAAAGCATTCCCCTCGAGGAATTGACCAAGAACAGAAAGGGTCTAAAACACAATTTCTACAATTCTTTCCATAAGCCGAACATTGTCCAATTCTGTATTGTTCAACCTTAAAAAAAATTTTTTTTAATAATTTTCAAAAATTCTCCAAACCCTTTTTTCATTAGTTAAATAAATATATTCTCCAGGTAATATAGCCATTAAATTAATTTTTTCATTTAATTCATATTTAGCTAATAAATAAGCATTTCCTTCTTTTATTTTATGTAAAATTTTAAATAAAACATTTTCCCTTTAAAAAAAGAAATTTATTTAAAAAACTTTTCTTCCAAAAACTTCACCTTTTTTCATAAACAAACAACAAAACTTTATTATTATTTTCTCTTTTTTTCTCTGTTATAATTGTTGTAGCAATTATTTTTGTTAATAATGTTTGTCCTTTATGAAAAATTGGAGTATTTCCTAATGACTGTATTTGTTCTCCCATAAGTAAATGTTGCTTAGCAAAATGTAAATCTTCATCAGAAAGTTGACGGCTATCTTCTTGACACTTTAAAAATTAAAAGAATTTTAATGTTTATGGAAGGGGAGTGGGAGGAAGATATCCCCACAATAAAGAGAGAATTTCCATCTAAAAAAAGAGAAAAAGTATCGCTTACAGTTCCAGGTCTCCTTCCTTCAATAGAAATTTGTTCAGCAGGTATAGTTGCCCAACAACCACTTTCTGCTGATTGTTGTTCCAAAAAAGGTCCATTATCAAAAACTTTATTAATTTCTAAAAGAGAAAATACACAAATTGCTGAAGTTTGGTAAGGAGTATTTTCTGCAGCAATAAATGTTGAATAAAATAAATAATTATTATTTTGATTATTCTCTTCAATTTGTGTTACACTCTCTTTAAAAATAAAAAAATATTTAAAAAAATATTTTGATTAATTTCTAACGTATTTGATTAAAAGAAAATCCATTTAAAGAACAATTTAAATTTGCTTTAACAAAAGATGTCCACACCTTTAAAAATAAATTAAAATTTAAATATTCTCTTGTCCCCCTTTACTTGTCTCAAAACTTGTTTTCCACCCAAATCATTTTTACAAAGTCTTGCAATTCTTGAAATAACAGAACCTTTATTATTATTACAATTAGCAGCAGTTAATTGTTCCCGAAAGAAAAAATAAATATAAGGGCCAAAAGAAAAAGAACCGACAAATTGAGGTTCTAAAAGGAAGAAAAATCTTTTTTAGACTAATATCCACATACCATTTAACCAATTAGAATCATAAATTGGAGTCCGTAAAGCTGGATATATTTCTCTATTTCCTTCAAAATTCATTAAAGGAGGTCTGTAAATTAATTGATTTTCTAAAGAAAGTCCAGTTCTAATTCCAGAATAAATTGCTGGCAATCCATTCGGATTTCCTTCTTCAACATAAATAGCCGTTGTATTTAATCCTTCATGTTGTGAACAAATACCAATTTGTGTATGTAATTCTTGTTTATCTAAAAGAGAATTTCCGTCCACTAAACCTAATTGAGGTTTCATTGATTGACTTGAACAAAACTTTGAAAAAAAATTATTTTTTTTAAATTAATTTATTTTATTTACCAATAAATCTCCATTAGATTTAATAAATATTTGTTTAATCCAAAAATCACATTCTCTTTCACTATTTCCCATTTTTAAACATTCTTCCCTTTCTTCTAAATTTATTTCAAATTTTCTATGGGAAAACTATAAATATTTAAATTTAAAAAAAAATATTTTCTTTTTAAATTACCAAATTATTTGAAAAAGTATCGTTAATATTAAATAACCAAAGACGAAATAAATTTCCTTTAGCACCAACATAAAGAGAACCAAGTTTTGAATTGATAATAATTGGACCAAAAGAAGGTAAAAAATTATTTTGTTTGTTGACAACATTCCAAGTAAAAATATTATCTGTTTAAAAAAATAATGAAAGGGATTAAAAAAAGAGTAAATCTAACCTGGATATATTTTTAAATTTAAACTGTTACATAAATTAATAAAAATAAATAAAATAAATAAATTTACAATTAACATAATTTAAAATTGATAAAAATTCTAAAAAATTTTTGTTAAATTTTACGGCATTCGGACAGTGAATATCCAAAAAAGAGAAGAAATAATGTGTGTTTATGGAAAGGATGTGGACTATAGAAGAAGAAAAGCGGTCGATGAATGGACAAGTAAAAAGTAAACCTCGCGAAAATATAAGAGAAATGAAAGGGGCGATCGAATATAAAAGAGAAAATATACCAAAAAATTTATGGGTATTTTTTCAGGGTCATTAAAATTAATTTTCAAATAATTTTTTTTCAAAAAATTATTTTTAGTTGGAATTTAAAATTAATAAAATATATCTATTCATTTTAGAAAACTGGAAAAAAAAAATTTAAGTAATGGAAAGGAAAAAAGGGCCGTCAATAACCCCCTTTTTCTTTAAATATTAAGGCTTTTCCAATTTTTGGCAAAACTGTTGAAATTTAGGAAGGAAAAGGAGTAACAATAAAAGAATGTAAAAGACGTCTTTTTAAAGCTAGACAAAAAATGTCCATTTATTTGTAAAAAATATTGACCAAAGAAAGGACAAAAAAATATTTTTTAAAATTTATTTTTTTTAAATATAAAAACAAATAATTTATTTATTGACTTACTAGGAATTGACAAAAAAAATAATCTTTTTTGAAAATTTCTTGAATAATTAAAAAATTAAGAGAATTTAATCACAATAAAATTTTTTTATTAAAGTCAAATTAAGTTGTGTTTTTAATCTCCCAAAAATTGTTTTGCAAATAAAAATCTAAAAAGAATTTTCTTTTTAAATTCCCAAAAAAACATACCAAGTTGGTGATTGTTGATTATTGGCAGTTAATATTAATTTAGCCAATTCTAATCGATCATCAATTGATTTTAATTCAACCATATCAAAAAGATCTGGTCGCCGAACTTCAAATTCTTCCAAACAATCCATTATTTGATTTTTGTTATTTTTTGTTAAATCTTTATTTAAAACAGGGTTTTCGTCATTTAGCCTTTGTGGTTGTAAAAGTACTGAAGAAATATTTAAAAAATATTTTTTAAAAATAAATATACCTGATTGTTGTTGTTCTTCATTTGATTGAATTTTTAAAGGTAATAAAATATTTGTTTCAACTCTCCTTTCAATTTTTTGATTATTTTCCAAATTAAAAAATGATGGAGAAGACGACGATGAAAATGAATTCTTTACAAGGCCCCCAGAAGGAATTGGAGTAATTTGATCAATTTTTGAATTTAAAACCTCACAAGAACTTTAAAAAAAATTTAAAATAATTAAATTAAAAAATAAACAAAAACCTTTCTTTTTCGGAATTAGAAGTTGTCGAATTCTTTTTATTTGCTATAGTTTCTAAATGAAATTGTTGTTCTTGTTCATATTTTTCAATAGTAAGCCTTTCTCGATCGAATTTGTACTAAAAATTATTTTCAAAAAATATTCATATTTAAAAACCTTATATTCTTTTAAATCAGGTATTTCTAAATTTGGAAGATTAACTGTTGGTGGAGGATAAAAAGCAAAATTAATTTCCATAGGCAAATCACAAATAAAATCTAATTTAAATAAAAATTCCTAAAATAATCTTCTTCTTTTTGTAAATTTTTACCTGAAGGCGTTCGACATCCACACATTGATAGAAAATATTTTTAACTAGAAGAACATAAATAAAATAATGAATTAAAAAATTGAGAAGAATCGATGAAAAAACTAAAAAAAAAGTCAAAAAATAACTGATTGGGATAAATTGTCATTTATAAATTAAAAACATTTTGCAAATAAATTTAAAAATAAGGAAATTTAAAATATACAGCAACGGTTGAGTCCCCGAGTAACATTTAGTGTTTTCAGCCTTTTCGAATTCGAATCCTTTATCATTCGACTTGATGAAAAAAGGGAATCAATATATTTAAAGCTTTCGGTTGATATCAGATTTATTTGAAATGATTGAAAACTTAAAAAGTTATGAATCGAAATATGACTTGGAACTCATCCGTTTAGGACACAAATGTCATTTCAACGCCAATCTCATTGAAAGAAGACTTTAGAGTCTCCTAGTAGAGTTCGCCAACTAAAATCAATCAAATTTAATTTCCATAGCAAAGAGGTTGGTTCTTAATTAAGCGTGTTTTACGGAAAATTCTTACGCATTTCATGCTCAAGTTAATTACTTTTACAAGTGAACTTACTTTATTGTTTTATTTTTTTCTTCCTTTTCTCTTTTTCCGTCCTTTTTTTATGTTTTTGATATATATTTATTTTTTCCATTGTACTGAGTGTCCTTTTTTTCATAAAGGGCGCAATGAAGTTACTTGACAATGAGAAACTTGATGAAATAGCTACAACAATTTCGCGAAATGCTCAGGATTTGCTTTTGGATCTTCGGTAAATTCGAATAATTTAAAAACAAAAATTTCCAATCTACTTTACATAGATTGGAATCCTACTCTTGCAAAATGGTGACAAGCGACAAAAAGGAATGGAAAAAGAGCATAAAATGTCCAGTAGATGGCCGTGAATTACAACCGCTTTCTCCGCCAGAAGAATCTGTTTTGTCTTCATCACCAAATTTAACATCAGTGCGATTGAGGTAGAAATTCTTTACATTTTTTTTAATTTTTTTGTTAGACATTTATCCGAAATGAGCAACTCTGGATTTTCTGACAATGATACAGAGGAAAGTGGTGGTTGTGGTGACAATGTTATTTTGGTTGAAGCAATCTCAAAACGGTAACAATTTTGTATGACCGTGAAAATTCTGGCATATGTTAGAGAGATTATCCTTTTCCGGATTGTTGATTTTTGTAGAACTGAATAAAAGCAGAAACTGAATAAAATCTATTTTTTAATACCTGAGGCAAATTAGGAGTAACAGTCCAACCAAAATATCTCTCCTTTCAATTGTAAAATTCTTTTTAAAAACTATATTTTAGAACTCTTTTCAATATTTTGGCTTTATTAAATCAATGCTATCCAGATTATGATTTTTCACAAACGAAGAGTGCTTCTTTCAGGAAAGTTACTTACCAGGTAATTGCTTGCTTTTATTTAATTTACATTATAATTAATTCAGGATTGTATAGTTAGTGTTGATGGAAAGCTTGTGGCAACTGTTCATAATTACGGACTTTTACGCGACATTCTTTGGCGTACTATCGAAGATTCAATAAAAATTGACGAATGTTGCATTTATAGGTTTTTTTGAAAATTATTTTTCGATTTTTTTTTATTTTTTTTAGTTACATTCCTCAATATTGTGGTGATCCTTTTACAGAGGATGGATGTATTTGGTCTTTCAATTTTTTCTTTTTTAATAAGGTCTAAATTAATTTAAATTATTTTAATTTAATTGACATTAAGACACTTAAACGCTTTTTGTTTTTTGCTTCTCGTGCACTCTGCAATGAACGTATCCTGCGTCAGCCAATTCATGAACAAGTAGAGCGTGAGGTGGAAACACCGCCAAGCATTTTTGGGATGCAAGTTTAAAAAAGTTTTCTTTGGCAATTCTGCTTAGATTATATATATAATCATCTCATTAATTTTATCAAAAAATATTTCTCCAATTTTTTGGAAAGAATTTTAGTTTTTTATGTACCAAAATTTATTATAATATACCTTGAAAAACGATCTACATTTATATTTAAACACTTGGCCGTAACTAAATTTTAAAAATTTCATGGAAAATTTAAATTTTTTATTAATACCTCAAAATTTTTTTCTTTTTTACGGCCCAGTGAATTAATTGATGAAAATAGTATTACTTAACCACATTAGGGAATGGACTTGTAAATACTGGAATCTTTTTTTCCTTTAGTCAGTCCATTTCTTAAATACAACATTTTTCTTCCCTCTGATTTGCCTCATATAAACTGAATTACCAGAAATCCTTTACATTAAAATATACTCAAATGCTTAATCTCATCTTTAAAAGAAATTTATTTTATCTATTTTATGCAAAAAATCATACCTCAACTTTTTATTGAAAATTAAATATTTTTAAGAAAATTATAAAAATTAAACGATTTTATGCATTTTGTCCTTTCATTGTATTTAGTTTTATTCATTTAATCTATGCGCGCAATTATCATTTCTTTATCGTAAAATTGTCTCTTTTAGTGCTAGTTTTACATCTTTGTGTGAATAAATATATAGAATTAAATTTAGATTAATTTTTATGTTTATGACATTTTAATATATTTTGAGGTTTTTAAATATTATTTAAATTTAAATAAGAAATGACTGAATGTGATAAATTGAATGAAAATGAGATAAAAATTGCTCCTGTTCAGTATGCTTATTTAGACCATACTGCGGATGTTCAATTACACGCTTGGGGTGATTCTGTAGAAGAGGCTATTCAACAATTGGTTGTTTCACTTTATGGTTTGTAATTTTGATATATTTTCTATTCAAATATTATTTTGTACAATTCCAAGTTTAGGTTATATGACATTGGAGATCTCGTCTGTACAACCGACGTATTCTATGGACTTTACTGCTAGTGGACATGATCTATTTTCATTACTCTATAATATTTTGGATACCTGTCTTTACAATTTTTCGACAGAGCCATTCTTTATCGGTTCTTCAGCGCAAGTTCTTGATTTGAATTGCCACAATGTTTCTTCAGAAACTAAAGAATTTTCGGTATTTATTTAATTTAAGATTTTTTTTCAATTTTACTTTCAGATACATTTACGTGTTTGGGGGGAATCATTCGATTTAAAAAAGCATCCGCCTGGGACTGAAGTTAAGGCTATTACTTACTCTAATATGCAGATAATTGTTGGGGGACGGAGGTTAAATCAAAGTGGAGAAGAAAGTCTAAGAGTTTTAAATGATGAAAAAAATAATAAAACAGAAATATTTGTAATTATTGATATTTAACAAACAAATTTTTTTTATAAATGTATAGAATTTTTGAAAACAAAAGTTTGTTTTTAATACAATGATATTTGTTGATTTATTTTAATTTCGTTTTTATTAAATGTCTCGATTTTTATAGCAAAAAACTTGAAATGCCTTCAACATTGAACGTTGCAAAGAAAGTTTTCAAAAGAAAATTAGAACAATTTAAGCGTGGTGACCGTAACAAGAAACAGAAGAAATTAGAGGAAGAACAATTATTCAACGGGGAGGATTCGACTATTTTAGAACAGGATGAAGAAATTGAACAAGAATGCAAAAATGTGGAAGAACAAGCTGAGGAAAATGAAAAGGTTCATACAATAGAATCTACTTTTTTTATTTTTATTAATTCCTCAGAACGCCGATTCTGAGGATTTACAGCAAAAATCGACAACCTTTGTTGAGCCTGCAATATCTTCATCAATTCTTACCGATGTAACATTCCGCTCATTTGAAGGTCGTGTAGCTGCTGCAACTTTAAATGCTATAGATGAGATGGGGTTTACAAGGATGACAGAAATACAAGCAAGGAGTATTCCACCGCTATTAGAGGTTGTTGTCAATGTTTATAAGATTAAGTAAAACTTCGGTTTAGGGTGTTGATGTTCTTGGAGCGGCAAAAACGGGAAGTGGAAAAACTTTAGCCTTCCTTATACCGGCTATTGAACTTTTGATTCGTGCAGATTGGAAACAGCAATATGGTTTTGATTTTTTTTCTTTTGTAGTCGAAACGTTTTATTAGGTACTGGAATAATTATTATTTCACCCACTCGTGAACTTTCAATGCAAACATATGGGTTTAAATTTGTTTTCTTTTTAATTTTTATTTTTGAATTAAGAGTTCTTTATGAACTTTTGGAGAAACAACCATGTTTATCTCATGCTTTGGTTATGGGAGGTGCAAATAGACAAACGGAGGAACTAAGGCTTTCGAAAGGAGTTTCGATCCTGGTTGCAACACCTGGACGTTTACTCGATCATTTACAGGCATTTTTGAATTTTTTTTCAGAAACTAATTTGTTTAGAATTCTCAAAGTTTTGTTGTTAAAAATCTTCGTATGCTCATTGTAGACGAGGCGGATAGAATCTTTGACATTGGATTTGAACAGGAGATGCATCAAATTGTCCGTTTATTACCCAAAAAACGCCAAACTGCTTTGTTTTCTGCTACGTGTTCGGCCAAAGTTGAAGAATTAGTTCGTGCTGCATTGCGAACAAATCCTCTTAAAATTGGTGTTATGGAGCAGAGAGCAGAAAGTTTAACAGATTCTAGCATAAATGATTTAGCAACTCGAGAAGGATTGGAGCAGGTATTTTATAAAATTATAAAATAATATTTTCGATTATCTGAAAACAGGGTTATGTCGTTTGTTCGTCAGAAAAGCGTTTTCTTTTGCTTTTCACTTTTCTTAAAAAGAACAAGTCAAAAAAGGTAAATATTCTCTTAATTTTCTTTACAGAGGCAACCTTTCTAAAATTAATATTTTTCAGATAATGGTTTTCTTCTCATCATGTGCTTCTGTTCGATTTCATCAAGAATTACTTAATTTTATTGATCTTCCTGTTTTAAGCATTCATGTTTGTTTTTAAACAATTTTTAAATTTTTTTTCATTCAGGGCAAACAAAAACAACAAAAAAGAACTTGTACTTTCTTTCAATTTTGCCGTGCAAAGACTGGTACTTTGTTATGTACAGATGTTGCCGCTCGTGGTTTGGACATTCCTTCTGTTGATTGGATTGTTCAGGTATTTTAATTTTTATATTTTGCAAATGAAAATTTCAGTATGATCCACCAGACGAGCCCCGCGAGTATATTCATAGAGTTGGCCGAACAGCTAGAGGAGAATCGGGAACCGGAAATGCCCTTTTAATTTTGAGACCTGAAGAGCTGGGATTTTTGCGTTTCTTAAAGGTTATTTGTTTTTATTAAAACATTTTTTGGGATTTATTCGTCATACATAAGTTTTGCAATAAGTCTGCCCTTATTGTAATAAATTTGAGGATTTTTCCCTTATTAGCATAAAGTGGGTGAGCCAATATGAAAAGAGAAAATGTCGACGTTCAACAGATAAATTTCTGTTTTTCAAATAATAAATTGTTTTAGGCAGCTAAAGTAACATTGAATGAATATGAATTTTCTTGGAATAAATTAGCAAATATTCAACCTCAATTAGAACGTTTAATTTCACAAAATTATTATTTAAATAAATCAGCAAAAGAAGCATATAAAGGCTATATTCGTTCTTATGATTCTCATTCACTTAAACAAATTTATGATGTTAACAATGTGGATTTAATTAAAGTAATATTATTTAAACAATTATTTTCCAAAATTTATCTTTAAAAGGTTTGTAAATCATTTGGTTTTGAAGTACCTCCGTTTGTTGATTTACCAATTTCCAATCGTTCAAAACTTGAAAAAGCCATTGCTAAAAAATCTGAAATACAAAATAGACAAAAACCGTCAGTTAAAACTGAAAAAGAATTTGTACCTTTAAAAAGGAAAGATAAGGGAAGAAAAGATTTTAAACAAAATAAGAAAATGAAAGTTTAGAATTTTAATTTTTTTTTGTTAATGAAATAAATTTTTGTTTTTATAAATTTTGTAAATTATAAATTTTGGTCAATTTTTAAATATTTGGAAAAATTTATTTGTTTTTTGAAAATAATTAAGGTTAATATAGGTAGTTGGCTGGTAAATATAAATTTTGACCTTATTAATTAAAAATGTCATCTGCTTGTGATAACATGACAGATGAGGAGTGTGAGGAGGTTTTTTTTGTATAAATAATTAAATATTTATATTTCAAGGCGATTAAACGTTTTGCTGAAATGACACAAGTAGATGAGGGGTTGGCACATTTTTTGTTGCAGGAAAGTGATTTTGACATTAATGTTTGTTATTCTATAATAATTATTTAAAAAATAATTCTAACATTTAGCGTGCTTTAACTGAATTTTTTAATAATAGCAATCAAACTTTGCCGACTTCAAGTAATAGTAAAGAAGTTGATGTTGAAGTGGTAACTGGGGTTAATGGACCACAAATGAATAACAAACGGTTTTTAATTTTTATTCAAAAATATTTTTTAAATTTTAGGGCATATAAAGACGAGGAAGTTTTTCCATCAGAATTAACACTTATTTCTTGGAATGTTGATGGACTCGATGATCGTCAGAGAGAAAAGCGCTTTACCGCTGCTCTTTATATTATTGCGAAGTAAATGTGTTTAATAAAAAATTTTTAAAAATTAATTTAGAACAAATCCAGAAGTAATTTTCTTGCAAGAAATGGTTGAACCTTTAATGCCTCAACTTAATGGATTGGTAAGATTTTATTTTTTTTAATTTATAAGAAAGAAAGGGAAAAAATTTTTTAAAAGTGTTTTGGAAAGGGGGTTTTCGATTTCAATGTTGGTTTATTTCTACCCTTAACCATCAATACTTTTTTTTGAGTTTCACATTTAAAACATTTTTAAAAGATGTCTCCAATGTACAACACTTTTATTCAAAAACCAAATTGTGGATATTTTTGTATAACTTTGGTTAGCAAGGTATTCTTAAAAATTAATTTTTATATAATTTTTCAATTTTTTAAATAGAATATTAAAATAATAAAAGACGAATTTATTCCTTTTGATAATACAACAATGGGTAGAGGAATGTTAATTGTTGAGGTATATTTTTAATTTAACATTTTTAATTTTTAAATTAAAAAGGGCATTTGGCAAAATTTAAAGATAAATCTTTTAAATTCACATTTGGAGTCTACGGCTGATTATTCAAATGCTAGAAGTTCTCAATTTGCTAAATGTCTTGAACAAATTGAGTTAATGACAAAATCTGATGAAACACTTGCAATTTTTGGTAAAAATTGATTTTCTTTTTAAATTTTGGTTATAATTTAAAATTTAAAGGTGGAGACTTGAATATTCGCGATAAAGAGGTTAATTTGGTTAATTTAACCTTTAAATTTTATTTAAAGGTTGGAAATTTGCCAGAATCAATTAAAGATGCCTGGATAGAGGCAGGTTCACAACCTCAATATCGTTATACATGGGATCTTAAAAGGAATGATAATTATGCGGGAAGATTTGGAAAAGGACAGGTTTATTATTTAAAAAATATTTTGAAAAAATCTCTTCTATTTTTTTCAGCCTCGTGCTCGTTTTGATCGGATTCTTTTTAAAGGTCCTCCACAGACAAAAGTTGATTTTAAATTGGAAGGAATTAATCGAATTAAAGGTTTACCTAAATTATTTTTTAAAAATTTAAAAATTTTTTAGGTCCAAATTGTTTTGTGAGCGATCATTTTGCGCTGATTTGCCGTTTCTTAATTAAAAAGTTTTTTTAAATAAAAATTTTAGATAAATTTATATTTTTTAAATAATTTTAATTTTTTAGCCCAGAGAATGTTGCTCTTTCAGATGATTTAATAATCTCGAAAAAATCTAAACAATCAGATGAGGCTGATGAAAAATAAATATTTTTACTTTGATTCTCAAAGAAAATTTCATATCCCCAGATATACTTAAAATTAAATTATTTAAATTAAAAAATGACATTTTTATAAAATGTTTTAAAAGAATTTTTGTTTTTTTTGTTTGTTATACAGTCGAAGAGGGGGGTAGGAGAGGGGAACTATTCATAAATTTGTAATTTAAATTCGTTTGGCGTTACGTTTTATTTGCTATTTAATCCAATTTTTTTCTCTAATTCGTTTTCTCTTTGTTGAAATTTTGTCAGCATTTTCTGATTTTTTAACAATTTTAACATTAAGCTTAAATTCAACAATCTTAAAGAACCTAATTTTTATATTATTTTATTATTCTCTCTATTTGGTAATAAGACTGATTACCGAGAATTTAATTGTGCTGAATAACGAATATTTTCTGAATATTTTCCATGAACTGATAAACTTTGATAACAATTAATTTTGACTTTATTTTTCAGAATTTTTTAATATTAAATATGGGACCACCAACAAATTCAAATTCTTGCGAAACAATGATTGCACAACCAATTCAACCTTACAAAACAAATGAAGCCAGTACTCTTCGTCAGTATTATACTTCAAAGATTCAGGAAGCAAAGCAGCAACTTACTGAAAAAATGCAAAATGTTCGGAGACTTCAGGCTCAGCGGAATGAAATGAATAATAAGGTTTTTTGTGAAAGAAAATATTTTTTTAATTTTATAATTATTTTAAAGGTTAGAATGTTAAAGGAAGAATTATCAAAACTTAATGAACAAGGCTCAAATGTTGGAGAGGTTGTGAAGGTTATGGATAAAAAGAAAGTTCTTTCGAAGGTTTTATTTGAAATTATTTTTTATTTAGATAAATTATTTAGGTTCATCCCGAAGGGAAATATGTTGTTGATATTGACTCTTCAGTTGACCTAGTTAAGTTGACTGCTGGTTGCAGAGTTGCTCTACGGGCTGATAGTTATGCTTTACACATGGTTTTACCAAATAAGGTGAATATTTTATTGGTAAAGATATGGATTATTGGTCCCTTCATCTTTTCTACATTGAGTTGACAGGCTTTCAGATCTCAATCTTCCGTCAAGATTTTTCCATTTTCTCCCATTTTGAGTGGAAATAATATAGTTATAAGAATTTAATTTTATAAGATTTGACTTTCAGGTTGATCCACTTGTTAGTTTAATGATGGTTGAGAAAGTACCGGATTCAACTTATGAAATGATTGGCGGGTTGGATAGTCAAATTAAGGAGATGAAAGAAGTTATTGAGTTGCCAGTTAAGCATCCAGAATTATTTGAAGCATTAGGAATTGCACAACCTAAGGTTATCAATTTTTCTTTCTAAATTTAATTTGAAAATTCAACTTTTGAAGAAATTAAATTTAACTATTTAGGGCGTTTTGCTTTATGGTCTTCCTGGTACCGGCAAAACTCTTTTGGCTCGTGCTGTCGCGCATCACACTGAATGTACTTTTATAAGAGTTTCTGGCTCTGAACTCGTTCAAAAATTTATTGGTGAAGGTGCACGTATGGTTAGAGAACTTTTTGTGATGGCTCGGTAAAAAGATTTTTTAAATTTTCTCGTAATTATTTATTTACTTTTAAGTGAACATGCACCTTCTATCATTTTTATGGATGAAATTGACTCAATTGGATCATCAAGAGTTGAGGGCAGTCATGGAGGTGATTCTGAAGTTCAGCGAACAATGCTTGAATTACTTAATCAATTGGATGGGTTTGAAGCGACAAAAAATATTAAAGTAATTATGGCTACAAATCGAATTGATATTTTGGATCCAGCATTGCTTCGACCTGGTTAAAAAAATTTTTTCGAGAAAGAAATAATTTTTATTTAAAGGTCGAATTGACAGAAAAATTGAGTTTCCGGCACCTGACGTGAAGGCACGTTTGGACATTTTGAAAATCCATTCTCGTAAAATGAATTTGATGCGTGGCATAAATTTAAGTAAAATTGCTGAGTCTATTAAAGGAGCTTCTGGGGCAGAGGCTAAGGTTTTTTTGAAATTTTTTTATTTAATTTTTTATTTAAATTTTGAAGGCTGTTTGTACTGAAGCAGGAATGTTTGCACTTCGAGAACGTCGGATACACGTTACACAAGAAGACTTTGAAATGGCAGTTGGTAAAGTAATGGCAAAAGACCAGGAAAAGAATATGTCGTTAAAGAAATTATTTAAATAAATTAAAAATTGTGTGAAATTTTTTTGTTTTATTTTTAAGAGAAAATTCAGACAATGAAAAAAAGTAAAAAAAATAATTGTCCTTTCATTTAAATATATTTTTTTGGTTTTCACCTCATAATGAAATTGTAATATTGGAAATATTATTTTGTGTAAAGACTTCCTTTCATTTAAATATATTCTAATAATATAGTCTAATATATTTTTTTTGGGAAATTTTTCTAAATTAAGATTTTTTGGTTTGTTGGAAATTTTTTGTGATTTTAAGGAAAGTGGATAAAGAAATATTTTAGAGTGGCTAGTTGAAAATAATTTTGAGTTTAAATTTTAATAAGAAAAGGATTGGAAATAATGTCAAAAATTCAAAATATCCATCTTTATAATTTGAATTTGTCATTCATTTTGATGTTCTGTTCAAATTTAGATTAATTTTTGAAAAAATAAAGGAAGTTTCTGAGTTTCTAATGCTAATCTGTTTTTTAGATTAATTTAGAAATGAAATATTTAACCTATTTTGGATATATTGAAACAGATTTCGAATTAGAAAAACCAACAGAAGAAATTAAAATAACAATTGTTGATAATCTTTCAAAGTAAATTTTAGAAATATTTTTTTTTAATTTAAAATTTATTTTTAGTAAAATTGTTGAATTTACTCTTCCAGCTACAGTTATTGAACAAATTGGAGTAACAGAGCAACATATATTATTTTTGGATGATGCAAGAAGTGGTTATATTTGGTTATATAAAATGAAGGAAGAGGTTTTTTTGATAAAGATTTTTTAAAAAATATTTTTTGAAGTCACTTTTTGTTCTTCCACTTGGTTTACCTTCTGAGGCTGGAAGAGATATTGAAAAGAATTTGTGTTTGAGACCACCTATGTTCTTACCTTTTAAGGATATTACAATCAAAAGTAGAAAAATGGAAGAAAACGACAATAATGATAATATTTTGCTAAATAAATTTGAGGCTAGATTCTCTCATTGGGAGGATTATCAGAAATTAGGTAAAGAATTTTTGATTTTTTATTTAAAATTCGTCTTACTAAACAACCATCCATCTAACCTCTTAGTATAACGTTAAATCCTTCCTCAGATCTCTACTGTAAATCATTCCCTCACTCTTTAAACTTTATTTCAATTCTAGGTCCAAACCCTCCATTAAGTTCACCTCCTGCTCGTCGTTTATTAGCTTGTACATCCTTTGGTGCTTTTCTAGCAATTAATTATCGTTGTGTAAGTTGCTCTCTGTGCTCCGTTTTACGTTGTTTATATAAAAATGAAGTAAATTTTAATTTTAAAATTATTTTTATTTTTTTAGTCTCCACTTCTTTATGACAAGCCAGTTGAAAATTATGATCAAGAAAGTTTCAATTTACTAATTGAAAAGGATCCGTCTTCCCCCTACTCTTTTATTAAAATGCCTTTTCATGTTAGAAAGGTAAAAATTAAATAAAAATTTACAAATTTTAAAATAGTTAACAGCCGGGAATGACCATTTAGCTTTATTTAACCCTCTTGGACATGTTTACACTCTTGGAACGGGAACACGTGGAGAGTTGGGACATGGATGTATTGAACAAGGACAATGGACAGAACCGAAGTAAGGAATTTTTATTAAAATAAAATTGATAAAATAAATACGGGGTTATTTTAGGGAATAATTAAGAAGGGGTAATTCATTCAAAAATTAACATTCTGTTTATTTTAATTTTTAAAGAATTGTTTCGGATTTGGCAGATGCTGGAATAAACGTGACAGATTTATCCTCTTCTTTATGGCATAATATTGCTATAACTGATGAAGTAATTTGAATAAATTTTAAATAAAATTAAATTTAGGGAGATATTTATGGTTGGGGATGGAATGGTTATGGACAATTAGGAATTTTGCCTGAAGAATGTTCAATACAACCAACTCCATATCCTTTTGATTTGCCTGATATTTTAGATGAAAAGGTAATAATTTAAATTAATAAAAATGTTTTTTTAATTTATAGGTAGAGAGTATTAATTGTGTTGGAAATAATTCTTTTATTAAATTCTCAAATGGAAAGAATTTTTGTTTTGGTGAATTAGGTAAAAAAGTTTTTTTTAATTATTTAATAAAATTAGTATATTTTTTTGGCATTCAAAATATAATGTTTTTGTCTCTCTCTTTTTACCACTCTATTTTACAATAATTTATAGTTTGAGTCCAATTTTCTGAGAGTCCACATTTCGATAAAATAATTTAATTTATTTATTTGTTGCGTTTAGAAAAATCTTCTTACATGGATTCTAAAGAATTGGAAGGGGATGCTTCCACATCAACAATAAAAGATTTTGAATCTGATGATCAACCAGAAATGAAACGTGCTAGACATCATAGAAATTTACATGTTGCTGTAGCTGGTTGTTCTCATGGTCAAATGGATACAATATATGAACGGTTTTTGTTTTTTTTAAAACAATTTAAAAATATAAATTTTAGTTTAACAAATGTAGAAAAGCAAAGAAATGTAAAATTTGACTTACTTTTATGTTGTGGGGACTTTCAAGTAATTTTATTTAAAAATAAACTTTTTTATTATTATAATTAAGGCAATTCGAAATCATGGAGATCTTCATTATTTTCATGCCCCGCCACATCATCGCAAACTTGGAACATTTTACAAGTATTATAGTGGAGAAAAGGTTTTTCTTTGATAAAATGAAATCTCTCTAATACGTCTCCCCACTCTCACATTTCATTTCCATTCACAGTCCAGAGTGGAGACAAATTCCTTTGTATTATTTCTAAAATAATTATTTTAGATAGCCCCCATTCTTACTTTATTTATTGGAGGAAATCATGAAAGTAGTGGTTATATGGCTGAATTACCTTATGGAGGTTGGGTAGCACCGAATATTTGGTATATGGGCTACGCTTCGGTTAAATATTTTTTTCAGAAATTTCTTTTAATTTTTCTTTAGGTCATTCAATTTGCCGGTTTACGTATTGCTGGGCTGTCGGGAATTTTTAAATCAAATGATTACAATAAGGGTCATTTTGAACGTCCACCATTTCAAGAACATGGTTCTGTTGTTTCTGCTTATCATGTTCGTTCAATAGATGTTTTTAGATTGAAACAATTGAGAGGTTTTTTTGAAATATTATATTTTTAATTTTCTGGAAAAGATTCTAAAATTGATATTTGTATGTCTCATGACTGGCCGGCAGGAATTACTGACTTTGGAGATTGTAATTGGTTATTGAAAAGAAAACCTTATTTTGCTGAAGATATTCAATTTAATAGACTTGGAAATCCGGCAACAATGAAGTAATTTAATTTATTTTAGTTTTTTAATCAAATAGTATTCAGTCTTCTTCATGAATTAAAACCTTTGCATTGGTTTGCAGCCCATTTACATGTTCGTTTTACTGCTGTTGTACATCATAATAAAGATGATGAAGAGAAAGGAACTCAAACAGATGAAATAAAATCTTCGATAAATTCTTCTCGAGTTACAAACTTTTTGGCATTGGACAAACCTATGGGCAATGATAATCGACGTAGATTTTTGGAATATATTGATATACCTATTTCTGAAGGTTTGTTAATTTTTAAACTTAAATTATTTACTTTTTCTTTTAGATTCTTCTATGGAATTGTGTTATGATCCTATATGGCTTGCTATACTTCGAACAACAGATCATTTAACAAAATTTACGGACCGTGTTTGTTTTTCTTTTTTTAACTTCGTGATTTAAAATATTTTTTTGTAGTTTATTAATTTACCTCTTGAAACACCATCAAAAAATGTTGAGGAAATAACAGAACGTTTCGACTTTCGCCCAACAAAAGAAGAATTAGAAACTGTCAATACTTTATTTTCTTCTGATTTTCATATTCCTTTAAGTTTTCAACGTACAGCACCGCCAGAAATTGAACCTTTGATAGGCAAAGGAAAACCTAATCGACAACCTAGTTTATATTATCGGTTACCCATTTTTAGTTTTTATTTTAACAAATTTTTTTAAAAGAAATCCTCAAAGTCAACAATTTTGTGAAAAACTTGGAATTCAAGATTTAAATCTTCAATTTGCTCAAGCTTCAGTAAATTACCTTGGAATTCCTTATTTTCTTTCCAAAAATACACAATCATCGATTAGTGAGGAAATCAGTACAAAAACAACCAATGAATCAACGAACAATGGAAAGAATCCAGAAGAAATTGATTTGGAAGAAGATGAGGTAAAAAATTATATTTAAATTAATTTATATATTTTTTGTTAGTTTGGTCAAAATGATTTTATTGTTGATGTTAAAGGTTCTTTAAAGAATTCAGAGAATGATGAAAAATAATTTATTAAAATATTTAATTTTATCTTTAATTATTTTTTGTTTGTATTTTCTTCAATTTTTTAAATTTTAATTCAATAAATAAATTTTTTTAATTTTATTTCTGTTTTAATATTTGTATATCTTTCTTTTCAATATTTTTATTTTTTTGAATTAATTTTTATGAGATAAAGATATTTGGATTCCATATTAAAAATATGGCAAGCGATAAGGAAGAGTCAGAATCAGAAATGAGTGAGGAAGCAGAAAGTAGTTTATCTACAAAGGCTGTAGATTCCTCTCAACCATCAAAAGCTGAACAGATGATGCGGGTTAGTTTAATTTTTAAAAAGTTTGTAATTGTACTTGTTTTTTTAGATTATGGGATGGCAAGAAGGTAAAGGACTTGGAAAGCGAGAACATGGGGAAGTTGAACCGGTTTCTGTCAGACAAAAAGTTGGGAGAACGGCTCTCGGTTTTGATTCTAAATCTTCAAAGGTTTGTTTATCTTTTAAGATATAATTTCTTGTTGAAGGAATTGGCTGAAATTGATTTTGATTCCGTTTCTGAAATAAAATCTGTTGTAGAGACGCCAACTTGGTTGGTTTGTTCAGAGGAAAATAGAAATCTTTTACTCAACAATTTGAATGATGAATGGATTATTGTTGGAAAGGTTTGTTTCTTCTCCGTTTATGCCCTGCTTACAATTAATTAAAATTTAGCCAAAAATGCGTATCGATGACGAAGACCGTTATTGTTCACAAGAATTATTAACTCAATTATTGGAATCAAAAGATTTCTTTGATACTGTTGACCACAGAGTTCTAGATGCTGTTAAGTTTTTAGTTTAATAGCCCGTTTTGACATTTTACTTAATTTTAGGCCCGTGCCAGAGCAAATCCATACGAAACAATTAAAGCAGGATTTTTCCAAAATAGGTTTTCATTAATTTTTATATATTTAAAAAATACTTTTTAGAGCAGCAATGAAAATGGCAAATTTGGATAAAATATTTGGTTGGCGACTTAGTTGGGAATTTGTGGACAAATCCAGGCTTGCGAAGAATCCATTGGAAAAAGAAAAACAACGAGAAAATGTTGATAGGTATAATTACATATTTATTTCCTTACCTCGCTAAATGTCAGTCAGAAAGAAATTCTTATAGAAATTTTATTTTTGTTCTGTAAAGTTTTCTATAATATTTCTTTTTTTAGACAACGTTCTCTTTTCTATTTTGCTGATGTCTGTGCTGGTCCTGGTGGTTTTAGTGAATATATGCTTTGGAGAAAAGGTTATTACAATTCTAAAGGTTTTGGATTTACATTGACAGGTATTTTTAAATTAAAAAATTTTTTTAAATTTATTTTTTAAGGTCGTGATGATTTTAAATTGGAAAGATTTGAAGCAGCATCTTCAGAATATTTTGAACCTTATTATGGAATTAAAGAAGATGGAAATGTTACAGATCCAGAAAATTTGGAATCTTTAAATCAATTTTTTGATGAAAGAATACATTCAACCGAAAAGGGTAAAGAAAATAATTTTTTATCTTAAAATATATCAAATATTTAAAAATATTTCTTTGAGTATTTGGCTGTATTTTCTTTAAATATTAAAACTTTCTGTTTATTTAAACATATCAAAATACTTTCCTTTAATTTTCAATTAATTAATTAGGTGTTCATTTTGTAATGTGTGATGGAGGTTTTTCTGTTCAAGGCCAAGAAAATATTCAGGAAATTCTTTCTAAACGTTTATATCTTTGTCAATTTATTACAGGCCTTTCATTATGTCGTGTTGGGGTAAAATAAATAAATAAAATATTTTTTTAAATTTAATTTTAAGATAAAAACAGAAACAGGGGAAATTCAAGGAGGAAATTTTTTGTGTAAACTTTTTGATATTTTTACGCCTTTCTCTATGGGATTAATTTATTTAATGTAAGTACTATTTTAATTTAAGAAAAATATTTTTTATTTAATTTCTAAAAAAGGTATGTTTCTTTTGATAAAATATCAATTCACAAACCAATAACTTCAAGACCAGCAAATTCTGAAAGGTTTTTTTCTTTAATTAAATTTAAATTTATTTTTTAGATATATTTTTTGTGAAAATTTAAATAATTTTGGAAAAACAAAAATAAAAGATTATTTAATTAAAATAAATAATAAATTAGAAAGTTTTGATAAAGAAGTAGAAGATATACTTGAATTGGTACCTAATGAAATAATTTGTGGAGATGATACTTTTATAAATTATATGAGAAATAGCTGTGAAGAGTAAGTTTTGAATTAAGTTTTTTTAGAAAAATAAAAATTTCTTTTAAAAGGATTGCGAGAAGACAAATTTTTTATTTACGTAAATACAGAAAATATGCAAGTGAACCGGGGGTTATTGATGGAGATCAAGAAAAATTAAGAGAAGAGGCACTTAAATATTGGGAATTACCTGATTTTATTGAAAGAACGCGTATACAATTTAGAAAGAATGGAAAGTTTGTAAAAGATCAACATTTAAATCAAAATAATAGAGAACCTGCTTCTGTGACTATTCGAAGATTTGCTGGAAATGTAAAATATTTTAAAAAATAATTTTTATATTCTATTCAACCAGTTCATTGTAATATAGTCCTGAAATTCTATTAGGACTTCTTTTCTAAATTTTTAAGTTTTCTTTTAAGCAATCCAAACATTTTACAATATAAAATATTAAAAGAATTTTAATTGTTTTTTATCTTTTTTTTAAGCAATTACAATTCCCAATAAAACGGCGTTTGGCACCATTCACTCCAAATGAACCTCGAATTTGTCCTGATATTAATGAGCTCCGTGCTTTACTTTTAACAGAATCTGACGATCCAATATTGCTTGTTTCCCAGGGCCAAACTGTAAGTATTCCTTCCTTTCTTTAAAACAAAAACATTTTTTTCTGTAATTTTTTAGTCAGATTCTAACGGTCTTTTTTGTCAACGTTTAAATGCTTTGAATGTTACAAATGCAGAAATTTTTTATTGTACAATTCCGAAAGATACAATTTTGCTTGTACAAATTACAAAAATTTATCAATTTGATTCTGAACAAATAAAATCAACAAATTCTTGTATTTGGGTTTTGGATGGGGCTGTTTTAAATGGTGATGATATTAGCCAATTAAATTTACAAGATAGATTAAAAGCAACAAAAAAATTTTGTGAAGCAATTAATAAAAGATATTTTAGAGGAATTGATAGACAACAAAAAAGAAATTGGGGAAGATCTTTTGTTAGGTTTGTTTTTAATTGTTTGAAAAGAAAATTTATTTTTCTAAAGGCCTTCTGTTAATAAATTTCCTGAATTAATTGTTGCAGATGCTATTAAATTAGATGAATTGTCTCAAAAACATTTTGAAATTAAAGATATTAAAGTATTTAATTTTTTTTACTTTAAATTTTAAAAAATTTTTAAGGGAAAAAGTGCATTTTTCCCTGTTTGGGCAGCCGATGATCAAAGGGATTTACCTCCAAAAAATCATTATTTGCCTTGTCGTGGTGTTAGAATTCAAAATATATTAAATCGTTAGTTTTTATTTTGGATGATATTTTATTGTTTTTAATTTTCTAAATTAATTTTTAAGCAAATTTTATGCTTAAAAGCCGCACAGATAAGAATGGACAAAAATTGGAATTTCCAATTCCTCGAGTTACAAATCAATCATTTAATCAAAATCCTTATTCAACATTTTATGATTCTTTAATTGGATTTATACCTAATGAATTTTGGATGTTTGTTTGTTTTTTTTTTATTTTTTCTTTAATTTTTTAGTCAAACATTTCCAATGGGACATCCACATAATGGGGCAATTACATTTAGATGGAGTTGGGAAACTGATTTTAACGTTGGATTTGGAGTAAAATTTAATTTTTATTTTTTAAATTTAAATTATTTAAATAAATTAGGTGGAGAATATAATTAACGATAATGAACACAAAGGGGGACTTACATTAAAACATTTGAAAAGAATAATAAATGAACGTCAACAAACAAAACAAGAATTAATATTATAAATAGTTACTACATAATTTATACATATATAATATGTATATATTTTTTATAAAAATTTTTTTTGTTTGTTTATTTTAAATTAAAAATTTATTTTTTAAATTTAAAAATATTTTTTAAAATTTTTTATGCTAATTTTTTGTTAATAATTTAAAAGTAAAAATGAATAGTAAAAAGCCTGGCCTTTTGGCATTATTACCAAAACCGAAGGGAGTAGCACAAACTAAAGCACCAGAACTCCCGTCAATTTCTGCATTACCAAAACTTGGACCGTCACAAACTTTGGAGGTTTTTTATTTTAAAATTTCAAATAAAAAGGGACAGTAGGGGGTGCTAATTTCTTTAACTCGATTAGTAAACTATACCTAGGTTGAGAGGGTTTCTCTTAGTTAATATAAACGAGTTTTATTAAAAAAAATATTTCAGAAAACACAACAAATTGAAGAAACAACGAAGACTGTTGAATTCAAAAAAATAAAAGAAAAACCAGTTGGCACTTCTTTGTTAGGAATAGTTGACTATAGCTCAGATTCTAATGAAGATGATGAAAATGAGGGAATTGAAAAAGAAAAAATTGAAATTGATGAACCGATTGATTTTTTTGGTTTAAAAAATTCATCAGAACCTGCTTCAAAGAAAATTCGTCTAGAAGGTGAAGATTATGATGTTCTAAATGAGCCACAAATTTTTTTCGAAGAGGTTGCGCCAGGACCTTCCAGGTTATTTAATTATATAAATGGATGGAGGCTTTCTTATTTATCAATCGAAATAAATTTAAATCCATTTAACGGATATACTTTTCTAGTTTACCTTTCCAGAATGGATTTTTCGACATTTTTAAATGGATTTTTTGACAAGCCTACATCTGTAGGAATTACTAAATTTATCTAATAAAAAGTAAATTTAGACTTTTGAACGATAATTTATCAAATGATACATCTATTTCTTGCTCATCGGATGAAAAGACACCAAGTGTTCTACGTTCAATTACAGATCAGGTATATTAAAAATAATAGGATAGAATAAAAATAAAAATATTTTCTAAAAAGTAAAGAGTTTTTTACTTTTTAAACAAAAAAATTTATTTCTCTTAAATTTTAAGGAGGCAAGTCGTTTGATTTTTGAACGTGAACTTGTTCCAAATGGAGTGTATAATTCGGCAATAGCAGATGAAGCTATTAGCGGAATGATTGATGTAAGTGTAGATGCAGCATTAGGCCCAAATATTAGAGAGAATTTACTACAGAATTTAAATACAAAACAAATGGTTTGAAATAATTTATTTAAATTTAATTTTTATTTTTTATAGGCCCAAATAGCTTGTGGCCCATTACCTAAATTACCACAAGGAAGTGACAAAACTGCTAAAACAATGCCAGAGAGATTAGCTAAACGAAAACATCAAATTACTCATTTGGCTCAAGTGGTTAGTTTTTACAATTATATAAACAAGTAAAGAGGGGAATTGATGAATGAGGGAGGGAAACAACACTAAATGACATTTTCTTTTAATTATCCAATCTTTTTACTTTTTTATTTCCAATAATTTTGACAATTTAAAAACATTTAAAGGCAATCTCCCGCGAGGAGCAACTCCAAGAAAAATGGGCGGAAGGTAGACAACAAAAGAAAATGAGCCGACAAAAATATGGATTTTAAAATTAAATTTAATTTGTAAAAAAAATTATTTAAAGTTTTAAATAAAATTAAAAAAAAGTTTTCTTATTTTAATTGTCCCCATAATTAATCATTCTCGGGTGTAATAGAACGAGAACAATCAATTGTTTTTACTTTTTGAGTTTAAAATCAATTGTTTTTACTTTTTGGTTTTAATAAATACACTGCGGTGCAAAAGTTTATCTACACCTACCGAAAATTTTTTTAGAACGATATATCTCGGGGAAATTTCGTTTTCATGAAATGATTTTTTTCACAATTATTAAGTGTAAAGTGCTCTTTCTAATAAGCCCTTGTGTTAAAAATAAGCACCAGAACTTTTTATGATATGCTACTTTTTCCCAAACTAATTCGGTTTTTGTCGGTGCAAAAGTTTATCTACACTTTGCAAAAATTGGATTTTTAGAAAAATAAATGGCAGAAAAAATACCAAAAAAATTCTGTGGGCATTTCCATTGATACTGAGTTAAAAATAAAAAAGAACGAAGTCCGTAACAGTTTTCATCATCGAGATCTCAAATCACAGAAATCAACGGGAAATCGTGGTACAGTACTTTAAAAAATATTTTAGCTCCATTGAGCTTGTATAAAAATTTTCTTTTGAGCTCATTAGAAAGCCCATAAAATTTGCCACAAAATAGCTCAAGCTTAAATTTTCGTATAAAAAACTTCTTGAGATAAGGGTCGATTAATTTAATAAGTTATTATTTTTGATAAAAATCTCCAAAAATACCCCATAAAATGCTCATTTTTAATTTCACAATAAGTAGCCCACACTTAGCTACTATACAGATTTGTTTACAAATATGAGACCAATGATATTTTGTAGCAAATTTTATGGGCTTTCTAATTAGCCCAAAAAGAATTTTTGATACAGGCCCTAGGGAGCTAAAATATTTTTTAAGTACTGTAACCCCATTTCCCGTTGATTTTCGAGATTTGAGATCTCGATGAAGAAATTAGCTAGAAATATTGTTTTTTCTGATTTTATATTCAATATCAATCGAAATGCCCGTTGAAATTTTTTTGTGTTTTTATTGCCATCTATTCATCTAAAAATTTAATTTTTGCAAAGTGTAGATAAACTTTTGCACCGAAAAAAATTGAAGCAGTTTCGGAAACTGGTGTATATTTTGATAAGTACTGGGGGTTATTTTTAAAACTATGGCTTATTAGAAAAAGCACTTGTTACTTAATAATAATAAAAATAATCCATGTCATTTAAACGAATTCTTCACGAGATATACTGTTTTAAATAAATTTTCAGTCAGTGTAGATAAACTTTTGCACCGCAGTGTAGGAGACAATTTAAAGCTCTAAATATAAAAAATATAATTCAACAACAACAATTATGTTGATACATAAAAGTTTTAATTTTTTCCTTTTATGTCTATTAAATTTGGCAAATATTACCGAATGTTTGAGATGTTATACAGTAAGTTATTTTTGTTTAGTTATTAACAGGGATAACTGAGATAATCGAAGGATTTACAAAAGCGAATTAATTTTCATTGAAGTGAAGAAAAATACAATTTTCGACAATTATTTTTTAAAATATAAATTTAAGGCTCTCTTAATTTCGTCCAGACCTAAAATTCATTTTTCTGTTAGGGATTTAGAATAATTCGAGGTCAAAGTTATGGTGGTGGAGAGGTAGAATGTAATAGCAATGAATTATGTTATAATGCTACAGCAGCTTCAGGGAATGTTTTTGATGCAGGCAAAGCTGGATGTTCTCAATATAGGTAAATACATAAAGATCAAATTAAAATATGTACTTTTATAATTTAAAGATGTATGCTAGCCAGAAATAATTGTATAAAAAATGAATTGGGAGGTGTTCCTGTAAGTTTTTGTTGTTGTGATAGTGATTTGTGTAATGCTGGTTAATTAAAGGCGAGAAAATAAAAAATGTAAATAAAAAATATTTTTTCTCTTAAACTATTGCTTTAATAAATAAAATGCAAAATTATTTTTAATTAAAAATATTATGTATAGAGGTCTAAATTTAAAAAAGAGAAAAAAACAAATTGGTCGACAAAACAAAATAAAAGAATAATTTTTGTAATTATTCAAAAAAAGTAATTAAAAAAGAGAGAACTAACCAAAATATTTATAATCCCTCTCCCAAAAAATCACAACATTATGTTTCAACATTCCTCTCTCAATTTACTCGTAATTCTCCACTAAATTTGTTTGACGCACCAAACCCCCATTATTCAATAAATGTTGATGTAATTGAGCACCAGCAGGAGAAGCAATAGCCTTTAAAGATTATTTAAACATTTAAAAGGATTTAATTTAAATTTTTTTACCGAATTTCCACCGCCCCCAGTTTGTTGTTGAGAATTTTGTGCGCCAACGGCTGCAGCCGTTGCATGATGATACTAGAAAATTATTCTTCTTAATTTTACTTTTATTAAGAGAAATTTACCTGAATTTGATAAGCCAAAGGACTAATTTTAAAGCCATATAACCTTTAAAAAATAAATTAAAAATAAAAAATAAATAAAAATAACCTTGGCACGTATTGCTTGGCGGTACGTTTAGGGCGCAGTTCTGGATGCACAAAAAAGAACATATGAGGAAATCCGGTGCCTGTAAAATAAAAAAAGAAAATTAAAACTATTTAAATATTTCTAACCAAAATAAGCTCCCTCGGTATGTTGGTGTTTACTCGATCGAGGCAAGTATACATCACAACATCTTGGACAATAGATACGCACCATGCACTCACCAAGAACATCAGAAAGGCCTAAAAGAAAAGCAAAAAATTAAAAAAATTACTAAACATTATATGAAATTGAATTCTCCCAAAATTGATGACTACTCATTAATATCATAAACAAATTGTCCACCGTTTTAAATTATATGTCAAGTTTGTATAAAAAATAGAAAAAAATTAACCAATTGGAAGAACAGGTTGATTTTCACAATAAACGCGAGGACAAGTTCCAAATTCTTCATTCTTCCATTTTGCTTGCATTAATTGAATCCCTCGATTAGTCAAAACATAACGTGAATGAATTAGTCCATAAAGCATCTTTCAAAAAATTAAACTAAAAATACAAAAAAGTAAACAAAAACCTCTGCTGCTTGTTCAACTAAATCACTCTGCCCTTCTTCATAATCTTCATCTGGCTCCAAATCCAAAATCTGCATTTAATAAAAAAATTTATATTTCTCAATATAAGCTCGTCAAAACCCAACCATGTCTAGCGCTTGACGAAAATGCGGCACCTGTTCTGCCAGTCCAGTCAAATTAAAACGATCTTGTATGTATTCCTCCTCAACCTGACAAATGTAAAAAGACATTTCTATTTTTCAAGACTTATAAAAAATCTAAAGAAAGGAAAAATAGAAACACTATGGACTTCCTCAGTTATCAGTGACTAAAAATTGAAAGGGCAAAGCCCGAGTTCTTTACCAACAAAGTATGTTTAAGTAAAAAATATCAGACCTCACAAAAAAACTCATTGCCTCGAAGAGTGCAGAACCAAGAAATCCAAGAAACTTCTTCACTACTACTCATCCTACTATTTGTCCTTAATTCAAAATTTAAATCTTTAGAATTCGATAAAAAAAATATTAAAATTGAAAGAAATACAAAATTAGAAAAACAAAATTTAAAAACAAGTTTTTAATTTATTCACCAATTAACTCGAAACAAACGATAACAACAACTTAACACAAATCAAAATAATTTTTTCTCCAAAAATTCAAATCATACGCTCCAAAAGCTTATTGATTTGATCTTCACGGTTTCCATAATCTCCACCCTCAACAAAGTGATTAGACTTTTTATTAAAGCCGCCCAATGGATTGCTCAACTTGAATGGCCAAAGAAAGTTGGTAACTTGCTTGAAGTGAGGGCCAACAGTCCAAATCTTTTTTTAAAAAATAATTTAAAGAAAATATAAAACAACCTGATTAATCATATCCTCAACACAAATAATGTCTTGCTTGCCAAGATTTTCTTCAACAATATTATTGTCAGTTAATGGCATCCTCTGACCTTTAACTTTAACATATCCACGTTTGTAGATAAGTTGACGAATTATCTTTTGGCTTGGATAACCCCAAGCAATGTACGGCTAAAAACAAGTAAAATATTTTAAAATAATTTAACATTAATTACATCAGCAATACGCAACATTTGGATTGTAGCTTTATTCAATTTAATGAAAACTCCATTGTTGATTTGACGCAAGCGGAAAAGTTGAAGAACTTTTCGAGGACGAGGATGGATCTGAATTAAATAAATTAAAGAATTTGTAGATTAATGGGTGATAAGATCATAAACATTTTGAAAAGGTTAGAAAGCACAAAAAGAAGAAATTCAAAATCCATCCTAAACTTTAAAGAAAATTTAAATTAACCTTGTTGATTCCCTTAATACGAACAACAAAAGCAAGTTTAGGCTCATCTGGGACATAAAAATTCCCTGCTTTCTTAGCTTGTCTTTTCAACTGCAACTCTTGCTTCTGCTTACGTCGGTATGCAATCAAGTATTGCTCAGCACGTTTAAAGATAACTTGCGTTTTAACCTTAGCCTTCTAAATAATTTAAAAATAATTGAAAGCCAAAATAAAAATTTCTCAACCTTAATATTCTCCAATTTATTCTTAAGAAGAGAAGCACGTTGTGCAGCTCTAATTTTCCTTCTCTTCAAAACAGTCTCAGGCACCATCGGCAACTTCTTCTGGTCTCTAAAATTAATTAAATTGGTTCAAATCAATTTCTTTAAAGACTTACTCAGTCATTGTCCACTAATAAAGAATCAATAAGCTATAAAAAGGATGTCTAAAAAGGAATTAAAATAAGTATAATAATTAAGAAAAAAAGGTAAAAACAAGCTTTGAATTACTTGTTTAGAAAAATTTCAAAATTAAACCAAAAAACTTATTATTTAAATTTGCAAACAAATTCCAAAATTAAGAATTTTCTTTTTCCGTTTGTTCTTTTTTTACAGCATCTCCTCCCTTCTCTTCTGATTCATTAAGCATTTTACGATATCTTTCCAATAATTCGCAACCATCCTTTAACGTCCTCTTCATATCCTCAATTTCAGCAATTATTTGGCGATTCTCTGCCTCCAATTTATTTCGCAACTCCTGACGTTCAATTTCAACTGAATTGATAATTATAATTAAATTTAAATAATTAAATTTTAACAATCTTTTGGAGTTCGGAAGTACCCATAAAATTGTGATGAAAAGGTGTCGCCAGTGTCTAAAAAGTTTTGTATTTAATATATGGAATGTATTTTTAATTACTAAAAGGAGGACAACGTAAAACACTTAAAAAGTGGCTTTCCCAAAAGAACAGAATATTTAATTCTATAGTAATTTGGTTCTTAGAACTTAGAAAATAGGTGACTTTAGAAAGCAGAAAACAAAACTAACATCGAGAATCCTTTTTGTGATTTGAATGTTTCATCAAAGCTCTGTACATTGGCTCTGTTGGTTCATTAAATATAATCTCATCATAAAGTTCTTTCAAGACCATTTTTTGTCCATTTTTTAATTCAATAAGAGGTTGATGTAATCGAAGATAGTGAAACATTGTTACCTAACAATAAAAAATTCATGAAAGAATAAAGTGCAAAAATCGACAAACAGGTTTTTCGTTGACGTCAGTAAAATAAAGTTTAATCTTAAAAAGAAAATATTTAAATAATTTTTTTATTTTAAAAAACCTGAATATCAAATTCTCCCCATCCTGTCTCTGACAACTCGAATGGAGCCTTCTCAACGATCCGAACATTATTTGGATAAGACTCGTGTAGACGAAATTGAACTTTTCGAATATAAATAGATAAATCTTCATCTCGATCATAAGGGCGAATGAAAATCTTTATTAGATAAACTTTAAAAAGTCATTAAAAAATAAGAATTAACCGTCCATTTATGTGTATGGCCTTTGCTGTTTTTCTGAGGAAAAATTACAGCATAATTACCATAAATTAAAGGTTTAATAACACGCTTGTTTCTAACTCTTTCAGTGTAAACAACTCCTCCACTATTTGTTGAAGTAGAAGCCATACCAAATATAAAAAAATTAGGAAACACGAGAAAACCTCAAATTCAGAGCTTTCAAAGATTATAAACAAAAATAAGTCTCAAAAGTTCCACTTACCCAAGAAAAAAGGGTAGGGGACGACTTATCTGGATGTAACTTTTTGCGTTGATCTGATTAGATTAACTAGTTGGAAAATAATCCTCACATTCAGGGCTTTCGAGTGACAAAAGCTTTGTTCTAATTAGTTAAACCCAAAAGGTTATGGCCCAACATATGGCTGCAGGACTCAACCGGCGGGACTCAATGATCCCCTACCCCTGAAATACATAACGCCAGAATACAGTAGACAAAATCAATTAGTATAAAAGAATCATTTCTCTCTTATTTTAGTGTCCACTTCGATAAAAAAAAAAGTTGTTTGCCGTGTTGGGCTTATTATTATTTTCGTTTTTGTTACCTTTATTAGAAAATTTGTCTTTGTTTATTTATATTTATTTAAACGCGTTTTGATTTTTTAGTTTAGTGCTTTAAAATATAAAGAAATGTCTCCTCGACCAAAAGTTTATTTTGATATTACTCTTGGTGGCAAGGCGGCAGGTTTTTAGTAAATCTGTTTTATAAGGATATTCTAAACGTTTAGGTCGCATTGTGATTGAACTTTATGCCGACATCGTTCCAAAGACGGCGGAAAACTTTCGTGCTTTGTGTACTGGAGAGAAAGGAATGGGACATAGCGGGAAGCCTTTGCACTACAAAGGATCTAAATTTCATCGTGTTATTCCAAACTTTATGCTCCAGGTGGCTGATTTTATTATGATTATATTGACATTAAAATTCAGGGAGGTGACTTCACTCGTGGAAATGGCACTGGTGGCGAGTCTATTTATGGAGAGAAGTTTGCCGACGAAAACTTCAAGGAAAAGCACACTTGCGCCGGTCAATTGGTATATAATTTATTTTTAAAACTTGTTTCTACTAAATTTCACTTTCTAGTCTATGGCCAATGCTGGACCTAACACCAATGGATCTCAATTCTTCATTACGACTGTTAAGACAGAGGTTTATAGTCTTATAAGCGGCGATTATATTTTAATTTTCAGTGGCTCGATGGGAAGCACGTCGTTTTTGGCAAAGTGATCGAAGGAATGGACGTGGTGAAGTCTGTTGAGGCTATTGGCTCACAAAGCGGCAAAACTAGCAAGGTATATTTGAAGATCAACTAGTCAAAAACTAAAGTTCGTTTAGGACGCTGTCATCGCCGACTGTGGTCAATTGGCTTGATCATTTGATAGATGAGAAGGGATTTTGAATAAAAAAGGAATCGTAATAAAATAGAAAGTTTTCGATATTTAATTCCAGTATTTAAAAATGTTCTTTTGATTCCATGAAAATTATTTGTTAAAATTGTTCGTTTATGGAAAAGTAAATGTTGACTTTTGGTTTAAACATTTATTCTATAAGAATGGAAAAAGTATCTTTTATGATGAAATGTGTTCTTTTCTTTGTTTTCGTCTGTTCTCCGCTAAATCAAGAAATCTAGCTTTCAGTTCGTATTTAATCAAAAATTAAAAGTCCCGCAAAATATTAAATTTCAAATTGTAATATACATTTTGCAAAATTTTCGGTAGGGGGCGGTTCAGTATCGGTGGATTCAGTATTTCGGCTTGGCCATCTTTTTGAAAAATTAATGTTTTATACATATATTTTTTTAATTTTTAGTATTTAATGTTAAGTTTGGATTCATTTACTTACCGATTATTGTGGCGTCTTAAAAGCTTTCTTCGTCTTCAAAACAGAGGCCCACAACCAATTATTTACAGTTTTGTTATTTTTTAATTAAATTAATTTCTCTTTATTTAAAGATGCACCTTGTCGTAAATTCATTCCTCCATCGAATTTTGAGAGTTTGCTGGATAAAGAAAAAATGAAAAATTTTGTGGCGCTTAAAGATGAACTAAACGTTTATTTTAAATTGATTTAAATAAATTTAAAAATTATTTTTTAGATCCTTACACGAATATTTAATCAATTACCTGAAAAACTTGATGAAAAAGGTTTGTGTTTTGTGTCAGAAATTTTTGTTTTTAATATTTTTCAAAAAATTTTTAATTTTTAGATTGGCATTCCTTAATTCAATTATCAAATACAAAGGATCGTTTCTTTTATTTACGTTTTCTTTACAAACGTGAAAAAAAGCGAACAAATGAAAAAATAAAAGAAGAAACGAGAAAATTAAGATTTGAAGAATATAAGGAACAAAAATTACCAATTAATAAAGAAGAACAATCTTTAATTTATTTACGAAATTCGCATATTGGTTAGTTTAATTATTTTAATTTGGTTTTGATAAAAATACAAAATTTTCATTAGAGAAAATTTTAAAAATAATTTTTCTCCCTTTTGACTCTTTTAAATAATTTTTAAATTCCAGATTTATTACAAAAACGTTTTACGACAAATAAAATTATTGAAGCATTTCGATTAAAAGAAGAATATCCAATAATTGCAATTGATTGTCGTTGGCTTCATTTACATTCAGAAAGAGGTCTTAATTTGGCTTGTAAACAATTAAAATATTTAATTGGAAGAAATCGAGATCGTGAAATTCCTTGGCCTTTATATTTAACAAATTTTATTGAAGAAAATAATTCAAAAATAGAAGAAGCAAAAAGAAAGTAATTTTTTAAAATATTTATTTTTTATTTTAATTTAAAGACATTTTTCAATTATTAATGGAAAATTCTTCACAGCACATATTACATCAAAATCTTATTTGGAATTATTTCCTGAATTGAAAGATAAACAAAAAATTGTTTATCTTTCTCCCCATTCGAAGGAACCTTTGGAGGTATTTTTTAAAATTAATTTTCAAAAATTTCTTTATTTAATTTCTAATTATTTTTTGTTTATTTTTTACTAATTTTTTTATTTTTCACATTTTAAAGTTCTAAAAATTATTTCTAAACAAAAAATATTTTTTAAATTAAAAATTTATTTTCAAAAGTCAGTTGAACCAAATACTTGTTATATAATTGGTGGAATTGTTGATGCATTTTCAGAGCCAGAAATTCCTTCAAAAGCGTCAATTGAAGTAGCAACACAAGAAGGACTTCAATGTAAACGTCTAAATTTAGATTATAGGTTTTTAATTTATTTCAATTTTAAAATAAATTTCTGAAATTTAGGCAGTTAAAAGGAGGAAATCCAATGTTTACATTAGATCAAGTACTTGATATATTACATGATGTTTATGATCAGTCTGAATGGGAGGAAACAATTAGAAGGTTTTTCATAGTTTTTTTAAAGTTATTTATATTGTCAACCTTTTTCTCGTTAAAAGTTTTAATGTATATTTAGATGGAAATATAACCCAAAAAAATCCCGTAATGGATTCTGTCCCAAGTTTTTTTTATTAAATATTTAAATTAAAAAATTTTTTAGATATGTGCCAAAACGAAAATTTGAATCAAAATCAGAAAAAAATTTATTAGTAAAAAGTTTTTATAAAAATACGGCTGAAAGAAATAGACAAATTATTGGAATTCTTCAAAGAAACTGTGGGATTAATCAAAGTACAACAAATGCTTATTATCATACAACGACAAATTGTTTTGAAGTAAAGAAAGGTTTTCTCTAATATTTTTATTTTAATTATTAAATTTAAAAAGAAATGGAAACAAAAATTCCTTCAAAACAATTATTTGATGGAACAATTAAAAGAAAAACGAATGGAGGAATGTTTTTAGAAAAGAAACAAAATAATTATAAAAATAATTTGATGGATTTACTTTTTCCAAAAATGCTTCTTGATTATAATAATTTACAAAAAGTAATAGGTTTTGCAGTTGCTTTAGATGTCTTAATTCTGTCAATTATTTTTTGGTTAGATAAAAAGGTTTTTTTTCTTTTTTTTTCGAATATTAAAATTACTTTTAGGAAATGGAAGACGAGGAAAAACAACAGAAAATGGACATACTTTATTTTTTGTTATTTACAATTAATTTGATTTTTTGTTTATTGTTACGTAAAAAGATGATTGCAGCGAGAAGCAAAATTGTTAAATAAAAAGTATTTAAATTTGTTGATTTCTTTCATTTTACTATAAAATTTACAATTAAATTGTAAAATAACTGAGAAATTTAATAAATTAAAAGACTAATAGTATATTCAAAAAAATTTTCATTCATCATCACTTAGTATTTCCCCCTCACTTAATTCTGACTCGTCTACCACACGTTTTTTCTTTTCAGGTGGAGGGATTTCACTAGTTGTTGAGACTAATGAAAATAAAATCAGATTAAAAAGAAATTAAAAATAAATACCATTTGTATCTCGTTGTTGTTCTCTTTGTATTGTTGTTCTATGTTGTAGAGTTGGTGTTACTCTGCGATGGCTTGGTGGTGGAGTTCGGGCCCTTCTTCGACTCGAAAATGACTGGGAAGAGGATGGCGGCGATTTCGAACCTGAGCGTTGATTATTTCCCAAACGGTGCGAGGAGCCACCTCTTCGTCCTGAACGATCTGCCCAACGGGAACGATTACCATCTGAACTCAAACTTTGAAATACAAAAATCAAGAAACTGACCAGAAAATTGGGATGGTGGTTGATGTTCACGTCTAACTCCGCCATAAACTGGTTGTGTAGTAGAGAGTCCACTTCTTTGTGATGAAAAGCTTGGTGGAGGCCCAGTGACAGAAAGTGAAGGAGCATTTGCTGACATTATCAATTCTGGAAGAAGTGATGGAATTTTTTGTTGAAATTGGCCTCCAACATTTGCCAAAGGAAATTCACTTTTTAAGATTATAAATACTTTCTTAAATATTAAAAAAATACCTTTTTGAAGGCGAGGGTCTTCGTCCATTGCTAGCAGAAATGGCTGCTGCTTGCGTCCATTGCGCAGAACTCTGCAAATAAATAATTTTAACAAAAATCGAAATTTAATAAAAAGACCTGAAGTTGTTGAGAAATAGAAGGAAATTGTGAAGATGCTAATGATGATTGGGGCGGTGGTTGAGATACAATAGAAATGGAAGATGATTGTGCTTGAAAAAGTGGAGGTGGGGGCATTGTAAGATTAGCTATAATTGGAGTTTCCTTCTCACACACCTAAAAATATTTTAAATATTTCTATTTTATAAAATTTGATTGAAAAAACGCAGATCTATACTGCTATTGTCAAGCCAAAATTTTTTGCCGATTAAAGAATTTTAAAAAACTGAATGAAATATTTTCGTTTATGATCCGAACGAATACCGAATGTAAAAAATAAAATTTTTAGCATTCTTAAAAGTAATTTTTAACCGAACATAAAAGTTCAGATACAAAAAACCTTTTTTCCTTCGTTATACTCATCACCCTCATTTTGGAGGTTTAATGTTAATGAATTATTTTCATCTTCCTCTTCTTGAATTACTAATTCAACATTACATTTGTCAATTGCCTTTTGCATTTGTTTTGAAGGTTTGTTTTGATTTTCCTGCTTTTGTGTACCTCCCAAATTTTCCAATGAAGTCAATTTAAAGATCTTTTGTGAATTACTACTATTACCTTTATTACTAATTTTGTATCTATAAAGGTTAGTAAATGTTCGGTTTTTTTTTTCGCAATCTAAGATAATTCGTAATATGTGCCCATATTTCTATCTTGAAATAAGCAAAAACACTCACTGCATTCAAGTTTTCACGACTGCGTTCAAGTGTTCGTCGTAAATCTTGTAAACAACTACTGTCCCGGGAACGAACAATAATTTCCCGTTGAAGATCGTCCATTTCAACAAGTTTAACACGAAAACGAGCGGCCATCTTTCAAAAATTATTTTGAAAATAAAAACAATAATAAACCTTTATATAAATCGATCGAAACATTTCAATTGGCATTTCATCAATACCAGGCAAATCTGTTTGAGAGTGATAAATTCCATTTATTTTTATACCATTTTCAATAGGAGCATCATTTTCTTTTGTTTGATTACCAATGAAAAGGCGTTCAAAAAATGTATTTATTTGGGGTTCATCTCTTGAAATTAACATTGCTGACTAAAAACTATTACATTTTATTATAGTGTTAAATTATTAACCTGTTTTTTAGACATTGCAGCCTTTTCCCATTGTTCAGCCGAAAATTCTGAAGATTCGGATCTACTACCTTCTTCTTCTTCCAACCGTTGTTTTAACATTAACAAATATGGGTCTGAAGTTAATTTTGAATCACCCTTAATCAAAAAATTAACATACTAGCCCAAATTGCACGAAAATTAATTTCATCAAGAATAGAAAACGGGGCAGTCACTGAATAATTCTCCATTGGCGATTCAGATCCCAGTAATATATCAACACTTAAAAAAATAATTTCTAAATAAATAAAATATTAAAAAAATCAACTTTTGAGACATTTCAGGTAATTGATGTGGAAAAACACCAGACAAAATAAATTCTCTCCGAAGTTCCATCAACAAAAATCCTAGTCTATTTCCTCCAATATATGGTGGACGGAAAGCCAATGGCCGAAGGCAAATATCCATTAACTTTAAAAAATTAATCATTTAAAAGGTCGTTCCAAACACAATTTTTAAGCTTATAATTTTCTTATTTTAGTGCCGCAGACAAAAAATTTTTAAAGCCCTGGATACATTAATTAATTAAATTAATTTACTTGTTTAGTATCTTGTTGAACATGAAATAACCAAAGTCGTAAATCACGTTCTCTTACTCCAATATGTAATTCTGCTTCAATTGAAGAAAAACGGGAACAACTTATTAATAATGCATCCTAAAAATAAAAATATTTTTCAAACTAAAAAAAACACCTGGGTATCCAGAAGAACACGTAAAAGCATTGGATGTTGTTCAAATTGCATTTTCATTGCCCTTTTTAGAACATTTTGCCTCTCTTCTTGATACCTAATAATCAAAAATATTAGAATAAAATTTTGCTGTTTGAAACAATTAAAATAATCATTTTTTGTTATAGTCAAAAAAGTCTGTTTAGTAGCAAGCCTAATATTTTAAATAATATTTCTACCATTGTTGTATCATTTCCAAAGGTAGATGCATATAATCACATATTACTCTATGTAACCTTTCCCAGCATTCAGGTCCTTCTCTAGGTTCCATTATCCAAACAGCATTACTTTCGTTTATATCCAAAAATCTGAAAAGGTATTTAAAAATAAATTTAAGTCTAAAAAATTTGGGAAACTCCTTTAAGTTTTTATTTTATCTAATAACTTATCGTATTTTTTATTTAAAATTAACTTACTCAATAGCTTCTTGTGCAGCTAAATGTACAGCTGACGGAAACACAGCAGTAGATTCATCGTCTTTTATATCTACTGGATAAAAGGGGTGAAGAACAGATTCTGGACTAAAACAGATCATATGATTAGAGACTGAAGAACGCAAAACACTCGAAGTCAGAGGGGTAATTAATGGAATCCTTTTTAAAAAGTTTCTCAAAAATATTTTTAAATTAATTAACCTATGTGTAGTTTGTGATGCTAATTTTGTTCTCAATTCCATTAATAATAGTCCTGTTTTATTCGCTCCTAAATGTGAAAGAGCAGGAGGTCGATGCGTCCGACTAGATTGCCATTGCAATAATAATTGTGGAGTTATATATTTTTTGCTTAATAAATGCTGATATTCTAATTCATCTGATCCGCATGCCCATTGAGTATCAGCCTCTATTTAACAAAAAAAATTATTCACAAAATTAAAAAAAACCTGGAGTAGTTTCAAGTAAAAAAGCATTTCCTGTACTTAATAAAAGTTTTTGTAAATATTCATTTTTTGTTATTTTATATTTCATTGCTGATTGTCTCCAACGATCTAGACGTGCATATTTATATTCCAATTCGTTTTCATCGATCTAATATAAAAATTTTATAAAAATCTATAAAAACTTACATTTAATCGCTTAAAAAGTCTTTTAGCCATTTTTGAAACATCAACAGGCTTGACAGTTGTTCGAATTTTCAGTATTTCATCCTCAGGAAGATGTAAAGCTTCAAAAAGTCGTTGATAGACATAATGCTCAACAGAACCTAGAAAAATCAATTTGAGAATTTATAATAAAAAAACAAACGATAAAAACATCCTTTCATTTCAAATGTAAATGCATAATAATTGCTTAAAGGTTGAAATGGGCCTTGAAGAGATAACACAAAATTGGAAAGAGAAATTGGCACAAGATTGCCTTCTTGATCACTAGAAACCCCCTCGTCCTTAATTTCAACTGTAGAAAGCCATTTTGCCTTTTCCTTTTCCCTGAAAAAGAAAAATTACAAAAATTAATTCAAATTTACCTAAGTTCATAGCGTAGCCACATAAGAAAGAAACCAAGCTGATTCTGACCAACTTCTTTTGGCCGTTGACGATCATCATGCATCCAAGCACTAATTCTAAATTAAAAAATGATTATAATTCGCAGAAAAACCCATTGTCAGAGAAAAACCTTTCAGCGTTTGCGTGATGTCGTTTAGAAAATTGTACAAAATATTCATCATCCATTCCAATCCCAAGTTCAGAATCACGACGGTCACATACAATAAGAAGAGCATCACCAGTCTCCATTAAAGTTTGGCGAAAACCTATATATTACATTATAAGAAATATTATGTGAAAAAACGTTTGTCTTGCTCAGCTCTAAGTCTTAACCCCATCATTGTATATGATTGACGACCTAAAAATTAATTTAAAACAATCTAAATTATGACAAATCCACTCACTAACGGTCAGATATTGTGAGAGGGAGTTCATATCGTGTCCTGAAGGCATATTTTCTTGTAGGAGCTCAATAGCCTTTCTCGAGACATTCGAACTTGTTGTTGCTAATAGAGCCAACACATGAACCTTTAATTGTAATTCAACTTAACGGAGAAGAGCCAATAGAGAATTTCCACCCTATTGCCAAAATAGACCCAAAACAATATATACCAGAACCAACCTCATCCAGTCCTAGCTGTGTCAAAATTTGGGCATAAGCATAATGATCGACACTTGGATAACTAAAAAAACTTACAAATTATTTAAAATGTAAAAACCGTTTGCCGCCCTCATTAAGGGGAAATGTAAATGCTGAATGTAAAATATCTGTCTCATTACCCAACAGAAGAATTCTACCCTCCTCCATAGTAGCTGGAGCAGCAATAACCATGTTGCAGACTATTTATAGTATTAAATAAAATTTAAAAATTTTTAAATAATCAAAGGGCATTTCTAAAGATCGTGAAATCGTTGGAGACACACCCAAAAAAATTAAAACCAAAAAACATTAAAAACAATATCCGATAAAGTTGTTTACCATAACTGTTTTATCGGCAAAATCACAATTCTTTAGAATCGTCCAATTGTCGGAATAAATTCAACGAATATTCAAAAAAAAATAAAACTGATTGTGGGATATTTAATGGATCTCAATACATAAATGAAAACAACAAATTTACTTAAAATCATTACACTAAAGTGATAGATCTCGAATTTAAAGAAAATCAAATATAAAAATAAATCCAAAAATATTTTCTTCCTTCATTCTAATTAACGTCTTGGAGGTGAACGAAAGCGGCCTCCTCCACCATTTCCAAGCGGAATAGAATTTGCGCCAGTGCTGCGTGAAGGTGGAGAACGGCTTCGGCGAGGACGACGTGCTGGAGGCGATACTCCACTGCGATTTGCGCCACCCATACGGCGCGGAGAACGAGAACGATCACGCTTAGTACCCCCAAAGTTGGCGCCAAACGAACCTAGTGGAGAGCTGCCACGACCTTAAATTTAAAATAAAAAAAAAACAAACAAGAAAATTAACCTGGACGGTAAGGAAGAGTCAATTCGCACTGAATTTCCAACCCATCAATTTGGCCACCATCCATATGCTTAATTGCTTTCTCTGCATCCTCAGCCTTCTCATATTCTATATAGCCATAACCACGAGGAATGTGTATATGAACACGATCCATTGGTAATTCACAAGATTTAATAACACCAAACAATGAGAAAATTTCTTCCAAATGTGCCTTTGTGATATTACGGCTCAGATTGCTAAAATAATAAACTAGATATAACTAGATAATAATTAAAGGACAAAATTCCTTTCAGAAAGATAACAAATATTACTAAAAAAATACTACACCTACCGAGCACAAACCCGTTTCGGTTGTGGTTCAGGAGTACGTTCCCGACGTTCTCGCAGTGGAGAAGCAGCTGGTCTTTCACGCTCACGGCGTGGAGGTGAACGACGCACAGGAGAACGAGACCGATGACGTGGTGGCGATGCCTGTCGACGGCGTGCTGCAGGTGACGGTGAACGACGTGAAGAACTAACAGTAATTTTTTCAGACTTCGGTTGAGGCACACGCCGAGGAGAACGAGACCTCGCACCTCTTAAAGTCCATCTAATTAGGGGAAATTAAAAATAAATAAACCTTCGTGGTGAGCGGCGATTTGTAACAGGTCGCTCACTCCGTCCAGCAGCTGGACGACTCTTTTTAGGAGTTGGTGAACGTGATGCAGAACTTGTTGAACTGGATGATGAACCAGAGCCTGAACTAGAGCCACTAGTTGATGAACTAGCCGAACTTGAGCTACTTGAACGAGAACGACGTCTAGGTTTTGACTCTACCATTATAACTTTGTTGTGTCTGAAAAAATGAATAATTAGACAATGTTGAGAAATATCGTATAAAACAAAAATCGAATGGATATGGAATATTTTTGTTTAAGATTCAGCAACACAAGGCAGTCAAACTGGAGAGCGAACTCAACCATTCAGACTCAAATGGGTTACTGAAAAGTTCCTGAAATAACGGAAAGGCAATTTCAGTATCGATGACTCAGTCTTTAAGCCATATTTTGGGTCATAACTTTTTCAATTCCTAATCGATTTAGATAGTTTCGATATAACCCAAAAGGTTATATCGAAAGCTCTTGATATAAGGATTATTTTATCTAACAGAATTTATCTTATCAGATCAAAATACAAAAAGTTACAGCCAAATAAATATCAAGAATCGCGATTGCGCGCACTTATCTAAATGTAACTTTTTGTAGGTTGATCTGATCAAATTAACTAGTTGGAAAATAATCCTCACATCCAGGGCTTTCGAGTGATAAAACCTTTATTCTAATTAGTTAAACCCAAAAGGTTATGGCCCAACATATGGGACTCAACCGGCGGGACTCAATGATCCCCTATCTCCTGAAATACATAACGCCAATATACAGTAGACAAAATCAATTAGTATAAAAGAATCATTTCTGCTTTTATTTTAGTGTCCACTTTGATAGAAAAAAGTTGTTTGCTGTGTTGGGCTTATTATTATTTTCGTTTTTGTTACCCTTTATGAGAAAATTTGCCTTCATTTATTTATATTTATTTAAACGCGTTTTGATTTTTTAGTTTAGTGCTTTAAAATATAAAAAAATGAGCAGACCGAAAGTATTCTTTGATATTACTCTTGGTGGCAAGGCGGCAGGTTTTTAGTAAATCTGTTTTATAAGGATATTCTAAACGTTTAGGTCGCATTGTGATGGAGCTGTTTTCGGACATCGTTCCGAAGACGGCGGAAAACTTTCGTGCTTTGTGTACTGGAGAGAAAGGAATGGGACATAGCGGAAAACCTTTGCACTACAAAGGATCTAAATTCCATCGTGTTATTCCAAACTTTATGCTTCAGGTGTCTGATTTTATTATGATTATATTGACATTAAAATTCAGGGAGGTGACTTCACTCGTGGAAATGGCACTGGTGGCGAGTCTATTTATGGAGAGAAGTTTGCCGACGAAAACTTCAAGGAAAAGCACACTTGCGCCGGTCAATTGGTATATAATTTATTTTTAAAACTTGTTTCTGCTAAATTTCACTTTCTAGTCTATGGCCAATGCTGGACCTAACACCAATGGATCTCAATTCTTCATTACGACTGTTAAGACTGAGGTTTATAGTCTTCTTATAAGCGACGATTATATTTTAATTTTCAGTGGCTCGATGGGAAGCACGTTGTTTTTGGCAAAGTGATCGAAGGAATTGAGGTCGTCAAAGCTGTTGAGGCTATTGGTTCACAAAGCGGCAAAACTAGCAAGGTATATTTGAAGATCAACTAGTCAAAAACTAAAATTCGTTTAGGATGCTGTCATCGCCGACTGTGGTCAATTGGCTTGATCATTTGATAGATTAGAAGGAATTTTGAATAAAAAAGGAATCGTAATAAAATAGAAAGTTTTCGATATTTAATTCCAGTATTTAAAAATGTTCTTTTGATTCCATGAAAATTATTTGTTAAAATTGTTCGTTTATGAAAAAGTAAATGTTGACTTTTGGTTTAAACATTTATTCTATAAAAATGGAAAAAGTATCTTTTATGATGAAATGTGTTCTTTTCTTTGTTTTCTTCGTCTATTCTCCGCTAAATCAAGAAATCCACTTTCATCAATTGAGAAACCTCGATTTTTCACATATTCTTTTATTGAATCTAGCTCGATCCTATTTTTGTATATCAATTCGTAGACACAATCACCTTGAAGAAAATTTAAAAGCTAATAATAACTGAAAAAGAATTACCTGGGACTGTATCTCCTCTTGTCAAATTACTTAATATATTTTCCATGTACTTAAATCCTTCGTCCTGTTGTGCCCAAAGTCGTCTTTCCTCATTTGCCACTTTTTCAACTATATTTCTTTCGTTGACCCACAAATCTGGATGAGCATCACCCTTAAATAACAAATTTTTAAAATAAATAAGTAAACAAACTAATTGTTTAGTGACCAAAGGCACTAATTTGGCAAGTGATCCTCGTTCTAAGCCTAATTTCGTATTGGAAATTATTGCAGTTTTCTTGAATAGATCTTTAATCTTTCGTCTAAAATGAATATTAAAATAAAAATTCCTAGTATTCGGTTCGTGTTTAATCAAAAATTAAAAGTGCATACCTAATTTATCATTAAAAATATACCTACGCATATTTCTTAGTACTCGTAATATGCAATCCTTCAGCAAATGTTGCAACAATTGTGCGAATATGGTCAGAGACTATACGAAAAGCTGTGTCTTTTTCATTTGAATCTTCATGACCCCAACGTCCTTGATAGGTTAAACTATGAGGAGATAACTATAAAAAGTTAAGCCTTTTCTAAATGTCTCTACAAAAAAACCTCACTCATTTGATCAATTAATGGTTGAAATAAATCAGTCTCATAAGTAGAATTACAGTTTTGCATTATTGTACATAAACGTTCCAAACCCATTCCAGTATCAACAATTAACGGAGATGAGAGAGGTGTTACACGTCCATCACGATGTCTAATAAAAAAACATTTTAAAAGAAAAATGCCTAAAAACCTGTTATATTTCATAAAAACGACGTTCCAAAGTTCCATCAAATGAGGACTATCAAAATTAATAGGTGTTTGTCTTTCAATATTTTTACTCTTTTTGTCTTTACTATTAATCATTCGTCTATCAAAATGAATTTCTGTGCATGTACCAAAAGGTCCGATATCGCCCAAACTCCACAAATTTCGCTCAGCATTACAAGCAAATAAGTGAGTGTCAGGTACCCTATTTTTGAAATTAATTTAAAATATAATTAAAATAATAACCCCATCATTTGCCAGATATCCCTTGTTTCAATATCTTCATCATGAATTTCATCACCACCAAAATATGTTATATAAAGATGTGAAGGATTAATGGAAAGTTTTTGAGTTAAAAATTCCCAAACAAATTGTAAAGCTTCTTCCTTTAAATGATGAGAATTATAATTTTTTAAATAATAAAATTAACCTTAGAACAATCACCGAATGACCAATTTCCAAGCATTTCAAAGAATGTGTGGTGTTGATCATCATAACCAACCAAATCTTTATCGTTGAGTCGAATACATTTCTGCGAGTTAACCAAACGTTTTGCAGGTGGTTCTTGCTCACCAATAAGAATGGGAATAAACTTAAAGATTTTATTTATAACAATTTAGGTCAGAAAGGTAAAGTGCAAGTAAAAATGCAAGGAATTTTGGATGATTTATACCAAAAATTAACCTGTTGCACTCCAGCACATGTAAAATCACTCTGATTATATAAATTATGTTTAACGATTACTGGGCCAGATGGAACTTTTAAATGAGAACGACTGATGAAAAATTGCATAAAAAGTTCACGTAAATACTTACTAGTATTCATAATTCTAAAATTGATTAATATTTTGGATCATAATATAATTTAAATTTTTTAAAGAAAAAATAAGGAAAAACACCTAATTAAACTCTTCCATTATAAGTTAAAGATTTAAACCAAAAACATTATATAATTTAAAACATCAAAACAACGATAGAGTAATTAATGAAAAAATAAAATGTAAAAACAGAACAGATTTTTCGTAAATAAACAAAAAATTCTTTTATTAAGTTTCAACCTTCTTTTTCTTCTGTTCAACAGGTTCATCATCCTCTGCAGTTTTCTTGTTATCTTCAACATTTTCATCCATTTCTTCAGTATCCTTTCCATCCCCTTTTTCATTTTCTTCATCCTCATCATTGTCAAAAACAGTTCTCTTAAAAAATAAGGATTTGTTTAAAAAACTAAAGGGTAAGAATTATGCGCGAATTTTTTTAAGATTTCCAAAACAAGAGATAACTATTTTTTTAAGTATAAATATATTTTTTAAACATACCTTTCCTGTCTTTTCATTCTTTGCTACATGTCCAGATCCCTTATCTGCTCGTCGTTTCCTATTTGCTTTCGAGTTACGGTCAAACTGCTTCTTGCCTTTCTGTTGCTTTTCAACCAAATCGTGTTTTGCCAATTTTGCTTTAGAAAAGTCGGCCCAATATTTTTCTTCATCTTCACCATCAAGCACCGATCCGGTAATTTCATTACCTTCAAAGATCACTTTTCCCTCCGAATCGCCATTCTCTTTCGCCGAGTTCACCGCCTTTTGCCAGGCACTACTTGCTGCATCTTCTTCGACAGAAAAGAAGCGAATCGTCGCCTAAAATTTGTTTTGAGAAAGTATCAGAAAACAAAAAAACCTCATTTCCTTCAATATTAACATAAGCAGGTTTGCCAAAAGGTTCAAAAAATGCTTTTAACTTAGCAATCAATGATACATGATTGACGTCCTCATTCTTCATACCACAAATTTTCAAGACAACTCCCTTCTTAAAATGCGCCTTGTTTTGTTGTTCAATTTGAGTTTTCTTCATCTGTTTTTTCAAATCCTTTTGTTTAACACGTTCAGCGTGTTTATCTGCCCAGTAGGCATCTTGCATTTTGTTTACGAGCTGAAATTCTTCCTTAAAAACAATAAATAAATAAATAAGAGAAGAGAACAAAAATTACGTTAAATTTAAGATCTTTAATATCCGCAAGTCGTTTAGCTTGATCTTTGTCTTTAAAAGTAACAAAAATTGAGCCCTTGAACATTCGCGGAGTATCTTTTCCAACTTTAGTCTTTCTCATCAAAATATTTTCAACATCGCCAAACTTCCCAATAAATTCAGAGATCTCATCGAGTGTTGTTTCAAGAGGAAAACCTTTCTAAAAATATCAAACACAAATATATATAAAATAAAAATTTAATAAAAAACCAAATAAACAGTTCGTCGTTTAATTTCTTGCCAATACTCCAAAGTATTCTCAGGCATCGGCACCTCGGGATTCCGACGGATTTTTAAATTGTCATCAGAAATTTCGATCAAATGAGACTCTTTAAGCGATGCAGTAATATTTTCAATATCTTTAGTTAGAGCAGCAAGACGATTAAACTTAAGCATAGTAGAAAGAGGAATCCCTAAATATTTAATTAAGGAAAAATTATTTTAAATTTAAGCTTACATCCATTATCTTTTTTCATCTCTTCTTGAATAAACTTGTCACGCGGAAGATTAATATCCCCAAAGTAGTACTGAAATTTAAAAAAATTTGTAGAAAAATAAAATAAATGATTAAATAATTTTACCTCAACTTGTTTCATAATTTTTTCACATTTATTAGGATTAGTATCCTTTGAATTTCCATTCATAGCAGCAGACATTATTGAAAAGTTTTAACTGAAATATTTAGCTAAAAAATTATTAGAATGTTATTTCGAACAGTAAATTGAGAATTGGAGGGAATTGGGCGTAAAATAGGGGTTCCCTAACGTTTCGTCACTGAACTTTTCGTCACCGAACCTTTCGTCAAAACCTTTCGTCACTGAACCTTCCGTCACCAAACCTTTCGTCACTGAACCTTTCGTCACTATTCACCATAAAAAAGAGAAAGCACATCTGGATGGACAAATTTAACAAAATAGAGTTATGGAAATTAAGTTGAATAAAAGAAAGTTCTAGGCTCTGACATTTGTGCCTATTAATGAGGTTTACACATTTATGTGTATTTTAATGGACGTGCTAATGGGTCCTCCTGCAGATGAAGTTTTGGTAATATAACATTGAGTAGTTGTATTTATACACAATATAGGAACTTCTAAAATATTTCGTTCTCACATATATTGGCCCATCATATGTAGTTGCTCATCCAGAAATATTGCCTGGCGATGATGAGGAGGCCACTTATGGCGACGGTTGCGATGGTTGGCTTAGGGCGTGGATAAACCACGAACAGATTTAAGAGAATTTTGGAGTTCCTTAAGTCAGATTTCTTCATTTTTTGCGCCACAGGCGAAAATTTTGAGAATCACTAGAGTAAGAATGCTTGGGATATGCTAATTTAAAAATCCCGAAAATTATAAAATAATGTCCGGGATCCCGAGTCGGGATTTTATTTTTTAAAATGTTCAAAATACTGCAATTTATATTAAATAATATTAAATTTGTAAAAATCTAATAGATTTTGAGGGATATCGGTGGATTATCACTAGGTAACTTGATACAATCCCACTATACACTAATCCATCCACTTTACCTCCGATAATACCTCCAAATTTCTTCGTTTGCAGCGCCGCAGGCGAACATTTTGAGAATTTTGGAGCACATGAAGCCAGATTTCTTCCATTTTCAGCGCCGCAGGCGAAAAATGTTTAAAATTTCGAAGACCGTAGGATTTCGAAGACCGTATTAAAATTTCGAAGACCGTACTTCATCTGCAGGAGGACCCATTAGCACGTCCATTAAAATACACATAAATGTGTAAACCTCATTAATAGGCACAAATGTCAGAGCCTAGAACTTTCTTTTATTCAACTTAATTTCCATAACTCTATTTTGTTAAATTTGTCCATCCAGATGTGCTTTCTCTTTTTTATGGTGAATAGTGACGAAAGGTTCAGTGACGAAAGGTTTGGTGACGGAAGGTTCAGTGACGAAAGGTTTTGACGAAAGGTTCGGTGACGAAAAGTTCAGTGACGAAACGTTCGGCCACCAAAATAGGAAAAGCAGAATTTTCTTGGGACTGAAATGTCCAGGACGGTTAAATTGTTAAATTTGAAAGTGTTAAAATTAAAAACGTTAAATTACTGTAGAAGGGAAAAAGGGAAAAATTTGGAGAGTGAATTGAGCAAAAAAGTGTAACTTTTTTGCCTATGATCGTCCAAATTAAAAAATTTTTCGCCTGCGTACTGAAAAAAAATTTAGTTTTATTAATTTTTTTACTTTTAGATTGTGAAATAATGGAAGAAAATGTTAAAAGATTTAAAATAATTTTCTGGCCCGTTCATGAGTACCAGCATATTCCGCCAGACTTTGACGTTAAAACTAGAGAAATTGTTGAGGTTTTTTTATTAAATTTTAAGTTGAGATGGGTATTCCTCTACGAAAACAAAAAAATTAAATATGATTATTTTTTTATTTTAGAGCGCATTATCAGACAGTTATTTGCTCAACACCCTCCAATTTCGAATTGTAATTGACATTGAGCCACAGAGACTTGGAGAAGAAGAGCTTGATGCGCGACTTGAATATTCACTTAAATTAATGGAGAAAGCAACAAATGATCATTTGATGCACATGATCAATTTTTTTAATCTTTTTTTGCAACATAAAATTCAAATGGCTCAATATACATTTACTTGTGCCTTTGTTTTAACAACTAGAGAATTCTTTAAAGTTGACTTTAAGTATGAATTTTCGGATTATTTAACAAATTAAATATTAAATCTTTATTTTTTAGTTCTGCTAACCTTGAGATTCCTACACAGAATTGCTCATTTTTAAATATGATCGATCGTACGAAACCATTCTTACATCGAAAAGTTGCTGTAAATCAAGATCCAGCTCGAATAATGAACCGCTACTACAACAAGGCTGATATTGTTTGGCCTATGCTTACTGACTTTGAACACGACAAGCGACAGCTAGTTATTCGTTTCCCTTTCACTGATAGACAACGTTTGTTGATTTTTTGTGATGTTTTGAATTTTTTACAATTTTAGGTCGTGAGGAAGGTTCAGAAGAGGTTTGTTATGTTGTTTCTCTTACAATTCGCTACAGACAAATCAAACGCGTTTTGGCTGACTTCAAACATGAGAAAGGTCGTGGTCAATTTAGTTTGTATGTTCTTTTATTTTTAATTCTTATTTTAAAATTTGGGTACTTTCTGCACCAAAATTTGCCTTAAAAATTTAGTGCAGGATTTTTTTTATAAAATTTTTAACCTTCCTTCTTGTTATAAAGACATTGAAATCTTTTAACAATTAATAATTTATGTTCTTTAGGGAGCTTTACTTCCATCTTTCATCTCCGGCAATCATTCGACGTGTTAAGCTTTATGCTCAAGATCCTAAAAAGCCTGCTTCTAGTAATAATTTGTTACACAAGCAAGGTGATAGATACGTTTCTTGGGATCTTCGAGACCCTTATTTGGCGGGTGAAGTTAACGAATCGCCAATTTTTCGTATCATGTTATGTGATTTGGCAAATGAGGAGTATTGTCAGGTTAGTTTTTCATATATTTAAACTTTTTACTTTGTTATTATGGCAACACGACCTCCGTGGTAAACTAAAACGTATTTTGGAGGCAGGCCCGTAACTAGGATTTTTTTTCGGGGGGGGGGGGGGGGGGAATTTTTTGCGCCAAATTTTTGGCGCCGAAGGCGCCAAAAATTTTTATTTTCAGCGCCGCAGGCGAAAATTTTGAGAATTTTAGAAGGCCGTAGGCCAAAAAAATTCACTTTTTCGGCGCCGCAGGCGCCAAAAATTTGATTTTCAGCGCCGCAGGCGAAAATTTTTTGAATTTTGGACCTCAAGAAGCCAGATTTCGTCCTTTTTTAGCGCCGCAGGCGAAAATTTTTTAAATTTCAGAGGCCGTAGGCCAAAAAATTCACTTATTTTGCCCCAGCCCTTCCCCAAATTTTTTCCTTTTTCCCATTTCGGGGGGGGGGGGGAATTCCCCCCCTCACCCCCCCCCTGGTTACGGGCCTGTTTGGAGGGGTTAACATTAGATAAAATACAATATCGATACCAAAGTCAACATTCGTAAAATATCATAGATGGATTTTTGAATCTTATTTTTTGCTTTAACTTTGGGCTGCAAATCTCATACGCCAATCATTTTTATTACCATTTTCTTTTTTTTCAATTTTAATGCACTAACTTTCAGTCTTATCTACTTTAATTTTAGCTCTTAAATCGTTTGGCCATGTCTGCAGAGCGCTTTGTTGAATTCCGAACTTTTACTCCAGATGCTTTCTTTCCCTTTCGAAAGTTATAATTTTTCTCTTTTTTTTTAAATTTTTTTTAACTTTCAGGTTTATTCAATCTCCACTTGAAAATGAGAATTGTCGTCAGATGTGTGAGAACAATTATAAATTATTGTATATGATTGCAGCACTTTTATCTCGAGGAGCAATTGTTAAGGACTATTTAATGGTAACTGAAGCATCACGGGATGAATTTGTACAGCGGTGTTCAAAAGATTTTAAAAGGGATAAAGCTGTATGTGTTTCTAAAAGAATCATTTATTTTTTTTGTGTTTAGCTATCGTTGGAAGTTATTGAGCAAGTACTGGCTGAAATTGATAAACGTTTAGATTGCATCCATCCAATGCAAATCTACAAATGGATTTACCACCGTTTAAGTCGTAATGTTGATGCAATGAAACAAATCCATGAGGATATGATGCGAGAGGGATATGTACGCGTTAGAAAAGTTTATATGATTTAATTTTTAGATTTACTTTTTAATTTTTAGGTATTAATTACTCCAACACGAATGCTTTTTGTTGCACCTGAATTGTTAATGGGAAATCGTGTGTTGCGATTGGATGCTGAAAAATATCCTCTTGATAAATTTCTTCGTGTTGTTTTTCGTGATGATGATGGTAAAAAGATTAAAAGTTGTATACATGTAATATTTTTCCCTTAAACAGGACAATCTGTCCATGCTGTGAACATTGGTGCCGTTCTTATTGATCGTTTTATTGGATTACGCCTTAGAAATGGCATTGAAATTGCTTGTAATAAACTATTTTATTATATAATATTTTTCTATATTTAGGCCGTAAATTTAACTACTTTGGTTCTTCTAATTCTCAAATGCGTGATAATGGTTGTTATTTCATTAATGCAAGTTTTGAAGAAATCGAGGATATCCGTAAGCAGTTGGGCTCGTTCAAAATACAATCAGCGCCTAAAATGATGTCTCGGATTGCTCAATGTTTTACTCAAGCTCGGGTAGGCGTTGTGGAAAACTATTTTTTATTAAAGATTTTTTTAAGGAAACGGGCTTAGAATTGGAACGTCGTCATTATGCGACAATTCATGACTATCTTGGCGGCAAAGATACAAATTCTGAGCCATATAATTTCTCTGATGGGGTGGGGCGAATCAGTTACGAAACTGCTAAGGAATTGAGTCGTGAGCTTAAATTGGATGGTTGCGTGCCTTCTTGCTTTCAAATACGTTTTCGCGGCTATAAAGGTGAATAAGTTCTATATATTATCTCTTAAATTATAGGCGTTTTGTCTGTTGATAAATCTATGGATGAACTTCGTGAATGGGGAGTTCGCAATGGTGTGCAAGATACTACAAACTGGGAAAAGCGTGATTGTTGGCTCGATTTACATATTCAATTTCGGCCTTCGCAAAAGAAATTTAAAGCACCCAGAGCTAATCAAAAGTTGGAAATTGTTAAATATTCTTCACCTGTTTCATTGTGTTTGAATCGTCCTGTTAACAATATTCTTGATCAAGTGAGTTATATTTACTAGTAAAACTGGTAAATTTTTTAGGTATCTGCTCAACAGAGTAAAGCTTCTCATCAACGAATTTGTAATCGCATTCACCATCTTATGGATTTACATCTTCATATGCTGACACGCTCCTTAATTGACGAGACGAAAGCTCGAAATCGACTTGGTGAATTTCCTAAAGTGGTATGATAATTTAATTATAATAATCTAACAATAATAATCTAACAATCTAAATATAATAATGTTTCCTACTTTTTAGATACTTTATGATCAAATAACTGACCTTAATTTAACAAAAGAACCGTTCTTTCGTTCGATGATAAGTGCTTCTGTGCGAGCTTCATTGAGTATGTTGTCGAATTGGGTACACCTATGTACCGTAAGGCCAACGTACATTACTTTGTAATATTTCGATTAAGCTTGTCGAGACGCATTGAACCATACCAGTGCGTTCGAGATTCTTATTGATGCATGGGCTTGCGGTACATTGAAAGTCTCCCTTGCAGATTAAGTTTGCTTTCATAGTGTATTTTGTATTTTAAGAAAAGTTGCGCCTAAAACTTCAAATTCCCATTCCTACAACGCTGGGCCGTGCGATGTTTGGTATTGTAGATGAAAGTGGACAGTTACAATATGGACAAGTATTTATTCGTTACACAAAAAATGCTGCATTGAAATTGCCAATGCCAACAGCCGAGCGTCAAGTTCTAAAGGGTAAACTTCAATATAATTATACGGTTCTCTTGTGTTATTTCACTCCCCAGCCCAATTTTTGTTTTTTCCGACTTGATCGGCTGTAACTTTTTATGCTTATCTAATCCGAATGAATCTTATATCATTCTAAAGCCCTCCATAAACCCTAACTTTTTTCTAACGATTTTTCTAATGTGACTTATTTATATTTTTAGGTCCAGTGATGATCACAAAAAATCCTTCAATTGTTGCCGGCGATATACGTATGTTTAATGCTGTAGATATTCCTGCTTTGCATCATCTTTGTGATGTTGTTGTTTTTCCACGCTATGGACCTAGACCACATACAGATGAAATGGCTGGTTAATTTTTAAATCTCAAACTTTGAAAATATCTTATAAAGGTTCTGATTTGGACGGCGATGAATACACCGTGATTTGGGATGAGCAACTTTACCTTGATAAAAATGAGGATGCATTTGATTACACTTGCAAGTCTTTTATTTTTTAAGCGTATTATTCTTCTTGCTTACTAATATAAGGGCTCAAGAAGCAGCGGCAATAAGTGAGAAAGACTTACGTGATAAAATGGCAGAATTTTTTGTTGACTATATTAAACAGGACTCCATTGGTCGTATTGCAAATGCATTCTTAGTCAATTCAGATTTATATGGCATCAAAAGTGAAATTTGTATGAGAGTGAGTTTTTCCAATTGTTAAGAATTACGTCAATTCTGTCTTCAATTTATTAATTTCGTTCTTTTTTACTCAGATAGCTGCAAAACATATGGAAGCAGTTGATTTTCCCAAGACTGGCGTTCCACCCCAGTCTCTTACTAAAAATTGGGAGCCTGAAAAGCCTCCCGGTGAAAATGGAGAACCGGGTCAGCCAGCAATGCCTCCAGAGCGCGCTGAACGTTCGCCAGATTTTATGGAGAAAAATAACGAACCCATGTATATATCGTCACGTTTGAACGGCCAACTTTATAGGTTTAATATTTTATTGGTTAATTGTAAGATATTTTTTATTTTAGAAGAGCAAAAGAAATTGACGACATTCTGACAATTGCTACTCAGGATGAAGAGATGGCAAATATCGAGTTGATTTATTATTTGATATTTTAATGTAATATTTTAAAGACTAGATCCATTAATCACTTACCCTGGTTGTGATGATCCAGCAATGCTTGATTTGGCACAACAACATTATGAATCTTACTCGGCAAATATTCAGGTCTTTATAAATATTTTGTTAAGTTCACATGGATTTTAAGAACGTTCTCGACTGTTATGGAATTAAAGCCGAGGGTGAACTGTTCTCTGGACATTTTGCTTCGTTGCGAAATCGGCTTAGTGATAAGGATAGTGACGATATGAGGTTTTTTGTTGTCAATTCTTTTTTATGTAATTTTTTGGTTTAAGTTTTTACAACACTACCAATGCAATTGAGCAGCAATTGTTCAGCATTTTTAGTCGTTTTCGGCGTCAATTCTTTGAAACTTCCTTTAATAATAATCCTGCCTATCGGTATGAAGATGTCACAGTTCCTGTTCATTCTTATGCTCGTACAAATGGCGTAAAGGTATTTATGATATTAAAACAAATTCTTTTACCTTATTTAGGATGTTTTTCGACGCATATGTATTGATCCAACTGATGACTTCAAAAGATTAGCTTGTGCTTACTACCAAATTTCATATAGTAATTTTTATATTTATTGTTTATTTTGAGAGATGGGATAAACATTTCTAATTTTTAAATCTTTTAGATTCTACAACTCATCATCTTCTTTCTTTTCCATGTATGATTTGCGTTTATAAAATTTTAGAATTTAAACAAGCTAAATAAATACGTTGTAAGACTAATTAGGAATGGGATAAAGAGTACACATGAAATAATTTAAGATAAATTATATAAAGTTGTCACCATTAATTTTTAAGGGCTTGCTTGGGATGTGATTAACGCGCTTCGACGAGTGAATGCTGTTAATTCACTGAAATCTGACAATCGTTATTCTTTTGATCCATTAAGCGATAAAATCTCAGAACATATTGAGGAATATCTTTTAAACAGAAAAAAACAATTTAGGTAAACTTTTAGCTATTTTTAAATATTTTTGTTTCAGGGAGTTCGTAAAAGTCATGCAATCTCCAGAAAGTATGCCATCTGAAGATCAAGAGGCATACAGAATACTTAATCTTTACTGTTTAAATTATGAAGGTTTGGATTACAAGTTTTTTTAATTTTTATGACTTCTTAAGGATTGGACAAACTTCTTTTCTATTGTGTGAAGTGGGCAAGAATGTGGCGACTTTTGGGTGACGGTCAGAGTGGAATAACACAATTACATATTTGTATATTGCTTATCCAATTTGGTCTTAATCATTTGCCTTGTGAGGCGATTGAATCTCGACCATTTTGGCTTGAACAGGTTTTTGCTTAAAATTTTTTCAAATATATTTTTAAGATTCAAACGGATGCGTTTGATACTCAAAGAGTTGTAAGTCTTGAGCGCCAACATGGAGGTTTAGGAAACAAATTTTTTCTCTTCATGGAATTTCTTGCATCTCGACAATTTCATTTATTACAAGTTTTGGATTTTAGTGAACCTGGAATGCGTTATCAGTCAGTATTAATGCATACTCAACTTGAATATATCCACAAGGTATTTTTATACATTTTCAATTAAAAGATTTATTGCTTATTTTCTTTGTAAACATTATCTTAAATTCTGTTTTACTTGGGTGTACTTGTGTAATCTTGGTTAAGTGGTTGTGGTTTGGGATTTTTTGTGTGTGTCCTAAATTTTGTAAAGCCTATGATGATAATCTGTGCATGTATTAATCGAAATTTCATGAGAACTGACGATCGATTCTGAGGCTACTATTTTTAAAATTGAATTATTAAACCTTGATTTAGAATTTTTTGAAAATTTAGGCTGGACTTCAAACTTATCATCAAGTAGCATTTACTTTTCGGCTTGAATGTATTCCCGGCACAGCATCTCAACGTGAACGGAATGGCATTACAAGTCCTCAAGAACGTGAATGTGAACCATTTATAATTGAAGTGCCGGCAAGTCGTCAAGAACAAGTTATCAATAATTATGATTTGCTGAACAAGCTTTGTGATGCAACCGGGTGTACCAACATTGTTTTTCGCGATTTACCCAAATATAAAGGTTTATCCAAGTGCATTACTTTTTACAAATTGCACATTTTAGATTATGAAACTGTTCGACTATATGTTTCTGCAACAGGGCAATTACAAGCACTTAACAAATTACGGGAATTATTGGCTGTTCGTGCACCATTAAATCTTATTGGCGATTGTCGTCAGATTTTCACACAAATGGCCGAACAACTTTATGATAGATTAATTAATTTGTAAAAATTATTATAAATGTGCCTAATATATTTTTCCAAAATACTATTTATTTTATTCCGTTTACGTCTCACGCTTTTCTTATTTTTTGGGCTCAAGTCTGTTCTTTGTATTTTTTGCCTCAGAAGATATAAGCCTTTTTTGATCTCGGTTGTTATAAATTCACTTTTTTTAACTATTTCGTTCAGGTTTATCTTGCATTTTATTGCATTTAATTTATTTCTTTCATGACTTTTTGTTTCGTGTAAAATTGAAGGAATTATCTTAACATTTTCGATTTCTGTAGTTGGCAGTTCGAATTCATATTTTAATTGTAATTTGTTTTTTGCTTATAATTAGTTCACAAACAAATGAAATGCTGGAGTATTGAGCATGTATTCAAGTAAGTGCATGTTTGAAAAGTAATTTTGAAGACCAATTATTTAATTTTTAGTCATCCGTGGCATATTGTGGTTGGTGCGGCTTTTAAAAAATATCCGAATCCAGAGAATGAAGATATTCTTGGGATCGATGTTATTAAACAACGTTTAAGGAATGGTGTGCTTTATTCTGAAAGAATTATTCAATCAAATTTTCACATCCCTGTCTGGGCTAGCAAGGTATTAGTAGATTTACTTTGAATTTTTACTCTTTTTAAAAGTTGGGTGGATTCAGTGGTCATCAATATTCTCTTGAATCTACTCAAGTTGATCCTAAAAATCGGGTAATGACACTTGTTACGAGAAATGTATGTTTTATTTAAAATTTTAATTTGTAAAATTTTAGTTAAATTGTTATCATCTTTTACGGATTGATGAACGTTTGACTTATACTTCAGCTGCTGATACTGCTCAAACACGTCTAAAACAGGAAACAACAATTTCCGTCAATTTACCTTTTCTTAAGGATTTTTGCGAGAGGAGTTTTCTTTCAATTTACACTCATTATGCTCAAAGGGTAAAATATCTTTAATTCTTATTGAAACATAATCAAACTCTTAGTCTATTTCGGCGTTTGAAAATTCTTTTTCAAATCGAATACGTAATCTCGATACTAATAATTCGTTCGTATCAGACCATGGAAGTTTAAAATACTGCTAGCTTTTTCATATAACAATGTAAAATAATCATTTTCTATTAAGGGTCCAGAAGGCCTTAAATGGGTGATCCAGCACGAATTCAATGGGCAAAAGTGATTTAAAATATATTTGGAAATATTAGATCTCCAGATTTTTATGTTTTCCCTTTGTTATGCAAATGATTTTATTAAATTTTACACTTTTATTTTTTCATTTTTAATAGTTTTATTCTTTTTACATATTATATTTAAATCGTTTTTTATTTAAATTTCTTTCAAGTTATAATTTAAATTTATATTTACAAATGTTCATCAGAGCAGCTCCGCCATCTGACCAGAAACCTTATAGACCACCTCCAGGAAAATTGTCAATTTTTTCTTCCATTTACAACGATCCTTATTATTGGTATGTTTTTCTTAAAATTAAAAATCATTCTTTAAAATTAGGTCGCTTACAAAAAGTATTGTTGGTTTTGCTGTCGGTGTTTTTGTTGCGAGACATTTGAGTGAAGAATTGAATTCTGCTGATGTTGGGTTTTGAAAGGATTTTTCTTTGATTATGAGAAGTTATTTTGTTAAAATTTTTAAATATTGATAAATTTATGAAAGTTTTATTATTCCGTTTACACATAGGATATTATTCCAGACAGCTTTTACATCGAGTATTTTGTTAATTTATTGTTGTGTAATTTTTGGTTTAATAATAAATTTGCCAAAAATGAGTAAACATTTAATCGACGTGTCTGTTGCCGTACTTGAAGATCATTTTGGCTATTACATCGCGCGTATTGGGAATATATTGTTGCGTGAGGCATTACCTTTGGCTCTTTTAGCAAGAAACTTAGCTCCTTTGAAGATTTCACTAAAAGATGTATTTTTTCTAATTTTATACTTTGCTATTATTTTTAATTTTCAGATAAGAAATTCATTGGCTATTCTTGACCAACATAATTTGTTAACGTTTGAATTGGGTTCTCGTTCTATTATTTACTCAATTTGCCCTAATCAAGTTCTTTATTTGATAAGTGCCCCTCGTGCAATTTTGGTTTTTATATTTTATATAATTTTAAAGAAAACAATTTTTTAGTTAATTAAAACTTTATATGAAGGGGTTACTGATGCTATTTTTGAAGATATTTTGGCTAAAGGACGTTCTAGTTGTTCTGATTGCATTCGTAGAGTTTCCAAATGTATGGATGATTTACCTTTTGAAAAAGTTTTTTTTAAATTTTTTTTTAAAATAAAATTTTAATTTTAGGTTAAATCTGATTTTTCTAAACTTTTATCTTCTCAAATACTTATTCGATGCCCTCAAGTTGCTGAAGAATCTTCAGAAGTATTTCCTGTGTTTCAAGTTGAATCCGATCTTTTTTTGCTACCGGATATGATACTTGATGGATATTCTGATGCTGAAAATGATTCTGTTAGTTATTTAATAAGTAATTAAAAATTTCTTTTATAACCTTTAAATTCTGTCTCTCTTACTTTTCCCAGTAATTTTGAATTTCAATTAAAATATTGTTAATATTTAGGAGACAATTAAATCAAAAACTAAAAAATTGGACAGCGATTCTAATATTCTTTGGAGAGTTAATTGGACAAGTATTGAACTTTTGTTTCGTGATGATTTAATTCTTGATTCACTTATTGGCGGTTCTCAAAATGATTTATTTGATAAAACAACAGTAAAAGTTGCACAACTTATTTTAAAAGTTGGAGATGCTAAAAATAAAAATAATTTATTTATTGGACAATCTTCGCCTATTTCTGTTGGGTTTTTATTTGTTTTACTAATATAATGAAAAAATAATTCAAAAAAATTTTTTTTGGATTTATTTTGCATTTATTTGTGAAAACACTGCCAATTTTAACAAAATAATTTTTTTCCAAATTTTTTTAGCTTCAAGATGTTTGTCGTTATGTACATGAAAATCAACTTGATTATAATCGTGAAGTTTTGGATGAAAAATTAAATATTATTTGTAGAGATATGACTGGAATTTTACGTCGAGTTGGTGATAGTGGTGGGGGTGTTTATATAATTAGTTATATTATTTTTGGAAATTTTTGAATAAAAATTTTTTTTTAGATTATGAAAAGGGTATTGAAACACTTTGTTTGGAACATATAGAATCGGCAATAAGAGAAAAAATAAATGATAAAGCTGTTAGAATATTTAGATTATTAAATTCTAGAGGCTTTTTAGAAGAAGAACAGGTTTAGAATTAGTATTTTTTTAATTAAATTTTTGTTTTTTAAGTTAGAAAAGGAGGCAATGCTTTCTTCTAAAGAAACAAAAGAATTGTGTTGTTCTTTAATGGATAATAGCTTTATTACAACTCGGGTATTTTGTTTTTAGCCTTTAAAATAAAATTAATTTTTGGTACACATTCAATTAACTTTCCGTTTAAAATTATATCCCAAACCGGAATTCTTATATCAGATTTTATTTAAAAAAATTAATTTAAAATTTTATAGCAAGTTGCTCGTGCCAATGATTTTGCCCCTGCTCGACTTACTTTTTTATATATTGTAAATAAATCTCAATTATTAAGTGCTGCTATTGATTATACTCTACTGGTATTTTATTTATTTCAATTTAAAAATTTTTTTAATTAAATAGACAATTAGAAATGTAATCAGAAGAAGAATGGTTGAAAGAGAAAAATATGAGTAAGAGAATTTTTTAAATTATTTAATTTTTTTAAAAAGAATAAAAAAATATATTTTTGGATTTTTCAGAGTTGGTAGAATAATTTTAGTTATTAGCCTTATTTTAAATTATCCAGTTAATTTTTCAGATTTATTTTTTATGTTTTTTAATTTAATTTTTTAATCTCCCTCCCCCCTCCTCTTTTCTTTTATAATTTAACCATTTTTTAGACCACTATTGGATCGCCAATTAAAAATGGAAGTAATTATAAGTAGTATCGAAAATGATCAAAATATCGCTGAAGATGATGAAGAAACAAAAAAGGAACAGGTTTTTGTAGTTTTTATTTATAATTTAAAATTTTTTTAAAGATTGCGGAAGTAGAGCGTGCCTACATGACAACAGAGGATCGTCGAAATTTGGAACGTTTTCGCCGTGCTGAACGAAAATTTTGTTCTGCAGAAATTGAATTGGGACGTTTACATTTTGCTTTAAAACATTTTTATCAATTAAGACAACAAATAAATGCTGAACAACAAAGACAAATTTCAACACAAGGAAAGCGTAAAAGAACATATCAACAAGCACACTTTTCATAGAAAATTTATTTTAGTGAATAAATTTTGTTGAATTTTAATTGATTAATTTAAAGAGTAAAATTATTTTGAATTATTTAAATTCTACTTATATTTTTATTTGTTTTAATTTACTGAATTGTGTATTTTTTAGAATTAAAAAGGAGTACAGCTCAAATTTTAAAGAAATGTCACAGCATAAACAACTTGATCCGAAACTTGCCAGTCAATTACAAGAAAGTTTTACAAGTGTTGGAGTTAATCAAGTTATTCTAAAATTGACCAGTCGTTGTTTTGATATCTGCTATGGAGATTATGCACCACACAAATTGCCGGCTTCGAGTGATAAACGACAAGCAACATGTTTGGAAAATTGTACTCAACGTCTAGTGGAAAGCTATGAATTTTTAAACAAACATTTGGAGAAAATGGAGTTGAGAACGTGAGAAGATAAAATGATATTCGTTTAAAATTGTTGACTTATGTAACATTAAACTATTTTTGCTTGTTCTTCTTGTCTCAAAGCCGGCTTAGAAAGTAAACTTAAACTTTATTTCTTTACCGTGTTCCCAACAAATAAAACATCTAACTGTAAACCGAAAATTTTTTTATCGATAATACAATTTTTAATAGGTTTATCGATTTATAATCAGATGCGATCATAGCGGTACTTTAGCCAATTAGGGTTGAATGGACAAACAAAACATTCATTTAAAAAAAGTCCAAAAAATTGATCGCATCCTTATTTTACATATCAAGAAAAATCAAGGAATTATAGTCCGATACAATGACAGCATTATGCCGATCCCGTTACTTTCTTAGTTTCCACCACGAAGACGCAAGACCAAGTGAAGAGTCGACTCCTTCTGAATGTTGTAGTCAGCAAGAGTACGACCGTCCTCGAGTTGCTTTCCAGCGAAGATCTAGAAATTTGAAATGAGTAAAAATTAATTGTATGAATATCGAACCAGACGCTGCTGATCTGGTGGAATGCCTTCCTTGTCCTGAATTTTGGCTTTGACATTTTCTATGGTGTCAGATGCCTCAACTTCGAGGGTGATAGTCTTCCCAGTCAAAGTTTTCACGAAGATTTGCATTCCACCACGAAGACGCAAAACGAGGTGAAGAGTTGACTCCTTCTGGATGTTATAATCGGCAAGAGTACGCCCATCCTCAAGCTGTTTACCAGCGAAGATCTAAAAATTGAGCTTGAAAATTAAACAAATGTCAAGTAAAAACCAATCGTTGCTGATCAGGAGGAATTCCTTCCTTATCTTGAATCTTGGCCTTGACGTTTTCGATAGTGTCGGAAGCTTCAACTTCGAGAGTGATGGTCTTTCCAGTAAGAGTCTTAACGAAAATCTGCATGCCACCGCGAAGACGCAAAACAAGATGGAGAGTCGATTCCTTCTGGATATTATAGTCAGCAAGGGTGCGCCCGTCCTCAAGCTGCTTTCCAGCAAAGATCTAAAAATTGAGATTGAAAATTAAACAACTAGGAAATAATAACCAATCGCTGCTGATCTGGAGGAATTCCTTCCTTATCTTGAATTTTCGCCTTCACATTTTCGATGGTATCAGAAGCCTCAACTTCAAGAGTGATCGTTTTTCCAGTAAGAGTCTTGACGAAGATCTGCATATTGGAGAGTTGGATATTTGTTTATATTCAAAAATAGCTGAAAATATTTAAGCTTTTATAAGGAAAGTTTTAAAGAAATTTAAATTTCTTAAGAAAAGAATTATCTAAAACAAAATGATGAAATTAATGTCACAGGATAGAGGACCAAAATAACCAAGGAAACTGAAGAAATAAATGAAGAATGGTGAATAGCAGCACGAAACTATTCGTCTTAAATGGTGTCGATTTGTTGTAAAAACGATCGATTAAAATTACTGTATATTTCGTTTCAAAATATATTTATATTATCAAACTGCAAATTTTTCGACATTTTATCCAATTTATTATTTTTATTTTTTTTGCAATTTAATTTAATTATTTCTCTTTAAATTAGTCGTTTAAATTTTCTTTAGTTAATTAAAATGTCCAAAGGAGCTGTCAAATTTACAAAGGAAGATGAGCTTTTGCTGAAGGTTTGAATTTAATTTTCACATTATAGTTAATTAATTAATTTAATAGGATTTTTCTTCCGCTGTTTCCAAAAAGAATCAAGTCGTTTTCTACGGAATTTCGTCTTTTGTTGGAATTACACCAATTTATTTGTTTTATGGGGCCCATCAAATGGAAATTTCTGATTCATGGTTTATTTGGATTGCGGCTGCTGTTGGCGTTGCTTATTTGTTGGCGCTTTCTTATAAAAATATGAAACACGTGCTTAAACATCAGTAAGTTTTTTAATTTTTCTTTTTAATTTTATATAATTAAATTTTTTCCTAAAAATATTTTATTAATTTCCTGTTAGGATTGTTATTAAACGAGGAGATGCTATTGCTCGTGAAATGAATCGGTTACTTGCAGATGACAAGAAGATGTCGAAGAAAGAAAGAGATGAACGAATATTATGGAAGAAAAATGAAGTTGGCGATTACGAAGCAACGCTTTTTACTATTTTTTACAACAATGTGGTAATAAATGTTTTTTAAATTATTTTTAACTCGAACTTTTTAGCTTTTCTTTGCGCTTCTCATCTTTCTTTCCTTTTTTGTTCTCGCCAGTATCACGCCTCCATTTAATTGTCTTGTTTCAATGCTTGGTTCAGCTGGTATTGTTCTTTTATTGTCTACATCAAAATGATTGGAAATTAATTTAAAAAGACAATTGTTTTGTTGTGTACAAATTTAATAGAAAAAGATATGATCTTTAAATTTTTGAGAATATTTTTAAGCTTTAGTGTTTAAAATTTTTCGAATACATTTAATTATTTTAATTTTATAGATCATATTTGTGACTTTAATTTATGGTTTCTTTGATTAAAATATATTGTATTTGATAAACTAATTTGTTGTTATTATTTTTAAATTAGGTTAAATTCCAAATAAGACATAACAATTTTGAAAAAACTGTAAACAATTCCCTGTTTAAAAAATCTTTTCTGTTAAATTTCCCTTTTTAAATGATATTTTTAGAAATTGTTTTATTTTTAAAATATGGCTTATTGTAATCGAGAACCGTCTCCTGTATTGAGACGGAAGGAGAAGGATCGATGTATGGAATTGTTACTTGACGAGGATAAGGTTTTTTTAAATATATTTTGTATTGTTGGGGTTCTCTTGTATATTTGTTCATTGAGTGTCATGAAAGCTTTTAAGGCCGGGGGAAGGAACTTTATATCTGAATATATTTTTATAGATTCATCGTATTTTACTTCGCAGTCCAGCAATTTGTAGATTAGCAAATATTGAGTCGCCGAATTGTATTTGGTTTAAATTAGTTAATCACATAAGCGATGATTTGAGAGTTGTTAGACCGTAAGTTTGTCTTCTAAGCGAAATTTATTTTCGTTAATTTTCAGAGCAAAACTTGAACCACTTTTACCTAAAAGTAAAAAACCGGAAATAAACAAAGATGATGTTACTTTAAATTCGCCTGTTTTCTCTTCCACTTTGCCTGCAAATAATGGATTGAATATTACAACAAATACAGAAAATCCTGATGGAGTATTAGTGCCGGAAGAAGAAACTTTTCAACTTCAAAAACCTCGTTCAATTCAACTTTATGATTATGTTTTGGCACCTTTAGAAGCTAATGTTTATGCACGAGCAAGGGTATTTTTATTTATTTTTTGGTTGTTTAGCTTTTAATCAAATAAGTAGAACATATTACCGAGGGTTTAAATATTATCCATTTTTTAATCCTAAATACTTATTTATATAATTAGAATTAAAATACTTTTTTTAGATAATTCACTTGAAAAAAATTCTTTATCAAACTGATCAAGACAGGCAATTAGAACGACTTTTTGCCTATGTTCATTTTATTGACGAAGGTTTTGGAGTTTGGCTTAATACGGTTATTTCTTTTTTTAAATTTTATTGCCAATTTTTTTACAGAAATGTTTGGCTAAAATGGATCCAGGTATGTACACACATCCATGGCAGACATTTGCAGTTTCAATGTTTAGAGTGCGACTTGGAAATGAATTAAATGGGTTGATATTTTAATTAAATTATTTTAAGGTTGAGATTTGTTTATTTTTAGTGTTTTTTCTATTGAGGAATTTTAACTGTTTTTAGGGTTTTTATTCAAAAATTTTATTTGATTCCTCGTAGAAATTATTTTTTCTTTTATAGTTCTTCATCCAATTCTTTGCCTTCCAGTTTAACTGACACACTTATTGATATTATGTCAAATTATGAGTATTTCAAAGTTGTGCCTGTCATAGACAGTAGACGTTATCCAGATTATTTTGAATATACTAGGGTATTTTTATATAAATTTATTTAAAAAATTCTTTATTTTCTAGGCAGAAATTTATGGCCTTGAAACATTGGAAGATGATGAAGGGCCAGAAGGTAAAGCCGAGTCAATTACTCACAGACTTTTAATTGAATTACTTGATACTGGTCAAGAGAATAATTTTGAAGAGTTTGTTTTTTAATTAAAAAATTGAGAATTATTTATTTTTTCATTTTAGTTTATCAAAGCAAAATATTAATGGTAAAATTGAGAAGTTATCTTTAAATGAGGCAAATAGTTCAAGTGATCCTTTGATTTTGGATAAATCATTTGATAGAGTTATTTTTGATGCAAAACAACATCCGTTGGTCAGAGAAAAGAATTTTTATTGGACGGTTTGTGTTTTTTAAAACTTTTTAAAAATTATTTTGATAATTATTTTTTAGCCAGATTTACTTGCTGAAATTCCAAAGTGGCGAATGAAGTGGCCGAAAGATTTTTGTCATGATTCACTTATTGTAAATGGAGAAAGTCTTCAACAGTCATTAAATATTTCTGATATTAATTAATTTGCAAAATAAATTTTATTTCTTTTTTTAAGTCTTTCCAAAAGTCAATTTATTTTTGTGCATTCACGTTTTCGGGTCTCATCAAAAAAATTTTTGTTGTTAGTATATTATTTTTGTTTGGCCTTTATATTTTTTAAGTCAATTTACTGTTTATTGTCTTATTTGTGAAAATTGAAAGAAATGATATAAATATATTTTTTATATAAATTGGGATTTTAATTTAATTAAAATTGATATTTCTTTTTTAAATATTTTTCTGATTACATTTAATTTTTAAAATAATTTTTAGAATGTTTTTAAAAAGAATTACTTTATTTCCTCAAAAACATTTTTATTTCTGTTTTCGTCAACTACATTTAAGTAATTTATTAGAATATGGACGTTATCCATATTTTAATATTCACAAAAATGTTACTGATCCAAAGAGACAAGATCCTGATTATTTTGAAAAGGAGGCGGAGAAATTGCCTTTAGGTTTGTTTTTTAATTTTATTTGAAAATAATTTTTTAAATTAAGTTATTCAATTAAAAAATATTTTGGAAGGGGGAATTAAAAGTAAATTAATTTGGAATTTTTATTTATTAAATATAAAAGAATTTAAAGAAATTGAGAAGAAAATGTTATTTAGTAATTTTGTTTATTCAAGTAATATGTAAGTAAATTTATTTAAAAAATAATTTTAAAAAAATTTAGAAAAATGGAAAATGAGAATGGAGGAAATGGATTGGATGGAGAACCTTTAATTGAAAAAGGTTTTTTTTAAATTTAAGGCCCGGACATGGCTTTAACTTAGTTTTTATACCAAATAGTTCCTCAAATTTAGCACAATTTTAAATTAATTTTGAACATCTTTAAAAATATTTTTGAGATAATTTTTTGAAAATTATTTATAATTTTTTTTAAATTTTTAATTTAAAGATGAAAAACACCAAAAATCAAAAAAAGTTGAAGATTTGCCTTTAGTTTTTTGTGATTATATAATGTTAGCTTTACTTTTTACATGTTTTTTGTGGCCTTTTTCTATGCTTTATAATTATTTACATTATGATTGGGATCAAATTTATGATGATTTTATTGAAAGAAAAATTGAAGAAAGAAACCAAAAACAACAAAAAATAATTTAATTAATTTTTTTTGTTTTTTTATTTAAATAAATTATTTAAAAATAAGTTTTTTTAAAATAAATAATTTTATTTATTTAAAATATTTTTTTATAATTAAATTTAAAATTAATTTAGAATTTAAAAGAAAATGTTAAAATCCAAAATATTTTGTTTTTTGACAACAAATAAATTAAAAGGTTTTTATTTTAAATTAATTTTTTTAAAGAAAAATCTTTTTTTAGTTAAATTACCAAAAGAAAGTTGTCGTTATTTATGTTCTGTTGGTGGAATTGGAAAGAATTTTTGTTTTAAAAAATTAATTGTTCGTTTTTATTTATTTAAAATTAAAAAAATATTTTTTTTAAAGATTATTAGAAATAAAAGTAATTATGAAGAATTTAAAGAAGAAAAAGAAGAAGAAGAATATATTAATTTAATGAAAACTAATTTAAATGAAAGAAATGAAAGGCCAACATTTAATTATTTTTCTAAAAAATCTTCAGACAAAAAATTTGGCGGAAAAGAAGTTTTTTTTAATTTAATTTTAAAATAAATTTTTAAAGATTTTGGCAATTCTTTTTATGGTAATTTCTTGGTCAATATTTTTATTTCCTGTTCAAATTAAACTTTTACTTTGGGAAAAACTTGAAGAAATAGTAGAAAATGAGTTGTATGATTTTGAAAAATCAATGGAAAAAATGAAAGAAAAATTAAAAGAAAATAATTAAATAAATTTTTTATTTTTTTAGAAAAAAAGGTAAAATAAATTTAAATTATAATTTACAAAAATAAAAGAAATATTTTTAAAATTACATAAATTATCAAAACTATTCATTTCCCCTCTCTCTCTCTTTCTTTCAATTAATTTTTATAATTACCAGAATAATAAAAATTAGAAGAAAATCTTTGTTGATTATTATTTAAATTAATTGGAGAAGGTGAAGAAGAAAAAGATGAAAATGGTTGTTTATTTGTAATTAAAATATCATTTGAAAATGGATATTTTAACTAAATAAAAAATAAAATATTAAAAAATTTAGAAATTAAATTACAATTTGTTGTTGATTAGAAGGATTTGTTGGTGGTGGTGGTAATATTCTTTTAAAAGGCTGAGGTTTTTGTTGTTGTTTTGTTTGTTGTGAATTAAATTGTTGTTGTTGTTGGGAATTTATTGAATTAACTTTAAAAAAAAATTTTTTTTCTAAAAATTTATTTTCTCCTCTCAAATTAAAAAAAACCAAGCTAATTATTACAATAAAACGGTAAAATTAATTCCAAAAGTAGCCAGAATTGGATAGGATTAAAATGAGAATTTTCATCCCCATTTTGGTTTCTTTTTAAGGAAAGAAGGTAACTTATTTGTTAGCCCCGGCCTTGTATTTATTTAAAAATTAATTTACTTTGATTTTGTTGAAAATTATTATTTAAATATTTTTGTTGTTTTTTGTAAAAACTTTTAAAAAAAATAATTAGTATATTTTTTTAAATTAAAGTAAATTTACAAATTTTTATTTTCTGAATCAATTAAAAATAAAGGAGAAGTTGTTGGGGGGAGTTGAGTAGAAGAATAAATTATTTGTTGTTGTTTTTGTTTTTTTGAAGATTTGTGGTTATGGTGGTGATGATTGTGGTAATTGTTTTTAAGTGTCTTTTTAAATTAATTAAAAATTAATTTTTAAAATTACCGGAATTCCTTCAATTCTTGTTTTTATTTTTTTGTGATGTTTCTTTTTTGATTTTTTATTTAAAAAATTTTTTGTTGATAATAATTCTAAAATTAATTTTTAAAAATTTTTAAGAATTATTTCCAACCATTATTATTTCCAACTTCTTCCAATCCCCCTCTTCCTCCTTCATGTAATAATTTAATCCCTTCAACAACAGCACCTCCTCCTCTACTTTCTTCATTTTTATTTAAATTTTTGTGTTTATGATAATGTTTATTTTCCTTTAAATTAAATTTATTTTTAATTTTTAAATTAAATTAATTACTTTCGGCCTTTCCAAAGAAAGAATAACTGGAGGTTTTTTAAAATTAATTATTTTACGAAGAATTGGATCGTTTTGACCATCAACCTTTTTTAAAAATATTTATTTTTTTAATTTAAAAAATAAACAAACAACAAATTCTTCAAAAAATTTTCATTTTTATTTGTTTCTTCATCAGTTAAATTTTCATCAAACAATCCACGCCTTAATGCAGCTAAATTTCGACGAGAAGCTTTTTGTTTATTAATCGGTTTTTCTAAGAGAAAAAAATAAAAATTTTAATAAATTTAAGGGGAAATCTAGAAGAGGAGTATTTTAAAATGCTTTAGCTACATATAAGCAAAAAGCTTGGTTAGTGGAAATCCGCAACGACCCTCTAATTTTCCTCTAGCTAGTCCCGCTGAGAATTTTTTGATTAAATAACTATTTAAATATGCTGGGAAATTTTTGGAAATTAAAAACAAATATCTGGAACTGTCATTAGTAGGGCCAGCCAAAACATGCAAATGCATGTTTTGTATGTGGATATGTCTTGAAGTGGGAAGCCCATAAATGGTGTTTTTACATTGGTCCGAGCACTTCAAGGCATATTTTAACTATTTTTTGGCGATTTTCCATGCATATTCCGGTTGTCCCTAGTCATTAGATAGATTATCTAAATATTTAATTTTACCTTTTCTGTTATTTATTATATCATCCCCAATTTCTTTTTCATTTTGATGAGGGGAATGAGAAGAAGGAAGAGGAGATGTATTTTCTTTTCCTTCATTATTATTTTCTTCTTTTTTCAATTGTTTTTCCAATTCTTCAAATTCTAATTTTGTTAAATTTCCCATTTTTAAATGTCCAAGCAATTTTCCAAGTTCTGGAACCATTTCAGATAAATCAGAATTTTCAATTATTGTCATATTTAAATTTTGACTGGATGGATTTGATGGAATCTTTTTTAAAAAAAAATATTTTTTTAAAAATATTCCCAAATTATTTACCAACGGTTCTAATAACAATTTTTCAATTTCTTCCTTTTCTTTTTTTAATTTTTCTTTATTTTCTTCATCAATATTAAAATTTGTTTCAATTTTTTCTTTTTTAATTATTTTAATTTTTGTTGTTGTTTCAATTTCTTCTTCCTGTCCATTACTTTCACCTGGCAATAAAATATTTTCTTTTAAATTATTTTTAATATTCAATGAAGGAGGAGGAGATAAAGGAATTTCTTCAATTGATCCAACACCAATAAATTTCTGTTTAAAAATTAAAATAAAATAAAATTATTTATTTTCAGTACCTTTCCTGTTGAAATTCTATTTCCTCTAATATTATTTTTATTAAAATTATTATTTGTTTCTTCTAAATTTCCTTTATACAAAGAATTAATATTATTGTTATTGCTGTCAATCTCTCCTTTAAAAAGAATTTTTTTTAGAAATTTTAAAAATAAAAAACTAGCCAGGTAATAATTTAGCTATTCTATTGTTTGTTGTTGGAAATAAATCTGGAATTAATGTAAAATGTGAAGGAGAATAGGGCAATTCTGTATTTATATTTCTTCCATTTAATGAATTTCCTTCAATAATTCCACCACCATCACTCCCCCCTCCTCCTTCTCCCCCAAATTCTTTTCCATATTCACTTCCAATATTTGTTGTCAGTTTTGAAGAACCTTTTTTTATTTTTTTAATAAATAAATTTAAATATATAGTGAAATCCCGTTAATACATCACCCTTGAAACCGAAATTTGGTAGACATGAAAGAGATAATTGGAAAGGCATATGTATTAACAAGGATTTAATTAATTAATTTACTTTTAATTCCTCCTCCATTTATTCCACTACCCCCACCACCACTACTTTGTCCATTACCAAATCCATTAAAAAGTCTATCTTGAAAATCTTTATTCATTCTTGCTGCGTTCTCTACAACAACGGGAAACCAAGCACTTTAATTAAGTTTGGGTAATACTTTAGCTAACCCCCCCCATTTTCCCTATCTATTTTGAGCTTTTTTGTTTGATATTACAGGATTGTTAAAATTTTATTATTTTGAACAAAAATATGAAGCTGAATCCTCCTCTCTCGAAAAGCTTTTTGTTCCGCTTGAAGGGATTGAAACAAATGATCATACCTTAGTTAACTTAAATCTGATTTAGTTGATTTTAATGCCATATGACTCAGCTCGAAGAGCTCTTTAATGATATTAATTTGCCATAAAAAGAGAAAAATATAATAAGGGGAGGTCAGCCAAAGTATTACCCAATTTTCTTTTAAACAAAAATATTCCTGAATTTACCTTTCTGATGCTTGATTGGCAATTCCAACACCAGTTCCTATTTAATTTTTTTTATTTTATTAATTTACATATTTAGCTACCTGTTAATTGGAGGGCAGCTTGTGCTAGCTGATAAACTTTAAATTATTTAGATTTATTTTTAATATTTTTTAAAATTAATTTTTACGTTGTCCAATATTTCCCAGAGCTCCTGCAGCCCCCGCACCTGCAGAAGCACCAGTACCAATAGCTGAACCAAGTCCAGTTCCAAGCCCTGTACCCAAACCTCCAGCTAAACCAGACCCAGCCCCACCCGCCACCAAAGAAGAAATTGCCGAAGCAATTTCCCCGAATTGAGCATTTCCAAAAGGCAAAAAAATTAAAATAACAAATAAATAGTAAAATGTAATAATAAATTGTTTAAGAATGTAAAGGAAATTATTAGTAATTTTTCTTTTAAAATAAATTGATGAAGTAAAATCTCTTTTTATTTTATTTTTCTTTAAATTATTATTTAATGGTGGAGGAGGTTTGCCTGGTGAACATTCTGGTGGCATTACTAGAAAAGGAAAAGAAAATAATTTTAGATAACCAACTTAAAATCAAAACAAAAAACACTTTAAGACTTGTTGTTGTTTTATTAATGTGTTTATGTTGTGTTTATACATTAAACGGTTGAATGAATTAAATATAAGGGGGGAAGGACATTTTTGCGCAAGCCAAGGCTAAAATTAAAAAAAAAAAAGGGGGGGGGGGGGTGGAAGGAGAGAACTGGTCGAGTGATGGCCGCTGGTCAACAATTATCAAGTAAATCTCCTCCTCTCCCCTCCTTTTAAACATCTTTTCCCAAAATCTTTAACGTAAAGTCGAATCGCTCAGCTGTCCAAAAAAAGGAGAGGGAAGAGAATGTAAAGCTAGAAACATTAAAATCCCCTCATCCTCTTTTTTTGCTAATTTTTTCTTCATTTTCCCATCAGCGCTAGCGATCGATTTGCTTTGATCTTAAAAAGAAAAACAGCCAATTTGCATTTTCCGCGTGCCTGTTTTTGAAGAAAAGGGAAGTTTTGAAAAAGAATGTGAAAACCCCTTCAATGATGACCTCTAAAAATAGATTGGAAGAATCTTTCTTTTTATTTTCTGTTTTTTTTCCACATCCCTACACCCATTTAAAAGAATTTTTAGAAAAGAAAAACCAATCGAAAATAATTGAAAGGAAATTGTGACAAAATAAAAAGAGAAAATTTAAATTTTTTTTATTTTAAAATTAAAATAAATTAAACCTTTCCAGAAAATATATAAAATTTAAAAAAGTTTTACAAAATTATCCAAACATCTGAAGATTCCTTTTTCTTCAGACAATTTTTTTCCATTTAATTTTTTCAATTGTTCTTTAGGCAATTTATCAAAAATTAAAAATCCGGCAGCACGTTCAATTGCCTTAAATAATTTAATTTTAAATAAAAAAAAAATCAAAAATTACATCAAGAGGAGAGAAAAATTCACTCAAAGGTTTTTCATTGGGTATGGGTGCATTTGGCATTAAATAAACCTACAAATCAATTTTTGAAAATAAATTATTTATAACCTCCAATTCAAATTGATCTTTTATTTTTTCGATTAAAACAACTTTGAAGAAATGAGTGGGCACAGCAACACGATTAGCGCCAATAACCTAAATAGCAAAAAATTATCAAAAAATAAAAGAAAAAAACTTTATATTTTATATAAAAATGCCCATCTTCTTCTTGATAAGGCAAATAAAGAGGACCTGAACAAACATAAACATTCAAGCTATCACGGGCAATTTGTCTAAAAAATAAAAAAATATTTTTTAAATAATTTTTTACAAACCTAACATGTTTTTCCAAATCATTCCATTTATCTCTATTAAATCCTTTACCAACTTGTGGTGTCATATTTGTTAAAAAGAAAGTTTGTTCCATTGTTAATTGTCTACTACGATGATTTGCTGCGGCTGCCAAATGTCCACGATCATAACCACTCCTCTTAATTATTGAAAAATGAAAACAAATTCTGTCCTTATAAAACTAAAAATGGATGAACTAAAATCAACAAACCAAACCCTTATCAACTAATGAAATTTTGTCAAATTATTTTAAATATTACATACTTTATAATCTTCATTTTGTGATTGAAAATATGGATGAATAGAAGTATCTGGTCTGAAAATACATTTACTTCTGTCAACATCTGGATTGTAAGCGATAACATCCTTTGTAAGATGTTCAATAACCCAATGAGCGACTCTATTCCTTCGATCATAGCTGACAATAAAATCCTTAATTTTTAATATTAGGAATTTACAGTAAATATAATATCTAAACTGACTAAAACATTAAAATAATTAACCTCATAAGTTCTCAAATTATCAAATCCTGGATATCCAAACCGCATAATTTCAGCTGCACGTGATGGCCCTTTCCGAAATTCATTAACCATATTACTCTTTTGTGGTTGCTTCACTTCAACAGGGCCCGAGGGCAGAGGTGTAACTTGTGGAGGTAAAGCAACAGCCGTTCCAGCACTATCAGCGAACACACGCCATCTCCTCCAAAAGTCGTTTTTTGATTCATTTGATGAACAATAGTTACCAGAAATAAAACCCAAAGAAGCCGCTCCAGCAGAAGACGCCAAAATTGATGCGTAAAAGGTTGTTTTATTCATTTGTAGCTGCAAAAACAATGAAATTAAAATAATTAAGTGGATAAATTAAAATAGGTATATAAAATAAAAATTAATTTGTAAAAGAATTTGGTAGTTATTTTTCAGTTTTTTTCAAATTCCTCTCCTATAAATGGTCAGAGAGCGTGATTTTTTCAAATTTATTCCTTTATCTGAACAAACGACGTACGATATTACAAAACTCGAAAAAAATTCTAAAAGACAAATGATGCTTCAACCATTTATAATATTTTTGAAAATGAGAGAAATTTTGGCGTGAAAGGTACAGAATTTGCTTAAAGAAATTTACTAGCACGTAAAATTTAAAACAAAAAAATTGAATAAAGGAATGAATACAAAATTATTTTTAAATTAAAGTTTCATTTTAGAATAAAATATTTAGACTTTTCAAGTTAAATTTCAATAAAAAAACAGAGAAGTTACAAAAAATTAAAGAAAAGGTCAGACTTATAATATTAAAAGAAAAACTAGAAAAAGACATTCTAACACAAAATACCCAAACATTAAAGATTTACAATTTAAAAATGCCTTTTTCTTTAAATTTATTTTCGGAAACCAGAAAGTTGTCTTCAACAATTCGAGGTCTTCTTTAAACAATATATTTAAATTTTGTATGTATAAATCCCCCAATTAAAATAAAAAATCTTTTCTAATTTAAGCATCCTCGTCTTGAACCATTATATTAGCAGAATATTTCAATCCACATTCAGCAAAAGTTTTAATTGCAATTCCATTTTCCCCAACAACTTCACCATTTTCTTTTTGCTCAAATTCGTTTAAATACCAGTCAGGAGCACAATATAATCGAGAAAAAGGAAAATTAATAACCAAAGAGAAATGTTCAGGACATTCAGGATGAATAAATACAGCATTGAAAAGACGCTAAAGAAAATTAAAAATTTAAATTAAAAAAATAAAAAAACTTCAAGACTATCATTTTGTCGAAAACGTCGTTCAGCATTTACTCCATTTGGGAATGTGATACGAATTCGAATAATTTCAGATTTGGGATCAGACTCTAAAATTGCTTCATCCAAATTTTCATTAGCTTTAATTTCCTCTCGTTTTCTAAAATAAAATAAATAAAAAATTTGATTTTTAAAAGACTACCTGCAAAGTCTTTCTGTTCGCGCTCTAGCTCTCTCTGCAGCCTCTTTAACACGCCTTTCTTCGAGAAGACGTTGCTGTTCGAGTTGCTTACGTTCTTCAGCCTTTTGTCTGTCAATAGCAAGTGCACGGTTATATTCATTTTGTTGTTCATTCATTAATCTAAATTAAAATTATTTTAAAATTAGTCTCTCTTTCTTTAAAAATAAACATTCTATCCTGAACAACATTGACAAAATCACGCTGTTGCACATTATTACGTTCCCTATTTGCAATTGCTGGAGGAGTAGGCGGTCCGACCAAAAAATGATCTGAAAGTATAAAAATATGCAAATGAAGTAAAAAGATCAAAAACTTACAAAAAAAGTTAATACATTCAGAAAATGTCCAATAAAATAGTCGGAAAGGTACAAGAACTAAAGCTTTAAACATTTCAATCCAAGTAAGCTGACGAGGAGGAGCTCGTTGAACAGGAAGCTGTCGCGGGGCACCAGATAAGTTTTGATTCAACAGAGCACGCATTTCATCATTAAATTCATCAGAAAGAGGCGAAGGCAGGCGTGGACGACGATGACGAAGTAGTTCCTCTTGAAGTAATTCCTCATGATTTTCATTATTTTGATTTTCGAGAATCTCTGGATGATCGCGAGACTGCAAAAAAATTAAAAGAATAATTTAAACATGTTTTAAATTTTACAAAGAAAAATTGATGAATAGCAGCCTCCAAATCGCCCCCAGATTCCTGTAATAATTGCTCGGCTGTTTCATTATCAATACCACAAATCTCCTGAAAATTCAAAAGGATTATTTCATAAAAGAAAAAAAACCTTAAACATAAAAATATTCGAATGTTCATTATTATTTTCTAAAGATTCTCCATTCTGTTGAGCACCGATATTGTTTATATTGTTATCATTTAAATTATTTTTTGAAGGTCCAGGAGACTGTGATGTATTTTGAATTTGATCAGCCATCTTCTAGAAGAAAATCTTAGAAAATAAATTTAAAGAAATTAAAAAAGAACACGAAATCAATCAAATATGAGAGTTGACTAAACTGACATTTACGTAGGGAACTGCAAATCGACTTTTTCTTAAGGAAAAAAAGTCGTTTCAAAAAAATCTACAATTATTCGCGAACGACTTTTTTTAATAAACAAAACGCCAGAACTACGTAAATATCGATGTTTTACGCCAAACGATTGCGAAACGACTTTTTTGTATCTCTTTTTCTCTAATTTTTCATTATATTTCCTTTCTCTTTTTCTATTAATTTTCGTCTCTCTTGTTTTGTGCAGTCCATTTTTCTTGGAATCCAAAAACTTTGTAGGGCCATAACTTCCTTTATTTTTGTCTGTTCGAATTATTTTTGGCACCATTCGAAACAGCTCGAAAAGCTCCATCGAATGAAACATCAAACTTACAAAACATACCAATTTTGTATGTTTTGAATAATTAAAAGAAAACAATAGAAAAAAACGAAGAATTGATAAAAAAAAATTATTATCTACTTGATTTGGGGTCGCTTTAGTATATTCCCACAGATTTTCCAGCGAAGATTCTGTTGAACATTTTCTAAAGAACATTTTCAAATGTAGTCGAATCTTGACTCTAGGCTCTTCTTGGGCTTTTTCGGGCTTAGGGGGAAGTTAAAAACAAAATTTCAATAAAAAAATGAGACAAATAAACAATAATTTATCAAAAAAACTAAAAGCCAATGTCTCGTTTCACTCATTAGATTTGTGGCCCTAAAGAGGGCCGTTTGGGTTGTGGTCTATTCCATCTAAGACTGCAATTCAAAGGTTGCCAGGCAGAATCACTTCAACAGCAAATCGCCCGAGCACGTCGTTGTAACACTTAGAAAAATGAATTAAAAAATTGAAAAAATTTTAAAAAATTCCAAAAAAATAAGATTTAAAAAACAACCTCTCCTATTGTTTCCCCATTGTTGCAGCCGTAGGATGGAGTTCGACACACATCAAACCCGGAAAGTAATTTACCCACACACATTTAACCCGGAAAGTAATTTACCCACAAATTATAATGCACCGAAAAACAAAATAACCTGATAATGGTTGCTGCTCCAAATGTCGTTGATGGTAAGTGTTTGCTTCTGAAAATTCACTACTACCATTAACAATAAGACTTCCAAATGTTGTACTAGGAGGCTAATGAGACAGGCATTAATTCTACAGCTTCAAAATTTCAATTTTTCTGCAATTTTCCTTCAAATTTCCTTTCCTACCTCCAAAGCCTTAAAAAAACTTTTGTAACCCCTAAAAATAAAAAAAATGAAATCCAATTTACAAAAAACCTCCTTACAAATTGAGAGACTGCACTGAACGAAAATTAATAGAAAAAGAGAAAGGAAATATAATGTGAAATTAGAGAAAAAGAGACACAAAAAAGTCGTTTCGCAATCGTTTGGCGTAAAACATCGATATTTACGTAGTTCTGGCATTGTGTATTAAAAAAAAGTCGTTCGCGAATAAAAGTAGTTATTCGCCGCGAATCGACGAAAAAGTCGATTTGCAGTTCACTACATTTACGTTAGCAATTACGTTACAAAAGTTACCAAATTGACATAGATAAAAAACATTTTGCCAAATCGACGAATTTAGCTTATTTAAAAGTTGGATATTTTCATCTCGAGATTTATTTATTTAATGTTTTTTCTGTTTTGCTCAACTCTTAAATTGACTATATTGATAACATAACTTTGTTTAATAATTTTTCATTTTTAAAGTTAATTTTTAGTCTTACTAAATTTAAAATATTTAAATGTATACTGAAATCCGTGAACTTATAAATTTCCTTGCTCGTTACTTTCATTTGCGTATTCCTCGTTTAAGGGTATTAATTCTTTTTTATAAAATCCTATTTAATTTTTAAAGATTGGTATGTTCTGTGAGCATATGGCCAACAATTGCTTATTTCGTTTTCAGCCTTATTGGAATATCAACATACCGAAACAACGTTTGTTTTAATAAAATTTTTTTCTTTCTGGTTAAAAAAAGTTACAGTTGTATAAAAACTCAAAAAGTTGAGACGATGTATTCTTGATAGTTCTGAAATTTTTAAGTTTCAATGCTCCAGTATAAATAGAAAATAACAACACTAGCACTTCTAAATTTTTTGTGAATTATTTTCAATTTTTGTATATTTTAAGATGAAGAACAACGTATTATTCGTATTTCGCGTACATTTTGTGACGAGACTTTTACTAGTGCTGCGAATTCTGTTGGTTTAATGCTCGAAGAACTGTTAAATTGCTTGCCAGGTATTTTTTCTTTTCTTTTTCTTTGATATAGTGATTGGGGAATGTGAAAGAAATTTGTCTTTTAATGTGACAAAAAATTACCTGGAAATATTTGTTTAGAAAATACCCACATATAATGTGAATTTTGTTTATAAAATGCCAAAATCCTCTTGAATTGACTCAAAATTAATTTTATATTTAAAGAACATATTATTCTGTATGTTAATCCTGGCGAAGTGTTCTACTGTAGCTGTGACTATTCTCCACCAATTCCTATTTGGCTTGGCTCTGTTAACGAAGATCTTAGCTATAACGAGCAAAAAGTTGATGGTCATTCACTGATTCCTCCGCCGCCACTGCCGACCAGAGGTAGGGTTATTTCGATGTTTCGACAATTCAAATATAAGTAGATCTTCATCTTTCAATTTATTAATCTAATGTCTTTATTTTTTAGTCCCGCCTTTGCTTCCAACTGGAATGGATTTTACTGCTCTTGATTGGCGTGTTAACTTATCTTTGGTTTCTCCGAGAGAGCTGGGTTATGAGTACACAAATCCGGTATTAATTGTTTAATTTATTAAATTAAACAATCATTCCTTTTTCCCTGAGTTATAACGGGCTGAGTGAATGACACAACATTAATGTGATTAGCCACATCTTGAGAAGGCTCTAGCAAATTGAATAATCCAATAACCTCCAACAAACTGAGAAAACTTATTAAAATCTGCCTTTACCGTGTATAAACAATTTTAGCATTAATTTAGAGGGGAAGGGAGTGACTGAAATGGAAAGTACTAGAATGTTATTGAAAATTAAAAATAAGAAACTTTAAAATAAAAATTTAAATAATTTTTTCAGTTTACTGGTTTTCGCATGTTTCGTTATGTTTTGCCTGGTGCACCAAACTTTACAGTTGAGACCTTTGCAATTACTCGTTTTGGCTCTTTTCGTAAACGTCCAGAACATGAAAAGAAATTTGTTGATGCAATTAAAAATTTTGTTAATTCTGGGAATGTTAAGGGGGGAGGGGGGATTACAACAATTGAAAGTAATTCTGCAACTACAACAACATCAACATCTGCTGCTAAAAATTGTGGAATTTGGAGTTCTAGTAATGAAGGTCTTCTTTGGATGATGGCAGAAGAATTGAAGCAACTTAATTTTGAAGATAGGGAGAAATTTTTTTGATTTAATTTAAAGTAAATATCTAATATTTAATTATTGTTATATATAAGTGGTTGATTAAATAACAGTTTTTGGTCTGGGTTTTAAAGAAATTTACGGGTTTTGATAAAAAAATTGTCATAAGATATCTTTCTTCTATTATATTTTTCTTAACTTTTAAACAGCATAATATTTTATTACAGCGTTAATTTTACACAAGGCATAAATGAGGTAAAAATGTTAATTTTTGGCATAATTTTATATTAATACACAAAGCACTAGAATAGAAAATTGTAAAACCAAAAATTTTACACGACTCTCGCCTCTATTTTATATCCTGTGTCTTTAGAGTCAGCAGTATTTTTTCTCAAATATTTCCAAATCTTTTTATCTAGTGTATTAAAATTTTCTTAAAATATTAATTTAATTTTTTAAATAATTTTTAGAATGTTTTTAAAAAGAATTACTTTATTTCCTCAAAAACATTTTTATTTCTGTTTTCGTCAACTACATTTAAGTAATAAATTAGAATATGGACGTTATCCATATTTTAATATTCACAAAAATGTTACTGATCCAAAGAGACAAGATCCTGATTATTTTGAAAAGGAGGCGGAGAAATTGCCTTTAGGTTTGTTTTTTAATTTTATTTGAAATATTTGAGAATCAAAAAGGTTTCAGTTCTCAAATAATTATATTTTAATTGAAAAAATATTCAGATGCTCGATATATCGATCAATTAAAGAATCTTTGGGAGGAGAAAATTGGAAGTGAACGGCAATTAATTTTTAAAGCTCAGGACAGTTTAATTGGTAATTCAACAGATTATGGACTTCCAAAATTAAATTTGGATGAACCAAAACTTGATTATAAAGGAATTGATGCTTTAGAGACTGCACCTGAAAGTGTAAAGAAAATATTTAGTTTGGGGCATGCATCTTCGAGAGAAATAAATATGGCTTGGAAAATGTAGTAAATATTTAATTTTATTTAAATTGGTAAATTTTTAGGGAAATGATAAAGAAAGTTCGCAGAGATGAATTGGATGGGAAGTCATTACCTGCAAAAAGTAAATAGATTTTTAATTAAAATAAAGGACGAATAAATATTTTGACTAAAAAATTTTTTTATAAATTTTTAATTAATAATTTAGTTGGTTGGGCAACCGCCACAATCCGCAATTGGAATCGAGTTTATGCTGAATTTGAAGAGAAGCGTAATACTTCTAATCGAAAACCTAAATTACCTCGAGCTACCTGGATTTCTCATCCATTATATTTGTTAATAAATCAGCGAAGGAAATGGTTAAGATTATTAAGAGAACAAAGCGAAGAAGACTTTCAACGTTGTATTAATGAATTGAAAATTTCTTATATTATACAAAAGGAACCAGAACACGTGAAAACGAGAAAGGTTTTTTTATTTTAATAGGATAACAAATGTAACATAATCCTGTAGACATTATCTTGTTTCGAGTGTTAACCTTTTTATATTTTAAAACCTTTTCATTTCTAATACCATAATATCAACAACTGAAAATACCAAAAGTTTATTTTCGAGTTTCCAAATCCTCCCTCTAAAATTTTTTTCGATTTCATTAAAATATTTTTAAAGGTTTGGTCTGAAGTACAACTTAAACGACGAATTGCTCTTGAAAAAGAAAAACAATTAGAAGCACTTCACATCCGGCTTAAAGAGAATCGAGAAGAAAAATTGCGTTCAATTAACGACGAAGCTAATTTATTAAATAAAGAATTAAAACAAATAATGGAAAGACTTCACCAATTAAATATTATAGAAAAGAAAACTGTTGCAAATATTGTTGGGGAATATCAACCAAATTATGTAGGTGAAATGACTGAAATTGTTGATAATTCAAAATTATTTGGTTAAAAATTATTTTTTTTTTGTTTTTATTAAAAAATTTAAATCACAACTAGTAAAAGGAAATAAAAAAAACAAAATTTATTAATTATACCATTCATCTATAGAAATACATTTCGTGTAAAAATACTTTTCCCTTAATAATATTTTTTAAACAATTCTCTATTAAACCCTCTTTTAATCAGCTTCTGTAATAAATCCAACAGTTTTTTGTTGTTGCCTTTTCCTCCTTATACCAGCTTGTTTTATAGCAGCTGCATTAGGTTTCTTCAATTTTTCACCTTTTATTACACGTTCAACTTCTTGTTTTGTAAGTGTCTCATATTCCAAAAGCCCTTCAGCCAATAAATGATGTTCAGTCTTAAAAAGAATTTTTTGTTTGAAAATTTTCTATTAAAGAAAACCTTGTATTTAATTAACAATTGTTTTGCCCGTTCATAACTTTCTTTCAAAAGACGTTTAATTTCTTCATCAATTGCATTATTTGTTTCTGGTCCAAAACTTAATCCCTCCTCTTCATTTGATGTAAAATCTCTCAAACCAACATGCTCACTCATTCCATATGTTTTTACCAATCTTTCAGCGATTTCTGATGCTTTTCGCATATCAGAGGCAGCCCCTGTTGTGACCATATCTTCACCAAAAATTAATTCTTCAGCTACTCTTCCGCCCATTAAAACATCAAGTTTGGCAAGTAATTGACTTTTTGTATATTGAAGATGGTCTTTCTCTGGGAGATGAGCTGTCTAAAGAAAAACAAAAAAAATTTTTAATTTAAAAATATTTTACAAGTCCAAGTGATTCTCCGCGTGGAGTAATGGTAACTTTATGAATTGGATCAGAATGTTTTGTAAATATTCCAACAATTGTATGACCGGCCTCGTGATAAGCTTTTTAAAAAATAAAATTTAAAAAAACATTCATAAATTTACCAGTATTTCTATTAGCCTCTTCATCTGCATGTAATCCTTTTAAACGTGCTGGCCCCATAAGTATTCTATCACGCGCTTCATCCAAATGCTTCATTGTTACACGCATGGCACGCTCAGTTGCGGCTTTTAATGCTGCCTGATTGACCATATTCTCAATATCAGCGCCGGTGAAGCCAGTAGTTCCTCTAGCTAATGTAGTGACATCACAATCAGCTGAATGAATTATTTTGTCGAGATAAAGCCTAAATAAAAATATAAAATTAAACCCAATTTAGTTAAAAGTCAAATTTATTGTTAGTTTATAGGTATATTTTACATTGGATCCCTTCACTTGGTTATTTTCTATCAAGTCTTTTTCCAAATTTAACAAAATAGATATGTATCCCCATATAATAGTCTTTTGGATAATTTAAGTTGGACAAACACAGATTTGAAAATAACTGAAAAGAAAAAGGAACCTTTTTTAGTTAGAAGGGTAAAATTTTCACTAAAATAAAGCTAAAACAAGTTCAAAAAGAATAATTAAACATATTAAAAAGGTAAACGAACTGAAAAATATCCTCTCTCCCAGCTAAATCAGGCCTCGAAACTTTAATTTCCACATCAAAACGTCCAGGTCGTGTCAAAGCAGAATCCAAATGGTCTCTTTTGTTTGTGGCTCCAATAACAATTATACCCTCATTTTGGACAAAGCCATCCATTTCAGAAAGCAATTGATTAATTGTTTGATTTGCATATGGATGTAGAGTACTTGACGTGCGTTTAGAGCCAACAGAGTCAATCTCATCAATAAAAACGACACAAGGAGCGTGCTTACGAGCTTTCTCTAATTAAAACATTTTAAATAAAAAGAAAATTTAAAAAAACTTACTAAACAAATCTCGAACTCGTCTAGCACCTTGTCCTACAAGCATTTCATCAAATTCTGAACCAGAAGCATGCTAAAATTATATTTTAGTATTATCCCTAAAATATTTTTAAAATTATATACAAAGAACGGGACGCTCGCTTCCCCAGCAACAGCACGTGCCAATAATGTTTTGCCAGTACCAGGATCACCAATCAACAAAACACCTTTAAATTAATCCATAAAATTAAATATATAAAAAACAAAACCTTTTGGAAGACGAGCACCAAGACGTGTATAACGTTCAGGATTGCGCAAATATTCAACAATTTCTTCAATTTCCATTTTTGCTTCATCAACTCCACAAACATCATCAAAAGTAACATCCACATCTTGTTCCATAGCAAACATATCAACACCAAAATCAAAAATTAATCCCTTGCGGGTAAACATTCTGTAGACTTTAAAATAAAAAAAAATATTCAAAATTTTATTTTAAATTAAACCAAGATATCCAGCGAAAGCAAAAGAAGTAAAAAAGAAAAGTCTGCCAAAAGTATAAAAGAAAAGTCTGCCAGGCCTACAAAAAATTTTAAATTTATTTTTAAAAAAAATATTTAATATAACCCAGGTTTTCCATCTTCTTTATGTCCACCAGCAAATACACCTCTAATGAAGCCATCCTGTGATAAAATTGTATTAAAATGTAAAGCAGAAAAATTTAGGGGAAATATTCATTTTATTCAAAGAAAAACACATCTAATAGTTATTCTATTTTTTTAGAAAAATAAAAATTTCTCCTTCACTTTTGCCATAATTTTTGTCTACGGTGCTTAAAAACCAAATTTAACTTGTTGGCCGTCAGAAAATCCCAAAAATTTAAAGAAAAGCAAAATTAAATATCCATATAAACCGTTATAAACGCCGAAAAGTCAAAGTCAAGCACTCCTTCCATCACAACTCCCTCTTAAAATCTTTTGACTTACATTATAAGTTTTCTTTTCAGATTCATCCATTTTTTCAATCATAATTTTATAATCATCATAAGCATCTGTTTTGTGAGACTAAAAAGAGAGAGAATTTAAAATTTTTGTTTAGTTTTCATCAAATGTTAGATTAATCTACAAATCTTTGAAAAATTCCTCACGAAAAATTTAATCTTTTAGTGTGTAAATTATTTAATATTTATTTAGGTTCTAGTTTAGGACATGCGTCCCATGACAGTGTATGCGTCCCAAAAAAAGTGTTTTTTGGGACGCATGTCCTAAACTAGAGCATTTATTTAATATTAATTATTTAATTAAAAAAATTTACCGTGAATAATTTTACTCGATCAAGCCATCCTTTACTTTCTTTATCTTCAACATCTTTTTTGATACTAAAACCCGTAGCCGTTTTACGTCCACTTTTTAGTGCTCCACTATGTAGTTGACGGAAACACAAATAATATTGTTTTTGTGAAAGTAAAACAGGCAATACCAAACGACGAGATGACATAGTACTTACTATAAGAAAAAATAAAATAAATTTTTAAATAAAAATTATTTCTGAAACAAAACATTCAAAAACATTTATTTTTTAAAAATATTTATTAAAAATTTATGTAATATTTAAATGATATAGCGGATTTTAAAAACACTAAAAATTATAAAAATTTTTCACGTTAAAATAACCAAAAAATTCAACAAAAAACATCAACCTCCAAAAAAATTATGAAATTAGAAGCAAATAAAAAAAGTAAAAGAGAAGGACAGCAAAAGAAAGAAATTAGACATTTTGCCAAAGAAATTCCGTTAATTTATATTTTAAAAAATCTTTATAGTAATTTGGTTAATCTCGAAAGAAAAGCAAAATAATAATATAGAAATTTAATTTTTAATAGAAATTAGTTAAAATAAATAATAAAAATATTTAATTAATTAATTAAATCCATTCTTTTCAATTTTTACAAAATTAAAACATTTAATTGGCAATGATTTGTTTATATTATTTAATTGATTAAGTTCTTCCTAAAAAATAATTTTTTTTTAATTAAAAATCTTTTTCTCTTACTTTTAATAAATAAATTTGTTTATTTATTTCTTCTTTTTCTTCGAAAGAATTTTCCAAATTTATTTTAATATTTTCAAAATTTTCTTTATTTAAAGAATCCTCCAATTCATTTAATTCTTCTTCAAGTTTATTTAATTCAAAATTATTTGGAAAAGAAGAAGAAGAATCTTTAAATTTAAAATTTAATTATTTAAATTTAATATTTAATATTTTACTTAATTTATTCAAAAGATCATTTAATAATTTTTCTTGTTCATCAACTATTTTTTCTTTAAATATTTCTGCTAATTTTGTTTTGTTTGTAGAATCAGAAAAAACTTTAAAATTAAAAATGTTTTTAATTTAATATTTAAATAAAAATATAAACAAATCCCCCCCCCCCCCTCTCCCTACCTTTTTCCAATTTTTCTCTATTATTTACAGCCCTTTCCAACAATTCATTATTTTCCTCCTCTTCTTTTTCAATTTCATTTAAATTAATTTTTAAATTATTTAAATTCTCTTCCATTTTTATTGTTTGATTATTTAATTGATTAATTGACTTTTAAAAATTAATTATTTAATTTTTAATTTAAATACCTTCTTTAATTTTTCAATATTTTCGAAGGCTTTATTTGCCCAATTCAAAGCTTTTTTTGTTTGTTTTTGTGTTCTGTTTAAATGTTTTTCTGCTAAGTTTAATTTATTTTCTAATTTTGTTAAATTTTTGTTTAAAATTTCAGAATTTGCAATTTCTTTTTGGAAAGTAGTTTTTAATTGAATTTGTTTGGTTTTGTTGTTTAAAGATGGATCTAAATATTTAAAAATTAATTAATTAAATTAATTAATTGGGATGTTTTTAGACATTTAATCCCCCCCCCCTCCTCCCTTCCCTTCCCTTCCCTTCCCTTCCCTTTCCTCCCCTCTCCCCTTCCCCTATTAATCCCCCCTCCTCTCCTACATACATACTTTTATTTAATTTAATATTAAAAATTCCTTCAAACCATTCAAAACATTCCAAATATTTTTTGTCTGATTAAAAGCATTAACAGCCAAATTAAAATAATTTTGTGATTTATTTAAATAAACATTTATTTTTTCAAAAGAATTATTTCCTCCTCCTTCAATTAATTTATTAATTAAATTAATTTCTTCATTTGATTTATTAATTAATTGAGAATTTTCTTTAATTAAAATATTTAATTTAAATTCATCAAAAGAAGAATAATTAAAATAATTATTTAATTCATTAAACTTTAAAAATAAATATAAATTAAAAATTAAAAAAAATTAAATACCAAAATATTTATTTTATTTATTTTAATTGTTTGAGGTATTTGAATTATTTTAATATTAGCTAATAACAAAATAGATTGATTTAATGAAGAATTTACTTCTTCTGACAATTTTTTAGATTTCCAATTAATTTGGGAAAATTCCTTTAAAAAATAAATTTAAATAAAATTAAAAGAAATATAAATACTTTTTCTGTTTTGTTTAAATTAAAAGAAAGATTAAATAATAATGAAGATGAAGAAGATTGAGTAGAATAAGAACCTTTAAAAAATTTAATTAAAATTTATTTCCTTTCCTCACCTCCTTCCCCTTCTTCAACTTCATTCAATGCTTGTTTTGATTGTTCTTTAATTTTTAAAGTAATTTCTGAAATTTCCAAAAATTTATTTTTAATTATTTTTGTCAAATTATTTCCTTTTTCTGCCATTTTAATTAACCAAAATTCTGCTATCTATTTTTAATTTTTAAAAATTTAATTTTTTAAAATAACCTTTTGTTTATTTATTTGTGTAGAATTAATTATTAAATTACTTTTTTGTTTTAATTCAAATAAATTGTTGGAAATTAATTTTTGAAGATTTTCTTTTTTAAAAAATAATAATTATTTTTTAAATTTAAATTTAAGCTAACCTTTTTTCAATTTTAAATTTTTTAGTTTTTCTTCACTTTTGTTTAAATCTTTAAAATTATTTAAATTATTTAATTTATTAAATAATTTATTTAATAATTCTTTTGTCGACAAATAATTTTTATTAAAAATTAAAGATTCTTCTGATTTTTTAATTAATTTTAATTTTAAATTGTTTAACGTTGAATTAAAATTAAAAGAAGAAGAGTCTTTTACCTAAATAAATTAATATATTTAATTATTAATTTTAAATAAAGATAATAAAAGATATGCCCACATTTTCCTTTTTCATATTACAAATGGTTAAATACCTATCAGGGATGGGATGGGTTGCTCGAAACCCGACCTGGACTTATTTCTCAACCTATCCCATCCTACAATTTAGAACATATACCTAATCCAATTTATGTGCGTGTGTGATTATATTTTAATTCACAAAAAATAACGAGTTATAAACTCCAAAATAAATTACCTACTTTTATTTTTAGTAAATTATCCATTTTTAATTTAAATTTAAGCATTTCTTCTTTTATAAAATCTCTTTTAGAAGAAATTAAAGAATAACAATCATCACATTTTTGACAACCATTAATAGACAAATTAAAATAATTTTCTTTACAATGACTAGTAAATAATAAATAATTATTTAATTTAAAATTAATTCTAAATTTACTCGCAATAAATTCCCTCAACATTATTGTTACACAAACATTGCCCATTTCTAATATCACAAAAGTCAATACTTTCAGAACCAATTTTATTACATAAACATTTTGAACATCCGCCAGAATTTAAACCAAAATGTTTAGGGGCACATTGATCACAATTTATTCCAATAACCTCATTTTTACATTTACATTGCCCACTTCTTTGATCACATTCAGTAACATCTAAACTCCCTAAAGGATCACAATTACAAGGTTGACAACCATTTTTAGAAAATATATTAAAATAGCCAATTGCACATTTTTCACAACGTTTTCCAATTACTTTTTAATTTTAATTTGAAATTAATTTAAAAATTTAAAAATTAAATTATTTACCATTAGGTAAACATTTACATTGTCCATTTATTTGAGAACAACTAAATAATTTTCCTTTTTTATTTTTAATAGTTCCCAATTGATGGCAATTACAAGGAATACAATTAAATTTATTTTTAGTTATTTTATCATCTCCAAATAAATAATTATTTGGAGCTTTCCAAAAACCGGGTAAACATTTTTCACAATTCCAGCCAGTTGTGTGGTGAATACATTGAAGGCATTGTCCAGTAAATAAATTCTTTAAATGTTTTTTTAAACAGATAAATTAAAATTCTCTTAACTTTTAACTCCTTTCCCCTCCCTCTCTTCTCCTCCTCCTCCTACATCCCCCCTCCCCTTCCTCTTCCCCTCCTCACCCCCGCCCTCCCTCACTCCCCCTCCATTTCTCTTTTGTCTTCAAAATAATTTTATTCCCCCCACAATTTTAAATTCTTACACATTGTCTAATATTATTTGGATCTATATTTCCATTACAATCACATTTTTGACAAGGTTTTCCAAATAAAGGGTGTCCAAAATAATCTTCAGAACAATATTCACAACGAGGGCCTGTATACCCTTCTGGACATTTTGTACAAATTAATTGTTTGTCCAAATAAATACAGGCGCCCCCTCCAGGACAGTTACAACTAAAAAGAATTTTCTTTTCGAAATTTAGAGTAAATAAACGGTTTGCAATCTTCTGATGTCCCAGTCAAAGCATCTCCATAAAATCCATTAGCACATCTTTCACAAGTATTTCCAGCTGTATTATGTTTACAATAACAAATACCTTTTTAATTAATTTTTATTTTTCTAATTTATTTACCAGTTTCTGGTTCACACATTTTACCACCAAAAGAATGCCCGTTACATTTACAGGGAACACATTTAGATAATGGACCGGGAAATTCACGTTTAAATCCGGGTGCACAAAATTGACAAAATTGTCCAGAATATGGAGGAGGACAATTACAATTTTCAATCCAATTGGCAGAGGAAGAATGTTGAATTACTTTAAAAATAAATAAAAAAATTCAAAAATTTCCTTTAATTTACGAGAAGGAGAATATTTATTATCAAAAACGTCCAAAGCAGAATTTATTCCAAAATCAGACAAATACCCAATATCTCCTTGAAAAAACGTTGCACGTATTCTAATTGATGTTAAATTTGTTAAAATTTTAATAAAATCAGTTTCATTTAATTGAGGATTCCACTTTTAGAATTTTTAAAATTAAAATTAATTTAAATATTTAAATTACTTGATATTTTGGATTTGAATGGATTTTAAATTTATAAAAAGTTTTGTTTGTAGAAATGTTTGGATTTTGTTGTGAACTAAAAGACAATGAAAGTATATCCCCTTTACTTCCAATTAATTGTAATTCTGTGCTAGTTCGAGGGGAATATTCTAATAATTTGTGATAGGAGAAATATATATATTGACCTTAAATTAAAAGATCTCCATTAATATTTAAATAAAATAACCATAAAAGAATCGTTGATCTCCTAAAAATTTTGTTGGAGCAACAAAATAAATTTTCCTTTAATTTTTTTTTAAAATTAATTTAATAATTAAATAAAAATTACCAGGGGCATTCTTGTTTAATAAATATTAATTTATTTTTAAAATCATAATTAACCTAAAAAATAAAAATTAAAAATATTTCCTTTATTTATTCCAAAAGAAAAAACCTTTAAATTTTTAATTTCTCCATTAGATTCTATACTTAAAGCTTTCCAAGCATCATTATTTAATTTAAAATTCGAGGAAATATTAAATTTAATAAAATTATTTTGTTGATTATTTGAAGAATAACAAATAGAGGAATGTCCAAAACAAAAACAGGGAAAACATTCAAAATTATTTTTGTTATTTTTAATTAAAAAATATCCGGGTTTGCAACGATCACAATATTCTCCTTCAACATTTTCTTTACAAAAACATTTTCCGTTTAAAGATGAACAAATGGAAGAATTGGAATAATTATTACATAAACATTTTCTTTAAATTGTTTTTAATTTTAAAATTTGTCAATTTTTGATAAAGATTTTTGTATGAGGGGTGTTGGAGCATTAAGGTCCTTTTAATTTTTAATCCCTTAAAATTCCCCAAGTCCTCTTAAGTTCTCTTAATTCTTATAATTTCCTCAGTATCTTCTCCGTATTCTTTACTATAATTCTCTAGATTTATTTTTATATTGATGCTAAAATGTTCCCTTGTTAAATGATTTTAAATAAATATTTTTTAAATTAGCTTAGGAAATATTAGTGAAGGTAATTATTTGAGGGAGGGTAATAAATACACGGTATAATTATTTTTGTTTGGAGTATACATATATAAAATATATTTACTTGCAACCATTAATTCCAAACCCAAAATAACCATCTAAACATTTATCACAATATTTCCCAGTTACTCCATTTTTACAACTACAAATTCCATTATTTTCATTACATTTTCCATTATTTAAAGATCCATTAACATTACAATTACAAGGTTTACAATAATTATTATTTGGAGAACGCCAATGATTTGGAAGACAACGTTCACAATTTACACCCTTCAAATTAAAAATTAAATAAAATATTTTTTTATTTATTCTTCTATATTGTTTGTATTATTTAATTATATATATGTACAATTAATTTCCCAAAAATAACTACATACCTCAGTATTCCCCAAACATTCATAACAATGTCCCCCATGTCCAGTTTCTTCAAAAAGTTTTGGATCAAAAAAACATTTTTTAGAACGTCCACTACAATTACAAGGTAAACATTCATTAGCCTCAAAAGAAGTTGCTGGCCTCCAAGGTCTATCAAAATAAAAAGGAGCACATTCATTACAATCTATTCCTCTTGTATTATGTTGACATTCACAAATCTTTTAATTTAATTTTAAACAAAAAATCCCTTTCCAAAAAAACCAATTTTTGAGGTATTCCCTTTCCTGTTGATTTAATACATTTATTTGCGTGTCCATTACATTTACACCTTCCACCAACAGCCAAATCACTAATTCCATAATAATAAGAACTTAATACTTTTTTATTTCCAAATATTTCATCACCAAAAGTATTCATTCTAACTAAAGATATTCTTATTTGTTCAGCAGTTACCCAATCCTTTGAATTAATTCCTCCAAATATAAATACTCTTAATTACCTGTAATTCTTCACTTTCTTCAAAATTTTCAGCAGAAGGCCTTCCCTCTAAAGTAGAAAAAGCAATCCTTCCCCCAGTTAATGGAGATATATCAGAAAATTCTTTTGTACATTGGGCTATAGCTTCGTTTCCGGGAAGTATTGGAGCTTTTTCTGGTAATTTAAATGTTGAAAGACATGAACCGCTTAATAAAAATAATTAAAATTTTAAATTTTAATTCCTCAAAACCACCTATAATATTGCCAAGGTATCCATTCATTTCCATTATTTTTATTTTTCTTATAAATAACAAAACTTTCAGGACGTGGAGAAATAAACTTTAAATGAACATAAGTAATCTCGAATTGTTTATTTAAATTAATTGTTAAATTAATTGTTTGGGGATATTTAATTCCTTCGGCCATTGTTTCTGATTGCCAAAATGTTGAATTCTCAGAATCTAATTTTTCTTTTTAATTTTTAAATTTAAAAATAACCAGTTAAATATTTGGGTAAATGTGCCTTTTGAGGAATATTAATGTCACAAACATCACAATATTTATTTAAACGATGCCCTGTTTGCATACAAAAATTTGTTGGAGAATATATTCCACAAGTATTTGTTACCTTTTTTTGTAATTTTTAATTTTTAAATTAATTCAAAAAACCTCAAAATTTAAATTATAAACAACATTAATAAAATGAGGGAGGCATTTTTGGGGGAAATTTGGGTTGTTATTTTGATAACAGGGAATTAAACTTGGCTGGAAATGATTTGGGTCTATTTCTGGAATTTTTTGTTGAGGTTTGTTGTTTAATTGTTGTCCAGAAATTATTGAAATTAAAATAATTAAAAATAAATTTAGAGAAGAAATAAACATTTCTTTAATTTAAAAATAAAATTAAAAAATAAATAATGATATGTATGTATAAATTTAAAATAATTATTTAAATTTAAAAATTAATTCCCCACACCTGTTTAGTAACTTTTATTTTTTTAAATTATAAAAAAACATTTTTTAGGCGGCGGATGAGAAAGGAAAACAAAGAAGTAAATATTTATTTTATTTAAATAAATGTTTTTATGCAGCTGCAATTAAATAATAAATACAAAATTAATTTTAAATTAAAGTTTTTTTGGAAAAAAAAATTAAATTTTATTTAAAATAAAATATAAATTAAAAGTAAATGAATATATATATATATATATATATATATATATATATATATATATATATATATATATATATATATATATATATATATATATATATATATATATATATATATATATATATATATATATATATATATATATATATATATATATATATATATATATATATATATATATATATATATATATATATATATATATATATATATATATATATATATATATATATATATATATATATATATATATATATATATATATATATATATATATATATATATATATATATATATATATATATATATATATATATATATATATATATATATATATATATATATATATATATATATATATATATATATATATATATATATATATATATATATAATATATATATATATATATATATATATATATATATATATATATATATATATATATATATATATATATATATATATATATATATATATATATATATATATATATATATATATATATATATATATATATATATATATATATATATATATATATATATATATATATATATATATATATATATATATATATATATATATATATATATATATATATATATATATATATATATATATATATATATATATATATATATATATATATATATATATATATATATATATATATATATATATATATATATATATATATATATATATATATATATATATATATATATATATATATATATATATATATATATATATATATATATATATATATATATATATATATATATATATATATATATATATATATATTTAGTTAACATTTAAATATCTATAATAAATACAAAAAATAATAAAAATAAAATTAAAGAAAAAAAATAAAGAAAAATGTTGGCTATGAATAATGATTCAGAAAAAAATAAAAAGATATTTTTTTAAATTAATTATTAACAAAAAAAAATTCTAAATAAAGTAAAGTCAAAATATAATTAAATAATAACTTTAATTATTTGATTGACACGCCCACAAACAGAGTGCCAGCCGAATTTTTATTAATAATAATAAAAATTAATTTTAACTTCTTTACACAATAAATAAACTTTATGATCCATTAAGTTGAAAAAAGATTCCCCTTATAGAGGGCCTTCGAATGATTTAAGATTTATTTGAATTGGATTAAACATCAAAAAGTTAAAGTCGATCAAATTTGGCTGGCACACAGTTTGTGGGCGCATAACCGATAAGTACCGAATATATTCTCTTAATTATGTAACTTAACACAATAAATAAACTTTTTAATTTTACATAAAATATTTAATTTTGTATATATATTTGGTTAATTTTTCCAAAAAATTAAATTTTTAATTTAAAAATATTTTCAAAAATATTTTCTTTTTTTTTTACTTGCCAATCATTTAAATATATTTAATTAAATAAATAACAAACCCCCCCTCTATTCTTCTTTTTTGCCTTTCTCGTTAAAAAATATATCCATCCAATATTTACATGTATATATTCTCGTCATTTCCTTAATTGAATTTTTTTGTTTTTTTCCTTTTAAATAAATTTAAATGTTTTTGGGAACGGTAGGAAAGAAAAAGAAAAGTTTTTACTTATATCTTTCAATTTTGTAGAATTTTTTTTCTTTCCTTTAGGCGACAAATTATTTTTTAAATGGCAGGAATTCAACCGTTTATAAAAAAACTAAAATTTATTTATTCATGTGTATCTTCTTTTCTCTTTTTTTAAATTTAACAAAAAATATACAAATTATTTTTTAAAAATATTTTTTAAATATTTAACTAAAATGTGTATCCATATTTTTCGTTAATTTTTCAAATTTCAACCCAAAGGAATGTTTAGACATTTATTCTTTTTTCTAATTTAGAAGGTGTTGTTACTGATACATATTTTTTAATTATGGAAACTAAAAAGGGAGTGATGATAGAAAATATGGTGGGATATTTAGGTAAATAAATAACTTGGAATTAAACGAAAATTAATTTTATGTTTTTGTTTAATTTTCCAAGTAAAATAAAACTTTGTATTTAAAGCATATTTAATAAATTAAAAAAAATTAATTAAAATTATCAATTTTTAAATATTTAATTAATTTTGTGTTTTTTGTTTTTTGGTTTATTTTAAAATTTTCACACTCACGGAAGCTGAAATTTGAGAGGTTTTTTAAAAATCTTTTTTCTTTTTTGTTAACAATTTTCCGGCATCTCCTCTCACTTTTTTTCTACTTACTATTCTTTTATTATTTAGTAATAAAAGCTCATTTTAGTCTTACAAGTGTGTATTTAGTGTATGTGTTTATTTTCACTTTTTATTCTTTAAAAAAAGTTTTTATCTGTCACACCTAAATATTTTTTAAAGGAACATTTTTTTAAAAATCCAAAGATTTTTTTAAATATAAAGAATCATCTTTTATTTTTTAAAAAATTTACTAAAATTAATTTACTTTTAAAAAATAGTTTTTTAATTATTTTTTATTTATTAAAAATTAATAAATAAAAGTATGTCATTTTTACGTCATTTAAAAAATAAGTAAATCAAAATTTAAAAGAATATTTTTTAAACTAAAAATAGAAACAAAAGAGTACTTACTTAACTACAAAAAAGACATCAAACAATAAAAATATATTTTTTCTTTATAAATTATTACGTAAATAAATTCAAAAATATTAAATACATTTAAATATTTATTTTGTTCTTTTAAATTACACAAAATAAAAATTATTTTAATTTACTTTCTTTCTCTTTTTTTAGCCAAAACATGAAATTTAGAAATTTAAGAGTCCACTAAATTATATTTACAAATATTTTTTAAATAATTTATTTTCAGAATTTTTGGGAAAAAAAACTTTTTTTTTAATTATTTTAATAGGAAAAATAAATGAAAATTAGCTTTCCTTTTTTCCAACAAAATTAGCTAAAAATATTTTTTTCTTAAAAAATAACTAAAGTAAAAAATTATTTTACATATATTTAAGTCCACTTATTTTTAATATTTTTTCTTTATTCCCTTGTGAGAGTTCAATTATTTTTTTTCATTTTTATTGACAAAAATATTAAAAGCATAAAAATAAATAAATAAAGACCTCACACATTTAAATAAATATTTAAAAAAAAGATTATTTTGAATTAAAATTAATTTCTTTTTTCCCTCCAGATTCCCATAATTAATTTAAAAATATTTTTTAGAAAATTTAAAAAAAAATGAATTTAACATTAGAAGAATTTGACGAGGATTTTGAATTTAATTTAAATAAAAATAAAGAAATTGTTAGTTTAATGAATTTACCTTTAATTAAAGCTTTATTTTTAATTTTCTATATTATTGTGTTTGTTTTGTGTGTTTTTGGTAAGTTTTTGGAAGGGAAGGGAAAGAATTAAATTTAAATAAAGGTAATTCTCTTGTACTTTTATGTATTATTGGTAATCGTTCAATGAGGACAGTTACTAATTTCTTTTTGGCTAATTTAGCTATTGCTGATTTATTAGGTAATAATTTTGAATTTAAATTTAAATTAAAAATAAAAGTTGGAATATTTTGTGTTTGTCAAAATGCTGTACATTTTGCTTTATTCGCCCATGGAACTTGGCCTTTTGGAAAACTTCTCTGTCATTTATATATTTATATTTTACATTTAATTCCAAATAGTTCTGCCGGAATTTTAGTTTATTTTTAAATTTTAATTTAATTTCTAAATTAAAAAAAAAAAGATTTTATTGTCTGTTGAACGTTTTATTGCCGTTTTACGTCCAATGCTTGTTCAACATTTAATGACTAAATCTGTAAATTAAATAAAAATAATTAATTTAAATTAAAATTAAAAGGTTTTAATTTTGTGTACTTTACTTGTTTGGACATTGTCTATTTTAATGAATATTCCTTATTTAATTGCTGTTCAATATATGGATCTGTATAATCCTGAAATTGGGCAACATTATGGAGTATAAATAAATTATTTAGAATAATCAGAGTTTAAGATTATTTTTAAATTTAAAAATAAATTACAAATTTTATTAAAACTTTAAAGAAATTCAAGAAAATTAGGAGAGTATTTGAAGGGATGTTATTTAATATTTAATGGAAAAATAGTTAATTTTTTAAAAATATTTTTAATTAAAAGATATGTACTCGTCATCATCTAATTTGGTGGGATATTAATGTACTTCAATTAGTTTCTACTGTAAATTTAATTGTTTGGTATATATTACCCCTTACTTTATTATTCTCTATTTATGCAACGATTGGGTAAATTTTTTTAATTAAAATTTAAAATTAAATTAAATTAAAGACTTGTTTTAATAAAAACAACTGAAGATGATGCTGTTGTTAGAACTTCACAAGCTTATCGAAATTTATCTACAGCCGCCCCTCCTCAACAATTATCTAATTCTTCTAATAGTACATTAATGACTAGACAAAGTTTTTATTTTAAATTAAATAAATAATGGGAGGGGAGGGGGGGATGGAGGGGGATATGTATATTCTTCCTCCTGAAAGGGAAGTAAGAGAAAATGTGGAGGGTGAATATGCCAGCAATTTAAAATTAATTTTTAAAATTAATTAAATCTCATCAGGCATTGATTCAGAATTGAGCTGCGAGGCACGTGCTGGACTTAATCGACGTGCGGGAAGTTATAGCGGCGGAAATAATGGGAGAAGAAGAACTTTACCTAAAATTGAAGTTTTTAAAAAAAAATATTTATGTAAATATTTATTTTTAAAACAAAGTTGGTAGATAGTCGTCGACGTGTTATTAGACTTTGTGCAGTTATTGTATTAGCTTTTGCTTTACTTTCATTGCCTAGATATGTATATATATATTTTTAAATTGTGTTTATATTTACTATTAAAGATTTATTTAACTTGGTCTGTTTGGAGAGAAGCAAATGGTTAGAAAATTTAAAAAATAAAATTATTTTTTTAATTCAAAAAATATTTTAATTAAAGAGTTGCTAGTCTTTTTTTCCTTAAGAAAATTTTGATTAGATTTCTCAAATTTTTTTAAATTAAAATTATAATCATTAAAGCCCCACGCTGTTTAAATTGTTTATCCGCATTAATTCAACCAACAACATTTTTATTAATGTTTTTTGCTTCAGCAATTAATCCAATTTTATATGCATTTTTATCACAAAGATTTAGAGCAGCAATTAAAGATACTTTTAGTTTTGGTAAAAGTCAAGCAAAAGTAAATTTTAAAAAAATATTTTTTATTTAAAATTAATTTAAAAATTAGCAAAAAGAGCAAATGTTACAACTTTTACGTAGTCACCGGTATTTTTTAAATAAAAAGAAAATAATTATTTTATTTTAAAAAAAAGTTTATCAACACAATTAGAAAGGGATGTTTTTGGAGAACCAATTCAACAAGCTACAAGAACAATGAGCTGTACAAGTTTACAACAACCAATTAATGTAAAATAAATTTATTTTTTAATTAATTTAAAAAAAGAATGGAAATAAATAAATATTCAATTAAAAGAAAACAAAAAAATAATTATTTAAAATGAAGAATCTATATAGTGTTATAAAAACAACAACTTTTATTAAATCTTAATTTTGAATAAAAATATTCTAATTTTGTTTTTTAAATAAATAAATAATTTTTTGATTATTAAATAATGTAGTAGTAATTTATGTCTTGGAAAATAATAAGAGAAATTGATAATAAATATACTCATAAAGACTATTTAATCAATTTAAAATCTTTGTTTTTTAATAATTAAAAAAAGAAGTTTCGGGTAAATTCTTGCCATGTCTGCTTCTAAATTTTTAGATATTTTTGGGCAACAACATACAAATAAATTGACTTAAGTCTATTTTTTATTCATTTACGAAAAAACGTGACATTAAAATTAATCGCATAAAAAAGTAAACAAATTAAAAAAAACATATTGTAGATTAGCAATAAACTAAAATTACACGTGTATTTATGTAGGTATTAGCTAGAAAATAGCTATGCATACTTAGTTGATCTAATTTGTTTAATTTCTGTTTAGATGTTGACCTCCAAATGTCGGGAATCGGATATTTTCAAAATCTTTTTCGGAAAATTGAAGAAATTTCAGAATTCCATTTTTAAATGTTTTCACAATAAAGAAAATTTACTGAACGATAAAATGATTTTTAAAACAAAATTTCTCTCTTCCTAATAAAACATAGAGAAAGAATTTTAATAAAAAAAAATATGGGAGATCAGCACAGCCGGGATTTACTTTTTTTTGTTTCTTCTTTAAATTTATTTCAAATAATGTGAAAAGGAAAGAAAGAAATTATTTTTAGTAGAGTATTTAATAAAAAAAATATTTATTTATTTATTAGCCACACAAACAAAAGCTGTCGGTATAAAAAAATAATTTTAAATCTGTAGGTAGAACAAATGGCGATTTAAAGCTTATTTTTATTATTTAATCGATTAACAAAAATTACTTTTAGCCATCTTGAAACAAAAAATGTTTTTAAAATTCAGCAACATTTTTTAAATTAATTAATTATAATATTAATTAATAAAAAGTTTAAATAACAATCCCCAATAATTTAATAAATCTTTATCGGATCAACGTCAAATAAAAACAATTATTTGAAGTTTAATTTTTAAATTAAAAACAATTAATTCTTCTCTAAACACAACATACATATTTAATTTAATTATAAAATGGATCATTTAATAATAACTCCAGCACATCACCGTATCTCATCATTAGTAAGATCAAGATCACGTTCAGAACACAGACCTTTTGTACTTGGAATGCCTAGAGCGTAAGTTTTTTAAAAATAATTTTAAAAAGTTTGGAAATGCCTTCTTTAAATTAAAAAATTTTTATTTAAATTTAGTCGGTCCGCGTCAGTTTCGTCTTTAACTAATAATAATAATAATGGTTTTACTCTACCAAGTTATGGTTATGGAGGTAAAAAATAATTATTTTACTAAAATTAAATATGTGATTAGTATTTATTTTTGATATTTAAATTTAAATATATTTTCAATTGGAAATTAAATAAATAAATAAATTTGTCGAATAATTTTCTATATTAAAACAAAATAAATAAGTAAATATTTTTTAGGTGGATATATGGCAAGATCTTTATCACGTTCAGGTAATTAATATATTCAAAATATTTTTCAATTATTTTTAGGATCAGCAAATACACTTTCATTATTTGGACGTAGTTTACAAACAAGTGCTTTAGATAAAGTTTCCCCTTTCCACAATGTTGCTGTCCAACGCCCTACTCCCCATTATTCTGATAAATGTTTTTATTTTTAAATAAATATTTTTTAAATATTTTCTTCTTTCAAAGATCCTTATGTTCGTTACAGTTATGGAAATGTTGAAGCTGGTTTGGGGCTTAAAACACAAACTGAAGCTGTTAGTTAAATATTTAATTATTGTCTAGTTCTAAAAAACTTTAATTGTTAATAAGAAAATAAATTATTTTTAAAAATAAGATTTTCACGTATTTAAATTAAACATTTAAAGATGTATCCAAGCTATTATGGAATTAGGGATGCCGGCACAAAACGATGGCTTGAAGGGTAAACAAATAAATAAATAGTTCTTTAAATAATTATTTTTTAGAAAATTAAATGCCTACAATACAGGATTATTTACAAAACCTTTTAGTAGCAGAGAAACTTCATTTGAAAGGCCTATAGCTCCAGTCCGTTCATATATAAAGTTAGCGAGGGGGGAAATTATATTTAAATTATATTTAAATTAATTAATTAAAGATATATTCCAACAGACGATGCTGTTGATTTATTTAAGAAAAAATGTATGACAGTAAATACTTTATCTAAATATTGGTAAATTTCTGACAAAAAATATTTTTAAATGATAATTTAAATAAAAGGTTACAAACAACAGGTAGCAGTTTAAGAAGGGAAAGGGATTTTTCAACATATGGTAGGCCTTCTTCTGTTTCTACTCTTACTGGTAAAATTTAAAAATTTTGTTTAAAAAAATTAATTTAATTAAAAAAAGGTTCATATAGTACTCGTTATAACCCTCCAGTTACTAGCTTTGCATCAGGAAGATTTAGACGACCTCCTCAATATTATTCTTCTGTTGTTGCCAAATTGGAGGCTTAAAGAAGAAGAAAAAAAGAAAAAGAAAAAAAACTTAAAAATTATTTTTTAATTTTTTAAAGTTAAATAAATGTTTAATTTTTACAAAATAAAATTTATTTTTAATTTTTTATTTACACTATTTTAAAAATAAAAAGAACTCAAAATCCATAAACAAAAATTAGCAGTACTTTATTTCAGTTTAGGCTCGGTATTATAAAATATTAATTCGGCAAAATTTATACTAATTAAATAGAGAATTTAATGGAGTATTTAATCTAATAAATTATCAGAAAGGGGAATTTTTAATTAAGAAAAATCACTCTTGCCCCTAGCTTTATGTCGATGACTTTATTTTTACTCCACTAAAAGGAACTTTTTAGTTAGGTATTTTCGAAAGAAATTTTTCCAACAGCTTGGGCAATACATACTTTTGTCAGCGAGCGTATTTTTTAAATTAAATATTAGAAAATTTTTTATTTTTTTGTTCCTTTAAAATAAATTTTTGTTTTTAATCTTGTGCTAAGGGATGTGCACCATGACGTATTAGCGTGGCGTTTTGGCCAATTTTGGCGCGCCAAACGAAAATTCTGGCGCACATCCCCGCTCTTAACTGAAGTTTAGAAAATCGACAAAGCATTAGTTGAACTAATTTTCTCAGATTAGGTAAAAAAATTTCTTAGATTAGGTATAAATGGCTGTATTGCTCTAGGTTTATGGCTTAAGTTATTCACAATATGTAGTTGTTTTTTTTATCAACGTTTAGCTGAATTTATATTTTTACTTATTTTTCCAAGTATATGTATACTCGACTCTATTAGCTGGAATCTTTCACTTATGTAAATTCGGCAACTGGTGGTTTTCGAGAGTTGATATCGATAGTCTAGAAAATAAAGAAAGAAAATACTGGCAGTGAAATATCCATATATTCGAAATTTAAAAAATTTGTTAGTAAAATACAATTAAACTACTAATTTTAATTGTATGTACATATTGTATGTATTTAAATAAATCTTGCGATAACACGAAAAATAATCATCTCATGCCGAACACCAATTATAATAAGTCGGAAAAAAATCTGGCTGAACTTTTTGCAATAAGACAGAATTAAAAAGAGATATTGGTGTACAAACTAGTAAAGATATTCCAAGTTGAATTAAACAAGAACAATAGCATAACAATTAAAATTATGAAATTAAACATTTTGACGAAATATAATATTTAAAAAGAGATGGTCCCTCTTTTATTTTTGACGTTGCACTTCCTCTATCGTGGCATTGATGGGGAAATTTTTATATGAAATTTCTATCTTATCCCTAATGTTATTTTATTTTAAAACTCTCTAATTTTCTCAATTTCTCTTCCCTCTACTATCTTTATCCGCCCGACAAAAACGCGTTTCTGTTTTTTTCCTCATTTCCATGTCAACTGCACATTGGTTACTTGTTAATCCAAAAGATCACCAAAAATAGATAAACAACGATATTAAAGTTTTAGGCACATTTATTATTCCTTTTCTCCTCTTTTCAGACTCACAAAGATGTTGATTTTTTGGGTTTTAGGATTTTCTCTATTTTAACATCATCTAATTCTCAACTAGCTTTATTCTGCTTACTCGGCCGCCCGCACGCAACCCTTCTGTTTATTGTTTACAAGCTTCATACATACATAGTCACGATGGACACCTGACGTTCTTTCAATGTCTGCCTATACTATATCCACTCTTATGATTTCTCTTTCCATAATGGATATTATGGGGGTTATAACATACATAAAGATGCAACAAAAATATTAAATGGGTCTTACTCACTAGTCATTTCGGTGTGGATTTCCCCTCGTACACTTGAGGCAATAAAATTTTTAGCCCCGAATTGACCTACTCAACAAAATAATTTTGCCCTCCACGCAAACATTCATCCCACTCTATTGTACTTCTCACATCTCGTTCCCAGACGCTGACTATGCCTGTCCATTACTCTTTTTCTCTCTCTCCATTACCCTTTATTTCGGGGACCATCTCGATTTTTTTCTTAAAAACAACTTTAAAAAGCCTTTTATTTTTTGCGCATTTTTCAAAGAATGTGCCGATTTACGTATTTTTGTAATTAAAGGAGGCTTTGTCTGAGACATTTATAAAAAACTTTTTTTTAATTTTAATCATTTTCTATTGTTTAAGTTCTTAAGTATAAATATTTTTCATGACAAATTTTAAACTATTTTGCAAAACCTGAAAGTTTTCAAAAACAAACAAACCTGCTTAAACTGATATGCACTTATAGTATACATTTCCTTTCTATTAATCAAACACCATGTATGCTTACATACTATTTTGGTGAAAATTTTTAAATGTAGAAGATGCCTTAGAATTTTTATTCGGTATTTTTGTGTCTGGTCTCCATTTTTGCGCATTTTCATATATCCACATTTCACTTATTTATTTAAAGTTTATTAAGCATTTTTATTACATAATTTATTAAGAAATTTAATTTCCATTTAATAAAAGTTAATTTTATAATCGGCCCCGAATTAAATCACATTCATAATCTAACAAACTCTTTAAGGTTTGCTTTATCTAAATTATGGAATTAATTCTGATTAAGAATATAATCAGATTCGCAAGAGATCTAAACTGGCTTAATTAGTTTGCCTCAAAATAATTTAAATCTTTGTTTTCTTTAACTCAATTTTTGGATTTAGTAGCCTCTTTCATTTATTTTAGTTAAAAGATTATTTCCGGTAATTTGATTTTATAAAAATTTTGTGGCAGAAAATATATAGAAGAGACGGTCCCTCATTTTCAAAATAAAAATTGAGGCGGTCCGGCTCTGTGAAAAATGAGGCAGGCGAACTCTCGCTCTTATTGACTGAAAAAATGGCGTAGTATTTCCTCTGCAAAAAATTTATATTGGATTTTGTTATGAATTTTAGGGGGAAGTTTTAGACTTTTTCGTATGGGTTCAGGTTTATACATAGTTGAAATTATTTAAAATTAAATTATTCTTTCTTTCTTTTAAAAATTCTGCCACAAAGGCTATAAGTATTTTCTTACAAATTTTTACTTTAATTTTAATATAAAAAGTTTAATATTAACTTTTCTGATATTTTTATATTAAAAATTAGCGCATTCTTAAAAAATAAATACATTTATTCAACACATCTGGCGATTTAACAAAAAATAAATAAAAATATGTCAATTAAATAAGACGGTCCCTCATTTTCTCTCCCAACGTTTTTATGTTTCATTTTCTTTTCTTTTCAGCTTTTTTTCTATTTCCAAGATTTTTTTTAAAAACCTGCGGGGTAAATCTTTTGTTGAAAAAGTCTATATTTTAATAAAATTGTTTTTTTATAGAATTTCTTCTTTTAAATATTTTTTGGATTTTGTGTCATTAAGGCGTGAGAACGTTACGGCGCGTCTTTAATAAAAATCAGATATTAGAGTCTTAAAATGTATAAATATCCCGACTAATTAATTAATTTAGCTGTGAAAATATATTAAAAAGACGGTCCCTCACTTATTGTTATACATGGATGTTTTGGCTAAATAATTTAAAACTTTAAAGTCTCAAATCTTTCAATTTTTTTCTTTAATGTCTCCTCAATTTTCTTCTCATAATTTTGGAATTTCTGAACTTTTACAATAATTTTTATATTAAATTTTTAAGAAAATATTTCCTAAAATTATAATTTTTATGCCAAACAACTGCTTCATTGACTCAGGACTACATTATATAAATAATTATTCCACAAAATAAGTCATCGAATATATTTTTTATTCCTTCGTTTTTAGCGTCATTATTAAAAATTCCCAAATTTATTATTACAATTGTACAATCATTAAGATCAAAACTACACCGTCACACTATTATTTATTACAAAATACATAAATGGCTTTTAATAGTGATGAAGTGAATTTGCTTGTTTATAGATATTTGGAAGAATCTGGTTGGAATAATTTAATTTAATATTTAATTTTGGATGATGATTCTTACCTTAAAATTAATATTTTTAGTTAGGTAAGGACCTACTGGTCCCAAAAAAATTAGGAAAGAGTTGCCAGTAGTTAATCAGTTAACGGTTTTGCCACACCCACCCCATATATTCGCAGGATATATTTTCTATTTTTTTAAATCTTTACAGAAAGGCCCATAAATTTTTTGTGAAAAATTAATCCTTTCTTTATTGATGTCTCTTATTGAACATGCCCGGGGAAAATTAAGTGAAATTGAGGAAACGAGAAAGTTTGACCATTCTGTACAAATTAGGAAAAATTAGAAAATATATCCCGCGAATATATGGGGTGGGGGGTTGTTCTCCTGGTCTCCCTTTGCGGTATCTGTCCACATTTTATGGCAATTTATATATCTTTAGAAAGAGCTATTCAAGCTGAGTCTAATGCCATTAAAATCAATGAGATCTGACTTAAATAAAGTTATTTCCCAGTGAGGAATTTTGTTCAGATTATAGGGTAATTCTTGCGTTCGTACCCCCCCCCCCTCCTTTTTCCTTCCTCAAAGTATTAAAAATGGTCAATCAGTCTTAAGTTATAGAACTTGTCGAGCTGTTTCGAATGACACCATAATCAACCGCTGGTCTTAACTTTGGGCCGAGATACAGTCAAAAAACCAGCGCAAAGCACAGGTTTAGCAAAAGCGTCTCACCGACTACAATAGGATTACTTTATGTCATAACTTTGTCAAATCTTGTTCAATTACGTGGATTTTTATGTCATTCGAATCAGCTCGACAAGCTCTTTCGAATGAGCTATTATTTGTTTAATCTAATTTTTATCCCAAAAAATCAGCTTGATCCCCCCTTTTATTTTTCAATTTTCTGGGGTCTGTATCTCGGCCCAAAGTTAAGACTGGGGGTTGATTTTGGTGTCATCCTACACAGCTCGACGAGTTCTATAATTTGATAGCAGACTGACCATTTTTTAATACTTTGAGGAAGGAAAAAGGAGGGGGGGGGGGTACGAACGCAAGAATTACCGATTATAGTTAGGCAGGTACAATTTCGGAACTCCTACGCTGAGATAAAGGCAAGTGCATATCCAAGGGTCGGATTCTAGGGAGCTGCTAGCGTCTCATATGAAAATTTTTCAATTTTTGATGGCTAAAAATTTTGCGGCTAAGTGGTTAGGGCACTTTTAAAGTGGATGGTACTTTTTATGGACTGCGAATTTTTCATTAAAACAAAAATGTAGTCAGACATGACCCTTCCGTTTTCCAATTTTTAAAAAGCGACAGAGCCATCTCTGATTCACACTACAAGCGCTCTGATTTGCAAACTCTTATTTTTCAATTAAACTTTATTCATACATATATTTTATTTAACCATTAATTTCTCCATTTAATTTTTAATATTTTAAAAATCAAACTTAAATATATTAATTTTAAAGGGTTTCGGCATTCCGCATTCACATTTGGTTACGAATCGAGTGTTTTGAATGCCGGCCTTGACAGTATGTCAATTCCTCGAGGAGCATTAATGTCTTTACTTCAAAAAGGCGTTCTGTTCTCCGAAGCAGAAGTATTTTCCTTATTAACAGATGGAGAAATAGATGCACGTTTCGAGAAGGCAATTGGTTGCATGACAATACTTGAGTGCGGTAAGAGAATAATTGGATTTATATAATTAAACTCGCAGTCAGATTTCGTTTTAAACCCAATTTTGAATTTATTTTTAATCTATTGGGCATTGGTGTTGAGGGAGGCTACTTATGAGATACTATCTTTTAAAGGGTGTATCTATAGATGTGGTCCGACTGTATTTAAATTATTTAAAATTTTTTTTCTTTAAAATTTGTTCATTTAAGTATTTTTTAGCCATGTGTGACTCTGCAAGAACAAAAGCTTTAAGTCGTCGATTAATGGTAGCTACAACTTCTGCCTCGTCTTCTACAAATACTCAACAACAGCAACAACAAAAGCAACAATGTCCATTAAACGACCAACAAACTTCTGTTCAACAACAGAGAAGAACACCAAGCAGATTAACACCTCAGACACAAATACCAACTACCTCAACTTCTGATCAACCAATTATTACTCCAACAACTTCATCTACAACATCTATAAATTCTACATTTCTTCAAAATCATGGTAGATATAAAAAATTATTTTTATTTTATCATAGGTATTTATTTTATATCCACAGAATATTTTTGACTGAAAATAAATACTTTACTCCGAACTTTCTGGTCACCTTATATTTATTTTAATAAATTATTTAGAAAAAATAAATGGAGAAAATTTATTTGAAAAAAGTTTTTTTATAGTTTTAACAATTAATCCAACGAGTAAATCAAATGAATTTAATTCTTCTTTGTCAAATAAACAACAAATAACAGCCAATCAACAAATTTGTAGAGATCGTCTTGATTTTTCAATAAATAGTAGTAATGGAGGAAGAAATATTCAACACAATCAACAACAACAAAACAATAACAACAACAATCCTTCCCCTTCTCCATCCTCACATTCTTTACAATATCCACCTAGAGCTTCTTCATCTTCATCAGCTACTTCTTCATTTCCATCATTTAGAGGAGGAGGAGGAGCATCCACATATCAACAACAATTACAAAATAATGATAGATTATGCCAAGTTGTAGAACAAGTTGCTGCTGTGAGTTTAAAAATAAAAGTAAGATTTAACAAAAAAAAATTTTTTTTAAGTGTAATCCAGCATTAACGAGCACTTCCTCAACATCTATTACTGTTTCTAATCATTTACATCCTGGAACAGCAGCTACTTCATTAATGAATAACCACCCATTTTATCAACAACATACTTTTAAACAACATACTGCAACAACATTAGCAGCGACAGCTACTGCAACATCTTCATTTTTACCAACAACAGGAATTCAAGTAACAATTAGGGGGATATTTATAATTAATAAAATAAAAAAAACTTGGGAAGTCTATTTAATTTAGATTGGGATATTTTGACTAGTTTTCTTTGAATAAAGCTTTTTAATTTTCCATATAATTATTTTTGAATAACTAAATATACATATATCTCCTGCCGTATTTTTAATTTAAATATTTTTTTCTTTAATTTTTAAGATGTCCAACGGTACAATGAATGGTCCATCAACTTCTGTCAGTTTCCCAACACCTTTATCTTCTTCCTCAAATTTACCATCAACAATGCCCCATCATCAACAACATCATTTACATCCTCATCAAACAACACCTCATAATGTTTTGGGCGCTACAACTTTAAATCAACAACAAACAGCAGAAATGACACGTTTAATGTTAAATGGAGGAAATAATACTGCTGTAGCAGCTGCTGCGGCATACAATATGGCGACAAGTGGGGGTTCTTCTATCAGTCATTCATTGAAAAGAAGTGCTGGAGGGAATGGATAGATTTGAAAAAGAATTTAAAATTTGTTTTTTTTTGTTTTTTATTGTTGAGGTAAATGTTATTCGTGCGATGATTTTTATTTACTAATTGCCGCCTCTTTTTGTTTTGATTACTTATAAAAAATATTGTTAAAGGATAAGAAAGAAAAATATTTCTAACAAAACATTTTCAAAAAATGTCTCTCTATTCAAAATCATCGGATTTCACAAAATATTTTTATTCCTATCATTGCATGAAGAAAATATTATTGTAAATTTATTTTAATCATTGTCTTTAAATTAATGTTTTTTCTAAAATTTCACTGTATTCTAAAATTTGCAGGATTGACACAAAACTCGAGAGAAAAAAAACTCAATTTCCATTTGTTTTCTGATCTCAAAAAAAGAATCCTTGCACAACTACATACATATAGTGAAATATCTGAAAGAATAAATACATAAAAATTGATAAGGATTTAACAAAGTTGTTTTTCTTTCATCTGATGTAGTTATTTTAAAGCGTGTCCGGGCATTTGGGGAGTGGACGTGTCCGGGCATTTGGGGAGTGGACAAAAATTTTACCCAAAAAGTTTATATTTGTTACATTTAATTTATTATTCAGAGACTCATATACATATCTTGGTTAGTTTATGTGATAGACGACTGATTTTCACGTCATTTGAATCGGAATGAATATAGATTTCCTATACATATCAGAATCATAGCCTTGAATCTAGGTCAATTCTAATCCAAAAAATTTTGCTTAAAATTCGAGATATGTAAGTTTAATCAGACAAAATGTAAAATTTAAAGGTGATTTAATTTTTCAGAGTTGTGAATAAAATAAAAAAAATTAAAAATTTATTTTGAGTTTACCCGGTAAAATCTCCAGCATAATTTATTAGGAATGAGATAATGTTTTCAGGAATGAGATTATGTTCTGATAATGTTTTCACTGGCCGGATAAACTTGGATGAGTGCCCGATCAACTAATTAACAAAATTAGTTGAAACCCCAGAAGAAAACAAAAAAAATAAACAAAACAATAAAAAATCTAAAAAATAAACACGGGGACTCAAACGTCCCCTTTTGGAAAAATTCGATGAGTTGATCGTTTTTGGCCGATTCGATGAGTTGAGGATTCGATGAGTTAAGGATTCGATGAGTTGAGTGTTTTTGGCCGATTCGATGAGTTGAGGATTCGATGAGTTAAGGATTCGATGAGTTGTAGGGTAGCCAATCTCGTAGTGTCTGGCCAACTCCTTTTTTGTGAAGATCTACCGAAACCAATTGTTTTCTTGAGGATATTTATAATCTTTTTTTCAAATTAACATTGTACTTGATCGAATTTGAGTTTACGTTATTTTTGAATATTTAAATGTCTTTTAGATTTATCATCCTTAGCGGATGTTATTTGCGGAAGAAATGAATCCTTCATATTTTGGTGCGACAACACTCGGTGGTAATCCATCTGCGTTGCCGCCGGCGTCGATGGACATGACTGCATCATGGAAGCCTATTGGCCATAATTCTACTGATTTCACACCTATTTACAATGTAAGCGATTTTAATTTCACTTTATTTTTCCTGGTCCTTTAGTTTGTCGGGATACATAATCTAAGAATACGTAGCTTCTTTTAAAGAGTAAAGAGCGTTTTTGAATAGTTTTCTTTAAATTAATTTTGTATATTTTGAGAATTTCTATGTAATTTCTAATTACCTTATGAGTTTTTTACTAACATTGGTAATTCCAAGGCTGGTCCCCCCTTTTTTTCCTTTCTATTTTTTTCGATTTTTTAAACTTTTATCTCTACTCAGCTCGAACAGCTCTTTCGAATGATATATGATAAATTATATGTCAAGCAAGAAAGCTCAAAATGGTCAGGCGAACAGAAAAAAAAGGGGGGGGGGGGGACCAGCCTTGGAATTACCCTAACATTTTGTCTTTGAAGGTTTTAAACATGATTAATCTAATAAATTTAGGATTCTACTGCAGGTGGTGGCCCGGGTATTGGTAGCAAATTGATAACTATATGGGGGCATCCAATGGATTACAATGATACCGGGCATGCCGATCCCACAGCATCTTCGACCTATGCTGCTGCAGCTGCTAACTTACCAAATTATCCTAATAACGGATTTTGTTGGAATGATTCTCAACAACCTGCATCAGCATTTCACCAAATTCCACCACAATATGATCAAATTCCTTTCCAGCAGCAAGAAACTAAATTTACCGGTTTGAGTTTGAAAGCAATTTTCGCAACTTGTATATTATCAATTTTAGCAGGCAGTCAATGGGGTAAAACAGAAATTGACCAAACAATACCATGGAATCTCGAAAATAATGGTTACTTTTATGGTTTAATTTTCAATGTTTTATATTTAGCAAGTATTCATGACCAGCCATTCCATCCTCAGCAACAACCTCATCCACCTCCTCAATCGCATCGATATAATCGTAATAGTAAATGGGATCAGCAGGCACCTATTCGAGACGATGGTTCTGCTTTTGGTAATAATCTTTATGCGACAACACCTCCTTATGGAATGGTGCATACTTTTGGTGGTGTTGGTGACAATCGTTTGGTATTTAAAATCCACAATTATTTTTATTCTTATATTTTTAGATTCCCTCAAATGCCCAAAGAGGAAATGCTGGACCGTCTCAGCGTTGGGGTGATACTATTGGAGGTGGTGGAGGATCTACAATTCCTAGTCAAATTGGAAAATTTGGCGGATGCGAAGTAATCAGTGTGATGCCTCATACTAATGCAGGTCCACCTCCTCATCATCCACCTCATCAACATCGTGGACCGCCTCAAATCAGAGGTAGTAATGGTGCTATTTTTACTGCTGGACCGCCACCATTACATATTGCTCCACCTTCAAATCGACCGCTTCCAAATCATCCCTCGCATCTAATTGGTGGGCACATGGGTGGACCACCGCCAGCACCAACTCCACTTTTGCCATCATTAAACCAGCAACCAACACATTCGATAGGAACATTTGGTAATGGAAGTAATGGAGTTCCCTTGGTAGTTTTTAAATTTTATATGCTGTCAATGAGATTATATTTTTTTTAATTTTTTTAATTTTTTTTAATCACATCCAAGGAAATGTTCCTCCAAATGGCCCCAACAATAATATCCAAACTGGTCAGATTGATGATGCTTATTGGCATTGGCAAGATCCAAATAGTATTTATATATTTTTTGTTTAAGTATTAATATTATTTTTTAGGTCAGCTACGCAAATGGAAACATGATACTGGCATAGCTATTTGGGGAGACCCAATAAAGCAGGCTAATATGCCAATTAAGCGTTGGACAAATTTTACAACTGATGAAGTTGTAACTGAAGTTATGCCTGGAGGTTATTCTTTTAATTTTTAAACTTTTCATTATTGGCTTTTATGTTTTTTATTTTCGTAAAAGGATTTTTTGCCAATTGACTACCCATAATCTGCCTTGATTTTTTGAAAATATTCCTTTATTTTTATAGTAGAATCTACTTTCAATCAGGGCTGCCGCCAGAATCATCCGATGGGTGGGGCTTAATTTTTTAATCAAAATTTTACGCAAAGTTTGACACACAGATGGAACTTTTGTATTTTATGTAAACAAATATTTTTATTTTATTCACTACACTTTTTTGAGTTAGTTACGTTCTAATAGTAAACGAACACTTCTGGCAAACAGCCCTGATTGCTTTATCTAATCATTAGCTTTTTACTGGCGAACACCAAAAATATAGTTTGGGCAAAAAAATTTTTTCGTCAAATTTTCCACTGTTGGTCAAACTTTATAATTTTTATTAGTTCAATTACATGTATATTTTTAAACAGACGTTTCAGGTTGGGGTGATTTGCCTCCAATTGGTACAAATGTAAACAATATAAACTCGAACAACAACAACAATGGAACTACAGATAATAGTAATCATACGAGTGATAACAATGCTAACAGCAATGTTCTTCAAAATTTTGGCAATCATGGACAAGCTCCAAATAATCAGCAACAAACAAATAGAAGTAACTCACTTTCTGCCGCTACAAGAGGAGGTTTTAATTTATTTGGGTAACTAGCAAGGGTAACTAACATTACGCACATGGCATTACGGATTCGTAACGACAACATACCCTTGTCAAATACTTTCTTTACTATTAGGCGATATTTTCTAAGTACTTTTTTATTTTAATTAAAAAAATAACAGATTGGTCAACTGGTAATGTTATTCTTCCACAACAACACAATCAGCAACAACAATCTTTCAATCAAAATGGAATGATATCAGGAGGGAATGGTCAATTTTTCAGTGGTATGCCTCCAGCATCCTCGGAAACTCCAGTTTCAACTGTTGGCCAGTCTTCGATTTTCCAACCACCACCTTCACTTCTTTCTTCTATGATGGTAGATCCAATAACCGGTCACGCAAATTCGGATATTGATCAACAATCTACTGGTGGAAATGGAAGCGGAGAGTCAACTTCTAGAAAAGCAACTGTTAGTCCTCCGGATGGAACCAATTCTTTTGGAGGTGGAGTTAGACAACAGCCACAACAAACCACGCATCGTCAAGCGAACAAGAAAGGTTTTTTTTTATTATATAGTTATTTATAACATATTTTTCTGTTTAAAGTAAGTCTAGCCGATGAGCTCTCCTCTTTGGTTGTAAGCAACAATCATGGACTTGGTGGTGGTATCTGGTAATTTTACCAGCGATTACATACTGCAGTTTATGTTGCTTTTGGACTCGAAAACCTAAAAATTGTCATCTCCTTTATTGTCGAATTTGATTGAGACAAAACTTACTGGAAATACGAACTTATACATATATACTGTTAGACCAAATGCGTTAAACTTCATTTTTATCAATTTAATCTAATCCAAGTTAAGCTGCTATTTTCTCATTTTTTCAAAGGTTTAATACAATTTTTGGATATTATATATTTTAAAATATTTTGCCAATATAAGAGAAAGCTTTGTTATTTTTGCAATTTAAATTAATTTCGAAAATTAATTTGACAAATAGTATTTATTCTGTTTTTGTTTAAATCATTCAGATTTTGAGCTTCTTTTTTATGCGCCTCGATCTTTAAAATGTTTATATAACAGAATAAATACTTTGTTAAATATGTGCAAAATTGCAAAATCGTCCTGACATGAGCATCTTTTTTTATTTAAAAATATTAACAAACAAAACGGGGGTTTTTATATTTTTCATTTCCGTCTTTAAATGTATTTTATATTTACTAAATTTATTTTCTATCATATATTTAGAATATGTTTGCCTCCAATAAAAAATCAACTTATTTACTCAATGACATTACATCCCACTTTTTGTTTTTTTTTTGCTTTCTTATAATCACAATCAAGCTAACTTGTTTCTTTCATAAAATGTCTCTCCAAATTAATCTCTTATTTTACTTATAAATTAATAAAAACGCAAAAACAAAATTTTCGATTAATACATACATTAGATTCTTTACAAAAAATTTTGAGCCTATATCCTCTTCCAGTTATAGAATATAAACAATTTATTTGAGTATAACATGTGAAAGAATGTATTTAATTAAGACTATATAAAATTGTTTTAGAGCGATAATTGAATATTAAATTATTTTGAAATTTTTAGTAAATTTTGCAGCTCTACAGACAATTCTTCCTAAAGTAAAACTTTTATTTGTTAAAATTTGTGACTTTTCCCGAGCGTTTTTCTCTTTGTATATCACCTTTTTTTATTTTAATTATGAATATATATCGTTTACATACCTAATTTTGGGATTTTTAATTCAGGGATTGGATTAATTTTTAACAAAAAGTGTGACAAACTAATTTTTCGATTTGACCCCTGTTTATATTCAGGGATTAATAAAACCTTCCAAAAATGTTATTTCTCTTTTTTTACATTGTCAAAAAATTAATCAATTTCTATTGCCACACGAACCTAAAGTTATCTCACGAGTAAGTTGTTTTCTTACAAATTTTCCCTTTAAAAATAATTTTGGAAAGCAAAAATCGTGTTTTTCCTGTCCCTACAAATTAGTCAGTATTGTAAATTAGACCTTTTTTGTGACACTTGCGCCCTTAAAATACTTTTGGATCTATGTATATTTTGTGTGTTACCCTGTTCATTTTGAAATTATCTATCTGAATACATATATGAAAGAAAGTTAACTACAAAAAAATCAGAAAATATTCATAATTTTTATTTATTAGTAGCCAAATTTGTATTTTATCGTCCGATAAATATACAAAATATGTATATATCCAATTGTAATTATATAATATTGTGATTCAAAGGGATGTTCTGTGTATTAGATTTGTTTTTATTTTGACTAATCGCTCCAAAAAACTAATCAAAAAAAGTGTTGAGTATTTCTTTTTAATATCTCAAAATATCTACTAAATCATTCAATTTTTCTTTAACAGTAAGGTGCAAAAGTCTATCCTATAAACGGCATAAACTTTGTTCCACTAAAATTGGAGGTAGATAAGTCTTGGCTCTTATAATTTTTTTGGCACTTTTAACTTTTGCACCTTACTGTATTATCCATTTAATTAAACTGGAGATGGGTAAAATTTTCTGTCGCTGAATGTGCTCTATACTAGTACTACTAACATTCTCTAAATTTCTCAACTTTGTAAAATTTATGTTAATCAAATATTTACTAGTTAAATTTTTCATTATTATAAATTTATAATGCACGTTAAAATTTAATTTTAAAAAGTAAGTTGATTCTTAGTTAGATGACATACATTTTAGAGCTAAAGTGCACTTTACCGGAAATTTTAGATTTTGACAATTTATATGTTTTTCGATTTAAGGACTTACAGTAGTCGACAAAAAGATAGGGACAAACGCATGTAAAATGAAAATCACCTATTTTCTCAGCTAAAAATCGATTTCAGGAAAAACTTTTTGTTTGATTAAATACGCCATTTAATGCTCTATTTAATAAGTATAAGATCTGGCGGATTACTATTTTTTGATATACTGAAATAATTTAAATAAAAAAGTACTGCAAATTTTAGCCCGACAAAAAGATAGGGACAAGTCTTGTAACTAAGTAGTCACCCAACCAATAAATTTAAAAAAATTCGTGCAAACATAATGATCGTTACTAAGATAAAATAAAAAGGAACTAGGCCCGTATCTGTTTTCAATGTCGAGATCTCTATACCCCAAAAATCAACGTAAAACAGGGGTAAGCAACTTCAAAAAATATTTTCGACCCCTTATGGATTTTTTAAAATTTTTATTTTGAGCCTATTCGATAGCTCTTGAAATTTGCTATAAACTAGCCAAATTTCATTTTTCAGAAAAAAATACTTCGTTAGTTGCAGAGGCGAATGTTACAAAAAGCAACAAACACCCCATAAATTCCCACAAAAATGGCGTTTTGAAGAATCGTCGTCCTTTATCTCGGGAGTGAAATTTTTTTAAGAAATGAAATTTGTCACGTTTATAGCACAATTAAAGATCTATCGAATAAGCCTAAAATGAAAATTTGAAACAAACAATAAGGGGTCCGAAAAAAATTTCGAAGTCGAAAAACCCTATTTTACGTTGATTTTTGGGGTATCTAGATCTCGACAACGAAATCAGATATGGACCTAGTTCTCTTTTATTTCTTCTTATTATCGATCAATATGCTTACAATAAATTTTGTAGATTTTTCGCTTCTATGAGAACTTAGTTACAAGACTTGTCCCTATCTTTTTGTCGCGCTTAAAATAGCATAGCTTTAGTTTTTCAATAAGGGTTGAATTTTATAAAAACTTAAACAGGCAAATTTTCTACTCATTAAATATAGCATTAAATCTAGTATTTAATAAATCAAAAAATTTTTTCTAAAATCGATTTCTAACCGAGAAAATAGGTGATTTTCATTTTGCTTGCGTTTGTCCCTATCTTTTTGTCGACTACTGTAGGTCAATATTTAGCAAATACTTCTCAAGTCGTTCGCTCACTACATATGTTGATATCCCAGAAAGTAAATACATAAACCTTTTTTTTTAAATTCTAGGGGGAACAGTTAGTTTCGATTATTTATTTAATACTGCTTCTACTTCAGGAAACTATTAGAAAATGGTTATATACAAGTTTTGCTTTTGCGGTGTTTAATGTTTTTGCCTGTTTTATGGGCGGATGTGCTTTGAGCATATCCTGGCAAACTCAGTATAGTACATATTATGCATATGAGTGACTAATACCCAAAAGACCACAAAATCTAAGCTCAATTTTTGAATGCAATTTTTATAAAAGAAATGGTCAACTGGATGTCGATTTTATGGCATGGGCAAGCTATCTATCGACTTTTTTATATGCAGCTGGTGCATTATTCTAACAATATATGACTTGGAGAGTGAGTGAGTAGATGTGGATAAGCATTGAACTTTTTTGTGGTTGGTTAGTTTTGAAGATTTCAGAGGAAAGCAGCTTAAGAAATATTAAGAATTTTATGAGTTTCTATTGTTATCATTAGTTGATGCGACAAAATGTACGCGACAGAAAAGTCAAAACAAATTTAGGAAATTAGAAACAGCAACAAATGAAAAGAAAAATTGCCAACGTCGCACTTTTTTCAAAATACGATCAGAAGTGACGTTTTACCCTAAAATTGTCTAGTTTACGAATTAATGCTGGAAATTACCTTAAAAATTATTTAAATCGACTTAAAAATTTATTGTCAACAATTTATGTATTATAACTTTTTGTATTTAACTGTAACTATTTTCATTGTTTTTATGTTTCTCACAACTTTTATAAGTAGAAGCAATGACTGCATTATCCTAAATAATCAAATCTATAGATATTACTGCATAACTATATATTCCTAAAGGAGAATGTTTTAAAGAAAATATGATATAAAAGGATGAGTCCATCGTTTGGCCTTTTTTAGGATCCTGGATGAGTCAAAAAAAGGACAGCACGAAATGCGGGAATTGTAATAGAAAAGAAACGCAAAAAATTTTTTTCACTTTCTATTTTCATTTTTCCCGTCCCTCTTTGTCCACCCCAACATCTTGCAAAGTTAAATGTAGTAGTAGTAGAAACTGCTTCCCTTTCCCCTCAACTAGAGACTCAGCTTGAATTTCAGTAGTTCGACTACTACTACACATACATAAATATAAAGGGGGAGATGGAGGAGACTTTTTTTGTTATGTCCTTCCCTTTGTCATGAATGATGAGGAGTGGCAATGGCGCCGCCAAAGCCTTTTTCATTTAAAAAGAGTGCCCCTGAAATTGCGATTTTAATAGCAAGAGAAGCGGGACGAATCAATAAATTTTACTCGTCTTGAATTGTTTTTTATTATTTATTATTCCTTTTATAAATATTTGTATATGTATTTTTATGTTCTTTTTTTTATTGTTTAATTTTTATTTATTTATTGATATTATTTTCTTATAAGAAATTTTCCGGAATTAGCCGCTTGGGATTAGTCTGATTTATTTCAAATAATTTGCAAAACTTTAAGTTGATTTAAATTTTTATTATTTTATATTTTTAGGTATTTTAATATTTGAAAGTTTTGGAATATTTTTAAATAATCTTTAAATATGTACAAACATATATTCTTTATATTTAGTATTAGTTATTAGTAAAAAAGATTATTATTATAATTAGCAGTAATTTTGAAATTAGAATTAGCTGTTGTTGTTGTTGTTGTAGCGCTGTGCGCAATTCTGCAGCACTGCATCATCATCAAAACATTTGGGGGTCGTTATCTTAAAAATATTGCTCCCTAGCAGAGAAAGCGTTTCCGCCATTCCAAGGGAATGCGTAAACGACGGCGCCGCTGGAAATTTAAAGAAAAAGAACATTAAAAACAATAAAAAAAGAAAAAATAAAGTTTTAAAAATTAATTGTGAAAACAACAAAATTTGTTATGAAAATGCAGCAACATCAAGTAGAGGAAATAATTTTACGTTGGAAGTGGAGATGGAGAATAAAGGTAAAAATTATTGTTTGTGTAGGTAGGTTTGGTGGATTCTTGGAAATCCTTGGATACTAGGAACTGAATTTTTTATTTAAGCGGCGAAGATTGTTTGATGACTGGGGGGGGGGGGGGGGGGTGGATTCGTCACTCATCTTGTTTAGAGGTTCAGGGGAATTTTTGCCATTACTTGTAGATACATAAAGTTTTTTCGTATATCCTTAACATTTTTCGAATTCACTAACCCTGTCTGTAGAAAAGAACTTTTTATTTATTTATTTTTTTCTTCTTAAAATCAGAATTTCCTATTAACAACATTAATTCTTGTATTATTCCAACATTATTTAACTCCAACAAAAATTCTCAGCATTTTCCCAGTGAAGAAGTTAATTTTACAATTGCAGAACATCGAAAAAGGCATAGAAGAAGAAATGAAATTTTAATTCCATTTTCTGAAAATTATCAAAAAATACGGGTCATTTCATCTAATATTAAACAACATTTATTATTTAAAAATTCACTCCCTCTAGAAAGGAGACAAAAGCCATTTTGGGTAAAATTTAAAAATAATTTATAAAACTTTAAATGTAAAGTAGTTAATAAATTTTATTATCGGTCGTTTCATAAAAAACAAAAAAGTAAATTTATACATTAAGTAGCTTGTGCCCCTAACTGGTTTCAGCATCGTATCAATCGAATAAAATTCGCTTGAAACAGATCGTGTTTCAGGTCTTAACACTGGTCATTTGCACCCTAAATTTTCATTTTTGATATTTCTCAATCTTTCATAATTTTCATAATAAAATTTTAATTTTTAAAGCGATATACAAAAACAATTAATTTGGTGCTATTTTTACAATTGCTTATTTTATTTTTAATACTAAAGCCTTTATCAACTTTCTTTCTTTATTCAACTGCCTCTGAAATTTCATTGAATGAAACAAATTCTTTTGAAGATTTTGAAGAAAATATTTATCAAAATTTTACTGAAAATATTTGGAAATTTCAACAATTAAATAATGAAAATAATTATTATAAAAGATTTAAAAGAAAAAATGATTGGAAGCAACAAAAATTATCAAAACAATTATTTACAAAAATGGTAATTAATTAATTAATTTAGTTTATCCTCCAAAGTTCTCAAACTGTATTAACATAATTGGACCTCACTTTTGAATACCCCTTGAGCTTAAAACTGAGGTCTAGGAGTTGGAAGAAGCACCGGGAATTTAAAAAGGGCCAGGGAGCTATTGGGGGATTTGGAGGGATATCAGGATTATTGAGGATTCACAACTCCTGAATCCTTCGGTGTTCTTTTTAATATTTGGAGATTTCATATGTATTGTAAAAGATTTAAAAGAAAAAATGATTGAAAAATGTTAATTTGTACTTTTAACTGTTTAAGAAAATTAATTTCATAATTTGTAGTTTAACAATTTTACAACATACACTTCGTTCCAAAAGTATATAGCCACCCTTGTTTTATAGGTTTCTGATATTGGGAAAAATCTACAAAAATTTTTGTGAACATATCTATCAATATAGATAAGAAATACAAAAGAAATGAAGTTCTGATGTACTTGCATCATCGAGATCTTGAAACCCAAAAATCAACGGAAAACTGGGGGTAGACGTTTTTAAAAAATATTTTCGACCCCTTACGGTCGAAATAAAAATTTCATTTTGGGCTTATTTGAAAGCCCTTGAAATTTGCTACAAGATAGTTTTCATCTTCTAATGAAGAAAAAATTCTTCTTTGAGAAATAATGAGTTTAGTTTATAAGTTATATTTTTTCAAATTTTTGGGGGGCTTTTGAGTGATTTTTATGACCTGAGAGTTTATCACATTAGGTCTTACAGTTGAATTTTTTTCGGAAAATAAAATTAATGCTATCTTGTAGCAAATTTCAAGGGCTTTCAAATAAGCCCAAAATGAAATTTTTATTTCGACCGTAAGGGGTCGAAAATATTTTTTAAAAACGTCTACCCCCAGTTTTCCGTTGATTTTTGGGTTTCAAGATCTCGATGATGCAAGTACATCAGAACTTCATTTCTTTTGTATTTCTTATCTATATTGATAGATATGTTCACAAAAATTTTTGTAGATTTTTCCCAATATCAGAAACCTATAAAACAAGGGTGGCTATATACTTTTGGAACGCATTAATTTTGAGTTAAATCAAATATCCCCTAATTTCTACTCGTATATTTTCATAACGCATAAAATAACATTATCAGATCTTTAGAATGGGTCTAAAAAATATTTCAAATTAATCATAACCCATTTAAAAATTTATTTAGCTAGAAATTTAGTAAAAAAATTGGGTGGCTATATACTTTTGGAACGGAGTGTATTTATATATTTTTAAAGGGATTAATTGAAGAAAAAGGACTACAACTCGAAATGTGTCATGTTTGGAATAAAGGATCGCCTTCTGAACTTTGTGCATTGAATAGATGGGAAAGAATTAAACGAATGGAGTAAGTTTTGATTTGTATTTGTGAAATAGTATAGGTGGTTTTGTTGCTGCATTATGTATATCTGTAACAATTGGATCAAGAAAATTATGTGATATTATTCTATTTATTTTCTTATTTGCATACATAATTTAGATAATTTTTATTTTTTAAACATTTTTTAGTGAGTTATCTCTATTTACAATATGCGCTGAAGGCTTTTCAAATTTACAATTGTCTGACATATTTCAATTAAACGTTATCAACAATCATGAATCAGAATCTTCACTTATTTCATTTGTGGAACGTCATCTAAAATTGGGCCAATTAGGGCAATCCTGTATTTTAGGAGATGCCCATTCTTCTGAATGTTTAATTTGTTTTGAGCGTTTGGGAACTTCTTTAGAAAAATTAGAAAAAACTTTTTGGTCATTTTCACAATTATTACAACGCTTTGATTGCCGTCAACAACAAAAAGATTTGGAAAAAGAAAATACAATAAAACAACAACAAATTTCAACAACAAGACCTTTTTCACCAAATACAACGTGTGACAATTGCGCGGTCATTTTTTAAAATTAAATCAGTCTAAAATAAGGATAATGTTGTCCTCCTGTAGCTCTTTTCAATAGGAAATAGTCAAGAATAAAGGGCAATAACGGCCAAGAAAACAAATTCCGACTTACATTTTGACCTTAGTCGATAGGTGATTTGTTAATATTCCCAAACTACTCGAACTTTTGAGGTTCTTAAACCCCTCTACATATGTCTATAGTAAAAGAAATGAAATTCTAAAAGAGATTAATACTTTATAAATTTATTTTTAGGAATGGTACAGAAAATGGTTATTAGTTAATTTAGTTGAAATATGGAAAAGAAAAGGTTTTAAATATTTAAATTAAAATATTTAATTTAAATAGTTTGCATTAATTGGTGCTATTACACACAACTTGCTTGTCCACATTTGGCAACAAATAAAGTTGTGGAGTTTGCCGGTCATCCTGTTTTTTTATGTAGAGGTATGTACATATTATTAGTGTTTGGTATTAAAGAATGTGCCCAAAACTTGAATAAGAAAAAAACAAAAATTTTAAATTTTTCCGAGACAATTATTAAAATATTCGGGGAAAAAGTGGTGGGGTGTGAATATTAAAAAATAAATTTTTAAAGATCAAATGCTTTCAACAACAAAATCAACAAGCGCTCTCGACTGCTCTTGTCTTCATCCCTGTGATTTGATACGCAACAAAATTGCTCAATTCACCGTTGAATCTGAACAATTCAATTCTTCTTCTGCTAAAAAACAACCAATAACAACAACATTCGATTTCTTTCATGTTTCTGCTTATTGTCAAAAAAGAGAAAAGCGTTGCCGTGCAAAAACAATTACCAAAAAGAAAAATTAGAGAACTAAATTTCGAAAGATAATTTTTTGTTTGGTGGCCTTTAAAATTAAAAAATAGGAGCTAATTATGTATATGTTTATATATTTATGTTATAGTTAGTTGAATTAAATAAAATTTTAAATAAAGTGGTTGTTACCTAATATAGGTTTTACAAAATTACAAGGGAATTGTTGCCCAGACCCCGTGTATAAGAAAATATTTAAAAATATTTTTAAGTTAAAATTGTTTTTCTAGCAATAATTATTGTACAAAAAATAATAACACAAAAAGTCACAATACAAACAAAAAATAAATTTAATTGATTTCCTACAGGTATTTGGATTATTTTAAATTTTCCCTCTTTTTTGTGAAATAGCGAAAATGCAGAAATATTTTTGGGACTTGTTAAAAGACCACATTCTGAAGGGATCTTTAAAAATATATTTATTAAAAAATATAATATTTATGTACTTGCTGAATAAGCCTTTTACAATTTAAGTCATTTAACAAAGTTTCGTTATTCTCTGAACAATGAAGGAAAACATTTGGAGCTTTAAATTTAATATCTAAAAATTATTTTATATTCCCAAATTATTTCAAAATAATTAGTAACCTGCATTTAAATTTATTCCTTTAGGATTAGGATTGTGATAACGAATCTTGACAGGCAAATAAAAATAATCGTTCAATAAAAATGATTTTGTTGGGAATTTATTTGAATTGATAAAAATAATTATTGAAGAATATTGAGGAGATTCTAAAAGAAAAATAAATAATTAATTCTTTTTTTAATTACCACTATTTGAATTATATGGCTTTTCTACATCAAAATCAAAAGATGAAAAAATGCAATGTTTTGTGGAAGAAATATTTCTTTGATTAAAATGATGCTTTAAACTAAAAGAAATTCTTCCTTTTTTGATAAAAAAATAATTTAAATTTCTACCTTCTCAAATTAAGATAAGCTCCTGAAGGAATTTCAAATCGATAGGAGAGAACACAACCAATTAATCTATTTTTACTTGATAAATGTGAAGAAATGGAGATTTGGCGATGAAAACCAGAGCCCAAAATCTTCAAAATTTAATTATATACATTTACATTTTCTTGTCATAAAAATAAACATTTGAAAATCTATTAAAAGTAACACTTTACAAGTTTCTAAACACCTACTAGGTCTTAAAATTTTGTGCCTGCTTGGATAAATTAAAAAAATGTAAACTCTTACATCAAACTCCAAATTTGTTTCAATTAAAGGGCAAGCTTTGACAAAATTGAATAAATAAATTAAAGTAATACTAAAGAATATTGTAAACATTTGTGCAAAAAAATATATTTAAAAAATTATTTTTAAAAATTAAAAAAAAGTAAATTGAATTTTACAAAATATACATTACCTTATTTAAATAAAAAAACTTTTTTTTAATTATTTTGACAATTTATGTAAACTACTAAATGATTTTGTTCTAATTTTTTTCTCACTTAATTCTTGAAGAATTGATAATCTTTTTTCTATTTCATTAATTTCTTCCCTTTCTTCTTCTTCATTAATTCCCTTTTCTTCTTCTTCTCTCACACTTTAAATAAACTTTTTAATTAAAATATTATTTTAATTTTTACTTTATTGAAACAAGTAAACTTCTCATTTTTGAATTTAAAAGTTTTGTACAAAGAAAATGTCCCTTTTCGTCTAACAATTGATTAAAATTTAATTGTTGTATTTGAATTGCCTTAAAATAATTATTTTAAAAAAGAGAGTATTTCTTCTACTATTCCTCAAACAAACCCCAAACAAACCCCCCTCAATTTCCCCCAAAATCCTCCCCCTTTCAAAATTACCTTCAAATAATCTTCTTTATTAATTACTTTAATAAATTCACAAATTAATTCAAAATCTTGTTTATTTACCCAAGATGTTTTTAAATAAATATTTTTCCAATTATTATTTTGATATTGAGATAAATATTGTTGTTGTAAATCAGTTAATTTAGAAGAAATAAATATTAATAAAATAATTCTTAATTCTAATGCCAAAATTTGAAAATAAATTAACAAATCTTTACTTTAAAATTAAATAAAAATTAATTTTTTATTTAAAATTACAAAAAAGAAAACCTTAAACTTTTTAAAAATAAATTCCAATTATTAAATATTTTATTCCAAATTTTTTCTCCAAAATTCGAAATTTCTATCAAATCCAACATTTTGTCAAATAAACATATTTTTGCAAAAATATCATTATTTGTTAATTTAAATGCTAAAAATAAATAAATAAAAATTAATTAATTTAAAATAACCTTTATCTAAAAAATCAAAACTTTTGTTGAATTTGTTTAATTTCAAAAATTTATCAGCCATTTCTGAATAAATAAAACTTGCAAATTTTAAATTATTTTGATTAATAAATTGATTAGCTACATTTAAATAACATTGCTCCATCAAAAGTTGAAATTCATTTTCAGCTAAATTAAAAAAAATTTTTTTTAATTTTTAAATTAATCATTCACGTGTGCTAGATGTGAGATAAAATCCCAGAGAAAATAGGAGGACCTCTTACAATCAACAAGAATCATTCTGCTTCCATTAGGACCAAAAACCCTAAACTCTTTTTTAAAGAAAACCTGGACAATTAATTTCTTTTCTATCAAATGCCATATCAAAATATAACCGGCCAGTATTTATCCAATGATCATTCGATTCAGATTGATTTCCCAAATTTAAATAAATTAAAGCAATTTCTTTATGGCACATAACTTTTTGTTCATTATTTGCCCCGCTTTCTCTAAAATTAAATTTTAAAAATTTATTTTTAAATTAAAATTTAAACTCCATAGAACGAAGCAGACTTTTAAGTTTTCCAAGTATTTCTTCTAAATTTGGCTTTTTTAAAGACTTCCTTCTTGTAGATAATTGAATTGAACGTAATCGATTAGTAAAATCCTGATATTTTGAATAATTTTCATTCATCTTTTTGTAAAAATTTAAAAAAATTAGAGTTAATAGTTTTAAATAATTTATAGTAAATAACAACAATTTTTCCAATTTTTAAAAATTAAACAAAAAATTTATTTAAATAAAAACACATTTTAATATCTAAATAACGAATTTTCTGCCAATTCTTTATCGATATCCGTAATTACTAAACTAATTGAAATTCTTTTTCTGTTATAACTTTTTATATGTTCTAATTGTTTCTTTTTATAATCAGCCTCTGCTCTAAATTTAAAAATTCAATAAATTTTAAAAATTCCACTTACTGATCAATTGATGTGCTGATAAAATTAAAATCCCGAAGAATCAAAAATTCGCGTATATCACTAAAAAAATAAATTTAAAAAATTATAGAAAATTAATTCTAAAAATAAAATTAAAAAGGACAATCAAGAAAGGCCAAAAATTACTAAAAATTTGGATATCCAAATTAAATTAAAAATACCTACTTTGTAAGCATTTGTACTTCATCCGTTGCTTTAACCATTAAAGATGCCCGAGCTAACAATTCTTCCCTCATAGCATAATATTCACTTAATTGCCCAGTACTATTAGCTTTGTGTGAAGAATCATCATTTATCTAGAAATTTATTTTTTAATTTAAACTTTAAAAATACCTTAACCAAACACAAAATTCTGTCAAAATTTTCATTTAACGATTTTACATTATTTTTTAATCTATCTTTATATTCTTGTACAAGTAATTTTTTTGTAACAATTGTTTTGTTTGGTTGTTGATGTTCACCCTTTCTAGCATTAATATTTGGTTGTCTGCTTTGCATTTAAATTAATAAATTCGAAAACTCTGCTTTTAAAAAGTAAGAGAAATGAAAATAAAATTTTCTAAAAATAATTAGACAGGCAATTACTTGTCTTTATAATATTTAAGAAATTTCATCAAAATCCATTTTAAAAAATAAATTAAAATTCAAACAATTGTTTAAAAAATAAACTTTCGTCGTTATTTTTTGTTTTATTAAATTTTCTGCAATCTTTTTTCAACAATTAAACTCATAACGGTAGCTACAAAAGCTTCTAAATGTATAATATCTTTACTTCCCAAACGAGTTGAATGTTCATATTCGGCAGCCGTTGAAACAATCGAAGGAAATATTGGCGAGGTATCTCGAATTTTTGATAATTCAAGAATTAAATGCTAAAAATAAAAACAAAAAATTAAATTAAAAGTTAAAAATAAACCGTAAAAATAATTGAAGAAGGAATACAACGACAAAGTAATTCATAAAAACGATTACGAATATCCAATAAACTTAAAAAAATTTATTTTAAAAATTAAAAAAAAATATTTTAAAATACCCATTTTGAGTTGGAGTTTGAACAATTAATTTAGCTATATCTCGTATATAACCTTCCCATTCTGGTTCAACAATTGGCTGCTTGTCTAAATTATGTCCACTACATAGAAAAAATTATCAAAATAAAATATACAGTCGTGGAAAAAAGTATGGAAGCGCTCGAAAATTTTTTCTTAATTCTTAATTTTTCATTCAAAAAATACGTTCTATATACCAATCGAAAGCTCAATTCGTATCTCAGTTGACATGTTTCTGCATTTTTCATGAAAATGAAAATTGGCCGAGATAATCCGGATCTACCGGATATACCAAATCCCACTTTTTCGGAAAAATTTTTCGGAACAAATTTAACAAGCCCATTTGATAAAGCATATTTTTCTGAGTATTTCCCACAAAACGGCTTAGAAATATCTTTTTCCGGACCAGAGATATGATTTTTTGAAAATCGCATTTTTCCCTTAAAAATTGAAATTTTTGCAAAAATAGACGAAAAATGCCATTTTCAAAAAATCATATCTCTTTTCCGGAATAAGAAATTTCTAAGCGGTTTTGTGGTAAATGCTCACAAAAATATGCTTTATCATTTGAGTTTGTTAAATTTGTTCCGAAAAATTTTTCCGAAAAAGTGGGATTTGGTATATCCGGTAGATCCGGATTATCTCGGCCAATTTTCATTTTCATGAAAAATGCAGAAACATGTCAACTGAGATACGAATAGAGCTTTCGATTGGTATATAGAACGTATTTTTTGAATGAAAATTTAAGAATTAAGAAAAAATTTTCTAGCGCTTCCATACTTTTTTCCACGACTGTATTTGACAAAAAAATTTTTAACTAAAAATATATTTTTTTAATTTTCTAAAAAAATCACATAAAAATCTAATATTAGAAAGAAAGCATTTTAAAAATATTACCAAATTTTATAAAATTACAATCAAAAAAAAACAAACTTTTGTGAAACACTACATTCAAGTAAACAAAGAGCTCTACGCAAATTTCCATTAGATTTTTCAGCTAATTTTCGAAGCCATTCATGTGATGCTTGGACACGCTCACGGGTACAAACATTCTCCACACAATCCAATAACTATAAATTAAAAAACTAATTTTATTAAATTTAAAAATAAAGTAGTGGCTACGCCCTGTTGGAAAGGGGGGGGGCAATCAAGTCTAGCTTGCTTGTACTGATACAGCAAAGCAGCCTCGTAATAACGAGTAAAAATCCTTTAATAATCCATCCCAACTCCACAAAAAAATAAAAATCAAACCTCCTCATCAGAAGGTGCAGATACTCGAATAACCATACAACGACTTCTAAGCGGTTCAATTATTCTGCTTGCAGATTCACAACAAAGAATAATTTTACAATTAGCGGCATATTTTTCCATAGTTCGTCTCAATGAATGTTGGGCTTCTTTTGTAAGATTTTCTGCTTCCAATAAAACAACAACTTTAAAATTAATTTAGAAATAAATTATTTCGGTACTTGTGGGTTATCCCAAGCCAGTTCTTGCGGATCAGGCCCGTAACCAGAATTTTTTCTGGGAGGCTTCTGGTGTATTTGGTTGTCTCAATGAAATTGAGGAAAGAAGAAAGTCTGACCATTCTATGCATATATAGTAAATGAGTCCGGATAAATTGTCCGAAAGAACAGGTTTGGGGATGACCCACAAGTACCATAATTTCAAAAAAAAACCTTTAAATGCCTTTTGTGAAGCTCTATTCAATTGTTGTACTTGTGCCATATCTTTAATAATTTCTTGTACAATAACTCGATCATAAACACCAACATCACTAAAAAAATATTTTATTTTAAACAAAAAATTAAAGAAATACCTGGGTGTCAATTCAATATGATAATTACTGTTTACAACAAATATTTGCAGTTTTTTGCCACTTGGAATTGAAAAATGATGTGTTTCGACGTGAACATTTTCTACACCTTTTCCATAAATCTTTTTAAGTAAACAATTGATTCTTGTTCGCTTCCCAGCACCTGCTGGCCCGCAAAATAAAAGATGAGAAAAATCCCCGTCAGTTACAAGCGAAGATAATTTTTCTGATTGTTCTTTGTGAAAAGTAAGTTTTGACATTTCACGTGGACGATATTTGTCTATCCAAAGAGCCATTTTCTTTTAATTTTAAGTAAGAAAAACTAAATTTACTTAAGCAAAATTAAAGTTTAAAGAATTTTAAAAAGTTGTGTCAAAACGGTAAATTTAAAAAGGAAAATAGCAGAAAAGCGCACAAAATTAGAAATTAAAGGGCAAAAATTGTAATGAGTGGGGTTGAACTCAGGTTTTCAATTTTTAAGGGATAATTGTGAAAAAATTGTTCAGGAACAAGGAAATTCTAATAAAAGTAAAGTAAAAAACAAAAAATATAAATTATCACATTTTATTAAATATTAAAATTCACATTTATTAAGTAAATAATAGTATATAGAATTTTTGGTAAGCCTAATTGGAAAATATTTTTAAATTATAAAAATATACATATGTAAATGTTAGAATATCACTATTCTTTGTTAGTAAGAATTTAAGAGAATAAAAGGATTAAAATTAAAATTATGTAACAAAAATTTAAAAGATACAAAAGTTGGAAAATCTTTTCGTTAGTATATGGCATAGTGTATATATAGTAGGTATTTAAAATACAGTCAACCCTCTCATTATTAGACTTTCTAAAAGAATTAGGTACTTTAATTAAAATAATTTTTATTAAGATAGGCTTTTGCTAGAATAAAGAGATGAGTTAATTATATTTAGTAGAGAGAGTTGTGACTGTAATTTTGTAATTAAAAGAGATCATTAATTACCTAAATATTCTTCAAAAACATTTTGCGATTTTTACTTAATTAAATTATTCTTTAAATAATTGCTAATATCATTAATTATTTCTTCTCTTTTTTTACTACAATACATATTAAATATTCCGTGATAAGCATCTTTATTTAAAAAATAAATTTAATTTATTTATTTACATAATTAAATACCTTCATAATGTTTTAATTCAACTTTAACTTCATCTTCATTTAATCTTTTTGCATATTGAATACCCTCATCCCGAAGAACATCAATACCCGCAGTTAATATCATTGTTGGGCAATGATCTTTTAAATTATTAGCTAAAATAGGGCAAATATCTGGATTTCGAAGATATTCTTCTATTTGGGTGTAAAGCTGGAAAAAAGAAAAGAATAATTTTTTGTTGGATTATTATATGTAGGGGGATGTGCCGTTTCGCTTTTTAAAATCTGTTTCGGCATACCCCTGGTATAAATATTCAACAAATATTCCCCCTTTCTATTTTAATCGTAACTTGGACAAGTTTATTTAATATTTTAGATAATTTTTGTTCAAACAATTAATTAACCTTTTCCCTTTCTGAATTTTCTTTCTCATTTTTTTCCTCTTTTATTATCCCATTAAATCCATTTTTTGTTGTTTTCCATTTAATAATTGAAGAATGGCTAGGATTTTTTCTATTTTCCTCTTCTTTTAAAAGAAATTCTTTAGGAAGTTTTTCTGGGTCGAGAATTGAAGATAATTTAGCTTCATTAAGTAATTTCGGTGATAAATGTTGATTTTTAATCATTAAATTAATATTTTTTTGTGTTGGTTCTATACCCAAATAAAATAAATACCTAAAAATATTTTTTTGAGGAAATTTTAAAAATATTCTTTTAATTACCAACGGGCAAGCATTTTCGGATTTAATAAACCAGTCCTTGGATAAATACGATAATATAATTGATAAGAAGGAGATTGGAAGTCTAACATGTGAATAACTGGATAGATAAGTATTTGGCACTAAAATTGAATTTAAAAATACATAATTCTCTCTTTTAATTATTTTTTTGGTAAAAAACAATGTAACAATTCCCATAAGAAAAAATAAGAGAATTCTGATGTTAGAATCAAATTTTTGTTCCAAATTTTCAACGCTTAGTCATTTAATCAACATCCCTTCCCCCTTTAAATCACTCACTTTTATCATTTCCTTTCTATTCATTCTCAATACTCTTTGACACAAAACAGCACATTGACATCCTCCAGCAGAATCCCCCATTAAAGCTATTTTGTTTTTATCAATTCCAAGATCTTCAAATCTTTAAATAAAAAAACGAGAAATATTCGTTGTTTTTTTTCTTTTTCCTTTTTACTTTTTATTATAAATTTCTTCAATTACTTGTTCACATTCCAAAAGAGCAACTGGAAATTTTACTTCGGGAGAAAGAGAATAATCAATAGAAATTATAGTTAAGCCTAATTGTTTAATTAAAAGTAATAAAGCACCATCGTAAAATCCTAAAAAAAATAATTTTAAAAATTAAAAAAAGCCTGAGGAATACAAAGGGGGGTCTCCTTCCTTTCCCTTCCCTTCCACCCTTTCTCGAATAGAACAAGAATTGCTTTTGTCCTCCTTTTTTCCCCAAATCATGAAAAAGGAGACAATGACAAAACAGTCTCCCCTCCTCTTTCTAGGATTTATGGATACTGGAGGAGATTAATCCTGTAAATAATCAGAGAAAAATCGGATACACAAAACTTGCTTAAAAATAAAATTTAAATTTAAATTATTTTACTTGGTCTTCCCATGCACCAACCACCTAAAATAATTTATAAAAAATTTTATTTTTAAATACACACCTCCATGAATAAAAACAATTAAAGCATTATTTCTTTTAAATTCTCCTTGTGGAAGATAAACTAGAAATCTTTTATTTTTTAACTTTAAATTATTTAAAACAAACATCGACATTTAATTCCAGCAATATACCCAACATTAATTAAACACCAATTTGGTACGCGTACAGGAAAAAAATAAAATGGAAGGGAAGAGAAAAAACGAGTAAATTTGTTTCGCATAATTGGACCAGAAAATGATTCAACTAAATCACCCTTTAAAAAATTAATTTATTTTGAGAATATTTAAAAAATTATTTGCTCAAAAATAAAATGGAAGGGATAAAGCAGGAAAAATTTTTTTTAACAATTTTTCTTCAAAAATTATTATTAAAAATAAGAGAGAAAAGATTGAGAGAGAATTGTTTAAGTTAAGAAAAATACAGTAGGAATTTATTTAAATTTATTTTAAAAATTTTTATTTACAAGATATTCATTAGAAATCCGCATTAGAAATTCAATAATTTGTATTTTCCATCTGTCAGCAATAAAATGGGGAAGTGGGCGGTGAAGGAAAAATAAAAATATGAAAATAAAAAATATTAGAATTAAATAAAAATAATTAGTTATCATTATATTATTATTTTTGTTGTTGTTTGAAATCCAAAAAATTAAAAAATTAAAAGTTTCCGTTAAAGTGCTGAGACGAATCTTTAAATGAAAATATTATGGCCATTATATTTTTTGAAAGAAAATATTTAAAGAAATAAAAAAAAGAGAGAACAAATTTTACTTAATTAATTTTGTAAGAATTTATTTTAGTTTTTTTTGGGGGGAGGGGGGGATGTTATTTTACTTTTGTTGTTATCATTTAAACAACAAATTTTTTAATAATTTTAATTTATAGTTGATAAGGGAAATAAACGGTTTTTATCAACAATTAAAGTGCAAATTTAATTGAGAGAATTTATTTGACTAAAATAATTTAAAAGGAAGAAATTAAATTAATTAATTAAAAATTACCAAAATATTTTCAATAAGTTTCTTTTTGTTGTTGTTTTGTTTCTCCTTCTCCATTATTAGCCTCGGCTTCAGAGGAATACAATAATTGTGCAATAAATTCCCCAACAAATTCTCTGTAAATCTGACCGGAAGTAGCCAATAAAGAATAATACATTTAATTTAATTTAGAACATTTAATTATTTAAATATTTTTTTTGAAAGAAGATTTAAGTAGTATGTAGATGGATAGATCTCTTTAAAAAAATAAAAAGAAAAGAGAATTTTACTCAAACTAAATTGTCGAGATATTTATTTTTATCTATTTATTTCAATCCAAAAATATATTTATTTATTTATTCATTGTCAATGTCACTTTAAATTTCGCGCACCAATTGAGTATTTAAATTACTAGAAATATATTTTTTTAATTTTATCTTTAAATTTTTAATTAAAAATAATTTTAAATAAAAATACTTTAATTATTTTTTAGTAAATTAAAAATGCGCGAGAGAGGGGGAGATCGATCACATAAAAAGTAGACAAATATGTATTCTATTATATTTTTTTGTTTATAAAATTGAAATAGCCCTCAAATAAAAAAAACTAGTTTTTTTTAATAATTTTTTAAAAACTTTTTTAATTCAAAATTTATTTAAAAAATATTTTTAATTACTTTAGACAATAAAAAAAGAAAGTTTAAATTTAGTGGAAAATGCGCAATTTTTTTATTTACGTCAGAGCAGTATAATTATATGTCAAAAATGTTTTACGTAAATTAAAAGGAACCTTTAATTAAATAAAAGAAAAACTTGAATTTATTTTTTATAAAATAACTTTATTTTTATTAAATATAAAAAACTAAAAACTAAAAATATAATTAATCACAAATAATTTTTAACGATAAATTTTGATGATTTCATTAATTGAAGCAGGAAGTGAAGTAACTGGACAACGACCGTTTAATGTTATCTAAATTAAAAAATAAAATTTTCAAAAAAAATTTAATTTAAATAATTTTATTTCCCCAATTAATTAATTTCATTTATCCCCCCCCCCTCTCTTTTTCAAAAAAACCAACAAATTTATAAATGCAAGAATAACAAAAAATATATCCAGAAATACTCAAAACAGCCTCCTCATTCCGAATTTGTCCACAAATAGGGCATTTTCCAGCACGGCAAAGGGATTGTTGATTAACAGGTAATTTCTTTAAATAATAAAAATTTAAAATAAAAAATATTTTCCATACATTTAAAGGGAATTCCTCAAAATTAATTAATTTATTATTTCCATTAATTATTTTATTTAAAAGAATTCCAAATTCATCTTTATAACAAATTTCAAGAAATTGAATTAAAAAAAGTGACAAAGAAAGAATTCGGCCAATTGTAGAAGGTAACCAAAATAAAAGTTGCAAACAGCGAGACAAAAAACTTTAAAAAATTTTTTATTTTTAAATGGAATTTAAAAATGTAAAATTGTAAATAAAGAAAAAATAATTTTGGTACTAATATTCCGTTATCACCCCCCCCCCCCCCACATTTTATTTTTCTGCTCCCTTCCTTTTCTTCAAAGAAATTAGATAAACTTACATACAGGCTGGCGCAAAAGTATATGGCCCAATGGCCAAATCCTTATTCCCCTTAACTTTCTAAAAGGAGTAGTACCGTAATTTTTTAGATTTAATTTTAAAAATAAAAAACTTGCCTATTAAATTTATTTTTTCTTCCTTTATTTAATTCAATTTTAGCGAAATCATCACAATTTAACATTTCTAAACGAGTACCAGAAATTAATAAAAGCCATGAGGGAAATTTAATAAAAGAGAATGTGTAGCCAATTTGAAATAAAATAATGGCAAAATAATTAAAAGTTCTCAAAAAAGGAAATAAACGTAAAAGAAGAAAACGCCAACCAAAAATATTTTTTGAGCCAGAAAACTAAAAATAATTTTAAAAATATTTTAAATTAAAAAAACAAACATTTATTTTTAAATGTTCATATATTTTTGTTAATCTTTCTCCAATAAAAGGTAAAATAACCTAAAATAAAAAATATTATTTTCAAAATTAAAAGAAATTACCAAAGTAATTAAAGAACGAATTTTTTGACTAAAAGAAAGTAAAGGGTTTGAATTATTAATTGGCACTCTTTTCATTCCATAAAAATTTTCAGAAAAAGAACCAGCTTTAATTTAAAAAAATATTTAAATAAAAAGTATATTTAAATTAACAAAATCTTTGCAAATAATGAAATTCAATTGTAGATTGGAATAAAAGAAAAATTAAATCAAAATGTTTTTCCAAAAAACGAAATATTGCTGCTGTAGGGAATTTACTGGAGAATAACTGAAAAATTAAAATGTTAATTTCAGAAAATAATTTTCTTAAAAACTCCCTTAATTCCAGCTAAAATTCCAGGTTTTAATTGAGCCCTAAGCGAATCTTGAGCCAAGTAATCAAAAATTGAAGGCAAAGAAGAAGCATTTTCACTGGATTGTCTATTTGTTGATAATACTGTAATTGTTCCTACATTAGTCATTGCTCTAAAAAAGAATATTTTTAAAAGAATTTAAATGAAATTTAGAAAGGTAGTTCAAAAATAAATAATTATTTAAAATAAACATAACAAATTTTTTATTTAAATTTTCAGTACTCGTATAATTTAATTTTTTAAATTATATATCTTCCATATCAACATCCATTTCCATCATTTCTTTATCTTCATTTCCATTCATTTGTTGCTGACCTTCCATTTTTGATTTTTTAATTTGAAATTTTTTTGTTTTTTCGTTGCGCAGATCTTTTAAATTTTGTAATTGAAAAAGCTTTTGCTTACAATTGGGATCTTTGAAATGTTTAAGCACAGAAATTGCATATCTGAAAGAGATAATAATAATTTAAAATTTAAAAAATTGAAGGAGAATTTAGACTATATCCTAATACGTAATAATTTATCTGGCTACGTTCTGATACATTAAAAAAAATATTTTTATAGAACTCGTATAAACTTGTTCAAATAAAGTTATTCTGTTTAAATTTAAACAAAACCAACGTTAATTTCCAACGCATTTTAGCCAAACTTGCTTTGCCTACATTTGCCGCCACATTGTGGGAAAGCTCTAAAGGATCTTGTATGTTAACAAGGGAAAAACGCCATCGTTTTTCGATTTCCGGTGATTTATCAAAAAATTCTTTTTTAAAATCATTAACTTTAATAATTTTGCCTTCTTGAAGTAACAAAACTAAATCAGATTTTAAATTCAAAAATAAAAATGTGAAGAGGTCCTGTAGAAAAAAGAAGCAAATTTTAGTTTTTAAGCAAATTAATTATAATATCATATCACGCTTTTAAAATAAAAAAAATTATTTTTCTTTTTGTCAAAGATTTCTTAAAGTTTGTCACTCCGCGATGTCAATTTTATTTTTTTACCTTCAAAAGTAACGGCAATTCCTCTTTTTCAATTGTAAATTTAGGTATAGAATATTCAATTGCCCATCCATTAATTTTACGCGAATTTGGATTCAAAAATTTAAAAATTGGCGGTATTCGATTAATTTTCTGTAAAAATCCAATTGTACACAAAGAAAGTGTATAAGAATTCCAAAATGATTTTGGCCCATCAGAATCGTTGTCAGACGTAAAAAGTTCATTAGAAGATGCCCATAACTTTAGGAAAAATAATAAACGGAAAAGAATACCTTTAAAATAAATTTAAAAAAAATTGTATTATTTAAAGTACCTGAAGTTTCAGCCTTAATTAAATCCCCAATTAAATTTGCTTTAGATTCTCCAAACAAATTTTGAATGGAAATTTCACAAGGAATTTTGACTTGATTTAAACAAATTGTTAAAAATAATATAGGAGTACGTGCATCTTTAACAGGAACATGTGAAATTATAATTGAACTTTCTTTTCGTAGTGAATTAATTAAAGTATTTAAAATTCGGATTTGATCTTTGAAAAGAAAAGTTTTTTTTAAATAATTTATTAATTTACTTGTTTTTGTTAAATTTAAAAATGTTTTTGCATCCAAAGGAGATTTTAGTAATTCCTCTGGTGTAAATTCACCAATATCTATTTCCATATCATTTGAAGTTGTTGAAGTAGATGGAGATGAACAACCATTTTTATTAATTTCAACATTATCAAGAATAAAATTTAAATCCTGAAATAATTAAAAATAATTTTAATGATTTCAATCATCACTCAACATTCATTAAGTTTTTCCAAAAATTAAATAATTATTTTTATTTATTTACCAAATCAGAATCTATAAATCCAAGACCAGTTGAAGAAGAACCAAACAATCTAATGGAAAGAGGAGAAGAAAAATAGCGCTGAAAGTGGTTTTGCAATTTTAAAGCAAATGTTAAACGTTCATTAATCTGTTGAAGAAAAATAAATTTAATTAAAAAAATATTAAACCAAATCATTTGATAAAGCAAATTTTTCAATTAGACAATCCAATTGAGCCAAAAATTCAGAGGGACAATCTTCAAGAAATTTAAGTATATTCTCTGAATTTGTAATGGAAATGGGTTTTTGCTTAATTGCTGAATTGTTAAAATCTACACGTCTTGGTCGAATACGCACCATACTCTTAAAGTAATATTTAAACATTTAAAATTTGTTAAAAAATAATTCTGAAAAATTACTTTTCCAATTTTTATTCGTTGCATAGCTCCCAAAAGATTTTTAGCAGCCTCTTCCTCTTTAAATTCAATAATTGCATAAGCACTTTTACCTGATTTGTCAATTAAAACTCTATCAACTTCACCAAATTGATCAAATATCTGAAGCAACAATTCCTCTTTTATTTCCTAAAAATAAATTTAAATTAATTTTTTGGGAAAAAATAAACTTCTTTAAAATTATTTAAATGAACAGAACGATTTGCTAGTATCTCTAATTTTCTTTTTTTATCAGCCATTTGTTTATGTTTAAATCCATTAAGATGATCATCCCAGAATTTTTGACTAAAAACTTTTAAATTACAAACATCACAAAAGAACGTTTGCTCCATCAAAAAAATAAATTAGAAAAATAATTTTAAAGTAAAAAAATATTTAAATAATTAAATTTCTAAAAATTAAATTTCTAGGCAAAAATAAACAAAAAACCTATTAACATGTTTATTAAAATGTTTTATCATTTTTATTTTCTTTTTGTTCTTGTTTCTCTTTTAGTAATTGTTCTTCCTTCCATTTTAAATAACGCTCAAATACACGATAATTCTCGTCCTAAAATTAAGGATTTTCTGAAAATATTTAAATACATACCAGCCCCGTTTTTCTGAATTCACTGCGATCTTTTATAAATTCATCAGTGACCTCCTTGCGGAGATTGGGGTCCCGAAATCTTAAAAAAATAAAAAATTAAGAAAAAATATAATACTTACTTTTCCACCTTACAATCTTGAAATTTTTTATAAAAGGGTCTGCAGTTATGCGTCCCAGTTATTGCTCCTCCATCTCGCATACATTCAGCAAATTTCATAAAAGTCTCCCGACATTCATTCTTTTCAATTCTTTTAGCAAGTATGTCTGGAATCAATACATTTGATTCATATTTTCGTAAAAATCTAAAAAAGCCCAAAATTAGATTAGTTATTTGACATGGAATTTCAATGAAAAAAAACTTACGTGTCATCTGGATCACCTAATAAATTAAAAAAGAATAATCAAGGAATATTATTTTCAGAGAAAAAGTTTTGAAAATTAATTAACCTAAATTATGCGGCCCAACAGTAACATGTGTTGGATACATTGTCTTCTTAACTCTATACCACTTCTTACGTCTCTCATCATAGACGATTTCACCTAAAAATTAATATAAAATGAAATAAAATTAAAGAAAAATTAACCTTCCTTTCGTTCGCGTATTGAATCGTGAGAATCAGTAAGTGTATTTATAACAAATGGATGTTTTGTTTCATATTCTGATTGAATATCTTGTTGTTGCATTATTAAAGAAATCTAAAAAATTTTTTTAATTAAAATTTTTTAAAAAGGTGAGCAGTTGTCCACTGTGGAATTGTCTCACTGTTCAATTGTGTTTTTCAATTGTCTTACTGTTCAATTGTCCCGCGCCAGCTGGGTAGACTTGACGTGAAATAAAATTCTAAAACATTTTATTTTTGATTTGGTGGGTATTGTCTCTAATTACTGTAAATTTTTTTATTAATGTGGGTTCGTAAAATTGCTACAAAACTTTTTAATTTTAGGCTTTCTATTTTCTTTAACCCATTGCTTTGATAAGAAATCTTGTTTATCAAATAAATAAACTCATCATGATGCCAACTTCTGATTCAGTCCCAAAGTGTTCCATAGAATCTTCCAGTGACAACCTATCGCCTGAGGAACGACCGGAATCTTTAAAGCTTAATTCTGCACCATTTGATTGCTGTCATCTTGCACCCCCTACTTCCCTTCTTGGTCGAACGTTGTCGGCTTCTGCAATTGATTATCGTGGCGCATGGCGTAGTAAAAACAAAACACATTTGGATGGAGCCAAAAATTTTCAAGTTTTTAATTTTTTTATTTTACATATTTTAATTTAAATTTTCTAGGAACGTTTAATTTCTTCGCCAGCCTCTTCGACTTCTTGTGTTCAGCAATCCTTGAAACGCAAACTAAGTAATTCGGGTGTCATAGCAGGTTCTGATCTTCCTGAAATCAATGTCGGTGGTGAAAATGCTAAAATGTTCTTACCACATCATACAATATTAAATCAGGAAGGATTTGTTACTCCATTCCAACCGAAAAAGGTTTATAAATTAATAATTTTACTTTATTTTAATTTTAGATAAGTCGTCCGAGTTCACCTGCCGCTTCTATTGTTGCTACGTCACGGGTGCCAATGCTTACACGAGGTAGAGTTGCATCAATTCGACGGGAATCAGATTGTAGCACTGAAAATGAGGCTGCCCACGAGAAATTGATCAAAACTTCGCAGCAAGTCTCTCTTGGCTTTGAGGATTTTTGTCTGGTATTAATTTTTTAGATTTTATAGTATTATTAAAAAGTTCTTTTATTTAAAGGATGACAAACTATTTGAAGAACGTAAACGGGCCAAATCTTTGACTGAGCCTATTTCAGTTTTCACAAATGCTTTTCTTCCGCAAAGTTCAACTCCTTCACCAACTCGAAATGTTGTTGACTCTTTGCAAAAAGTTTATAAAGGATTTTTCATTCAAAATTTATTTATTTTTAAATTAGCAATGCTATTCTCCATCAACTCAACAGGTTGTTCGAGCGAATATTTCCTATTCGCCCATTCCGAGTCCAACAACTCCTGCCAGTCCTTATAATCGAATGAGGTTTATTTGAGCCTGATAATTTTTAATAATTTATTATTTTTTAGAAGCATGTCACCTATTGCTGTTCGTCAAGTTTCTAAAAGACGTTATACAGCATCAAGTGGGAATGGATTTGGAAATCAAAGTTCTGGCTCTGGTTTGGATAGTGATGGTGAAAACAAGTAAATATGCTGTTTTAATTATTAACATTTTTATTTTTTAGTTCCTTTGTACCTTCTAATTCTAAACGTCGCTGCACTGCTTTATTACGATCGGCGATCAGTTCATCATCTTCGCCTCTTGTTCGAGAATCCACTTCAAATGTTAATTTACTTTATTATCAACAGCAACAACTAGAGCGGCTTTCAAGCAATTTTGATAAAGATTCAAAGCCTGTTTCAGAAGTGGCCGTCTCATCTTCGATTGATTCAAATACTACTGATGTTGTAAAATCTTCATCTACAGCAGAATCAACTACTCCACTTTCCCGCTTGTTAGTTGACCCACAAATTGCAATTGAATGGTTTTATTTTTAAAAAGCTAAAATTATTTTTAATTTACATTTATTAGTTTTCAATCATCTTCTGCTGTATCTCGTGAAGATGAGGATTCCTCACCAATTGCTGAATCGGTACTTTGCTCTTCATTTTGTTCTGGGGCTGGTTATGATGCGAATTCATCCACAACTTTTTCGTCAAGAGCAAATACACCACATTCTGAAATGCTTGAAAGCTCGGGAGTAGAAAATGTTTTTTCTTATTAATATTTTTCTAATTCAAATAAATTTAGGATGCTTCCCTTTCTATATTGCTTCCACCGCAATCGTCTAGCTCCTCAGATTGTTCATCCCAGCATTCTATATCGGCTGTTGCCACTAATCAAAAGAATCTGCTACCAACCACAGTCAACTTATCTTCGTCTAATGAAGAGCAAATCGGCAACGAAAAGTAAATATTAAAGGAAATTCTATCTTTTATCTATTGTTTATCGGTCTTCAATACCGCAATTTATTTGAATAGTAAGTCCAACTTTTTCTTTTTACAACCTTTACAGTTTGCTCTAATACCTTTTTTTTCATGTTCATTTCATATTTTGTTTTCCAATTTTAATGTTCGGGTAACTAAGGACCCATTTATTGTGATTTTTTAAATCAAAACTCGTGTAATTTAATGGGAATATTTTTATATTTAAAAACGGTTTTTCTTTATTTCTTTAAAACTTTTGTATATTTTCTTTTTTTTATTTGAATATTTTGACTTTATACAATTTATGTTTTATTTAAATAAAATCTCTATTTAAAATTTTGTTTAATAAGATTTGTCTTTATTTTGCTATTAGCAAACATCATTATGTGCTTTAATTTTTTGTATTAAATTTCTACTAATAAAATTAAACTTTTAGATGACAAAATCTTTGGATATATCAAAAATATTTTTTAGTTTCTATATATTTTTTGGATGCAAACTTTCTAAGATTTTGATGCAACCACAGCCTTTAGATCCAGCAATTGCTTTAGGAAAGGCTCCGAAGGCGCATGAACCTGTTAAATTTTTTAATATAAAATTTAACTGTTTTTCATATTTATAGGTAGTTATTGTTGGTGGTGGATTGGCTGGAATTTCTGCAGCATTGGAGTTGGTTGTTTTTGTTTTACGAATTTTTTATTTCTATAACGTTTGAATAAATGTTTTTACAGGGCACTTAGGTTTGGTGCTAGTGTCGTTCTTGTTGATAAAGAGGCGGACCTTGGCGGAAATAGTGCAAAAGCCAGTAGTGGTAAGTTTAATATCTTTAAGCAAAACATATATTCTTTATTAAATCGTTACTCTCTTCAAAATATTTGTTAGGAATCAACGGGTGCGATACTCCAATACAAGAGAAAATGGGAATCAAAGATTCCCATTTACTATTTTACTCTGATACTTTGGCAGCTGGAGACAGAGAAAATGATCCTGTTTTAGTGGATATTTTGGTTCGAATTTTAATATTTTTTACAATTTTATTAAAAAGGTTCACAATTCTGCTCAATCTGTTCAATTTCTCATTGATAATGGTGTTAATCTTTCGGATGTTAATCTCTGTGGCGGTCATTCTGTGCCACGAACACATTGGTAATTTTTAGTGATACATAATATCTTTTACTCAATTTTCAATTGCTTTCTTTCAGGTTATTATCACCCAAAGAGGGTAGACCTTTGCCAGTTGGTGTTGCAATAATTCGGGCATTAAAGGCAAAACTTGAGGAATGGCGTGATCCAGAAAAGTTTAATGAAAAAGAACCACGTTTAAAAATTAAATTAAATCGGCGAGTTCTTGGTTTGGTTACTTGGAATGATTTTGTGACAGGTGTTAGAGTTCTTGGTGATAATGGACAAATAGGCAAATTATTTTTAATTAATAACTACTAGGATTTCTATTAATTTACTTAAATAATAGAAGAAATCGCTGGAAAAGCTGTAATCTTAACCACGGGCGGATTTAGCGCTGATCGAGAGAAGGATAAGACATCTTTACTTTTGGAATTTGCTCCTTCACTTCTGTCATACCCTACAACGAATGGAGGGTTTGCTACTGGCGATGGAGTCAAAATGGCACGGGCTATGGGTGCTGGGCTTGTTGGAATGGATAAAATACAGGTTGGGGATTGAAATGGTTTAAAAATCCTAATTACGAATAATTTAATTTCCAGGTACACCCAACTGCATTTATTGATTCCAAAGATCCTGGGGCTACAACCAAATTTTTAGCTGCAGAGGCTTTACGTGGCAAAGGCGCAATACTTGTAGAAATATTTTTTGTTTTGTTTTTAATTTTTATTTAGATTAATCATGAAGGAAAACGGTTCGGAAATGAGTTGGGACGGAGAGATGAACTTACAAAACTCATCATTCAAGTGAGGGAATTTTAAAACTAGCTATTAATTAATAAAATAACATTTTCTTTTAATATTTTAATATGAAGTTTTGGTTAATTTTTTTCAATTTTTAGCATTGTGCTCGTCAAAAAGAAGCAGGTGATATGCCTATAGCTTGGATGTTGATGAATAAAGAATCTGCCGAATCTTTTGGAATGCCTGCTTTTAATTTTTATTCCAAAGTATTTTTAATTAAATGTTTTTCTTTAAAAAATATTTAAAATTTAGATTAAAGGCTTTTTTAAAGAACTACCAAATATTAACAGTCTCGCTACTGAACTTAATGCTTTTGAAGATGATTTAATTCAAACAATTAATGATTACAATAATTATGCAGAGAAACGAAATGTTGATAAAAACTTTAAAGATCCTTTTGGAAAAAGTTGGAAAATATAAATATTTTATTAATTTTTTTAATTTTAGGTGTTTTCCCTGTTAAATTTAACACAAATGAATCTTTCTTTGTGGCGAGAATAGCACCGTTAGTTTTTAAGGAATTTAGTATAGTTAAACATTTATTTTTCAGGGCAATTCACTACACTATGGGTGGATTACAAATTGACAAAAACGTTTATTTTACAAAATATAAATACAAAAATAATCTTTATTTTTAGGCATTTGTGTTTAGTGAATTTTTATCAAAACCATTCCAAGGTCTTTTGGCTGCTGGTGAAGTTACTGGGGGTGTACATGGTGCAAATCGTTTGGCTGGAAATTCTCTTCTTGAATGTGTTGTTTTTGGTCGTATTGCAGGGAAATCTGCTGCTGCTATAGATTATCAAGTTGGTTTTTAATATCAAAATAAAAGAATTGATCAGATAAAATCCTGAAAGTTAATTAGTTATTAATATTTTTAATTAAGTCGGCTCTTTTGGGCAAAACTAGTTCTGGAATAGGTGCAGATGCGCAGACAAACGAAGAAAGGCAAGAACTTTGACATTAAAAAGTATAATATTTGTTAATTTATTAAAAAAATTGTATATTTTTCAAAAATATTTTTAGTAAAAATTTGCTTAAAATATTATTTTAAGAAAAAGTTTGTGTAAATATTAAAAAGTATTTTTTAAAAGAAATAAGGAAATGAAAGAGGTATTTTTATTTTTTTCTTAATCCTGCTGATTTAAGGATAAACAAAAACTAATGATTCACTTTTTTAATAAAAATAAAATTTTATTTGGTAAAAGAAAGTATATTTTTATTTAACTAACAAAAAATGCCTTCTCATCAATTTATTGCCCAAAGTTGTTATTCAGCAGTAATGGCAGCAACTTTGCTTTTTACACTTATTTCAATGTTAACTCCTGGTATTTTAATTCAAAAATAAAAAATTTTTTTAAATTTATTTAAAGGTTGGCATTCAATAATTAAAGGAAACCAAATTGGAGAATATGATAATTCGAAAACAATTAATTCTGGTATTTTTATTTGTGAGACCGAAGGAATGTCTGAATGTATGGCGGTAAATAATAAATTAATTATTTTAAATTTTATTTTAAAATTTTGACAGAAACGAAGCACTGTAGATACTTTAATTGGTGTTTTCTTAATTATGGCTGTTTTACTTGAATTAATTGCTTTGGGATGGGCAATTGCTTCTTTTATTTTTGCTGATAAAGGGGAAGGGGCATCGAAAGGAAAATTAATTTTATTTGCTCCTTTACTTGTCTTCTCTTTTTTAATTTGTGGATTGTTTTTACTTATTATTCTTTTGTTTTCGCTTAAACAAAATGGACAAATTGGATTTGGTAAATTTTTTAAAAAAATATTACCTAGCAAAGGAACATTTCGAACTGTCATCAAAAATTTTTATACTTTTTTGCACTATCTGTTGTCCAATAACTAAATGGACTCTACTCTATTTATACGATAGAGCAAAAAAGTACAAAATTTTTGGTATAAGTTCTAGAGAAAATTAATTTTCTAAATATTACATAGCTATTAAAGAAAATAACTTTCATTTATGCATTTCTAATTTATTCCCTTTAAATCCTAGTTTCAATTTTCTCTAAATTAAAGTAAATATTTATGGGAGAATACTTAGGGTCCTTAACATTTATTATCTAGCTTAAATCCTAAAATATTTCCAGATCTAAATATGAGCGTTGCAATGGGAGCAAATGTTGGATATTCTTTTTTTATTTGCTGTTTTGCATTTATATTAGCAATTTGTTCTGTACCTGCAGGGTTGTTTTTAACATTCTTAAAAGAAAATACTTGAATGGAGAAATAATAAAATTATTATTAACTTTCTTATTACAATATTTTACAAATTTTTTCAATTATTCTTCTAATAAATTTAAATAAGATATTTTGAAATCTTTTTTTTTTATAAATTATTAAGTTGTTTATTTACAACATAAAATATTTATTCAATTAATGTTAAATTATACAAAAATTGTAACAAAACAAGTGTCTGCTGGTTTTTTTCCTTATCTCATTTTTCTTTGATACAATGTTTATTTGTTTAACAAAATTATAGAGTATATTTATTGACTTTCTTTGTTGAATTAATTTTTATCCAAATTATTCCTTATTTTTAAAGTAAATGCCATTCTTTAATTTTCTTGATATTTTAATTATTATTAGGTACAGTATTTTAATTATATTTTTAGATTTCCTCCAATAAAAATATTTTGAATGGGCACACAAGGTTATGGGAATTATACTACACGTTCTTCATCAACTTCCTCTGACATGCCAGAAATGGAATCAGTCATTGGATTGGGAGAAACAGAAAATGAGCGGACATTAAGGATTATCAATTCTCGTCGAAAACCTGTATTTTTCTTTTTTTTTAATATTTTTTCAAAAAATTTAAAGGTTTCTTTATGCAGTGTTGCCCCTTCTCTTGTAATTTCTTGGCATTCAATTACAGCAAAACCTCGACTCGAAAAAAGCATTTTCCCTTCATTTGTCTCCAATATTTATTCAAAATTTTCTTCAAGTTTTGATGATATTGAAAGTGGAACACCTCCAATATTATATGGAAAAAAATTAATTTTAAATAATGGTTAGTATTTTATAATTAAATTTAAAAATATATTTTGTTTTAAAATAGTTTTTGGTGTTGCTTATCCTGGAGAAGTTCTTGCCTTAATGGGAGCTAGTTAAGTTTTTTTTAAATTTTAGGGTTTGAACTTTATTTTTTATTTTTAGTGGTGCTGGTAAAACTTCTCTTTTAAATATCTTAACTCAACGAAATCTTTCTTCTCTTCGTATTTCTGGCCAAATACGTATAAATGGTGTAGATGTTGGGAAAAATGTTTTACGTAAAATTTCTGCTTATGTACAACAAGAAGACCTTTTTATTGGTTCTATGACTGTTATTGAACATTTAAGATTTATGGTTATTTGTTTATAAAAATATTTTTATTAAAAATTTTCTTAAAAAGGCTATAATGAGAATGGGAAGACATTATTCTGCAAGAGAACGTGAACGGCGAGTACAGGGAGTTATTGCAGAACTTGGACTTAAAAATTGTGCAAATACGCTTATTGGTTGGCCTAATAGATTGAAAGGGTTATCTGGGGGAGAAAGGAAACGATTGGCTTTTGCTTCAGAGGTAAGTAAAATTTTCTAAATCATTTTAAGAAACTCTATTCACCCTCCATGATTTTTATTACTCATTCTCTACTATAAAAATAATTTATTAATCCTTCAAACTTTGAACTATTTTCTCGTTTCTTTTTTTTTGCTACAGAATTATTTTATAAAATTTCTATTAAGATAATGACGGGACCTCCAATTTTGTTTTGTGATGAGCCAACATCTGGTTTAGACTCTTATTTAGCTAAACAAGTCATTCAAGTGCTTAAAGATTTGGCAAGACGAAAAAACATGACAATAAGTCTTTAAAAAACAAAAATATTTATTTAAAAAAATTCTTTTAAAGTTGTTACAATTCACCAACCAAGTTCACAATTATTTGAAATGTTTGATAAAATATGTCTTTTGGCTGAAGGTAAATTAGCATTTCTTGGAACGACTGCTGAGGCTATTCCTTTCTTTGAAAGGTTTTTTTAAATATATAATTTTATTTAAAATAATTAAAGTTTGGGACATACTCTTCCTGACAATTTTAATCCTGCTGACTTTTTTATTGGAGTTCTAGCTGATGCCGCTAAAGCAAAACGATCTAGAGGAAGAATACATTCAAAAGTCAATGTTAGTTTGGTTTTTTTAAATTTTCTTTTCTTTTTTTTGTTCACTCATTCTCTTCCTAGTAACTGTAAATATAAATCTACCATTAAGGCTCTTATTATGTCTTTTTACCAATTAAAAATATATTTTGAGTGATTAATTAAAGAGAATTAGTGTTTAATATAAAACTTCAAAAATTTTATTTTTAAAAAATAATTTAAGAAAATTTGTTCAGCATTTACTCAGAGTGACACAGGAAAACAATTAATGCACGAATTATCAAGTAATACTAGCAGTGAAGGTTCTTCTCCCCCAATAAATACAGAAATAATTAAAGAAAATAATTTAAATGGAAATAATGAGGTTTTACAAACTTTTGATATTTTTACAGACGAAAGTGCTTTTTCTACGCCAGAATCCGTTGAAGAAGTAATGGAAGATAATGAAGAAGGAAATGAAGGGGTTCCTTTATTTGTAACAACATCGAAAACAGACAAATTAGAATTGTATACAAAATCGAAGACAATGCAAAGATATAAATCAACGTTAGTAATAATATTCGGGGATTTTTTGGGAATGAAATGGTTTGGTAGTGGGCAAGGGCATATCCAAGATGGTTGAGGGGGCTATATCCCCCCCCCCCCTGAAATGGGGAAAGGGAAAAATACTGGGAGAAGGATGACCGACAAAGCTACGCCCTTGGTAGTGGTAGTTTTAGAGGGATTAAGGGATGGGGGGAGTGAAGAAGCTTTTTTGAAATTTTTAATGAAAGCGAAGGAAAAACTTTTTATATCTACTATATTTCTGGGGATATTTGTTTAAAAATAATTTTTTTTTAATTTTTAGTTGGTTACAACAATTTCGAGCACTTCTTAGACGCTCATTTTTTGTTACTTTACGTGAACCTATGCTTCTAAAAGTTAAATTATTCCAAACTTTATTGATAAGCATAATTCTCGGAACAATTTATTTTCAAACTCCAATACGGCAAACAACAGTTATGAATATTAATGGATTAATTTTTCAGTCAATTGCAAATATGAATTTTATGTAAATTAAATAAAATAAATGTTTAGTAAATTTATTTTTTAATTTTCTAAAAAGGTTTCAATTTGCTGCTGTTCATGTTTGTTTTTTTTTAAATATTTTTATTTATAATTACCGTGGGTATAACGAAAAGAGTTTATTAAAATATTTTTAAAAAGAAAATATTTTGATTTTTTTGAAAAATTTTTGGGAAATATACTAATTTTTGTATAATTTCTTTCTTATTTAAAAGATTTTCTGCGATGAATTGCCTATTTTTATGCGTGAACATTTATCAAGTTTATATAGAGTGGATACTTATTTTATTGCAAAAAATATTGCTGAGTTAATTCAATATATTATTTATCCTTTTGTTTTCTCTTCAATTGTTTATTGGATGTCTGGTAAATTATTTTTTAAAAGTTTAATAATTTTTTTTCTTTTAAAAAAAGGTTTTGTTCACAATTCCTTAGCCTATGCCTCTTTTGTTGCCAGCTGTGTTTGTGTTACAAATGTGGCTATTTCACTTTCTTACGCGGCTTCTTGTATTTTTGGGACAACAGATTTAGCTTTAGCAATGCTTCCTGTAGTTGTTATTCCTTTACTTGCCTTCGGGGGATTTTATATTAATCAAGTAATTTTTAGAGAATTTTTTAAAAGAATATTTTATTTTTGTAGCAATCTTTGCCTTCTTATTTTTATCCAATTAAATTTATTTCTTATTTTGGTTATGCATTTGAAAGTGCTGCAATAAGTCAATGGACACGTGTAAACACAATATCTGGTATTTATTATTTTATTTAAAATTTTAATTTGATTAAAGTGATTATTTTACATAATTAAAACCCCTTTTTATTTTCAACAAATATTTTTAAATTCTAATTTTTTAAAAGGTTGTAATCAAACAACAATAAATATGACAGAATATAATACTTGTTATTTAAATGGAATGGATGTTCTTGACTCTTTGGGATTTGATCCAGAAAATATTATTTTTGACTATACAGCTTTAATTTCAATGATTTTAGGTATTTTAGTTAAATAAAAAGGGGACTTTTTTTTAATTAAAAGGGCTTCGACTTGTTGCATTTTTTGCACTTTGGTTGAGAGCTGTTACAAAGAAATAGAGACTATTTAATTAATTTTTAAATTTTAATAATATTTTAATTTAAAATATTTTTATTCCTACTTTTTTTTATTTTTTTGTGAATATATAAAAATAAATTCAAAAAATATAAGGAACGATGACGGAATATTTTTAAATAAGAGTCATTTTTGATAATTTTAAAATTTTTGTTTTTTAACCTTAAAAATAAAATTATTTAAGGTTAAAAATATTTTTTGGCCGCGTCAGACGACGAAATTTTTTACGAAGGCGGTGTAAAGAATATTTTTTCGAGAACAACGAATAAATACAAAAAGCGGCGAGAACAAAAGAAAATTAAATAAAAATATTTTTTTACAAAAAACCGGTCCATTCATTTTTATTTTTTACGCCCTTGACCGCAACGTAATACTAAAATATAAATTGATTTTTCCGTGCTTGAATGATTTAAAATACGCGCATATTTATTTTTTATATAAAAATGTTTTGTGGTGTTTTTTCACTGTATAAGCAGGAAAATGTCGATCGAGAATATAAATCTACGTTTATTTATTTATTTATTCAGTTTTCACCTTTAAAATAAAATATTTTAAATAAAAGTTTTTTTTTAAATTTATTAATAAAATATTTTTTTTCAAATTTAATTTTCTAAATGTTTTATTTCCATTTATTGACGTTAATACACGTATTTAAAATCAATTTAAATCTATATCGGATTTTAATATTTCATTGAGAATTTAGAAATATTTATATTTTATTTATCTTTAAAATATTAAAAAATATTTCTTAAATTTTATTACAAACTTTATTAACTCAAAACTTTTAAATACATATAATTTATCTTAATACTGAAATTATTTGACTAATAACCAACCATTTTTTCTTCTTTTAAAAACACCAACCAACCACTTCAAACAATCGTTGACACTTATATTTTTGTAAAAATGTAAAGGGGAAAGAATGATTGCTTAAAAATTAAACTGTCAACCGTTTCAGTTCTCAAAAAAGCCTTTTACTAAAATTTTTAAATGTTAGATTGTTAGTAATATCTAGGAAATTTTTAAATATTTTTTTCTTGTTATTTTGTGGCGCTGGTCTAGTTTATGCCTCCAATGAAAGGTGTATGAGTCCAATGAAAAGTGTATTCCTCAAGGGCTAACCCCTAGAATTTAACTGTTACTCAAACAGGGAATCTGATACACAATCATTCAATACATGCTGAAAGATTATTATGCTATTATTATGAAAACAGCGAAACACACATATATTGATACAGATACTTTGGTAATATTTCTTTTTCGGTACCATGGAGGTGTCTGAGACTAGTTTTAAGTGTCCAATCACTTGTCAGTGATGGGATGGTTGGACCATGTTGACTCAATTCCCTGACTATCTACCAAATGATCTGCAGGATTCACAAAATTAACTTTGTAATCAACTCATCGGTGATTATACATAATTGAAGATTATTAATACCACCATTAAGTGGAACATCCCATCACTGACAATAGTGATTGGACTCATAAACTTTTATTGGAAGCATAAACTATGTAGACCAGAGCCTGGCTAATTTTACTTTAACTTTTTTAGATAAAGTTTTTGATTATTCTTTAAATTATTTAAATGTGTATTTCCCGAATTGGACAAATAATTTATGGAGGGTTAACTGGTATTACTATTGCGCTTATTTGTGCATCAATGTTCACTCCAGGTACAAAAAACTTTTTAAACAATTATTACAGAAATCGGTTAATTACTAAATTAACCTCCAATTAATTTTTAAAAATTTTTTTATTTTGTCAATTTAAAGGTTGGCGCCGTTTAACTCTCCATGTTAACGACTCCTTTAATTCTCTCAAAGAAGGCAATCCCTCTGCTATGCAAAATATAACAAATATGAATTTTGGAATTTTTCTTTGTCAAATACCCAATCCCCAACAACAATCATCTTCCCCAAATTCTTTGCCTTTATCTGACAATAATTCACCAAAAGAAGAAAATGAGGATTCTTGGAAAAAATCTTTAAATTATTGTGAGCAGTGGTTTAAGGTGTGGTGAAGGGGGAATAAGTGAGGGAGTGAAGGGGGGAACTTGTTAATTAAAGGGGAATATTTCTCTAAGGAAAATTTAGCGTATAAATAATTTTTGTATAAATTTTTTTTCAAAAATTAATTAAAAATTATTTCTTTTAAAGTTACGTTCTGATTGGGAAAAAGTTGTAATTATTGCGATGATTTTGGCTTTTTTACTTTCATTAATAGCTTTTATTTTGAATTTCTTTTCTTTCTGTTCTTGTGCTTGTCGACTTTCTATTTTAATGAGACCACTTCCTTTACTTGCTGGATTGACTTTTATTTGTTTGGTTGTTGGGCTTGGATTGTTTTGGATTAAAAATCAAGATTATATTGGTCGGTAAGGGGAAGGGAGGGGAAGGGGAAGGGGGTGAAGGAGGGGGGAGGGGAGTAGGGAGTAATGGATAATTTAATAAAATTATTTCTTTTTAAAGCTCAAATAAAAATAAAAGTTAATGACTTGGATATTGACTCTTTAAAATCTTCAGCTGTTGATGTAATTAAATTTGTTAATAATTTGGATGAGGTATTTACAAATTAATTCACAAAATTCTCTTTTTTGTTTAGAAAACAACAAAAGGAGGAAATAAAGACAATCAAGGAAATGTTGATAATAAAGTTTCTTATTCATTTTATTTGGGTTGTGGGGCTGCTGTTGCAGCGTTTGCAAATATTGTTGTTGGGTCTTTAATTGTTTGTTTTGCTTGAAAAGAAAATATTTTTGAAGGAAGAAAAGAGAGAATTTTTAAATAAATTATTTAAATGCATTTTAATTTTAATTAATTAAATTTTAAGAAAGGGTTTGTAAATTTAAAAAACAAATTGTTTTTCTTAATTTAAAAAAATATTTACAAGCCCTTTTCTTAATTTTTAAATTAATTTGTAATTAATTTTATAATTTTAATTTTTTTATTTACCGGTGTATTTGTAGACTTTTAAAAGTGGACTTTTTTATATAATGACCATTTAAATATTCGGGTTTTTAATTAAATAAATATTTTAATTTTTGGAATGATTGTTTCATTATTGTAGAAGAAATATGTCAAAAAATTAATTAATTTTAATTAAATTTAAAAACAATTAATTACCTAAAATTCTCTAATTAAAGCAAATACTTCTATTTTTCGATCCTCTCGTAAAGTGTGCTTCTATTAGAGAATTTACTGTATAAATAAAAATTATTTTTTACTTTTTTTCATTTATTGCGCAAGAAAAAAATATTTAAACAATTGTCTATTTAGTAATTCTCTTTATTTGTCCTCTTTACAATATTTGCGCGAATTTATTTGACCTTTTTGAAAAAATATTTCTCTTCTTTATACACTTTACTTTTTTAAACAAAAATATTTTTTAATAAAATATAAACAAATTGATTATTTATTATATTTTTTAAATATTTTAAAAACAAAAAATTTAAATTTTTATCAAAAATTTACTTTCAATTTTTAATTTAAAAAAGTGTCCCCCCAAAAAATTATTTTTTGTTTAAAAAGCTTTTAGGATTGGAGTGATGGCTAAACACGACCTTTTTTAAGAGAGAGAGGTTTGTAGTGGCAAAGAGAACATCTGCCATTCATTCAAATTGTTTGAATGATAGAAGCAATTAAATAAATATTTTTTGAGTGAGGAAAAAATTGGAATGGTTTAGAGAGAGGGAGAGGGTTTTGTAATTGGTGGGAATTGATTATTAATTTTTTTTGAAAAATTAATTCAATTTAATTTTTTGTTATATAAATTAAATCCAAAACATTAATTCCCATCTCTTTATCCCTCTAAAAATTTTCTTGAAGCTTAAAACTTATTAATTTTTCCCAGATTAATTTTCCTTATATTTTTTGCCTCGGAATGGTCAAATTTCCTTCTTTATAAATGTTGATTTTTGCCGTTGCCAACTATTTTTTCCTTCCTAATTTTCTTATAATGTTTGGGGGAAATAAATAAATGATTGACAATAAAAAAACGGAAGTTAATCTGAGGCCCAATTAGGGAGAGGCTGGATATTAATTAAGTTCCCCTCTTTTAAATATAAATTTAAAATTCAATTTTATTTAGAGAAAAAAATTTAAAAAAATTATTTAATGTTAGCTAAATAAATAAAAAATTTTAAATAAAAATTTTTTTATTTAATACTTATTTACCTCCTTTCTCTCTACCACCATCCATTAAATTAATTTATCTTTCATTATTTTATTAAAATATCCACATTTCATTTAATTTAATATTTAAGGAGAAATTTTAAAAATGATTAAATTCCTTGAAATTTTAATTTTATTTTTTAATTTATTTTCCTTAATTTATTCTGAAAGTGGAGGAGATACTAAAGAATGTTTAGAAAAGGTCGGAAAATATTAATTAAATATTTAGAGGGACTTTCCAAACTAAGGAAACGGGATTTGAGGTTTGATTTAAAGAGAGGGAGGGAGGGAGAAAGTTTTTGTTTTTGTATTTCGACTCTAAATATTCAAAACAAATTTAATTTATTTTCAATTATTTTTAGGTAAATAAAGGTGATTGTGGAGCTTTTATTTCCTGTTGTAATTCAAAATGCGGTCCAAACCAAAATCAAAACCACAAATGTTTTGCTTTTATGGATGAAATTCAAAAAGACCAAACTTTTTGTTTTTGGTTAATTTTTTGAAAAAAAATAATTAAAAATAATTTCAATTCACAATTTATAGTTCAACCCCAACAATAAATAACAACCCTCCTCCTTCCCCTCCTTCCCAATCCCAACAAAATCAACAATCTTTTAATAAATTATTTGACGATTCTTTTCCATCAAAATCTTTATTTTCTTTAAATAATGAAGGTATTTAATTAAATTAAAAGAATTTAAAATTCAAAATATTTTTAAGATTTATTTGATATATTTTAAATACTTTATAATTAGATAATTCAAAATCTTCCTCTTCCTCCTCTTCTTCTTCATCATCTCTTCCTTCCTTCTTTAATAATAATTTATGGAAATCCCCTTCTTCACTTTTTGGATTTTCTTCAATTCCTTCCCCTTCAAATAATCTTCAACAACAACAAAATAATAATAATTTATTTAATTCTTCATTTTTCACTAAAACAACTGAAAAACAATTTGGGTTTGTAGTTACTTTTTGATTGAAAAAAAAAATTTAATTAATTAAAGTAATCAACAACAACCCCAAAATAACCCCTCTCCATCCTCTCCTCGTCCAAAACCGGGAAATCCCTCAGATGGAAGACATTTATTTTTAACTTCAACCCAAACTTCTTCGGCTATTGGATTAAAAAGAATAATAAATAAAAAGGACGGGGACAGTTTAATTGGACGAAAAATGGATTTTGTTGGGGGAATTATTCTTTTATTTGTTTTTGATTTATTATTATTAAGTTTAACTATTTAATTTGGTAATTAATTGGGAATTAAGAATGTACAAAAATTAAATTGGGATTGAAAAAATATATAAATACCTATATTCTATTCTAGTCTTTACTTTTTAAATATTATAGGCATTATTTTTGGAAATAATAATTAGTTGTGTTTACTTTTTATTATTTTTACTTTAGGTTTTGATTAACTGACCGAAAACCATTCAAAAAATTCAAAAACACAATGAACGTAGGTATTAAACAATAAGGGAGATTTTTTCGGTAATAAGGGAGATTATAGCAAAGGACTTACTAAACACAACTATTAATTAACCCCTTATTCTTTCTATTTCACTTCGGTTTATTTATACTTTGGAATTTCTAAATAAATTATTATATATGGCTTTTATTTTATAATAAAAAAGAATTTACATAAATATTTAATTATTTAATTGTGCAATCATTAAACGAATAAAAACAACAAAAAGAAAAATAACCAAAATTCTAGCCAAAATAGATAAAAACAAATCCCTCAATCTGTCAGCTCTATAAGTTGGCGAAATTGAAGAATTTTCAACATCATTATTTTGGTTATATGGAAATATTAATTGAGTTCTTCCAACATCTTTTAGAAAAATAAATGTAGAAAAAGGGGGAAAAGATTTAAATGGATTTTCGATTAAATTTAAAGGAAATTTAAAATATTTTTAATAATTAGTAGAGTTAAACCCGGACCGATCCGGGTCGGGATTCGGTAGTCCCGATCCAGGTATTTTGATAAAAATAGGGATTTTCCCGAAACGGGATCCGGCATTACCCAAACTTTCAACTTTAATAATTAATTTAATTTACTATTATTATTTCTTTGATTGCTACTACAACAATTATTATTTAAACGAGAATTACAAGACAAATTATGTCTAGTATTTTGTTGTTGTTGTTGTTGTGATGTTCTTGTATTTTGTCTTGGTGTTGATGTATTTAATTCTCTTCCTCTTCCAGAATAACTTGGAGGAGGAGTATCTTTAAAATTAAAAAAAAATAATTATTTTTTTAAAAGGAACAAACAAACATTGAGTAATTGAAAATATTTGTTGTTGTGGTTGGTTAGTAGAAGATGAAGAAGATAATGATGAAATTGCTTCTGAATAACTTGGTGGAGGACCTAGAAGCATTTTATTTTTGTTAAAAATAAATAAATAAACTGAAAATAAAATAAAAATAATTAATTTTAATTAAAAAATAAATTTAAGTTAACAAACTCTCTATAATAATTAAATAATTCAACAAAAATAAATTTAATTTTCTTTAATTTCAAATTTAGTTTTTTGTATGAATCGAATAATTATGTATATATTTTCTCATAAAATTTATACAAAAAATTAATATGTACTTTCTAAATGATTTAGGTGGCAATAAAAGGGAAAATAGATAATTTAGGGAATATAGAAATTAATTAAACAAGATAAGATGACAAAAATATTTTTTAATTTTATTAATTAATTAATGCACGAATATTTTATTTAAAAAAACTTAAATATTTTTAATTAACAATTTTTATTTTAAATTAAAATAGTAACTAAATGTATTGATCTTCTCCTTTTTTTTATTTTTAAGGTTTACTCACCCAAAGATGGTATGATGATGATTACCACAAAAATATATGAGAAATAAAATTGAAAAGTAGGGGGGGGGGAAATAAACGTTTAAGAATGAGGGAAAAATGAAAATTGGGTTGTATTTTTAAATAAATAAATAATTAAAAAGTTAATGTTTAAATTTTGTTTTTTAATAATTTCTCAAAATTCAAAAAATCCTTTTATTACTAATTTTAAATTTTTCAAATTATTTATAAAAAAATACAAATAATAACTACATAAATATAAAAATATTTTGTTAGTAAATTAAAGAAAAAAGAGGAACGCACAAACAAACATTACGGAAAAATTGAATGTACGCCTAGGCATTAAAAGAATTTTTTGATAGAAAATTATTGGTAAAGAATATATATTTATTTATTTATTTATTTAAGTGATTGGGTGTTAGTAAATGACGAGAATATTTAAAATAAATTATTTGGAATATAAAAAAATAAAAAGACGAGAAAAGTAAAGTTTAGTTGGAGGAGGGTTTTCACTTTATTTGTTAATTTCCGTTTAATGTAAAAACTTTAAAATAATAAAATAGTTTAATAATTAAATAGAAATACGAAAAAATCAAACGAAAAAAATTTTTTTTAATTGTAAAATAATCTAAAAGAAAAAATCTGAGAATTATTTTAATTTTTTTCGGCTGTTTCCTCGTTTATTAAATTTTAATTTAATAAATTAATTTTTGAATGAAGATCCAATAAAAATTTTCTTTTTAGTTTTGCATAAAAAGTGACTAATAATTAAATAAATAATATATTTAATTTATATTAACTTTTTCTCAATGAGTCAAGAAAAAAGAAAATTTAAATTAAATAAAAAATAAAATGAATAATATTTTTTAAATGGTAATACATATAAATAAATAAACGATTTAAAAAAATATTTAATCATTTTACATTTATTTTTTTCAATTTAAAACACAAAAAAGAAATTAATTATTTTTAATTTTTAAATGTTTAATGAAGAAGAGGAAGAGGAGGAAGAATATGAAGAAAATGAAGAGAATAATAATTATCGTTATTTTCGACGTTTTTGGAGAATTAAAAGAGAATTTGAACAACAAAATTATATACAAACATTTAATAATAATAATAACCAAATACCTTCAATATCTGCAATAATTAATTTAAATGGAGGTTAATTTTTATTTAAAAAATAATTATTATTTTTTTATAAAGTTCCTCAACAACAAACATTCCCTCCTCCCTTTCCACCTCCTCCTCTTTCTCACCAATTTTTGCCTACATTCCCTCAATATCCCCAACAACAATTTATTCCACAATCTCCCTCAGACAGTCAAAGTATTCAAATGCAATTAAGTAATGAATCAACAACTGATAGTAATAATTCATTTAAAAATAATAATGAATTTGGAAGGAAAAAAAGAAGAATAAATAGTTAAATTAATTAATTAAATTAAAAAAACAAATTTTTTTTTAATTAGAAAATCATCAATTCCAAAATTCCCCAATATTTAAATCATCACAACAACAACAATATCCATATTCTAATAATACCCTCCCTTGGCAAAAACAAAATTATTTTGTTAGTAATTTTTAAATTTAGATTTAAAAAATATCCTCTTTTAAAGCCAAATTCGAGATTTAACAAAAGAATATTGCATGAAAATAGATGGAAACAAAAAGTACCAAAAAATAATTTAATAAATAAGGAAAATAAACAAAATGTTGGAGAAAAAATATTAGGTAATTAGGTATCTTTAAAGAATATTTTTAATTTTTTAAATTTTAAAGTACCAAAACAAAATACTCAACAACAACAACAATATTCTTCTCCTTCTCCTCAACCAACTATCGAACAATTAAATAATCACAAATTAGAACAGAAAAAGAAAATCCGTTATAATAGAACTAATTTACTTTTAGGTGTAACAATTATTTGTATGTTATTTAGTGGAATTTGTTTTGTTATTATATTGTTACGAATTTAATAATAATTTATTTAAATATTAATTTTGGTAATATTGCATTATATGCCTCCATTTTATTTTTTATTCTTCTTTTTCCTTTCTCCGAAGTTTTCTAACGGCATGGACTCTATAGCGATAAGTACCTATCTTTGGTTATTTCGATAACTCTGGGTGAAGTTCGATAACTCTCTATTCCCAAAGATTTCATGGGAATACAGTGAACCTATTGCAAATAGAAGTGTGGTACACACAGACCAAGGGCTGGTGACTCTTGATCCGGTCTCTATTTTGGAAATTTCTTAAAGATATTTTTTCCCTTTCTGCCGGATAAAATTGTTTTATTTAATATATTTATTCAAAAAAAGAAAAGGCTTTGATAATTGTGAGATTTCAATTAGAGTTATTCTATAATAAAATAAAAGTAACCCTAAATTTACTGGCAAACAAAAGCTTGGAGTAAATTTTGTTTAAACAATTCAAACCGAAAAACTAAAAAAAGCTTTTTGTTCATAAGTGAGATTTAAAAAAATAAATTTGAGATTAAATAATTGAAGTATTATAGCGAAAAAAGAATTGTCAATTTAAAACCTTTTAAAGGTATTTTCTCTCATTCTAATGGTTAAGTGAATAAGGCAAGTTGAGGTTTTGACAAACAAATTTTCTTCATTTATATTACCAGATTTGAATATCCGTTCTCATATTCATCATCCAATTGCTCGAAAATATCAAAATTATCGTTTGCCTTCGAATCAGAATTATTCGGCCAATCATCTTCAAGTTTCTCAAACGACTCCTTCTCCAACAAACGAATGAATGTATCCTCATAGAGATCTATAAATAAATATTGTTTTTGGGGAAAACAAAATAGAATAGAAAAAGAGAGTCATTTAATACTTTCTAATTCAGAAAATAAAAAGAAAACCCCTACCAGGCTTCACATTTCCAAGATATGTGAAACGCATATCCGGATCTGGATTAACATATGTAGATGTTGCCTTCGTTTCCTTCGTTTGTTTCAATTTATTCTCATTGATGATTTTGCCATTTTTCTTCTCAGCCGTTTCGGTTTTCGAGTTGTTTTGCTTTTTTTCTCCTTCCATCTTTTTATTTCGCAAAGCCAAATCATTCTCCTCACCATCATCAGCACCAAAATCAATAGTACGTCCAACAGACTTTTGAGATTGTTTGACAATATTGATACTCCTTGGTGTGGATGTTGGTGTATTGTTCACAACGTTTATATTTAATTGACTAAGCATTTCTTAAATTAAAAAAATTTGCGTCTGTTTTCTGTAAAACACGAAAAATTTGTCTTAATATTAAATGAGAGCGAGGATTATAGTTGGAACCCTAAATAATATAAATCGTGTAGCTAGGACTTTGAATTTCTAGGACTCCGTATAACTACATAAAAATAATTATCTCCCAATAAAAGTATTAAAAATATGTACATAAACAAACCGGTGAATTGTTATAATAATTCCAAAGAAATTTTGAGTTGTAATATTATCTAAAAGTAAGTATAAAATTTAATCTTTTAAATTAAAATAAATATTAGATAATGAATTTAATAACAACAAAAATTTAAAAAATAAATAAAAATCTATCACAATTTATCACAAAAAATATAATTATTATTTATATATTAAAATCGCCAAAAACACAAAAAATATTAGATTCTTTAAAATTTAAATTTAAAAAAATTAATAAACAAATATTGCCCAAAACAAAAAATAAAAAAATGCAACAAAAAGTGAAAGTCGAAGCAAAAATCCAGTAAATGTGCCATTAACAGGAAAGGGTAATTGGTGAACCTAAATATTAAGTATTATTTATAAAAAAAATTAATTAAAAAACTAACAATAATTCTTTTATCAACACTAATTGAAATAATTGAAGTTCTCGAATTTGCACAAATTCCAGGTAAAAAACAATGTCCTTTTCTGTCATCTCCACCTCCAATACGTCCAAGATCTTTTGCATCATAAGTTCTTTGTGAAAAAAAAGATAAGGCTGTTACAAAGGAAGAATGAACAGAACGTAAAAATAATAATTGATTTAAAGTTTGAGTGTCGAAAATTCCAATACTTCCACTCATTGTGCCAATTCCAATAAATTTATTACATTCACTTAATTCAATACAAGATATTGCCTAAAATTATATAAAAATATTTTTAAAAATTATTTTTCATTTAAAAATTACTTCATTGCAGGCTTTCTTCCATTTAATAATTTTACAATTTAAATTTTCTTTATTAAAACACCACAAAGCAATACATGAAACTTCTTTTGAACTTCTAACTCTTTGATTATGGATTGTAATAAAAATTGAATGTTTTCCGCTTTTATCAAGTGAAGTAAAACGGAGAGAACGAACCTAAAAAAAATAACAATTATAACAAATTTAAAATTTTTTTAAATTTACTTTAAATTTTTTTGTATTTATTTCTTCTGGTCCATTATCTGTAGGGAGTGTTAATAAACGTGGTTCATCATCCTTATTCCTATTTAAACTCCATAAAATGGTTAATTGTCCCAAAACAGTTGCCAAAATTTTCCCGCAATCAGAAACATCAATTTCTTCAATTGACCCTTTTCCAGTTTCAATTTCTAATTCAGGCAAAAAATTATCCAAAATATTTGGAATATCAGTTGAAGAATATTTACTGCTATTTTCTAATAAATCTGCTGTAATAGACCAACAACGAACATATCCATCAGTTCCAGCTGTGACCATTTTTATTTGATTGGGAATGTCTTTCGTCCGAAATAATCGAACACATTTCTGTTTAAATAGACCATATTTGTATAAATAAATCGATAGAAAACAAAAATAAAGCTATAATTTTTTAATAAATCAAAACCTGATAAGAATCGCCGTCCAATCGTTTATCAGTCTCTATCCTAAACAAGCTATTGAAATTAAGTGATAATCCACCACCATTTGTTTCATCACCCAAACAAAAACCGGTCGTTTTATACAAAGTACAAAACTACAAAATAATTTTAGATTTAAAAAAACTTTTTAAAAAACCTTATCCTGCCCGACAGCCAAAAGATAACAGCCCTTTTCTGGTTGATTATTTAAAACAATACAATCTAAATTCATATTAGCAAAATCACAAGTATTAATACAACAATTTAAACGAGCAATCAATTTTTTTGGTGGCCCAATTGTTGTTAAAGATTTAAAATTAAATTCGTTTTCATATGTAAGAAGATAAAGCTGTAAAAAAATAAAAGAAAAAATAAATAGAAAAAAAAACTTCAAGTTTATTAAGAACTCCAGTTTTAGCACTTCCACCACCTCCTCCAATAATTACATGACGGCTGCCAAGTGTTTTAATACAATAAGCTGGTATTGAAGAATCTGCCGCAATTTCAGAAAATTTTTGTTGAGAAAACATTTTTAGTTTCTTAGTCAAACAAAACCAAAAAAAGAAAAATTAAAAGTTTTAAATAAAAAATAATTTAAAACACAACGCCAAATAAAAAAATAATAAGAGAATACAGAAAGAAGAGAGACGCTGAGAAAAAGTGGAGAATAATTTTTGATGACTTTCTTGAGTTATTAATTTTCACTTATCTTTATTGTTTCTATTCACTTTTTTTAAAGATTTTGCTTAAATATGAATTCTGATCCAAAATCTATGGATGAAGTTGGCCAATTAGGTATTCAACGTGAAGTGAAATCTAAGGTAAAATTTTATAAATTTTTAAATTTTCACTTTTTAATCCAATAAGGACAAACCTTCTTTCTTGAATTTCTCGCCTACAATCGCTGATCATCTCAAACAAACCGAACTTCTAGTTGGTCGAGCTTATGCCGAACACATGGCTCTGTATGTTTTTCTAGAAAAATTTTAGAATTTGGTGTCGTTTTACTTATTGTTAGTATATGTCAACCGATTCTTTCGAAAATTTGCATAATCTAATTTTTTTCCCTAAAATCAGCTAAGTCTCTCTGCGAGTTTTCTTCGTCTCCCGCAAAAAATTCTTGCATATTTGAACTTATTGTCGGCTCGGCGAGGGGAATTCCGATTTTTTGCACAACAGGCAAAAATATTGAAAATTTTAGAAGGTAAAGAAGCCTTACTAGCGCCGCAGGCGAAAATTTTGAGAATTTTTAGGTCAAGAAGTAAGATTTCTACCATTCTTTGCGCCGCAGCCAAAAATTTTGACTCTCATTGGAGTGAAATAGAAAGGGGTTTTGAACGATCTTTAAGGGTAACTTAAGAGTTTATTTCCACGATTATTTGGAAGATAAGCCAACAGCCTGTCAAATAACCTAGTAACCGCAGAGATAAGCAGTGTTGGGTATTGCTGGGGGCTTTTTCTTTGAGCCAGAGCCTAGCTTTGATTTTCAGTTGTTGTCATTGACCTTAAGTCCTTAGAATCTCTCCATTGGAGTTGTTGTCATTGACTTCCGATTTTTTGCACAATCGGAAAAGAGAGTGAAACAGAGAAAAATATTTTTACGTTCAATTTTGGTGAACTAGCCACATATCTCTTCATATCCCCTATGTAGTATTAACACACCCTATGCAACATTAGTCATCCATAGATCTCTCTTTATTACTGCAAATCCCTCGTTATCTCTTCAAATTCATAATCCTAGTAAATCACCGAAATCTGCTATACTACTACTCTACAGATTCTTTAATTTTCAGCGCCGCAGGCGAAAATTTTGAGGATTTTAGAGGATCCTTAAGCCAAAAAACTTCCCTTTTCAGCGCCGCAGGCGAAAATTTTGGGAATTTTAGAAGACCAAGAGGCCAGATTTCTTCATTTTTTATAAATAAAAATATAATTTTGTTAGAAAAATCCATCCTTAGGGGTGTAAAAATTTCCCGACTTAGTCGGGAATTGACACCGGGAGTCGGGATCGGGAGGCCAAAAACTCGGGAAATTTTCCCGAGTCGGGAGTCGGGATCGGGATACCCGAGCATCACTAATACATAGTGTTTATCACTCGGTGGACATATACTAAAGTACAGCCTAGAATTTTTAAAAAAAATTTTAGTTTGTTTTCTTCTGCTTCCCAAATATCTCGTGATCCGGATGGAAATGTTGGTTCAAATTTGCATATGGAATTATTTACCGGGATGGACGAACGAATTGGATTTTCATTTTTGACTCGCGATGATTAATTTTTTTGGTTGGTAGTAAAAAGTTATTCTTTTTTGTTAAATTCATTTCTGTCCTGATTTATAAATATTTGGATGTTTCGATAAAATTTGGGGGAATTTTATGATCCAGAAAATTTAAATTCTAAAACTCCCAGCAACGGTTTCTTCAACTCTAATGTCAAAAAAATTTTTTTTAAATGTGTACTTTAAATATTTTTTTACTGTACAAACTTTATGATTTTTACTTTATTCCGACTAAATTTATTTTAGCGATTAGAAAACTAATTTGAATAAATTTTATTTTTAAATATTTCAAAATTTATTCATTAAAAAATCCATTTTCTTTACAGCAATCATTAAATAAACATTTCATTCTATTTATAAGTTTTTCTCTTTTTGTTTCATCTCTTTCTTGTCCCAAGATATTTGCAATTAAAAATAATTGAAAACAACATTCATATTTTGAATGATAAATTGCTATTTCTTTAATTAATTTAAAAGATTTTAAATTTTTTTCTTCTTTTCCCAATTTTTTAATTATTTTATTAAATGATTTTTCATAAATTTGTAACCATTTAATTGAATTTAATCGGCGTAATTCAGCATCAACACAAATAAAAATAAGTCGAACAATATCGTTTATGCCTGTACCTATGTGGACTACTTGCCTTTTTTTTGTCAAATATTTTAGTCTAACAAAAATAATTATTACCAATCAAATAAAGCATCAAATTCTGAGCTGTCCTTATCCTCTGTTTTTTTAAAGAAAAAATTGTTTGTCCTAAAAATAATTTTTAAATCATCTCATCTCTAATTATAGTGGGCAAATATTGAATAAAATACTCAAAATTTTATTTGAGTACTCAATAGTTATCGAATAATTTATTGGCCCGAAAAGATTTTTATATTACACTTGCTGGCACGAAAAAATAAATTCCCAATTTCGGTAATCTGGACAGCAGAACATTCCATCACCCAGAGAGTCCATAGGGGATCTCTAGGTTGAATGTTTAACAAACCAAGTATCTCCATGTACAATAACTGGATCTAATCCAAATTCCTTATGTTGTTCTATTCTATAATTACCAAAATTTTCAAATAAATTTAAAAGTTTTTCTTCCTTTCCTTTAAACATTTCTGCTGTGTCTGGAGTAGAAAATATTCTTTCTTTTATTTTTAAACTTTTCTCGTCAATATCCAAATTTGGATGATTTTTAAAAGAATCAATTAATTTTGATGGAAGGCTTAAACTAAGGGCATGAAAATGTGCAATTGAAGAAATTGCTGATTCAACCTTTTACAAAAATATTTTTCTAAATTAATTTTAAATATTCTACTTGTTCATTATTAAGTCCATCAGCCAATTCTACTTGAAATAATTTTTGATTATTAAAACATAAATCCTCCATAAGTAAAAAATCCTTGGATTGTTCAGAATATTTAAAGGCATAAACTTGCGGTATTCGAAAATTTAAAGAAATTGGTGAATTTTGAATTAATGGCAAAACCTTTTTTAATTTAAATTTAAATTAAATATAAAAATAAATTAATTATAATTACTTCATCATAAAATCGACATTCTGATTTATGGACATGATTTATCCATTCAATTAAATCCTCACGCTGAAAATAGTAAATTTATTTTAAAAATTTTATTTTAATTGAATAAAATCAGAAATGTCTACTCATCCCTTAGGAAAGAATTGTTAGGATTACTGGACTTAAAAATAAAATTAAGTTTATTTTCTCACTCCTTTACTGTCATATTTTACTTCTCCATCCAATTTTTCCATTGTTGGTATCTAAAAATGAATTTAATTTTTTTTTCAAAAAATTATTTTACTTTAAAAATACAATTAAATTCTTCTTTTCTTTCATTTTTATTTAATTTAATTTTAATTCGAAATAATTTAGAAATAAATCCACCAATTCCCATTAAATTAACTTTAACACTTTCAATCTCATTAATTCCTTCTAAACCTAAAGGTTTTTGTTTTGATTTAATTAAATTATCCAAAATAAATTTAATTGTAAAATTTGGATTGGAAGAATCGATTTGTTGTTGAAAATTACTAATCATTTTTTTCTTTTAAATTTAAAAATAAATATATTTTTTGGAAAGGAAATATAACTAAAATAATAAATAAATGTATTATGTAGTACATACATTATATGTATATAAATATTAATTTTAAAAAAGTATTTCTTTTCTGTGTTCAATCATGTAAATGTAAATATTAAATAAAAAATTAGGGAAAAATTTTTAATATTTTACAATAAATAAATATTTACATAATTTAAAGGACTTATTTAAAAGCAAAAAAGGGGAAGAAATGAAAAATATTTGATTTTTTTGTAATTGATAAGAAGAATAAATTAATAATAATAATTTTAATTTGTCTAGATTTTTTAGATAAATTTTAATTTTAAATAATAAACAAAAAATTAAAAAAATATTCAATTAATTAATTAATTTTACAAAAATTATTTTTATTTCCTCCTCCTTCTTTTTTATTTAATAATAATTTATATTCTTTTCTAAATTCTTCAAAAAGAGTTTCAATTCTTTCTTGTAAATCTCTTTGATGTTTAAATGTTTTAGCTCCAGGAAAGACTGTTGTTAATATTAAAAATGAAATACTTAATTCGAAATGGCGCTGGAAATTTAAAATAAATTTTAATTTTAATTATTTAATTAAAAATTAAATTAACAAAAAAATTATTTTAAAAAAATTACTATTTTATAAAAAAATTACTTGTTCTGAATAAAGTAATATTCTCAATTCTTTTGAATAATTAATTGAAATACCCAATTTTTGACTTTCTTTTTGTAAATTATCAAAATATAAATTCTTTTTTTTTTTAAATTAATTATTTATTTTTACAACCACAAACACCTCTCTCTAATAAATACATTTTTGCCTCTTCACTAAGGTTGTCGGATCCGGATATTCGAAGATTTCCAACTATCCGCCAACCTTACTCCTCACATAATTATTTTTCCCTACATTTTTCTAAATTCGGCTCTGAGGGGTGATGATATATTTATTAGAGAGTACTTTCACTTTACTTACTATCCATTCCCAAAATTTTTCTTTTCTTAATTTGGAATTAACGCCAGTAAAAATTAAACGAAGAATGTCATTTAAACCTGTATCTAAATTAATTAATTCAAACAAATTTTTATTTTTTAATTTACTTGCATGGGGTGTTTGCCAATCTAAAATAGCAGAAAGTTTTTCATTTTTGTTTGAGAAAAATAAATTATTAGCCCAAAAATCTCCATGACAAAGAACTGGGGGAATACCTTTAAAAAAGAAATATTTTTTTATTTCTTTAAAAATCCCACCATATTTAGTATGTAAATCTGTCTTTAATTTGTTGTGCTTTTTTAAAAAGGCTAAAAGTATTTTTTGATGACAAAGAAAATAAGAGGATCCAATATTTAATACTCTATTTAAAATATCCTCTTCTATCCCTCTAATATCACCATAATGTTGTAAATTAAATTTTTTAATTATTTCTGAAGGTAAAAGCATTGAAGAAGCGTGTAATTTAGATAATTTAAGAATTGCTGATTTTATCTATAAAATTAAAAAAAAATTTATTTCATTAATAGTGACAGTCAGATATAAATTTTAGTTACACCCCAATTTTAGATTAATTTTTTTTTTAATTTGGGTGGCAATTGATAAGGAAAGAGGCTTTCCAAGGTGAATGTCAACGAAATCCGACTTGATTGGAAAGAAATACAGGCCACCGAATATTGAATGACCACGGGGCGATTTTTTGATACGGAGACCTTAGGTAAGGAGCTAAAACAAACTATCATAATTTGTCCAATCCAATCGGATTTCGTTGATTTTGATGTCATTCGCCTCAGCTCGCCGAAACGAATAAAATGGTATACTTATCGAAGGGTTTTAGAGTTGGCTACCGGCTAAAGTATATCCGAAACTGCTAGATATAAGAGTTTATTTAATTGCCTGTTCATTATTTAATCCTTCATAAATATCTGGAGATATTCCCTTGTAAGACATATCTTCAATTAAAACAAATCCTTTTTCTATCTGTATTTTATCTGGACTTCGGCGTAAAGCATAAAGTTTTGGTAAAATTTTAGCTAATTCTTTATCTTTTAAAAAATGAGGGAGTGCCTAAAAAATAAATATTTATTATTTTATTTTTCAATTATTTACTAATTCATAAAAATCAGCCTCAGCTTGACAAAATTCAAATATTATACTTGATACCTTTAAATTAAAATTATTTATTTATTTCCCCAAATAAATATAACGTTATCAAAAGCTTTAATTTCCCCAGGTCTAAATCTTTCTAATTTTTGTGTTGTTGTAACCTTTAATATTGCATTAAATTCCTCTTCATTTTCTTCTAATAAAATACAAATTTTAAAAGTATGGGACATTAATCCCTGGCCGTCAATTGGCAACGATTTTATTAATTTTATTTTTTTATTTTTTAATTTATTTAAAAATCCATTTGAATTAATTAATTGATTAATTAAAGTTTGGAATGAATGTTGAGTGCCCGGAATTAATTTTGTTAAATCTGAAGTTGTTAATGAAAGGAGGTCATCAGATTTTGGAAATGACATTCTTTTGTTGTTAATTTAAAATTAAAATATTTACACTAAATACATATATTGTTTAAAAATTTTTTTAAATTCATTTATTTTAAATCTTTTTTTTTTATCTTTTCAGAAAAAAATAGAAAGATAAGAAAAAAAGGCAAATAAATGATTTTATTAAATTTACGTATTTGTATTATGTACTAGTCAAAAATAATTATATATTTCCCTGTCTAACTAATTTAAACCAAAAAGAAGTTTGGTAATATTTTAGGGGTTGACAAACAAACAAATATTTTACTATTTATTACGAAGTTTCTTTTACAAAAAAGTTATTTAAAATATTTTTATCAAAAAATTAAATAACACAAAACAGACTACATATGTACATACTAGATTTGTTTATTTTTTAATTGTCAAATAAAAAATATATTTTAATTTAGGTAATTTTAAAGATTTATTTACATAAATGTCTTTAGAAGAAGAATTATTTCCAAAAATTCAATTTTCTTCTTCTTCTTCTGATTTATCAAAAATTTCTTTTTTATTTAAAGAAAATGGATTTGTTAAAATTGATGGAGTTTTTAGTAAACAAGAAGTTGAGGAAATGAAAAATGAAATGAAAAAAATAATTGAAGAATTTGAACCTTCAAAACATCCAAAAGCTATTTTTACTAGCAACGAACAAAAAGTTTTTTTTTTGAAAATTAAATTAAAATAATTTTTAAAAGCATGTTTCTGATAATTATTTCCTTGAAAGTGTTGACAAAATTAGTTTCTTTTACGAGGAAGGGGCAATCGATGAAAATACTGGAAAATTGGTTGTTGAAAAAGAAGAAGCTTTAAATAAAGTTGGACATGGTTGGGGATTTTTTGAATTAATTAAATCAAGAAATAATTTAAAATTAAAGCTCTTCATTGGATAAATCCAATATTTAGACATTTTACTTTTAATCAAAAAATTAAGGTTTTCTTTCTAAATATTTATTTTTTAAATATTTTTTAAAAGAAAATAATAAATTATTTATCAATATTAAAATCTCCAAAAATAGCCCAATCAATGTATATATTTAAACAAGCAAAAATTGGGGGGAATGTAAATGAACATGTAGATTCTACTTTTTTACATACAAAAGACCCTGAAAATTTAATTGGAATTTGGATTGCTTTAGATAATTCGAAAATAGAGAATGGATGCCTATATTTTGCTCCTAAATCTCATAAAGGTTTTTCAGAAAATACATTTTTCCTTCCAAAAATTATTTTTTAAAGATTTTGCTGAACAAACAAAAAATTACAAATTTGTTAGAAATCAACAAAATATTGCCAAAGATGAAGGGCCTTTTTTAGAATTTAAAGGAGAAAAACCTAAAATTAATAATTTAAAATATATACCAATTGAATGTGAAAGTGGTTGGTAATTAGTAATTAATTTAATACCCCCCCCCCTCCTAATTAAATTAAAATTAAATTTAATTACCCCCTCCCCCTCCAAAATTAATTAATTTAAATTAATTATTAAAAGGTTCTTTAATTTTAATTCACGGAAATGTTTTACACAAATCAGAAAAGAATACAAGTAATTATCAAAGAAATGTTTATGCTTTTCATTTAATTGATTTGGAAGAAAATGAAGAATGGGAAAATACAAATTGGTTACAAGAAAATAAAAAATATAAATTTCCGGAATTATTTAAAAATTGAAAAAATTGTTTTGAGAGAAATAAAAATTGAGAGAGAAAATTTAATTATAAACAACAACAAATATCCCCTCCTCCCCCACAATCAACATTTCCACAATCACACCCAGAATTTGTATTAGAAGCTAATGAACAACAACAAAAAATATGTCCCAAACATTCCATACAATCTGTTGGAAGACAATTATTATCACAACAATCAACTGAAATATAAAAATTAATTTTTTGTAATTATTTTTTAAATAAAAATTCTATTCTTAAAAAATTATTAAGATTATTAATTTTTTAATTATTAAATTTATTTTAATTTAAAAAATTTCTAACCACATCCACAATCACCACAAAAACAACCATTTAAAGGACCAGAATCATTATTCTTTTTTCTTTTCTCATTTTGTTCATCATTTAATTGTTCGGCATATCCCGTTAATTGAGGTTGTTCTGTAATGCATTGTTGTTGTTGTTGTGACATTTAAATATTTTTTTTGTTGAAATATTTTAAAATTTAAAGAGGTAATTTAAAAAGTGATGGAATTAAAGGAATAATAGATTTTTTAAATTTGTTTGAAAAGTTAAATTTTATGTTTTTCTTTAATAAAAGAAAATTAGGTAAACTAAATCAATATGACTCACAAAAAAGAATTTATCTTTCTTTTAGGAATTTGACAAAGAAAATAATTTATTTTAAAATTGATTTTCGCCATAATCCTTATAAAAAATATTTAAATAAAAGTTACTACATGTTTATCAAAAAATATTTTTCTCCAACAAAAAAATCATTTTATTGTGCAAAAAAATTCTTAAATGAAAAAAAAAGTATTTATTTATGTATATCAATATCAAATTGTTTATTTAAATATTTCCAAAAATTCCATTTACATTCCTTAAAATAATCAATCAATTTCTTCAACTTTTGTTTCCCGTAATTCATCATTAAATATTGAAATTGGAGCCAATTCATTATCAGGCACATCTTCGCTTGCACGACCACAATATTCAAGAATCCAAGGATGTTTAAGTAATTGTTCAAATGTCATTCGTTGATTTGGATCTTTACGAAGAAGCTAGAAAGAATTTCCTTGTTAAGTTTAAAATTGTTGGATAAAGATTTTTTCAGTCTCACGATGACTCTCTAAAAATTAACAAAAAAATACCCGAGAGATGAGATCCATCGCTCCCTTGCTAACATGCCTCGGAAAAACATATTCAACGTTAGTTATTCGTTTGTAAGTGTGCTTTTGATCATCTGTTTCAAAAGGTGGCTTTCCAGTAAGAAATTCATAACAAAGAACACCAACAGACCAATAATCAACCTAAAAATTAAATTAAAATATATAAAATTTAAATAAAACCTTTTCATCATGATGCATCTTAAAAATCATTTCAGGTGGCAAATAATCGAGAGTGCCACACATTGTTTTTCTGAAAAATGAAATTATTATTCCAACAAAGCTTTATTAAATAAGGGGAAAAAGAAGGCTACAGGTTCAATTAATAAGACCTCTAAGACAAAAATTTTTTCTTTCATGGTTTTTAAACAAAGTCAAAATTATTTTTAAACAATCACCGTCTATTCATTGCATGAACGGCCCAGCCAAAATCAGCAATCCGAATTTGTCCATCATCACAGAGAAGAATATTTTCAGGTTTGATATCTCTGTGAATGATTTTCTTCGAATGGCAATAATTGAGAGCATCAGCTACTTGGAAAATGTACTGAAGATTTGAAAAGGGTTAAAAAGTTAAGACAAAATAAATAACCCGAGCAGTTCGAGATTCGCTAAATTTTTTGCATCTGTTCAATTCTTTAAAAAGTTCTCCATGAACAGCATATTCCAAAATAAGATAAACCTTCTTGTCGTCGTGGAAGAAATTGTGGATGCGAAGAATGTTTGGATGTCTGTCAAATTAATTAAATAAATTTAACGAATTAAACCTCAAATGTGCATGAATTTCAATTTCTCTAATAAGTTGATGCTCAACATTTCCTTTAACAAGTTGTGACTTGAAGAGAATCTGATAAAAATATAATTATTTTTAAAAAATCATCAAAAGAAAACTTTAAGTGCAACAGGAATTCGATAATAACGATCCCGTGCTAAATAAACATTTCCAAATTTTCCTTTTCCAAGTGGCCGACCAATCTCAAAATCAGAAAGTTGCCAACGATGTTGACTAAACAAAAATAAATATTCAAAATTTATTTTAAATTTACTTCCAATCAATTCCACAATTTGTGTAATCAATCCCATCATAACATTTATTGTTGCTCTTTTCAATTAATTGAGTGTTTCCATGTTTTTGTTGAAGCTTTTTAGATTTTAATGTTTGCGCCATTTTAATAAAAAGTAACTGAAAGAAAAAAATAAAAAATTCAACAGATAAAGGGAATTTTAAACAATTTAAGAAATGGGGCAAAAATAGATAAAAGTAAAATAACAAAATTAATAAAATATATTCAAATCACGAACATAACAGAAAGAATAAGTACAGAAAAAATCAATAGAAATCGATTGCAAGCAGGCTTACACCATCGAAAATTTTTAAAACGATTTTTAGCGCTCATATTTTTAATTTTGGCGGGCGGGGGATCAGGGTACAGCCCATTACGGCGCGGGCCAAAACGGCGCGACCGAAACGACGCAGGCCGAAACGGCGCAAGGCCCAAAACGGCGCAAACCCTAAACACTGCAGTGATAGTGATTAATCGTGTATCATCATTTGATCAACTGTGAGATTTATCAATTGATCTCTATGATCAACCTATTTGTGATCGATCTGACCTTAGTGATCGATCATTAGCCACCATTGCGTACACTGATCCTTCGAATTATTTAAAATCTGCAATAAGGTTTTGCGCATTACGGGAAAATTGTTCCAACACTGTGGAAGATCGTTCAGACGTTGAGAAAAGTTGTTACAACAACGGTGAAGGCTGTTCCGACAGCAACGACCAGAATAAAAAATAACTAAAGTCTAGATGGTTACAGTAGTAATATGGGGATAACTATATAGTTCTAGGGGAACTAACTAGTAATATATGTAGTTATAGGGGAAACTAACTAGTAGTATTGGAACTATCTGAATCCCGCAGTTATTTCTCGCAGTTATACTTACTAGTAAGTATACGATCTAAATAGTTTTGTTATCACTCTTAATTTTTGTTATCACTCTGTTATCACAAGGTGTTGTCCAAATGCGACCTTTCATCTGCTATTTTTTGTTCCACCAAAAGATACGATCACCATTCGAGCTAAACCTCACGTAACAATATGTAGCTTATGGGAAATTTTTGCGCCGTTTTGGGCCGTGCGCCGTTTTGGCCTTGCGCCGTTTCGGCCTGCGTCGTTTCGGTCGCGCCGTTTTGGCCCGCGCCGTTTCGGACGTGTCCCGGGGGATCATTGTGTACCGGCCGTTTGTGTACCTGGCCATATTTAGGGCCATATCTTTTTCAATTCTTAATTGATTTAAATAAATAATATATCAATTGAAAGCCCTGGATGTGAGGATTATTTTCGCCAACAGAATTGATTTGATCAGATCATCATATTAAAAGTTATAGACAGATAAAGATCAAAATCACGATTGAGCGCATTTATCGAGATATAACTTTTTATAAAATGATCTGATCAAATCAATCCTGTTGGCGAAAATAATCCTCACATCCAGGGCTTTCGATTGATATAATAATAATTTAAGTCGGTTAAGAATCAAAAAAGTTATAGCCCAAAATATGGCCAGGTACACAAACGGCCGGTACACACGTGGGACGTTCCGATTTTGGCAAGTTAAATTTGGCAAAATGTTGATCTCAGTCAATTGAGTACCGCCAAAGGACAAGCTGAGTATCATTGAATTTATAATTGTGAAATGATTCTAAAAGTATGTATTTTTAACAAAATTTTCATTTTTTATTAAGAATTAAAGAAGCCGTTGCTTAATAACTCTCAGAAAATCCTGATAACTTTTTTTTATTTTGATTTTTAATCAAAGAAATTTTAGATCAAATTTTTTTGTCTTTATTTTTGAAATGGATTCTGATGATTATGATGATATTGATTATGATGATATTGATTATGAAGATCCTGCTGAAGACTTTGAAGACGATTGGGATAATAATGATATGATGGATGGGGCGAATGTTGATTTACTTGATGAAATTGAGAATGTTGCCCCATTATTAAAAAAGAAGCAAAAGTCGAAAAAGAAAGTAGTTGAGCCAGTAAAAACTGACGAAAAAGAAGAAAAAAAATCTAAAAAGAAAAAGAAACAATCAAAATTTGCAAAAGTAGCAAAGATTCTCAAGGCAAAAGGATTGCTTCAAAAAAACAAAAATAATTTTATGGATTATGTGACATTTGAATTAAATATTCCTGTTGGCATGACTGGGATAGTTACAAAAGAATTGAGTTGTGGATTCTTTGATTGGTTAGTTTCTTTTTTTTTACTTTTTTATTCAAAATTTTAGGACATTTTCTTTCTTTTTCAATGACGAAAACAATTCTTCAAATTTCTTTAAAATTGATGAGAATCACCCAAATCCTAAGAAAGCAGCAAAGCAAGCTAAAAATTACAAGCGTCGGGAAAGAAAGCTTAAAAAGTTGCTTATGGTTAGTGGTCGAGTAAAAAAATTAAAGAAGTTAAAAAGAAGCCGTAAAGGAGGAGAATATGTTTCTGGGAGCTTTCGTCGTTTTATGCAATGGAAAAAGAAAAAAGCCTGGCTTCTATTCGCAAAATGCCAACCAAATCCTATTTGCTCAGTTGATTTACATGGAAATGCTTTTTATAATTGGGGTTTAGTTTCATCGTTCAAAACTGTTTGGAAAGGCTCAAAACGGGATACAGAACAAGTTTATGGAAAAAAAGTTAAAATATTTTTATATTTAATAATTTTAAAACTTCATATTAAGAGGCCTTCTGTTTTTTCTTCGCTATTACCTGCGGCACCGATTCGTTGTTATAGCTGTAGACGTTTTAAGAAAAGTCAAACATTAATTGTCCATATGTGGGTAAATAGAATAAAAACAATTGGGTTTGTTATTTTTTGTAATATTTTTTTAATTTAATTTTCTAGTCTTGTTCCACCATTACAATTTGATCAAGAACTTCCAAATAAATTGTCAGCATGTCTTCGATGTGGGAAAGAATACTTCCACGTTAGCAAGATAAAGGTTTATAAATTTTATTTTAAAAAATCGGCATAAAAATAACAAGAGAATAATTATTAAGATCTAGTTAATACTTGCAATTAATTTAAATTCTAAAAATGTTCTGTTTGCTCTATAAAATATAGTAAAATTTTTAAAATAATTTTAGTTGGCAATGTTCTCTTTAGTGTTTCGACAAAAAATTTTTGATGAAAAATTAGGAGATGATCTCAAGAATCCGATAAAGATTGAAGAAAGATTCAAACCTTCAATTGTTCATTTGGCCTTGAAAACTATTTTTGATATTAATGCTCGAATTCATTGTAAATAATTTAAATAGAATTTAAAAAGAAAATAATTTTTTATTTTTTCAGGTTTGAGAGTCGATAAATTATTAGATTTTGCAAAAGAATACAAAATTCCCTCTATTTTAGGAAGTATTGAGGATTCTTTAATAAACAGTAGAAAATGTAAACATTTTAATTTCCAACAAAAAATTGAATTGGCTTACAAATATGGATTGGATGACTTAAAAGTTTTTTTAAATTATTTAAAATTTTAACAATCTTTTTAAAGAATAATTTTTGTCAACTTAACAATTCAATTGAATTAATAGAAAAGAATTTAAATATTGAGAAATTACATTCGGAGTTTAAAGATCAATTAAAAAGAAAATTAGCTTGTATGAAAGCTGCCGAAAAAGCTGGATTAGCAAGAATTAATGAGAGGAAACAAGAAAGATCCAGAAAGAGAAAGGCAAGTAAAGCAACCAGGAAATCAAAGAAAACTGCGAATGAAGAAGAAAGTTCAAAAGATAATGGAAAAACTTAAATGTTGAAATTTAAAAGGTTTTATTTTATTGTTACAGATTTTTAATGTCAGAGAGCGATTTTAGATTAACAATAATTATTTACCAAAGCCCGGTAAAGATAAAATCACTCTCACTTATTATTCAAGCATTGATCTTTGCCTTTTGCAAATTAATAAATTATTTTATTTTTATTTAAATTTTGTTAATATTATTAAGAGTTGGGAGGAAACTAAAATTATTTATTCTGGCTTTGTTTGACATGTTCCTAAATAAAACCGAAATCATATTATTAAAATTTTATTTAAGAATAAAAGGTGCAAAAATAACAGAAAGATCAATTTTCTCATCTTTACTTATACCAAATGTGTCGGCGTTATCTCCCCCATTACTAGCCTCAAAAATTCTCTTTCGATATCCAGATGGATCAAGGCCTACAATTAATTGATAATATTTATAAAAATTTTATAAATAATTACCCAAAATTTCTGCGATTTTATAGGCGTCTATTTCAACGATTGGTTCACAAAGTCGCATGACAACTGGGTGAATTTGTTGAGCTAAGTAGTAATTCTTATCTAAATAAATGTTAGATCTAGTATTTAAATTGAGAATAAGAGAATACTCACCAACAGATAATTCATCATTGGCTAAAATTTCAGATGAGTGGTATCCTCTTTGAGTTGGAGGGTTATTTGTCCCATCCTAAATTAAGTACATATATCCTTTTAATAATCAAAAGAAATTCTAACCGTACAAATAATATATTTTACAATATCACCCTGCCGTAGTCTAAACTTTTTAGATTCATTCAATCGGCGTGCAATAACTGCATGTGGTTGTGATTTTATATCTTTGTAATCAGCGGGGTCTCGTGTTAATTGCTTTAAGATTTCAAATTTTTCTAATGGGAATCGTCCATCCTCTAAATCTTCTCGTCGTAAAGCTAGAACAGAAGTTATTCGTTCAATAAGTGTTTTTCGATCAATTGAGGAAAGAATTAAATTGACAATCTCTCTAAAAATATTTGAAGAAAATTAAAACTCAAATACTACATATCCAATTCCAACCCCATTTAATCAAAAAATCATTCAAACAAATAAATAAACTACTCACAATCCAATATCTTTTGCCAATTCAGACCAATCTCTCCTCACAATATCCAATCCTTTCAATTCGGCTGTAGTTAAATTTTCATCATTAAAATCAACAGAAAGTGCTGCATATTTCTTTTTCTTCAACAAAAGAAGTCTTTTATAAATTCCATCAATATCTAATTCAAGAAGAGAATAATTTTTATTAACAACTTGTTTAAGCTAAAAAGAATTTTATGAAAAATATTTTTATTTAAATAAAACTTTTTGTCCAATTTGTTTAGCTTCCAAAAAGTTTGTAGTATTTGTATTTATCATTAAAGAATCGGTGTCACCATAAATTACAGAAAAGTTTTCATTCTCAACCAAAGTTTTTGCATGCAAAAGTAACTTTAAAAAAATATAATTTTTGAATTAAAATTTTATTTTTCTTTTTACTTCTCTTCCCTTTGAGGTAATCATTGCTGCGAGAGTTTTAGCAAAAAAGCGTGATTGTTTGAAGCCTAAACATCCGTACATACTGTTAGCTGTTAATTTAAGACCGAGTTGCCTTATATTATACTAATAAAATTCAACAAAATAATTTTTAATTAAACAAAACAAACTTGTTGGTATTTTTCAGAATCGTGTTTTTCTTTACTCATTATTTTCTTAACTTCTTTTCGCCTATTCACAAGTTTTCGAATTTCATTTTTTAAAATTCCATCTGGACGACTTGAGCCGGGTGCATTAGGTAAATCAATTTCTGCCTAGAATTATTTGACAAATGATTTTTTATCAAATTTTCAAATAACCAAATCATCAAAAGCCTGGTCAACAGTAGTAAAACAAATATTAAATTCTTGAATAATACTTGGATATAAACTGTTAAAATCCAAAAGTACAATAAATGTTTCATAAAGTCCTAAACAATTTATTAATTAAAAAATAAATTTAAATATAATTTACCTATTTTTGGTTCCAAAACCAAACCACCAGTATATTGTGTTTTTTTGTTATTTTTAGTTATTTTCTCTTCTTGTTTAGGAGCTGTTATTTCATTTTCTTCTTCTTGAATAGGTTCAGTATCCACAACTACTTCAATATCTCCATCATTTATTTCTTGATTATTTTCTCCATTTTTTGAAGGCAATTTTTTGTCTTGGATTTTTTTCTTTGTCACATTTGTTTTGACAGATTTTATTGCTAAATAGTTTGAAGAATTTAAAAAAATACAAATTACCATTGTATTTATCAGGTGGAATGCAATTGTTTCGATGGCAAGCATGGAGTAGTAAATATTCATTTCTTTCTGCCCGACCGCCCATTAATGTACGTGACTTTAAAATTATTACAAATTCAACAAAAATAAATTTAAAAATTAAAAAAATACCAAAACTCCACCAACAATTTGTGTAATTTGTACAAACAAGGGAATAGAATTAAGATGCTCAACAAGTTTAAGTGTATATAAATTCTCATTCCAATTCCATTTAATTAAATCAATTAATTTAATTTTTGGATTTGTTATTCTAAAAAAGTAATTTTTTTAAATAATTTTATTTAGAAAAAATTACAAAAAAGGCTCTGATATTTGTTCCGTGCTAAGATTTTGTCTGTTCATCTTCAATAAAGTTTCAACTAAATCTTCCATTTCATAACTTCGGCAATGTATCAGTTCAGAAGCAGCTATTCTAAAATGAATTAAAAAATACATAATATTTTTTCTGAAAAATAAACTTCGAATCTAAACAAAGCCTTCCAGCAGTTAATTCCCATTGAGCAAATTTCGATCGGCCAATCTTTTGAATTTGGTCCTTATTCTTTATTCGACCAAGCCTATCCCATTTTTTAAGTTTATTATACTTTTCAATTCTTGTCTGAAGTAATGTTAATTGAGCGTTTAAATCATGTGCCTAAAAAAATTTTTACCGGTAATTGGAAATCCTTTAAACTTTAATAAAGAAAATACTAATTAGTTATCTAACCAATGAAACTTAAGAGTTGTTAAATTTCTATATCTGACCACATGTTTGGAGGAATGATAAAATTTAGAGAAATCCAGGAATATAGGTGAAAAATTGAGTTTCGTATGGGCCAGCTCGATTTCTACTGCCATAATAAATTTTGAATTTAAAAAATACCAAAATCATATCTGGATCAAGTTCTGCAATTTTTGATAAGAAAATGTTTAACAACGACAATTCATCGCCAACTTTACGAACCATTGTTGAAATTCCATTATTTTTTAATTGGTCCTCCAAATCAAATGGAAGAGGCAATCCTTTGTTGAATTTTGAAACAACTTTTTTAAAAATATTTAATTTAGATTAAAAGATTTATTTACCACAAAATCGTTTAGTTATTAAAGATTTTGGATCAAAATTTGTAGACATTTCTAAATTACAGGAGTGATGAATTAAAGAAATCATAACAATCTAAAAATTAAATTTAAAAGGAATTTTTCCTTTAAAAACCTGAGTATCCTTTGTTTTTGGATTTAAAGCAGTCAAAATATTTAAAACAACTAAAGTAATTGAAGGTGGAGGTAATGGAGTAGGCAAAGTAGAGGACATAGAAATATAATCCATTTGATCCATATTTAGTGAATATTCATGTTGGCAATAAGAAACGTGAGGATCCCCATCTTCTTTTTTTCCTTTTCAAAGAAAAACTTTAAAATTTAATTTTAGAAACAAACTGGCATTTTGAATTTCAAGCCAACACGGACCAAAAATTTCACGCTCAATGAGAACACGTTCTAAAGCAGTAGTTGTTGTGTTCATTACATGGCTGAAACAGTCACCAGAAAGATTTGTAGGGATACGTCCAAAATTGCACTTAAAATTTTTAAAAATTTTTATAAAATAAAGCTTTAAGGTACCTTAGCCCAAACTTCAACTGTTTGACATTCTTTAGGCACAGAAGCATCAGGCGAAATAAAACATTTGGTTACAAACTTAACAACTTTAATAAAATTAGAAAAATTAAACAACCTCCGGCTTTATTTCAAATTCATTAATGCCAAGAGTTTTGAATGTTTTTTGTATATCAGAAAAGAGATCATCTTTTGTTACAGGGTTTTTAGAAGATAAAGACTTGAAATATTTAAAGAGAGAAATTAATCTTCAAAAAGTTTCTTACAATTTCCCGTTTTAGAAAAAATAATTGTTTTGTAATATTTCTTAAAGTAATGCAACAACTTTGGGGTTTAACATCTGTTGAATTTAAATATCCAAATAAATAAACTGTCCCTTAAAAATTAAAATATTTTTGTTTATTTCAAAAAATTTAAATTTTTACCAGGTTTTGTGTAAATATTTTCAAAAGCATCGAGAAAATAAAATTTGAGTGAATCAGAATCAACACGTAATAATTTCATTGGCCTTTCTGGAATTGAAATAGGCGAAGCATCCCTTTTTCTTTGAGTTGTTGTTTTTGTCTCAATTGAAGGAGATTTTGGAAATTTTTGTTTTTCTGTTTGTAAAGTTTCGATATTATCTTCAAAGTTATTTTTCCCATTTTCAACATCAATAATTTCATTTTCAGTCAAATCAACATCATCAATATCTGGTTCGTCTAATTGAAGGGAGGTAATTGAAGTGGACGGAGTACAAGGTTGGGCACTCTAAAAATATTAAATTTTTTCCATAAAATAAAAATTTCTAGAACTTTTGAAAATTTAATGTTCTGCGTCGATTTAGACAAAGCATCCGTTTTAAAAGGATTTATACTCTGAATATCTGATTCATTTTGAGAAGCTTTTTGAGGAGATTGTTGTTGTTTATGTAAGGAAGTATTTAAAAATGGATCTTCAAAAACTTGAAAAAAAATAATTTCAAAAATCAAAAAGGAATTAACAACCTGAAACTGTTTTTTCTGTAGATAAATTATTTGTTCCAATAATATCTGCCAAACATTCGTTTAAAATATCGTCGTCTTCAACTCGAATATTTTTCTAAAAAAAGAAATAAAATATATTTTATAATTGATAAAATAACCTCGTCTGATGGTTTTTTATTATTTGAAATTGATTGAAAATGATGTTTAATTGTCCCCGGTTTGACTAAAAAAAATTTTTTTAATAAAAATAAAATTATTGTTAAAACCTTTTTTTCCTTCTTTTTTCTTTTTAATTTGTTTTTCATTTTCCTCATCGTCTTCAGAATCCTCGTCATAATATGAGGCACCAACTAAAATAATTTTAAATAAAAAATGGGAAATTTTCATGGGAAACCCCAATTAAAAAACAAAAAAAATTTTTTTTTAATTGCATTTGAGGGAATTTAAAAATTTTATTTTAAAAATAAAATAATTTTAAAGAAAATATTTACCATCATCCTCAACAAATTCTCTATAAAATTGTTTCTTTGCCTGATATTCTTCATCATCAACTTCAACATAAACATCTTGTATTAAATCATCAACCTAAAAATTACTTTAAAAAAATTAAATTTTTTAGAAAAAATAACCCGAGCACGAAAAGCTTTTCCAGTCATTCTTGCTTGTTTTAAACGTTCTAATGTACTTTGACGTGAATTTGCTTCAGAAGCCGTTGACCTTCTAAGCCGTCTTGAACCTTTTGGAGAATCTTCAGAAATATCATTTTCAAGTGAATCTGCCATCTAAATAAAAAATATTAGAGAACAGCAAATTATGATAAAATTTGTGCAAAAATATCCAACAAAAAAGATTTACAAAAGTCAATAATTTTTGTAATTTAAAAGCGCGCGCAACCAAATACTGGACAGCCTTTTCCACGCCATAATTAAGTGTGAGAATTTTACCTCGATTTCTAAATAATTTTAATTGTTTTTAACTTTTTTTCGAGAATTTTTATTTTTTAGTATTTATTAATTAATTTTCTAAAAATTATGAGCAAAGATGATACCGATGATAATAGAGATAGTAATGACAATGACGGAATTCTTTCATTTCAAGGACAACAATTAAAATTAAACACAGAAGAGGATGGTTGTTAATTTTTTAATTTAATTATTTTTAATTTTTTAAAGGGGAAAAGATAGCTGAAAAGATTCGTGATTTCCCCAGATTAGTTACTTTTGAAATGCGAGGAAATACTCTTGGATTTAATGCAACACTTCCAATTGCTGAAGCACTCGAGACGCATCCTACTTTAAAAGTTTGAATTTTTTGTAAATTTATTTTTGTTTTTTTCTATTTTAGAGAGCTTTGTGGAGTGATATGTTTACTGGAAGGTTAAAGGAGGAAATACCCAAAACTTTGGTTATTTATTGTTTTAAAAATCAGTAATTTATTTAAAATTTTTAGAAATGTCTTTGTGATTCGGTTGGTTTAAGTGGAGCTAGGCTTAAAGAATTGGATTTAAGCGATAATGCAATTGGACCAATGGCTGTGCCGGGAATTAAAGAATTCCTCGCTGGCGAATCTTCTTTTGAACTCGAAATTCTTAAATTAAATAATTGCGGGCTTGGAATTGCTGGAAAGGTTTAGAATTTTTGTTAATTATTATTTTAATATTGTGCCGAAATTTTGCATGAAAATTTTGTTTTTTAAGTTAACACAGTAGATAACAGGGGATAAATATTTATAGTTTATCAAAAATTAACTAACACTTTGCTAATTTTTTGAGAAGTTACTTAAAAATTTTTTTATTTTAGACAATTGCTCAAAGCCTCATAGAATGTCACAAACAATCAGTTCGTAACGAAACTCCTCTTCAATTGAAAGTATTTATTGCTGGCCGTAATCGATTAGAATATGAATCTACAACAGCTTTAGCAGAGGCATTTAAAGTATTTTTATATTTAAATTTATAAATATTTTTGATAAAATTTAGGTAATTGGAACTTTAGAGGAAATTTCAATGCCCCAAAATGGAATTAGAGCTGAAGGAATAATTAAATTAGCAGAAGCTATAAAAGAGAATCGATCTTTAAAAAAACTTAATTTGGGTGACAATACTTTTGGAAATTCTGGAGCAATTGGAATGGCTGGGGTTTTGAAGGATTTGACACAACTTGAAGTTTTGGACTTTAGTGACTGTCTTTGTAGAGATAAAGGGTCAATGGCTATTGCCGACAGTTTAGCTGCCTCTAATTGTCCATTAAAAGAATTAAATTTATCTGGGGGAGAAATAACTACAGATGCTGCCAAAAATATTGTTAAAACTCTTCACACCCTTACAAGCCTAAAATCTCTTAAAATTGGTGTAAATTGTTTTGGATCAGAATTTTCTTCATTTGTTGATTTTGTTGAACCCTTTGGATTTGTTGACCCTGGAACTGAAAGGTTTTTTTCTAATTTTGAGAAAAAAAACTATTTTTTTAAAAAATAATTTAGTGACGATCAAGGCACTTTAAGTGAAGTTTCTGAAGAGGAAGAAGAAGAGGAAGATGACTGATTAAAAGTAAATCTGGTTTTTAATGGCATTGAAAATTAAAGTTTTTTTTTAATTTTTATAATTGGATTTGTGTCATTTTAAATTTTTAGTTAATTTAAAAAATATTTTTGTGAATTACAGAAACACAGCACGCCAATTGGAGCGTGCTGGCATGGGCCTTTCCATTTGGGGTATTTAGTAAGACTTAAGTCTGGGTTACCTTTTACCTTTATCGGTAAAGCTCTAAGGGTTGATCAGGTCCTCAGGCTTGCCGAAGCATAGTTATCACCGCTATGATGTATAAGCGCCTTTATTCATATAGGAAATACATTACATTAAATAAATAATAATATGGTGTGTAACATAATTATAAAGGAACCCATATTTTCGACCATATCTCGAGTTTTTCTGGATGAATTGGGTTGAATTTTATATATGTGATAAAAAACCTCATTTTGACATAACATGCAAAAAATGAAGCGGTTTTATCAAAATTTAAATTTTTTATGATTTTTTTTCGAAAATTTTGGTGTAACATAATTATAAAGGAAGTAAAAATAATTTACCTAAATATGGTAGAAAAAATCCACAAAAATTCCAGTGAACATATCTATTGATATCAATGAGAAATATAAAAGAAACGAAGTTCTAATATACTTCCATCATCGAGATCTCGAAACCCGAAAATCAACGGAAAACAGGGGGTAGACGTCTTTAAAAAATATTTTCGACCCCTTACAGGTCAAATAAAATTTTCATTTTGGGCTTATTTGAAAGCCCTTGAAATTTGCTATAAGATAGGTTTCATCCCATAATCCAGAAAAAAATTTATCTTTGAAAAATAATGAGTTTAGTTTGTAACTTACATTTTCATCACTTTTTGGGGGGCGTTTGAGTGATTTTTTGACCTGAAAGTTTATCACATTAGGTATTATAGGTGAATTTTTTTCTGAAAATATAATTGATGCTATCTTATAGCAAATTTCAAGGGCTTTCAAATAAGCCCAAAATGAAAATTTTATTTGACCTGTAAGGGGTCGAAAATATTTTTTAAAGACGTCTACCCCCTGTTTTCCGTTGATTTTCGGGTTTCGAGATCTCGATGATGGAAGTATATTAGAACTTCGTTTCTTTTGTATTTCTCATTGATATCAATAGATATGTTCACTGGAATTTTTGTGGATTTTTTCTACCATATTTAGGTAAATTATTTTTACTTCCTTTATAATTATGTTACACCAAAATTTTCGAAAAAAAATCATAAAAAATTTAAATTTTGATAAAACCGCTTCATTTTTTGCATGTTATGTCAAAATGAGGTTTTTTATCACATATATAAAATTCAACCCAATTCATCCAGAAAAACTCGAGATATGGTCGAAAATATGGGTTCCTTTATAATTATGTTACACACCATATAAGTGTTAGGCCTAACTCTATCTAATGGGAAGATTGTAAATCGTTATATAATGAACAATAAATGGGCGGATAAATAATATACATTAAATATTACAAACATGTTTACTGGGAAAATAATAATATCGGAAGTATGAGTCAAAGTGCCCGTTAGCCTTTCATGCTAGACTACTCCTTACATTACATAATAAAATTTCTCCTCTATAATTTCCCTAAAAATAGATGGGAAATATAGAGTTTTAATCAAAAACAAAAAAAAATTATTTTTTTAGAACCTTTAAATGACACAATCTATTTGTTACTATAAATATTAATTTTTTGTATCGTTTTTTGATGATCTTTTTTTTAAATAAATTATTTAAAATAAATTTAAAAAATATTTTATTAAATATTGAAAAAAATTAAATTCCAATTTAATGCACAAATTTAAAATTAAAAATATTTTCGTCTTTTTTTTCTATTCCAAAAGCAATCTATCAAGTATTACAAATAAAGAAATTATTATTAAAATAAATAGAAAGCAGATAAAACCGGAAAAGAAACGTTTTTTGTTTGGTGTTTGAAATTGTAAAAATTGAAATGCTAAAAAATTAAAAAAAATATTTTTTTAATTAAAATTAATTTATATTTACTTCTACAACAATAATTTGTATTATTTGAATTAAATTCCCTTGTATCAATTTCTGAAACATTTCTAGTATAAATTGGAGGTGATTCTTCTGTTGGAGGATTATTTGTTGTTGATAAAGAAGGAAATATTCTACATAAAGAACCTCCAAATGGAGAAATAAACGTTAATTCTCTTTGTTGATTTTCAGATAATGCTCTTCTATAGTGATGTTCGAGAGTCAAAAAATCCCGAGAGTCGAGAGTCGAGACCGAGACCGAGAATCAACCCCGAGACCGAGACCAAAACGAGAGTCGAGAGTCGAGACCGAGAGTCGAGACCGAGAGATTAAGAGGGATATCACTTGATGTCCCTCCTAATCCCCAAAAATCCCTTGATATACCTCAAAATCCCCATACTCGCTTGAATCCCCTTGTCCACAATATATATTCAATGATATTCACATTAATCTCTTAAAATCCCCTCATATCCTTCCATATCCCTACAAATCCAACAATATCTTTTTGATCCATCGATGCACCCATCCCTTGATATTAAATTTTATCCTGCAGAATCCACAGTATCTAATATACCACAAACCACAAAATCTAATCCTTTAATCTTATTAAATTAAAATTTTTGCTGCATTTTTGGCGCCGCAGGCGAAAATTTTTTGAATTTTGGAGCTCAAGAAGCCAAATTTCCTCCATTTTCAGCGCCGCAGGCGAAAATTTTGAGAATTTTGGAGCTCAAGAAGCCAGATTTCTTCCATTTTTCAGCGCCGCAGGCAAAATTTTGGGAATTTTGGAGACTTTTCCTTAAAAATTTTAATATCAAAGTACGCAAGGTCCGAGTAAAGTTCAAAAAATTTCCGTCATTAGGGGTGTAAATTTAGTCTCGTTTTCCGAGACCAAAACACCGAGACCGAGACCGAGAGCTCAAAAAACCCGAGAAATTTCTCGACTCGAGAGTCGAGACCGAGAGTCTCGAACATCACTACTCTTCTAATTGTAGACAAATTGTTGTTATTTCTTGTAGCTTTACTGTAAGAAGGGGGTGGATGGGCACATTTATATAATTCATCGACTAATAATTCAATTGGTGGATTGACATTAATTGAATTATTTAAATTGGTGTTTGAAGTATTTTGTGGAGGGGGTGGAGGGATAGACATTTTTTGTATGAAAACTAAAATTTGAAGAAAAATTATTTGATCTATTTAGGTGAACAGTTATTTTTAGTGGCCGTTTGTTAATATAAATTTAATAATTTTTTAATTAGTTAATATTCTTTAGCGTGTTTTCTAATAAATCCTCAAATTTCAGAATTTTTAAGGAGTTGTAAATGTAATAATAAAAATATATCTTGTTAATTTCATTCAGAATTAGCACCTATACCTGTTATTAAAATGAAAAGTAAATTCAAATATTTATGATAATTAAAAGGAATAAAAGATTTTTTTGCAAAATAAGTTAATCTAAAATATGGCCACTAAAAGAAAAAAAATAAATTTAGGTAAGTATATTTTTTGATAAAAAATCTTCCTTGTTCTAATTACCAAACATAATTTCCCCGTCAAAATTTAAAAGAGAAAAAATTAACAAAAATAATATTTAGAAAAAAAAAGATAAGAAAAAAATATTTTTTCTTTTAAATAATAACAACATTATTATGTTCACAAAAAACTAATGATATCATTAAAAAAATTAATTTTGGTTTTCCAATAGTAAAAAGTATTTTGATTTAATAAATTATTTGGTAATTGATTAAGATTGTGAACTTTATTTTTTAAATTAATTTAGGTAATTGGGTAAAGGGGGAAATTAAATAAGGAAATAATTAATTTAAAAAATATATTTCTTCGTTAAATAATTTTAATTAATTAATTAATTTGTGTGTCTAAAAATGTGATTGAATTATATTTAAATACATATTTTTAGATAATATACCTAAATAAATAAACTAAAAAGAATTTTCTGATAAGCTTTTTGACAATATAAAAATTTATTTCTTTTTTTACTTTAAAATAATAAAATTATTTATTTATTTATAGCCGAAGAAAAAATAAAAATTTTAAGAAAAAAAATTTTAAACAAAAATATTTTTAATTTTCAAACTAAAAATTTCCAAAACTTTGTTACCTAAAATTAATACAAATTAATGTTTGTTGTTATTTTTAAAAATATTAAAAAAATATATTTTATTTAATTAATTAAAATAATCACAGCAAAAAAAAATTAAGTAAAATTTCTGTAAGTTTATTGTACACAATAACTTTTATTTCGTATAAATAATATTTATTTAAACGTTATTGTGTACATATTTTAAGTAGATAATTTAAAAAAATATAAATTATTTTCTTCTAATCAGTTGTTGATTCTGTTGATGTTTTTAAAGGTATTATTTCTTTATTATTATTTTGTTGAATTACCCAAATAATACAAATTAATATTAAACAAAATAAAAATATTGAGGCGCCAGCAAAAAGTCCACGTCGAATCCAAATACGTTTTGCTCTGGATCGGCGTTGAGAATAGACAAAAATTGTTGGTTCTGAATTAATTTAAAGATTTTTGTAAGGAATTGATTTTTGTAAGGAACTTTCTAAAATAAAAAGACGTTTTATGGCTTAAAGAATAAACTAAAAAGAACAAGCCATCATAGATCAACTTACTGTAGATCAGTAATAAATTATTTAATTATTGTTAAATTTAAATAAATTTGTTTAAAATATTAACTAATTTAAAGTTAATTTAATCCTTCTAATTCTTAATTCCCCTTTAATTTAAAAATACTTAGAATAACGGAGTTATTTTATCAAAGAGAATACAAACAAGTTGTTCCCTCCTTTTTTATTAGAAAAGAATTGATAAAAAATAACCTGGTTTTTTAAGTTGTAAATCAAAAGTTCCAATAGACTGTCCTGCCGGACTTATTGTGTAAATAGGGGAAGTAGAAGAGGAAGTTTTATTTTTATTTAATTTATTTGGAATCATTTTCCAAAAATTATTTTTATTTTTTTCTTTTTTATTATTAATTGGGTTTATAGAAAAATTTTTTAGGTTAACTTGTAAAGAAGGAGGTGGAGGAGAGAGGTTTGTTGAACTCATTCTCACTTTTTTCTCTCTCTTTCTTTTTTTTTTCTTAAAATTTTGTTAACTTTGAAAAAAATTTTTTTGTTGAAATGACAAAAGACGTGGAATTTATTTATATATTGATTGCTTAAATTTCTTTTTTTTTGTTTGTTAAGAAATAAATATATTCTTTAAACTTTTTTCAAAAAAATATTTAAAAACTGTTAATTGAAAAATAAAAATTATTTTTTAATTTAAAGAAAGAAAAATAAAAACAAAAAATATTTACTTATTTTTAAATAAAAAAAGAAAGTTTTTTAAATTTAATAAATAAAAATTTAAAAAAATTGGGACAAAAATAAAAAGTTTTAAATTTTTAATTGAAAGAAAAAGAAAAATTTGATGACAAAAAAGAGAGTTTAAATAAAAATTTGTTCCTCTAAAATAGCCTACTAAATAAGGAAATATCACACAAACATTCTTTTAAATAAATCAATTTAATCAGAAAAAATGAATCATGAGTAAAAAGAAAAAAAGGAAATTGAAAAATTAATTTAAATTAAAATTTATGTATTAATGATTCCTTTTAGTTTTCTCCGTTATGGTAGTCAGATAAATCTGAAATTTTTATATTAATCTAGGATGGCCCTTTCCAAATCACCAAAAAGGGGCATAACCTCTCAAAAAGAGGACAAAAAGGAGGCATTATTTAAAAAACATAAAAATAATCAAAATTTCGCATAAAAAGCTTAAATTTTCCATATTTTTTACCTAGTTTTACCTCAATTAGACAAATTAGGATCAAAAATAAAGAGATAATATGGCTGAAATGAATTAAACTAAAGATTTATTCCTGATTTTTTCGGAGAACGCAATAACAAGTAAATCCCTTTTTTCAGCACAGGTGATGGCAAATACAGGATCCATCTTTAATCACTATCCACAGCGCCACAGGTTAAAATGTTGGAAGACCAGAAGACAGATTTCTTCCTTTTTCAGAAAAGATCAAAAAGGTGGCAAATGCCTCCCAAACGAGAGTCACTCTGTATTAATCCCGTAATAAAAAGTATATATTATTTACTAAATCTTTTTCAAAAATTTTATTTAAAATTCGTTAATCTCCAATTATCTTCGTTTTAGTTTTTTTGTTCTTTAAAAAATAACAAATTTTTATTTATATTTTATTTAAATTTTTTCAAAATATTTTAACTAAATCAAAACAAATTTTATTTTTTTTCTTTTAACAATTTAATTCAAAAATTTTTCTATTTAAAAACTAGTTCTCTTTATTTTTAGATAAATGACCTTTCTCTCGAAAATTTTTTTTAAATTTTCTTTCTTTTCTCTATTAAAATATTTGCAACAATTTCCGCGCAACAATTTTGAAAAGAGATAAAAATTTAAATAAAATTACAAAAAAAACTTGTTTTTCTCCTAAATAATTTTGCTTTATAAATAAAGAGGGATTTCAAAAAAAAAGTTTATTTTTCTTAAAAATCTTCTTCCAAAATAAATTCTTTTAATTTTTCTTTTTAAAAATGGGAATTAAATTAGCTACAACAATTTGTGCCCTTTTAGGGTTTTTAACAAGTATTGCTTGTTTATATTCTGGAACTTGGCTTTATAGTGAAATGAATGAAATAAGAAAAGAATTAAATGAAGAAATGCAAAATTTTAAAGAACAATCTGATGAAATTTGGAGTATTTTAGTAAAACAAAAAAGAAGAGAAAAAAGAGCAGCTTATGATGAGGCTGATAGTAATTCTTCTGATTTAACTGAAAATAATAAAAATAAAGTTGAAGGAAATGAAAAAGAAAATAATAATGATAAAATAAAGGAAAATGAAGAATCTAAACAAAAAATAATTAAACAACAAAAACAACCCCAACAATCACCGGCAAATAAATGTAAATGCTCCGAAAGAAAATGCCCTGCTGGACCTAAAGGTCCCAAAGGTCCGCCTGGAGCGAAAGGATTGGATGGATTACCTGGAGAGGTGATTAATGATTTAAATGAGATTTTAGGTAAAAAGATAGTCAGTCACTAATAAACAACAAAAGTACTAATTTTTTGTGAAGAAAGGAAAAAGGGAAACTTTACAGGGAATTATACTCAAAGGAAATATGAAATAAGTCTTACTACAAGGGTTGGATTTACTTTCACTTCTGCAAAATTATGCCTTTTTTTGTCCTCCGCTTTTATATTTTTTCCGCTTTCCACTTTTTTAAATGCAAAATTATCCAGCCCTGTAACTTACCTACAAAAATATCGCAGATTATTACATAACCTCTAGTAGTAATATATTAAAAGAAATTGTGGAAATTAGATAGAAAAATTTAAAAAAAATTATTTTTAGCCAGGATTATCTGGAGCATCTGCAGATGATGTTCAGGCTCATGTTCAACAATTAGATAAATGCTTCCATTGCCCACAAGGACCTGCTGGTCCTCCCGGCCTTCCTGGACGACCTGGTAATTTTATCCATATTATTATGTATATAATATGGCACGATTTTTGAGGATCCAAATTTTAAGGATAGGGACAAGCAGTAAAGGTCGAGTTTACCTAGCAAAAAATGAGGAAAAGTTTTTCGATATTTTTGAGGTTTGCAAGTAGATAGTCGAGTGTACTATGTTCGAATATGTGTACTTTTTAAATTCATGTGAGAAAAATTATGTTCAAAATCCTCAAAAGTCGGGTATTAAATAAAAATAAATTAAAGGACCAAGAGGAATGAGAGGTGGAAAAGGACAACCTGGAGTGCCAGGAAGGGATGGACAACCTGGATTCCCTGGCGGGGTATAAATTTGAAAAAATGTAAATAATAAAAATAATTATTTCAGCTTGGTCCAACTGGAAAGCCTGGTCCGATTGGAGCAATTGGCGAGACTGGTTAATAATATTTTAATATTATTTTCAGAGACATCCAAGACCAAAAATTTTCTGAGACTCGAGACCAAGACCAAACCATGACCCAAGACTAAGACTTAACCCTAGGACTTATGACCAAAAATTAACAAGACTCAGACAATTTTTTTGTCCCAGAGGCCAAATTTTTGGTTTCAATTTCTTTTTTGGTTCAATTCCTAGGGGTGTAAGTTTAAAAAAGCTCAAAAAAGTAGAGACTAAGACCATGACTGTACCCCAAGAGCAAGACCGAAAAAAATCCAAGAAAAGTCTTGGAATCAAGACTCAAGACCAAGAGTCTTGGACGTCTCTATTATTTTCAATTAAATGTATTCTTAAGGAATTACTGGTGAGGATACAAAAATCTTTCATGGCAGACCTGGATTGAAAGGACCTCCAGGTCCTATTGGTGACCAAGGTGATATTGGACCACCAGGTCCTGAGGGAATGCTTGGTCCACAAGGACCTGAAGGTGATAAAGGCGAACATGGCATTAATGGGAAAAATGGAGAGGATGTAATTTCAATTACATATTAAAAAAATAATTTTATATTTAAAGGGCGAACCAGGTCAAGGAGGAGATGAAGGAGAACCTGGTGCAGATGGTAATATAAATGATATTTGTTAGTTTTTAAATATTTTTTTAAAAAATAGCTGAATATTGCCCTTGCCCGAACCGAAATTCTCCCCTATTTAATGCTATGAAAAAGGAATCAGCAAAGAAAGGAGAAAATATTGCTGCTGAAAGAAAAGGTGGAGATGGTCAACAATTAAGAACACAAACACTTTCTTCTTCACAACAATACAAAAGGCGATTTCATAAACAATGAAAGATAAAATAATTCGAATAATTTTATCTGATTGAAAGATTTTTCAATTGTTTTGATTATTTGTCTAATGATATTGAAGTAAAATGTAAATACATATTAATAAGGTTGGGCATGTTTTGTATGCGGATATGCCATGAAGAGAGAAGCTAAAAAATGGTGTTTTTATGTTGTTCCGAGAACTTTAGGACCCGGTTCTTAACGCATTATTTGCATATTTCCTCGTGCATATTTGCGTATCGGTGCATATTTTGGGAAATTACGGTCCATATTTCGGCAAAATTTGCTAAATTTTATTAAAAATTGGTTAAAATTTTGACAAAAAATAATTTTTTTCAAAGAATTTAAATTATTGCTCTATGTATATGTATGTAAATATTTGCTCTAAATTAATTTTAAATTCTGAGTGTCAGAATTAATTTATTTATCTAGCGGAAAGGCTAAAAATGGCCTTTCGTCTTAAGCCTATTTCCGATTCTCGTCTTTTTTGAACTTTCGTTTTTCGCCATTCGCTTTTTGACCGGCGGCGCTCAATCGGCTCCCAACTGGCGTTCACGACTGGTGGGGCGCTCAACTGTCCTGTCCGAAATTATAGCTAATTGAGTACGGTTAAGGACGATTCAGTATCGCCGATTCAGTATCCGCCGATTCAGTATATGGCCATAACCTTCCTGATATTCAACCGATTTGAATAATTCTCATATCATTCGAAAGGTCTCGAGATTCGACATCTTTTTCATAATTGGCCCGATCAGACCTGATGATTACAAAAAAAGTTACAGCGTGAAAACCGATTTTTTATGCCTGTGACGTCGTTTATCAGTGATAACTTTTTGAAGAGTGATAAGATCAGGTCAGTCCAATTATGAAAAAGATGCAGCACCCCGAGGCCTATCAAATTATATATAATAATACCAACAATATTGATCTAGCAAAAAGCTATGGCCAAAAAGCCCAAATACTGAATCGGCGATACTGAATCGTCCCCTACCCAATTGAGTAGGGGATAATTCAGAATCGAATTTTTCAGTCTCATATTTTGTTCCAACTTTTTTATCTTTCAATTTTTTCATTTCTTTATTTTTCATTTTTTATCATTCGAAAGAGATTTTTTAGCTGAGTCAAATGGCACTAAATCACCGAAAAACAATAGACTGAAAAAAGTCATGACCTTTTAATTTAATCCATTCAGCGGCACAACCAAACCATTACCATATTTTTTTGAAAATAATTCTTGATAAAATTACTATGTTCATATTCAATTTTATTTATATAATATATAACGTCTCTTGTGGAATATTTAGAAAAATTTAATTAGTATTAAATAAAGTTTTTTTACTTCTTTATCTGTCCAAATCATTTCAACTTAATTGAACGAAACTATATTTAATATTTTTCAGATCACCTATTCGTTTTCTATTTTTTCCAAAAATGGTTGATGCTAACAATGAGCCAAATTTTAAAATTTCTGCTGTAATTGGATTCACTATACCAACTTCTAGTCTTCAAAGACAAACTCCAAAAGCTGGTCATTTGGAATTTGATGCGGATAAGAATTCTCTTATCATTTCATTCAAACATATACTCAAAACTGTTAGTTGATTTTTTAAAATGAATTCTTTTTAATAATAAATTAGATGCCTATTTTTCTGGGGTCAATTTACGCCCTCAGTCCAAAAGTTTCTTGTATGGGTCAACATAAAAATTAGCTCATTCAATGTGAGGGTCAATCTAACATTAACACTAAGTCTAGTTGGTACTTGTGGGTTATCTCATACCAGTTTTTGCGGACAAATTTATGCGGACATTTTTGTAAAGAATGGTCAGTCTTTCTGTCTTCCTCGGTTTCACTCAATTTTCTCTGTGGCAATATTCAATGAGTGACACAACGAGGAAAAGATTAGTTTTTCTTTCCAATGTAACTTTAATAATTCAGAGAATGAGGAAAATAAAAGAGTGAGGACATCTCTAAATTACAGGGGTCAAAAATGTCTAAAAACATACCCACCCAGCTCTTTATTTTAGAACCCATGCCGATGTTGGGTGGTTAATTTTATTCACAATAGAGTTCTGTACACAAGCACGATGCCGGACCATTGATTCTAAAACGAAAAGCTTGGTATCGCCATAGAAAGGAATGTAACACACATTAAGACTAACCATTTTTGCATCTCTTGGAACAAAAGGGGGGATGGGGTACGAAGTTCAACGTTTTGATAAAAATTTGACCGATCATTAGTTCTAAAACGCAGACTCAGTTACTTATTGCCATTTAAATAACTGAACTAAATACAAATAAAATTGTGCATTGATTCAAATGTTAATTTATATTTTGGTAAGATTGGGAAGGAAAATTAATCTTTTCTTTGTTGATGTGTTTTATTGAAAGAGGCAAAAATTGTTGAGCTGTTTCTCATTGAATATTGCCACAGAGAAAATTGAATGAAACCGAGGAAGACAGAAAGATTGACCATTCTATACAAAAATGTCCGCATAAATTTGTCCGCAAAAACTGGTATGAGATAACCCACAAGTACCGTCTAGTTTCAGATTGACTTAAATTAGATAAGGGCCGCCGCCTCATCTAACCTATGAGGCTGCGGCGAGGCGCCCAAAATCAGCTTACTCCAGGGCTCTCATCGACAAAATGCCACTCAAAAGTATCAAAATCTTGATTAAAAAGTATATAGGGAGAAAATTTCCAAATTTAAAGTATACTCCAAATTAAATTGGAAAATATTTATTCGTGCTCAAATCTTGAATATTTCTCTCTTAAATGAATCTTTTCTAATAATTTCTTGCTTCCACTGAGCATTTTGTGCATTTCAACGCATGACATGTCAAAATTCGCTGATACAAGAGATAAAGCCCTGACAGTCTTAACCTCAAGCAAATTACTTTCGTCCATGTTCAGCGCCGCAGCGATAATTTTGAGAATTTTAAAGCTCTAGAAGCCAGATTTCTCCCATTTTCAGCGCCGCAGGCGAAAATTTTGACAATTTCGAAGGCCCTAGGCTAAAAAAATTCACTTTTTTGCCCAATCCCTTCCCCAATTTCATTTTCAATCAAAAATGTTGATTTTAAAGTATATACTTTCAATAAAGTATAAATTCAATTTCTTAAGTATGGAGGTCGGTTTCAAAGTATAATACTTTCAAATAAAGCACGAATGAGAGCCCTGGCTTACTCCCTCTTCTCTCAATCTTCAAATGTCTTTAAATTTAATGTTTTAACTCGAACTCTGATTGTCGGATTACACCCCTAGTTCGACTCACGATCAGTGCTCGAAGACTTTCGAATGGCATAACACTTCTATATTCTATATAACATTTCTATATTCGACTTTGGCAAAAATTGTCTTATACTTCCCCAGATCCCCATTCTTTTATATGCATCATAATTAAACAACATTTTTAAGGTATTTATACCAATGAACTGCATTGTACCGCTAACTAAAGAAACTTGTCCTCGTGGATCTATTTATACTTTTGACTTCGACATTCGTGATTTTAAGTACAAGCAATGTTTTCTCAGAAACATGTCTGAGGATGACAAAAAATTACTACATGATCACATAATAAAAACTGTTGGAGGTTTGTTTGATAATTTAGTTACCTCTTAAAATTGTGTTTTTAGTGAAAAAGAAGTTGTATAATACATCGATTTCAAGCACCAAATGCGCTGTGCCAATTGATCAAAGTGTTGAAGAATCGAAAGGTTGCTTGACACCTAAACCTCCGAAAAGAATTGTGCCGCTTGGTTATGACTCTCTCCCTCGGAGGCCCAAGCGTGTGATGCCACCTGAATTTCAAAAAGTTGAGGACTCAAAACGAGTTATGACTCCTGAACCTCAAAAAACAAGTATGCTGCAAGATTTTGAGTCAGTTCCTGAAGAATACATGCGCGAGGATGTTCGGACAAGATCGAGTGAACATAAAGAAGTGCGGACAGAATTTTGGGGAAAATGGGTAAGTGTTTATTTAAAAAATTTTGTTGGGTATTAAAAATTAGGAATTTTTACGATTTCGTTATTTTGAAAATTTTATTTTGACTTAAGAATGATGATGAGGTTGTCAACGATTCATGTGAAGAAAATCCTTTTTCACCTCAACCTTTGAAACGTGTCATAACACCTGAACCTCTGAGATTAATTTCGCCGCCTAATGAAACCTCTCTTCCTGAAGAATACATGCGCGATGATTTTTGGGATAGATTAAGTAAAAACAAGGACGTGCGGACAGGAGTTTGTAGAGAATGGGTAAAGGTTTGTTTAAAAATTTACTTTTTATAAGTTAAGAATTATGACTTTGAGTGATCTGGGAAAGTTTTGTTTGTGTTCATATATTGTAATTTGTGCTCAATTAGATTTTATTTGTCTTTGACACCATTCACCGGTTTATATTACATATCAGGCTACCTTTTTGCAACCTTTGATATTTTAATGCTAGTGGGACCACCACACTTAATAGGTCCTACCCTTGAGTTATTTTTATTGTACATGGATGAGATGTTTTAAATCTTTTTGTTATTTTGCTTTTAGAATATAACGGGACTAGTCGGTTTTGAACGCACATAAAATCTAATCCGTTTCTAATTAAAGGAAATTTGATGTGTGCCAAAGATAAATAATTATCCTTTTAAATACTTTTCGAATTTTTTTTCAGGGAAAAGAAGGACATTTAACATTTGAAGCGTTACTCTGTCTGCGTGATGGCGAATGGGTCAACGGTGATGTAATTGATGCATATCTCCAACATATATGTAGACGAAATGGTACTAATCTTGTCCCCTCTGATATAGGTACTTGTTATGTTTTCTAATCTATGAACGTAAGTTTAAGTTTGTAGTACTCTCATTAGCTTATAATCCTTTCATCCTATTACTAATAGCAAATATTTTTGCAATTCGTCGGAGGCTCCTTTGTATTTTAATTAGCAGTATTGTGTTTTTTATTTGACATTAAAAAATAACCCGTGAAAAATTGCTATTTGGGGAGGGACGATAATATTACCGACGAAATTTAAATCAATTTCCAGATAACAAAGAAAATACTGATGATTATGCTCCAGATAACAAAGAAAATACTGATGATTTTGCTCCAGATAATAGAATTCAATATATACCTACATATGCTTTTGCTCGCTACAAAAGAAAAAAACAAATCAGCTCGAAGTGGTACTGGAAGATGGAAAATGTTGAACTTGTCTTGGCTCCCGTGCATATCAACGAATGCCACTGGGCTATGTCTTTCGTAAAAATGCAAAAGAAGGAAATCATAGTAATGGACTCTATGAATAATGGAATTGCTGGAAGCACGAAAAAGGATTTTATGAACACACTTTTGTAAGATTTTGATTTTATAATGTTAAGTTCTCTTTTTTATATTTTGTTAGGACCATTCTTATGGAGGCTGCTGATCAGTTTTCAATGGATATAGGCAAAAGAGAAGACTGGACATTAACAGAATTGCTAGATGTACCGCAACAACGAAACGGAATAGATTGCGGTATTTTTTCCCTTCTATATGCGTATTATGAAGTTGCTGGAAGATATATGGACTTTACTCAAGAACACATTAGCTATTTTAGAAGGAAAATATGTAAAGAGTTGTTACCAAGCCAATCACAATTATCTTAATTTTTGTTTTTCTCATTTTTTCTATGACCCAGAACTTGCAATTTGATTTTTTGTTTTTGAAATTTTCATTAAAATATTTTTGTAAATAAATTTATTATAAGAGTTTTAAATTTTGTGATCGAATGGACAGATTCCGATATCTTTTTTTGCTTTGGTAAATTATGACATGAGTATTCCACTTTTGAAATTGTAGTCTTTTGGCTATCTATATTTTTGCATCAAATTTTAATAAAATTTAAAAGGTTCATTTTTTTGTCTGAAATCAATTTATTCAACTATTTTTAAGTAATTAAGCTTGGGACAATAAATAATTCTATGAGTTCAAAAGAACCAAGAGAGCCAAAACCTATTCTTAATTCGTTGAATATACTTCAACTTATTAGAACTGCTCAACAAAAGCATGGGCTTCGTCATGAAAACTATCAACGTTATAGGTTATTTGAATTTTTGGTTTTTAATATTTTTTATTTTTAGGGGTTATTGTGCAAGGAGAGTGGAGCGAATCAGAAAGTCCTTAAAATTCACTCATCACTACAAATGTCTGCCAAAGCGTTCAGGAAAATTTATAGCAAGAACTGTTACATCAGATCTTGTTGGCGATAAAAGGTTTGATTTTTTTAATTTTGTAATTTAAATATTTCTCTTATTATTTTTCTTGATTTTTAGATATTTAGAACTTATTGTTTTCGAAATTGAACGATGTTGGGCTCATGCTATGGAATTCAAATTTGAAGCTCTCGATGATCCCTTATCGCGTAAAAAATTTGGAATGCGACAAAAATTTCGTAAAGCAGCAAAATGGGCACAATTTTTGAGTGGATTAATTAAAGACAATGAATTGGTATTTTAAAATTTTTTCTGATATATTCTTAAAACATTTTCCACAATAGGTTGAAGAGGTCACAAAATTGGAGTCACGGGCCTATATTTCTTTCATCCAAGGGAGTCTTGAATTGGAACTTAGAAACTGGAAGGAAGCTGCCGAGCAATTTGATGCTTCAAGGTTAATTTTAAATTTTTTGGTGGAATGACTTTAAAATATATGTTGAACGAAATTTGCAGCGTGCAATAAAACTAAAAGTTTTTTCCAGTTTTTGATTTATGGAAATTTTAGATTAGCCCAGTACAGAGTCAAAACATTAGAGCATTTAGAATTTTCTGAATAAAATATATTTTAGTTTTTTTTAAATTTTTTACTTCTGTCAATCCAAAATTCGAATCTGTATATTTTGGGTTAGCTAATTGAATCCTTGGTTGAATTCGGGGACCTACGGCAACTATAACAGATCAAAAATTCTATAAAAAAATTTTTTAAATAATAATTCAACATATTTAGAATTGCATATACAGCTCTTTTTGAACAACTGAACGAGCCGTCTTTTTCTGAAATTTACTTGACAAAGTAAAAAATAGTTTTCTCTTTATATTTTAGATAAAAAATTTAGATGCCGCGAAGTTGAAAATCTTTTAAAATTATGTCGGAGTGAATCAGGTGACGCAAGTGTTTTGATCTCTACTGTTAGTTCTATGCAATTAAATGCTTCAGAGAATGAGCAGATGGATGTTGATAACGAGGTTTTTTTTAGAAAATCTTTTTTTGGACTTATCCCAACTTTTGTGTTGGGAGAAGTGTGCATTTGAAAGGCTTTTGAAAAGATATGTATCGAATAAGGGCGTAACCAGAGTCAGATTTTTTGGTGTCGAATGATACCAAAATCGAATATGTTTTGATGATAACCTTTCATCGTAATAATTCGTTTTGAGATTTACTTGTCAAACGTGATTTTATGAACTAATGGATGTTGTGGGTAAGGGTTCTTGAGAAAATTCTTATTTTTTAATTAAATATTAAAAACTTAAATTTGCCTATATTTTATAAATTTTTATTTTAAATATTTTTATATTTAGAAGCCTACTCAACCTTTAAAGACAAAAAAGAAACAAAAATTTGGAGGAAAGCCTGCTCCTGTTGACCCTTTATTTATTGATTTGGCACGTAATCATCTTGACATTAAGGTTGGAAAATAAAGTTTTTAAACTAAATTTAAAATAAACATTCTACAGCCTTTTAATAAACCCTCTGATGCTTCTAAATGGTTGGGGTGCAGGCGTGTTTAAATAATTCTAAAATTTTCTTGCTTTGTTATCTATATAAATAATTGTTTTATATTCACTTAAATATGAGAATAAATAATTTTTGTTGATAATTAAATAATTTCAGAACTTTTCTCTGGATCAAAATTTGGAGTTATTAAGAGTTTGTTTTCTCAGAATTATAAGTAAAAAATAAAATTATTTTTGGGTTTTAAGGTATTTTGTTTGTAAAATGATTTGTCTATGTATAAATATAGTGTTTTGACCCTTACTCAACTAAATCATTTAAAGTTTTTTGAGCAAACAATAAGTAAATTCTTAAAATATTTATAAATGACAATTATAAACATACAAATATGGCAAGACCGAAAATGTTTTTTGTATCAATTAATAACTAACTACATATCCAGGCTATTTTGTCATGGCTTTCAATTAATTGCTTTTAAATTCAAAAGCTTCACGCCTTTTTTGATTTAATTGCCGCAATTTTTGCTGCTTTTGCATGCTTGAGCATTTTCCTTGAACCACCGGTGTTGTAAGACTGTTGTGGAGAAGGTGCTGCAGCCGGAGCGGCAGCAACTGCCTCCGACTGATATGACTGAGCTGCTGGTGCTGCTGCAGTTTCAGTATATGCAGGTTGAGCTGCAGGGGCTGCTACCGGCGCAGCTGGTGCTTGTTGTGCTTGGTAACTCTCGCTGCCTCCTCCTTGATAGCTACCACCACTATGTCCTTCGACACCAGTCCCTCCACTCTGGTAGCTTCCGCTGCTGCTCCCTTTTGCACTGCTTGAATAACTGCCTCCGACACCGCTAGAATATCCTCCGCCACTTCCTTTTCCACTGCTTGAGTAACCGCCGCCGCCTCCACCACTAGAATAACTGCCACCACCACCGCCTCCACCACTAGAATAACTGCCACCACCACCGCCTCCACCACTAGAATAACTGCCACCACCACCGCCTCCACCACTAGAATAACTGCCACCGCCACCGCCTCCACCACTAGAATAACCGCTACCACTGCTACTGTAACTACTCCCACTTGTTTTTCCACTTGAGTAGCCTCCACCGCTTGAATATCCACCTCCACCACTGTTTACACCGCTAGAATATCCTCCACCGCTTCCTTTTCCACTGCTTGAGTAACCGCCACCGCCTCCACCACTAGAATAACCGCCGCCGCTTCCACCACTAGAATAGCCGCCACCACTACTACTACTGTAACTTCCACTTGTTTTTCCACTCGAATATCCTCCAGATTGCGTACCACACCCTCCACCGCTACATCCACCTTTCGAGGCATATCCGCCACCTCCGCCTCCACCACCACCTGATGAAGCATATCCTCCACCACTAGGAGGTGATGCATATCCGCCACCTCCGCCTCCACCGCCACCACCTGATGAAGCATATCCACCACTAGGAGGTGATGCATATCCGCCACCTCCGCCTCCACCGCCACCACCTGATGAAGCATATCCACCACTAGGAGGTGATGCATATCCGCCACCTCCGCCTCCACCACCACCACCTGATGAAGCATATCCTCCACCACTAGGAGGTGATGCATATCCGCCACCTCCGCCTCCACCACCACCACCTGATCCTCCACAACCTCCACTGCTGCAACCTCCTCCACCTCCGCTGCAACCACCACCACCACCTCCACATCCACTGCTGCCGCCACATGTACCACTTTTGCCGCAACCTCCTCCACCGCCGCCTCCACCAGATGAAGCATAGCCGCTTGATGGTGGAGAAGCATACCCTCCACCGCCGCCTCCACCAGATGAAGCATAACCGCTTGATGGTGAAGAAGCATACCCTCCACCGCCGCCTCCACCAGATGAAGCATAACCGCTTGATGGTGGAGAAGCATATCCTCCTCCACCGCCGCCTCCACCAGATGAAGCATAACCGCTTGATGGTGGAGAAGCATACCCTCCACCGCCGCCTCCACCAGATGAAGCATAGCCGCTTGATGGTGGAGAAGCATACCCTCCACCGCCGCCTCCACCAGATGAAGCATAGCCGCTTGATGGTTGAGAAGCATATCCTCCTCCACCGCCTCCTCCACTGCTACATCCTCCTCCACAGCCTCCACCACCTCCTCCTCCACCTCCGCTGCTACAACCTCCTCCACAGCCTCCACCACCTCCTCCTCCACCTCCGCTGCTACAACCTCCTCCACAGCCTCCACCACCTCCTCCTCCACCTCCGCTGCTACAACCTCCTCCACAGCCTCCACCACCGCCTCCTCCACCTCCACTGCTACAACCTCCTCCACAGCCTCCACCACCTCCTCCTCCACCACCACAGCCACTGCTTGTATATCCAATTGATCTTAAATTTGGAAATAAATTGTAATTTTATTTTCGTCTTAATATTTTTATTTAGATTGTTATTTACTTTAACATACTGCCACAACTACTTCCGCAACCACCACCGCCTCCTGAGCTACATCCTCCTCCACCTCCTCCACAGCCACTACTGCACCCGCCGCCACCACCACCACCACCACAGCTGCTTCCACAATTTCCATCTCTATATATTAAATTAATTATTCTAGTTAAGGCTAAAGTATTCACTCACCCTAATCTTGCTAGAGCAACTATCAGAAGTGCCGCAAAAATAGTCTTCATTATTGACGTTTTCTTTTTGACCTCGATTTTGTAGAATGAATGAACACTAAATTTGTTTTAATGTTTTCACGATGCGTTTTATTTTTTTGATTTGTTCTGCAAATTTATAGGAGTGTTTTATTTGTTTGCCAAGAAAGGTTTATTTGATTATTAACGAACAACCCTCTTTCTTTGGGTTTTGTCCAACATCCGTCGTTGAATTATTTGCCCGCCTCCTCCAAGAAAAAAACCTGGTTTAATACTGCTTCACTGACAATTGTTGTCTGATTAATCATTAGTACACAAAGGCATTAAAACGTTCATTGAAACACAGCGAAATATAAGGAAGGGATCACTCTTTACCACCCCTAAAAAGAAACAACGTTTTGTTGATTCGTTGTCTTTTAACAGCTTTTTTCATTGCGCGTTTCTTTGGCCTAAAAGCAATTATTCAACAAATTTTTTATTTCCATGTTTTCTTTTTTTACTAATTTTCCTCTCTTTTTTGTCCATAACCTTTTTTTGTTATGAAAGGCCATAAATGAAAGAAAACATTTTCTCTGTAGAAAAAGAAAACATCCATTTATTTAGCACTCTGGATGAAATGGCGCGACGATAGGAAAAAAGCTGGTTTTTCTTTTGTTGATTATGCGCAATCATTGCCTTTGAAGAAATAGAAATTTGCAAAAGAGGGAAATTAATGGAATTAAAGAATTTTATTTGTTTTCAATTAAAAAATGTTTTTATTTTTAATAAAACATTAATTTTTATTTATTGCATTCTTTTTGAATGTGAAACTGACAATTATTTGACGAGAAAAGAAAAAAAAATTGAAAATGAAACCTTTTTATTTGGAACAAATTTTTTGAAAGTTAAATTGCAAAAATAATATTTTTTATTATTTCGAAAAATACAAAAATTAATTTTGGTAAAACTTATAGAATACGTACATATGTATCACTCATGAATATAGACAAAACATATGTTAATTAAAAGAGCTCGGAGAGCTGACAATAAATCGAATGACACAAAAATTATGAGGAGCTCGCAACTCTGGGCCGAGATTCTATATCGTAACTTTGTCCAAACTTGTTCAATCACGGTGATTTCAGTTTTTTCAATATTCTTGTTACGTCTTCTATATTTATCATAATTTCAAAAAATACGATATATAGATTAAAGACAAAAAATCTGCTACAAAAGTTTTTTGGTGAGATAAAAATAAGAAAAAAAAAACAAGTAGATTAGCTCAAATTCTAAATATATTTTTTTGTTTTCCGGTTATTTGATGTGAAAGTCCATTAACAACGAATAATTTCATGGCTTAAAGGATAAAGGAAACAAAATTTTTATCCAAATTCTGTTTAGATATTTTTCTCACGTTTCTTTGTTTGCGCTAATTATGTAGTACATTATTATTCCTTCGCAGATTTAAGTTAATTAACATAAAATGTTTTTTGTTTGTATGTTATTAGAGTCAATGTTTGTTGTAGGAAATGATAAGTTGGAATGAGTTATTAAAATTATTTTTTTTGATAATTATTCTTTAAAAATATTTTAATAAGTAAAAAAACCATTCTGATGCTTTAAAATCTTTAATAACTAAATTTTACTTCTAACAAAATTTATTTAAAGATTACCATATTTACAAGCCAGCTATAAAAACTTTAGCGATACTGTGAAAATAAATTATGATAAAAATTCTGAATAAAATTTTAACTTTTAATCCAAATATTCTTCAAAATTAAGTCTCTAATCGCCGATTCATCCGGTTTTTTCTTAAGTAAATTATTTGCGCAGGAAATGCGTGTTGCCTAGTAAATTTTATCGGTTCAATGGAAAATGATGAAGCGACATCCCATAAATATAATTAACTCAATCCAGTCGAACACCTATAAAATCATTTTCCATTTGCGTTCTAACCTCATTCTTTGGTAAAAAAAAAGCTTCACTTTTTTAAATGAACAAAACAATGTCCAAAAGGACAAGGCGGTCAGAAGATTTTATTCCTTATTTTTCTATTTCTTCGTTCACACGATATTTAATAGTTTCATTGTTAATTTCATTATCACAAATTGGAATAAATAATGCTTTTCTTTTTGGAGGAGGAGGAGGCGGCGGAGGTACTTGTTGGTTTGTAATAATTTTTTGGATGACTTTCAAAACTTTAAATTAAGTTGCTGCGGTGGTGGAGGCCCACCACCACCTCCCCCTTGTTGTCCTCCTCCACCATCATGCGGTTGTGGAGGCGGAGGAGGTGGTGGAGGAGGCTGTGGAGGCGGGGGAGGAGGAAAAGTTGTTGGTTAGTAATTTCGAAACCTTTGATATAAATTTTTGTTTTTTTCTAGTAGTTAATTGTGGAGGTGGAAGTGGAGGCGGATGTGGTGGCGGTGGTGGAGGGTGTGGAGGCGGGGGAGGAGGTTGCGGATGTGGTGGAGGTGGCGGAGGAGGAGGTTGTGGATGTGGTGGCGGCGGCGGAGGTGGAGGAGGTTGCGGATGTGGTGGAGGCGGCGGTGGAGGAGGTTGCGGTTGTGGAGGAGGTGGCGGTGGAGGAGGAGGTTGCGGTTGTGGAGGAGGTAATTTCTAAAGTAATTGAGAAAAGCTAAATAGTTATTAGAATGAAGGACTGTTAATTGTTGTTAGGGTTAAAGGACTAATAATGTTAAGTGAAAAATTAGGACTAGCCTTTTGTTAATTCTAAAAATTCAAAAAAATAATTTATCATATCAGGCTGTTCAGCTCCAGCTCCACCACCAGCGCCTCCCCCACCATCTCCTCAACTAACATTAAAGATTGGATGTGAACCAGGCAAATCCTTTTAAATAATGACCAAAAACATTTTAACTTCAGGCTGTGCTCCTCCAGCACCCCCTCCTCCACCACCACCAGCCCCTTCGTGTGGTTGTGGCGGGGGCGGAGGTGGTGGAGGTTGTGGATGTGGACGGCGGCGTAGGAAGAGAATGGCAGTCCAACAAAGGATATACAACAAAAGAAAATTAAATTAAAAAAACGAAATTTCAAAAAACAATCACTTTTCATTGTTTTTACATATTTCAAATATTAATTTTATATACATAAAGTTTTAGGAAATATAGAACTGCCACACTTAATATATCCAGATTATGCATATTTAAATTATTTATCTATGCAATTATAAAACAGTATAATTTAATAAAAATTGAAATTTGGTAAAAATTCGAATTTTCAAAAAAATTGAAATTTGCTAAGAATTTGAGGAGCACCTCCAATGTCACGTCTCATTAAACGAACACCTGTTAACAATTCAACTGGCTTTGGTAAAGGTAATTGTGTTGTTTGAACGATTGGTGAAATTATTTTCCCATTGCCTAAAATTTAGTTATATCAACTATTTTACCGTAGGGGTATTAAAATTTTAGTTGAAATTTTGGTACCTTTAGACTTTAGTTATTTGTTATATTTATTCCTTACGGGGTAAAGTGGATTGTCCCCCTAAAGGCTTCCAATTATTTATATTTTCTCACCAATTTCCATTGCTTCATTCTCTTCAAAACAATTAGGAGGAGGTTTTGGAATTGTTTCATCAAAAGTGAAATTACGTAAAGCATTATTAAGTGTTTCAAGTGCTGCAGTTCCAGTCTCTGTGTATTTATTGAGTTTTTCAGTAACTCGCTGAAAAATAAAAAATAATTTTTTGTAAAATTATTTTTTAATTAATCACAACTCACTAAAAAAGCTCACAATTTTTAATTTAAAAAAATCAAAAAACTTAACAGTAATTTCCAAATTTTGATGTTTAATTAATTGTCTCAAAGTATCCCTAGCCTGTACAGGTCTATATTCATTAATTAAATGATGTATATTTATAAAAAGTGTTCGAATTGTTTCTATTTTTTCAATTCTTTCTTCATTATCCGGACATTTAATTAAAATTTCTATCAAATCCAAAAAAGCAGCAATTAAACTTCTATTTAATTTAAGTAATTCTGAACGCCAATTTCCACTAGCAGAATAAAGTTGTTGACATCCTGTATCAGTTAATGAAGGCAATAAAGCCTTTAAAAGAAAGTATTTAATTATTTGTACACAAAATCATTTCCTTACTCCTTCCAAATCAAAAGTTTCTCCAAAAACTTCAAATTTTGTTGGAACTGGTGGAGGAGGTAATACTAATCCTTTTGAAATATTTTCACTTGTATAACATTCTGCAAATATTGGAGGTGGGGGAAATAAATTAACATTTTGAGGTAATGGAGGAGGATTTCCCGTTCCTGATGATTGACTGGCCATAAAAATATTCTAAATTCTAGGAATTAAAAAGTATTTTGTTTAATTCGGAGGGAATATAACGTGCTTTCTTAAAATTTTAATTAAATAAAAAATAATAATTAAAAAAAAAGATTCTCTATCGTAAAAACAAATATTAAAAAAAAATTAATTAAGAAAAAAATAATTTATTTATTTTAAACAAATTAGAAATATAAAAACTACTCCACATTTACAAAAAATTAAACACACACAAAATTTAAAACTAAAAATTAAGCTTGAAGGACGGGATGTATATTTATAGATATTTTATTATCTTTATTTAAATTCTCAGCACACTTTAAAGGCGTAAAATTTCCTTTTATTTCTTTCATTCTTTTTACATTTGTGTGAAGAAAATTTTTAGAACAAATTCCGGCTATAAAATAAACGCTTGCAGGGATTGCCCATCTTTGGGCAGAAAAAATAATTTTTGTTTGTAAATGGACAGAATGTGGACTGAGACGAAGAAAATCTCCGTGACGAGGGCGGCAATAATCAATTGTTTGGTCTGGATATTCTATCTAAAAATATAAATTTTAATAAAAAAGGTTAATATTGTTGACTTTTTTGATTTAAAAAAGTTTTTTTCGATTAATTATTTTTTCTTTAAACATTAAATGAATTAACTCGGAAATAAATAGCCCCCTGCTTTAAACTATCCAAATAAAAAAAATAATTTTTAAATTTAATTTACTTGAAACCGAAACCGTTCAAATTCTTCATCCGTAACATTTTCCAGTAAACACCTAACCAAAATACTTGTGGGAAGACCGGCCACAAAACGGATAATTTCATTATTTTGAAATTCTTTTGTTGGCTCAAAAATCTTTAAAAAAATTAAAATTAAAAAATTTTTTTAAATAAAATTTGTTAAAATTATTTCTTCAAATTTCTTTTTAATTAACAAAAAAAAGAAATTAACAAAAAATGATTTTCTTTTATTTTCCTCTTCTTTATTGTCATTTTGTTAATTTAAAAATACAAAATGAGACTCAGTTGAGAGGTTTTTTATAGAAGTTAAAAGAAAATTGATTACCCTAATTGATTTAATATTTTGATCACTATAGTTTCTTGAAGTGCCAGGACTCGTCCAAAGTTTTTCTCCAGAATTAGAAACATCAGGAGGTAATTCTATTAATGGACGCTTCTTGTCCTCAAATTCCTTTTAAATAAAAAATAAATACAAGCGTTGGGGAGTTGAAGTGAAAAAGGGTTATGCAGAGAGTGGATTTCGAGGAGGGGGAGGTTAAACAAACAGGAAAAATTTGAACTGGTTAAACTAAGAAAATCGTTCAAAAATTGTAAAAGGATGACTAATTGTAAGAAGGAGGAAAAAATATTTTCATATAAAATAAATAAGAACCTCAATTGGCGGAATCAAACTTGGCCAAGCACGTTGCAAATACCGATAATGTTTCAAAATATAATTTGGAATTAACGAACAAATAACTGGATATTGAGAAGCAGCATTAAGAACAAGAATTAATTTAGCTAGATCTTTTGAAAGAAAATAATTTTAAATTAAAATTTAAAAAAATAACTACAAAAATCATCTTCAATATTTTGTTCAGGCATATCAAAAATTGGATGTACTTCAAGTAATTCAGAAACATGTGCTTGAACCATTGGTGCGTGTCTTTTTCCAATACCACCCAAACAACTAAAAAAGAAAATGGTTAGGCTAACGATTTTTATAGTTTCTTTGTTTTTTTTTAATTTTAAATATCCCAATAAATATTTAAAATGTACATATTTAAATAAAAATTAAAAACCTATAAATTGAGTATTTATCCATTGGAAATCGTCTAAGAGATTGAAGAAGCTTTTTAAGGCAATGCATTACAGATAAAGAATCAGAGAAATTAGCTTTAACAAGCAAATCATGTAAAGCCAACCGATTCTCAACTGTAGCATCCTAAAATATTTTTTAATTTAAAAAGAAACACAAACAAACATCCAAAACAGTCAAAATTATGGGTAATTGGTCTCTTTCAAGAATTCCTTGGGAAATAAATGGAATTAAAGCTTTAATTGTTCCAACATTTATAACTAAATCATCATCGATTGTTTGGATTAAAGTACTGTCTATCATTTGAGTAAATTCTGCCTTTTTAATCATTGCTGACATTTTATTTATTAAAAATATTATTTTTAGAATTGAGATCTGAAATAATTTATTAACTGTATTGAATTAATTGATAAAATTTACACCCAAAACAAACAGGAAAATTGTCAAGAAATATTTTTTCCCAAAAATTTCGGAAGTCCCAGATGAGTCCCGCTGTTTGAGTCCCCACCCAAAAGGGACGATTGAGTCCCCAAGCATCGTCATTTTTATTTCTGAGATTATGAATGAGAGTGAAAGTTTGTACTATAATTAAGTTATTTTTAATGCTTTCACTATTTTTTAATAATTATTAGAAGCTTATTAAATTTAAGATACCGAATAACGAGTTTTAATTGATAATACATATGTACATATAATTTTTTAACTTTTAAATTTGTAAAAAATATTTTTGAAAAATTAAAATAAATTTGAAGAGGTACTTAAAATACATATTTTCTAAAAAATATCCCCATTTATCTACAAATTCACATTTATTTTATAATTAATATTTCATCATTACTGATATCTTCATTACTTATACTTTTTATACTTCCATCATCACAATGTCTTAAAAAATTACATAAATGCTTTAAACGGCGTTCCTTGCTGCGACGATTTTGAAACCAAACCTTTAAAAAAAATAATTTTTTAAATTTTCTTTTAAACATTTAAATACCTGAATTACGCGCATACTCAATCCTGAATTTTTTGCCAATATTGCACGTGCATGTTTTGAGGGTTTTGGATTGTTTGTAAACATTGTATTTAGCATATCTAATTGTTCTTGGCTAATTGTTGTTCCTTTTAAATTAATTTTTTGAGTTTTGGTGGGAAGAATGTTTTTATTTAATTAAAAAAGAAAAATATTTTAAAAAAATATAAAAAAAGGAAAGAATATACTAGGAACTATTTAAAGTTTAAAAAATATTTAATTAATTACAAAAATATTTAATTAATTACTTGGACCACGTCTTTTAGCTCCCTGAATTAATTGTTGAAATTCTTCTTCTTGTCGTGAAAATTGTTCACCTGCTGCATACATCTATAACAAAAATTGTATTTACTCAAATAAATACTCTGACTAATTATTGTTTTAATAATGTTTTGAAGGGGGTAATTATTAATTATTTCTTTTCAACCTCTAGCTGAAGGGGGATAATTATTTGAGTAAATATAAGTTAGGTATTTATTTTTCAATTTTTATTTTACCTCAAAAGGATATTGTGGCACAGTTAAAGAAGCATTTTGTTTTGAAAGTTTTTGTTTTTCTGTTTTTTCCTTTTTCTTTAAATTATTTTGAATTGATATTGTTGTAGATTTGCTTGTTAAATTATTTTGTAAAAGTGTTGATGGTAAAGACTTAATTTTAAAATATTAAATTTAAATAATTAATTACCTTTTCATCTAAATTATTTTCTCCATTTTCTAATTTTTTAGGAGAATTATTTACTTTTATCTCTTCCAATGCCATTTTGAAAACATTTTGTTTTAATATTTTCTCTGCAAGTTCTGTTCCGTTTAATTTATTTTGTTGCTTTAATTTAAACTTTAAATTTAAATTAATTTTTATTTATTTTTATCTTTTACCTTTTCTTCATTTAATTTATTTATTTCAATTAAATTATTATTATTTAATGTTTGTGAAGAAGAAGGAATTAATTGAATTAAAGAATTATTTAAAAATAAATTTAAATTATTTTGTTGAGGGGGGAATAATAAAGAAGAGGAAGGAGAAGAAGAGTTTTCATTAATTAAAAAATGTGAGGCACAACAAATTGTTTTATTTTGTTCATTTATAATTATTTGTTCGCCTGGGGATAATAAACGGCCACATTGAATACAACGATGACAATTAATGTGATAAACAATTCCAGACTTAAAAAAATATTTTTTAGATTATTTTAATTAAAAACCCCCTTTCTTTTTGTGAGGGGGGATTTAAGGAATTTATTATTTTTAAACAAAATTTACTTTTAATTTATACACAAAATCACTAGATTGTATAGGCAAATTACAACCAACACAAAAAGTTGTTAAAGTTGAACAAAATTGTCTTTAAATAATATATTAAATTTAAATTAATTTAAATTAACTACTCTAAATAATCCATTTCACAAAATAATTTTCCTTCTCTTTCAAAACATTTTTGGGGTGTTATGGAGGAAGAAGAAGAATAATTAATTAAATTATTTTTGTTATTTTCAAAAATTAGAGGGCAATTACAAATTGAACAACGAGCACAATATTCGTGTAAAAAACGTTCAGGGGAAATCTTTAATTAATTAGAAATTAATTGATTTTAAATAAATTAATTTTGATAAAAAAAATAATAATTTTTTAAAATAAATGCCAATTAATTAATTCACTAGCCCTCTCCTCTTTTTTCTTAATTTTTATGGATTTTTTACTATTTTTATTTTAAAATTAAATACGTGTAATTAATTTTTTGTTTATTTAGATAATTTAAAAATTAATTAATATATAAAATTTTTGTTTTAAAAATAAAATTTTTATAAAAAAATTGAAGAGAGAGAGAAACTTATTACCCGTGTTTGCCTCAATTAGAAAGTCTCAATCTTTTTCTTAACATAATTGAATCGGAAATATTTTAAATAAACAAAAACTATTTATTCGATAATTTTAATTAAAGATTTTTAGATTGGAGGTTTTTTAGAACAATTTTTGAATTAAATATTTTTTATATATATTTTTTAAAACATTTTATATTTTAAACAAAAATACTCCTTTTAAATTTTTAAATATTTAAATTAATGCCTGAGCTAAATGTCTATCCAATATAGGTTCACCGCAATTTGTACAATTATATATTTGAGTAAAAGACTGGTTGCTACGCTGAAAATAATTAAAAAATTACAATAAAATATTTAAAATATATGTTAATTGTAATTTAAATTTAAAAAATCTATTAAATTAATTAGAAAAAAAGCTAATTAAACTTTTTATTTAAAATAAACTTACTTTAATTAAAAATAATTTTTTTGATTTTTTTCTTTTAAATTGATTTAGCTGCTTATCTTTAATATTTAAATTTTTATTAATTATTTTCTTTTTCCCTTTTGTAAGTGATGGCATTTTACTGTATTTAAGTAGTATTGCACAATTCGGCCTTGAGAGAGACGTGCTATATCGAGATTAATTAATTAAAACTTAAATTAATTTAAAGCGTTAGAAAAGTAATTTTCTATTTTTTTATAATTCTCCTAACTTTCCTCAAAATTAGCAAAAAAAATCAGATTTTTGAGAAATATTTTTAATTATATTTACAAATTTCCTTTATAAATTAAACATATAGTTGAGGCTAAATAATCTAATTAGGTAAATTGATATTATTTTATTTAAAGTATATTACCTCTTAATTATTAGAGATAATATACAATTTAATTTTAAGCTAGTTTTATTTAAACAATACAAAAAAAGAATGTAAATTGTCATAAGTATTTTTCAAAAAAAATTTTTTAAAGAAAACAAATTTGCCTTTCAAAATTAATTTAAAATGCATGAAGAATTAAAAATAAAAATTAAGATATAAACGAAAATTTGATGTTTTTTTATTAAAAAATAAATATCAAAAAAATAAAATTGAGCAAGCCAACCAACATCTTCAGATGATCGGATTGATGTGTTATTCAGTACATCATATAATTAACCATATTCTTTACAAAAATTGGAGAATAAAAATTAAATTTTGTTGAAAATTTTATTTGAAAGTTAAACTATTTATAATCCCAAAATTTTGGAATTTATTTAAATTTTTGAAAAAATGTGGGGAGATAACCGATAAGCACCAAAAATATTTATTTAAAAATTAACTAAATAAATATAAAATTAATTTTGAAAAAATGTCAAAACCTTTTATTAAAAATATTTTTTTTTGGATTTGACAGATTTGTTGTTGGGAATATTTTATATTTTCAAAAACACTCCTCCTATCAAAATCCTCTAAAATTCTTATTTTTACTTGTCAAATAAATATATTTATTTATTTTTTACTTGTCAATTTAATACTTTAATTTTTCATGTCCATTTATTTCACTCATTTTATCCACTATTTTTGCAAGGAATTGCATGTTATTAAATATTATTTTTTTCTCTTTAAAAACAATAAATTTTGTAATATTTATTTTTAAAATAAATTTTTTTTGATAAAATAGAGTGGAAACCAGCAATTAATTAAGGTTATTTTAACTTGAAACGAAAAAATCAAACGGAGTTTAAAAAAGTCGGCTCTATATGAAAGGAGTGCCGGGATCATATTTTTCCTTACTTCCTTGGAATGGTCATTTTTCACATGTTTATAACGTTTGTTGATGTTTGCCGTAAAACAAAATGGGAGAAAGGAATTAAATTTTTATACACAAAAATAAATAAATAATGCTCGTCCGTCGTCCGTGTTCGTAATGCTCGTCCGTGTTCGTCCGTGCTCGACCGTGTTCGACCGTGCTCGTCCGTGCTCGTCCGTGTTCGACCGTCTCGTCCGTGTTCGTCCGTGCTCGACCGTGTTCGACCGTGTTCGTCCGTGCTCGGCCGTGTTCGACCGTATTCGTCCGTGCTCGGCCGTGTTCGACCGTGTTCGTCCGTGCTCGTGTACTTCATTCTGCTTTTCAACAAACATCAAATATAAGGAAAATTGACCATTCCGAGTACAACTAAGGAAGTAAGGAAAAATATGATCCCGGCACTCCTTTCATATACGGTCAAAAAGTCTACAGAAATTTTAAATTCAAAAAAGTCGTCTTTAAATTTAAATATTTTTTTGCTTTTAATTTAATTTAAACTTTCTTTTATTTTTATTAAAGTTTTAAACAAAATAAAAACTACCACATTAATAACTTTTTTTTTGTTTTAAAAAAGGAGCCTTTAATATTTTAAAATCTTTTTATTTTAACATACAAAAAATTACAGATGATGAAAATTGTGAAAATAAACATTTACTAAATTAAACAAAAAAAATGAAAATAAATATAGTAGGAATTATTAAATATATGTTTACATAATTTTTAAAACAAAATTTCATTTAATTTAAACTTAATGAAACTTTGATTTAAAAAATATTTAATATTTTTTCCTCATTTTAAACTCGAAAAACTAATTTAAAAATTTTCTCAAAAATATTTACATTAAATTAAAAATAGGTAAATTTACAAGAAAATCATTTTTAAATTAAAAATCGTCTCTTGTCAAATAATTTTAATTTTTAAGCAACAGCTTGTATAATTGTTGCTGTAGTTGTTTCTTTTATTTGTTTTGATTCAAAAGCTTTTTTATTATTTACTAAAATAATTTCTTCAACAAATTCTTTAATTATTAATTCATTATTATTATTTTCTAAATTTTCTTCATTTTCTTCTTCAATTGTTGGCATTGGTTCGAAAGAACCAGACAAAGTACTTGATTGAGAGGAATGTTGTCGACGACGACGGGCTGCTGCCAATCTAGCAGCCATTTTTTTGGAAACATTATTCGATTCTCCTCGACTTGGAAATGTTTTGACATTTGCCAGAAATGGAATTTCTGAAAATTAAAAAAAATTTGGAAAATTTTTGTTTAAAAATAATTTAAATTTACCTTTAACAGAAATTAGACGAATTAATTTTCCAAATAATCTTTTACTTAACCCTCCTCCTCTTTTTTCTTCAACAATTAATTTATTTTCATCATTATTTAATCTTTTTAAATTTTTTCTTTTAGAAAATGCTTGTTCATCCTCTTCTTTACATAAATTATTAACAATTCCCGAAGAGAAAAAAGCTCCATAACGAACTTTTGGAAGTTGAGAAGAATTAGTTGTACAACTACTTGTTGGTAAACACCCAATAGCTGTTGATAATTGATGGTTATTTGCACAAAACATTTTTTGAATAAATTCTGAAAAATAAAAATTAATTAATTTTTATTTTAAATTGTTAAAGAAAAATTTAAAAAATTATATTCTTTTAAAGAAAAGACAATTTTTGTTAATAAAAATAAGTAATGTTGGCTAAATTTTTCTATTTCCTTATGCAAACTTTTATGTGAAAATTTGTCTTAAAAAATAAAGGAAATAAATTTTGTTATTTTACAAAAATTATTTAAAGAATTTTTTGTAAATTTTAAAATAAAAAGAAAATTTTTAAAAAAAATTCAAAACTAAAAATAAAATTTGGGGGAGTTTTATTAATAATTTAAAAAAGATCAATGATTAAAAAATAAATGTAATATTTATTTAATTTTTATTTAATAAATTTTTTTTATTTTTTAAATTAATTAATTTATTAATTAAAAATCACCCTATATATATTTTAAATTTTTCTTTTTAAGATAAAATATTTTAAAATAAAATATATGTAATAATAATTATTATTTTATTACTCACTATATAATTTATTTAAAAAATGTAAAATAAATAAATAAATATTTATGTAAAGTATTTAAATATTTTTAAATTCGAGATAAATTATTTTAGAATAAATTAAATATTTAAAAAAAGGGGGAATGTGTACATCTATATATTTTAAATAATTATTTGTTTCACAATTAATTTAAAAATACTTTAGTAGACAGACAAATATATATTAATTATAAAGTGCAAAATGGGTGGAAATAAAAAAAAGAAAAAAAATTTTTGGTGACTTTTTAGGGTTGGAAAAGCATTCTCTTTCCCAACAGAGTTTTTTTAATTAATGAGAGAGAGAGGAGACAAAAATTAAAATATTAACTAAAAAGCTAAACAAATAAATGAAAAAATAAATTGAGAGAATATATTTTTAAATATATTTATTTATTACGATTAATTTAGAGAAAAAAAGAGTACAAATTTATTTAAAAATTAAATATTTAAATTATTTAATTTTTAATTTGAATAAAATATTTAGAAATGACAAAATAAATATGTATTAAAAAGGGGAGGAGAACAATATGAAAATATTTTAATAAAAGATATAATATAATTTAAATATATGAAATTATTTTTTAATTATTTGTAGTTAAGTAAATATAAATTATTTAATGTTGTCTGTCCCCTTCTAATGTCTCGTCTTTGTAGTTTTAAAACAGAATTAAAATAATTTTTAAATTAAAAATGACATGTCAAGATTTAAAATTTTTTTAAATTTTTATTAAAACAAAAGAACTTTTAAATTGCCAAAATAAATTAAAATTAAATAAATTTTAATATGCACTTATAAATAATTACAAAAAATATATTTTAAATTTTAAATTATTTTCTTTTTTATTTAATCATTGATATCTTCAAAAAGTTTCCTTTTTTTATTTTTATTTAATTTAAAAACAAATTATTTGTAGTAATTATTTTGGCAATTTAAAATCAAAAACAACTAAAAATAGTAAATAAAAAATAAAATTTGTTATACAGCGAAAATAATTAAATTAAAAGAAAATGAAGGAGAAGAATATACCTTGGATCGTACTGACAAAATTCCCGATTCGCGATTAATATATACACACTTTTTGGGCTTAGTTTTTGAATTAAAATTTAATGATAATAATTAATTCTATTATTTACAATTTACTTTATCGGCTAGTTGACAGGAATATTTAAAATAGAATTTTGTGGTATATAAAATAATTTAAAAGTGGCTAACCCTGGAGTTAAAGCTATCTTAAAAATGTTAAATGATAAAAGAGATCGTTAACAAATTTAATCTTTTCTGTTTTGATAAACTTTGTAGTTAATGGAATTTTTGTAAAATTAATGAATGTGTTATTTTGATGCAGATTATATAAAATAATCAATCGAGATTTTTTCTCAAGAATTTAAAGGACATTCTTTCGCTTTTTTTGAATATTATTTATTGTTAATTAAAAGAAAGGAAATTTTTAATTAAAAGGTTTAAGTATTTAATGTAAATGGGTAGGTAGTTTATAAATTTTGGGAAGTTAAAAATAATAAATAATTTATTTGTCTCAAAAAATGGAACATTTCTCCTTTCTTATTTTAATAAACAAAATTTCAAACAGGAAATAATTTTTAGAAGAAAATATTTTTTCTGTCAAAAAAATAAATAAACTTATTTAATTTTTGGATTATATTTAAAATATAATTATTTAAATATTTATATATTAGAACCAAAAAAAGAGTTTAAAGGTCTTATGTTTTTAGAAAAAAATTTTATTTCTTTTTTTGGCATGTGAATGTTACTTTTTTTAAATTTATTTTTATTATACATACATATTAATTATTTTTTTTCGACAATTTTATTTTTTCACTTGCCCCCTATTCTTTTCTATTTATGTTCAGTGTATTTATTACTTTTAAAAAAATATATACTTTTTTATTACTATATTAAGGTATAAAAAATTAATATTTATTTTTTATTTTTTAATTAACTGATAATTTTTTATCAATTAATTAATAGTTTCTAGAGACCCATGACATTTAAATTAAAAATGTTAAAAAGAAAAGCGAGAAAACAGCATCGGTGAATGAGAAAAACGCGTGTTTTGTTTAAGAAATAGCTAAATAATAAAAGGGAAATGAGAAAATTCAAAAAACGGCGCCAAAAAATTAAAAGAAAGTCAATGAATAAAAATAAAAATGAAAAAAAGCAATTTTTAATTAAAGAAGCCAAAATAAACTACCTAAAATGACCAAAAATTAAAGAATTTTTAAAATTATTTTTAATTTAAATATTTAAGGATTTTAAAGAAGATTAAAAATAATTAATGATTATTGAACATTTAAAGGAGGGGGAGGAAATTAAATAAAAATAAATTTGTGGAAATAAAAATTAATTTTATTGAGATTTTGTTTTTATTTTCAAATTAGGTATTTGGAAAAGTAGGTAATTTAATTAAAATAAATTTTTGAAAAAAAATCTTTGGAGAAAATATTTTAATTATTATTTTGTATTTAGTAAAAACGTAAATAAATATTCAAAAGAAAATGATTAATTAATTTTAATTTTTTTATAAAAAATATTGCTAAATTTAGCACTTCTCGTAGTAAAAAATGAGTGAGAGAGAAAGAAAGAGAGAAAATGCTTTAAAAATCAAAACTTTTTAACAATTTTTATTTTTGTGTAAAATTTTGTTGAATTTATTTATTTATTTAAAGCAATGCGAGAATATTTGCGGGAAAGTTAAAAAAAATTAAAGTAAAATAAAGAAAAAAAAATTTTTTTGGAGAACAATTTGGAATATTTCCAATCTAAACTTTTTTTAATTTAAAAGAAGGGCACAAATTTTATATTTATTTATTAATTTTAAATTTTCTTTAATAAATATGGAGGTTTTGAATAAATATTTTTTTAATTAAGCAAAAAAAGGAGGAGGAGAACGTGCAAGTTAAGGTGAGCAATAAAAAATTAAAAAATTGTGCGCGCAGAGTTAAATTATTTAAAAGAAACAAAGAAAGTAGTGGATGGATGCGGAAAGTAAAAAAGAAAAAAAAGGAAAAAAATACTGAAACTAAATAAATAAATAAATTCGTGGAAATGAAAAAAGGAAGTTAAAAATATGTGTATATATTTTTAGGTTTATAAAATGAAAGCTTTAAATTTGTGGAAATATATTCTTAAAATTATTTAATTAAAATTAATTTTTGAGGATATTTTTTAATTACTTCAAATTACTAATATTTAATTAAAGTGGAGTCAAAAAATACAAATGATAGTTCATTAGACGCGAATCATCGAGTTGAATCGAATAATGTTCGTTTGAAAAAATCTGTTGGGAGTAAATCAAGAAGTAATCAACTAAAATTGCCCTATTGAATTCAGTCTCCAAATTTCAATCGAAATTGGTTAAATCTAAAAACCTAATACTGATACACAAAAATGTATACAACTCAACTGGACGAGTTGCATCAAATGAGATATTTAGCATTTGTCTTTAATTCTCAAAAAAATTCACTAGACTATAAATTTTATAAAAATAATCAAAAAAGAAAGGAAGTATATTCTTTAACAATAATTTTTTTGTTTTTTAAAAAATTCTTTAAAAAACTAAAACAATTGGGGTTTGCCAAAAATGGAAGAATAAAATAATTTTCTTAATAAATTAAAAAAGGGAAGAAAGAAATATGTAGAAGCCAAACCAAACCGCCCAGCCACCACCTACAAACACTACCTAGTGCTTCTTCCTTTTATTTATTTTTTCTCCCACAAAAGATTATTTTAATCCTTAACCTTTTTTTATTTCTTTTTTTAAAACTAAAAAATAAGTATTATTTATTTGCCTTTCTCGTCTGTGAATAATTTAAAAAACAAAAGAAAAAAGAGGAAGTTAATAAATTAGTAGAGAGAGATTAATTAATTAATTAAAAAAAGATTTTTCTGAAAATACCTAACATCACAGAAGATTTCATTTTAATTTAAAACAAAAATTGAAAAGGAAAAAGGGAGCTAATTAAAAATATTCACCTACCAATAAAAAAAATATTCCTAAAAATGCAAAAATATACTTATTGAATTAAAACACAATAGTAATTGCTTTTATTCAAAAATATATTAAAAATAAATAGAAAAAATGGGAAAAAATTTTCAATTAATTTTTAGAATATATTTAGAGAAAAATATGCAAATAAATGCAAAAATAGAGAAAATAAAATATTTTTAATGAAGAAAATAAATGAAATGGAAATTTTAAAACGTCAAAAATAATTAAAATATTTATTTTCATATTAGCATTTAAAAATACCTTTTTGGTTTGGTAAAAGGAAAAAAATAAAAGAATTTGGAAAGGTGTGGACAAGATTTATAAATAAATAATTTTTGAAGTATTTTATATTTAATAATAAAATGTAAACAAATTCTCTTTTAAAGGAGGAACACTTAAAGAATTTAAAGGTTTAGGGTATTTATTTACGAACAAAGAATAAATTTAAAAAAATATTTTGCAATTTATTTAAATGATCAAAAAATAAAAAAAAAAGTAAATTTATTTTTAAGTAAATGAGATTTTATAAGAGAAAAAAATGTTGAAAAAAATTTTTTATTTAATTTTTATTATACTGGAAAAATCCAAAAATAGCGTTTTATTTAATATACCTAATTAATTTAAAATAAAAAAATAGAAATAAAAATTCTTGTAACCATAAAATAAATAAAATTAATTAAATGTAAAATAAATAGCGTCATATGTATTAACTAAGTAAAGTAATACTTACGTGTTTTTTATTTAATGGATTTGTGCAAAAAAATAAAATTTAACAAAAAATTATTTTAAAATTAAGTTTATTAAATTATCTAGGTTACTTTTCTTTGATAACATAACGTGTACTATTCTAGACATAAAATTGGATCAAAAAGGGCGGGCCCAAAGTTATTAAATATCAGAAATTTAATTAGCTCCGAGATCGGTCTCCTAAACTGAATTCTAGTTCAATTAGAGACATTAATATAGAAAAAATTATTTTTAAATAAGCTGTGCCTTGAGTCACCGGCTTTAGCAATTGAGAAAAGGAGAAAGAATGGCCATTCTTAACATATAAAGGGAAAGTAAAAATATAATAAATTTATAAAAAACAGAACAAACATTATATTTACAAACTACTAAAATATAAAAATGATTTAAAAAATTTATAAACTACAAAATACAGTTAAAAACAAAATATTTAATATATATTTACATACATTCTATTTTATTATTTCAACAAAAAAATTAGTAATGTAAAAATTATTTTGAATTTGTGTACAATGACTAAAATAAGTTTTTTGTGATTGTAAAAAAGAAAGGAGGTTACACAAATAAGTAAGAGTTAAAGAGAGATTCCCAATATATTTGCTTTTAGAAATTATTTGTTTTTCAAGCTCTTTTAAGGTGATATGTTGTTTATGGGACTGAAAAGTGAAGATAAATGGGACAAGAATACTCCAATTTATAGAGAATGAGGCAAAGGAAACGTGTCTGGTATTATCACCAGTGAATGAATTGGGCAGTGAGTGATTTTGGCAGTAAACGTTTTTAAAAAAATCCTTATGCAAAAACAATTTGCTTATGATTAGAAAAATAATTACCTATTTATATACAATCTCGGCATTAACGTTTATTTTACTTTATTTAAAAAACGAATAATTATAAAAACAAAATGGCAACATGATAAAATTAAATGAAAAGAGATGGATGGCTAAATACGGCTACAGTTATTTTTGGAAATTTTAAGTTTAAGGCTCAAATAACGTTTATTAATTCAATACCCAATTTACTTCTGTCAAAATATGAAAATCAAAGAAAACCCAAACACCTTAATGGGCACTTATTTAATAAAAATAATGTTTTAAATAATATTTAGATTTGAAAATCAGAAAATAAATCACAATCGGATATAATTAGGGATTAAAATAAGGAATTTTTTTGAGAAAATAATTTTAACCTTTAATATCAACATTTATTTATATTTTCTTTAAATAAATCAATTAAAATTTTGTATATTTTTTTTTATTTTAAATTTTTTTAAATTTCTTTTTTGGAATTTCTTCTAATTCTCCTTCTTCTTTATCTTCAATAACTTCAATATCATCATCATCATCTTGCCCTTCTTCTTCATTATCAGAAAGAACTGTAACCTCACAATTGGTAAAAGAAGAATTGTTTTTTTGGTTTTTAATTGAAGATTGGCAAAACTAAAAATTAATTTCTTAAAAAATAAATTTAGAAAAAAAAAATCTTCAAAATTTTTGAAAAATTAAAAAAAAAAGAAAAAATCAATTTATTTTTGTCTTAATTAGTCACATAAAAATAATTTTTTAAATTTACCTCATCATTTCTACTATTTTGACTGTCCTCATTTAAATTAAACAAAGCATGCTTAACAAAACGCCCAACAGTTTTCCCATCATATTTCGGTCTTTTATTTAAATCTTCATATTGTTTTAATTTTGCAATATATTCTTTTGTTCTGTTCTTTAAAAGAAAACTTTAAATTAATTTTAATTTTAAATAAATTAAAATCCTAATTAACGTAAATACCCTAATAATTGGAAAACAAAATTTAAAAAAAACCAATTCAACAGCAAGTTCACTGTTTTGACTAGGATCCTTTCCTTTGCAATGTAAATAAGTCCAATAAAGAGAATTTACAGCAAAAAGAGTAGCCAATTCGAATTTTGCTTTATCCAAATTTGAAGTCTAAAAATTTAGTTAAAATTAAAAAAAATAATTAAAAGAAAACTTGTTCGTTTTGTTGTAAATTTAAATGATTATCTAAAGCATCTTCAAAAGAAGTCAAAGCTTTGTCAAAATCAGATAATTTTTTAATTACATCCTCTGGAATTTGTTGCATTTTTTGATAAAAATAAAATTCTTTTTAAGTTAAAAAAAATATTTAAAAAAACTAAAAAAATTTTTAGAAAATTAAAAAATTAAATAATTGTCGAAAAATAACAAAGAACACAAAATCTGGCAATACTCAAAAGTCCCCATGTCAAATTGTTAAACAGTCAAAAAGGTAAGTAGACAAAACGTCAATTATTTTTAAAATATAAATTACTGTATTTATTATTACAGTTAAAGTTTAATAAAATTAAAAATAAAATTTAAAAAAATATTTATTTATTTATTTATTTTATATAATCTTTAAATTTTTGTGTCTCTTCAATTTTAAACGTTCTTTACATATACAACTAAAATTAATTTAAAAATAATTTAATCTAAATTTAAAAACCAAATCATCCCTGTTGCTGTCAACATACATTCCATATCTTTATTTTTGTAATCATTACAGTCAATTAAAGCTATATGTTCACAATTAGCTAAGTAATTTTAATTAAATTTTTTAAAAATATCTCTCTCCCTCCCGGATGAAAGGCAAAACGGGTGAGGGACAAAAAAAAAACGAATAATCAAAGAATTATTATTTCTCTGGACCGTGTTTGGGCCTTTTGGCCGTTCCGTGTTTTGGTAAGACCGCGTTTTGTACATCCGTGTTTTGTCGTTCCGTGTCTATCCGTTCCGCGTTTTAGCCCGACACGCTCCCTCCAACCCTCCCTCCCTCCCTACCTCCCTCCCCTCTCATTTATTTACTTACCCATTTCAATTAAAACATTTGATATTGAAGAATGACGTTTCTTCTTTTTCCAAATATTATTTCTTTTTATTTCTTTTAACGGAGAAGAATTTTTAATTTTAATTAAACTTTAATTTAATTTTTAAATTAATTTTATTTATTTATTTAAAAACCTTTTATAAATTTCAGATTTTTCTTTTTTTATAGCCAAATTTTGAATAATTAATAAAAATAAAATAATTAAAATATAAAACATTTTATTTAAAAATTTTTTGAATTTTCTTTTTGGGAAAATAATTAATTTTAGCATCTCGACATCGGAAAAAGGAAAATTAAATTTAAGTTGTAACTATTTAGTAATTTTTCGCAAAATAATTATATTTTTGTAATATTAATTTTGTAAAAAGTAAAGAAAAAAAATATTTTTTTTTCAAATTTGTTTCCTTTTTAGTTTTTTTTTAGAATAAAAAATAAATTTAAAAAAGAAGTTATATTTAGAATAATTATTTTTAATTTTAATGCAAAAAATATCCCCTACATTCAATTTAATTATTTAACCTCACCTAAATTTTTAATTCCAAATTAAAATATAAATTCAAGTTAAAATATAAATTATTTAATTTTATTATTTAACCAAATTAAATTATAAATTTAAATTTTAATAACAACTAATTTATTTATTTAAAAATTATTATTTAATACAATCTAAAAATTTAGTTAATTAATTTTAAAATTTAAAATAAGTATAATTATTTAAAGTGAGTAAATTCCATAACGACGAGCTGATTCTCGTAATTCTAATAAAAATAATTATTATTTTAATTTAATTTTAATCTTTACTTGTTACAGCATGCATTATTTTCTTTCTAGCACCTAAAGTGGATACTCCAAGAGTATTTAAACAAGGCTCATCCAATAATAAAAATGCCTTTAAAAATTAAAAAAATTATTTTTCTTTTAATTTTCTTTTTACCTGCATATCAATTTCTTGTTCACGAAATAAATTAATATGTTCAGATAACCCTAATTGTGTTAATACAGAAGAAGGTTCAGTCAAAACACGAATATCCCATTGAGGGGAAGGAGGAGGAGTTGGAGAAGGAGGAGGAAGTAATTGTTGTTGAGTACATTCATTATTGTTATTTTCATTTAATTGAAATTTAGAAGATTTATTTTCATTAGGAATTTTGGAGAAATTTGGAGTAATAATATTTGTAGAAGTCTCGAAAAGACAAGAATTTCCTGCACTCATTGCAAATTCTTTTAAAAATAAATAAAATATTTTTAATTTAATTATTCAACTACTTGGAGCTCTTTTTTGTTGTTCTCCAGCCTGTAAAGCTGCTACTCGAGGATGGACAAGTGCTGTTGCTTTTTTTGTTTCAATTAATTGATTTTTTAATTTATTATTTTCTTCTTTATCATCTCCTTCTTGTTCAGAAATTAATATTTGATTATCTAAATTATTTGTTGTTGATTTTGTTGGAAATGTTTCAGTGGAAGTGGAAAAAATATTAGAATTTAATAATTGAGAAGAAGAAGATGTTGGAGGAGGTGGAGGAAGAATATTTTCATTAAAAATAGGAGGCAATTTCTATAAAAAATTATTTTTTTAAACACATTTAGGGTAAAAACTCTAAAAGGAAATATCTAAAATATATAAGGTTATTAAAAATAAATAATTACCTTTTCATTAATTAAATTTTCTTCTTTAATTTTATTTTCTTCCTCTTCCTCTTCTTTATTTAAATATTCTTCTTCATTTCCTCTACCAACAATTGGCCTTCCTTTAATTTTATTTTCTTCTTCATTCCAAATATTTTTTGAATTATTTTTAGAAATTTTACTAAATAATTCTGTTGGTAAAGAACTACTAAAACCATAAATTGCCCAAATATCATTTGAAGTTAATTTCTCTTTTTTGTTATTTAAATTATTTTCATTAACAAAAATTGCTTTAAAAATAATTATTTTTAAATTAAAATTAAATTTTTATTTACATTTATTTGTTGTATTAATTGCTGTATTTCTAAGCCTTAAACGTTCTCGATCCAAAATTTTTCTAAATTCTCCTTTTTGTAAATTAACACTTTTAGCCCCCGCAAGTAATCCAGCAGCTATTGGCGATTCCTTTATTTTAAAATATAAACTATATTTTTATTTTTAAAAAAGATTACTTGAGGATCTGGTGATTTAGGTCCCCCACCCTCTCCGTCTTCTTCTAATAAATTTAATTTACAAATATTTTCTAATTGGTTTCCCCAATCCATTTTATTTGTATTTATAAATCCTTTTGTTTCGTTAACAGAAAGTGAAAAGTTAGATGGAGATATTAATGGTTGTTGTTGTTGTTGTTGATCTGCTTAAAAATAATATATACCTATTTAAGAACAAAATTATTTTCTTCTAAAAATTTACGATTAGTCACTGTTCCTTAGTTACGGCCTCTTAGTAAAATTTTAGAAATTTTTTTGAACATTTAGTAGATTTGGGAAAAAAATTAAAAAAACTTATCAAAAGACTTTCACGGCACAAACTACGCATTAATGCGGCTCTGTCATTGTCTTGAGGAAACTGGTCATCGGAATCAGCATTTTCTTCTTTGGATTTTTCTGGAGAGTCTGATATTTTATTTTGATTATTTAATTGAAGAAGTTTATTTCTAGCCAGATAAACATTGAATAAATTTGCCTTTAATTTTTTTAATAATTTAGAGTTTTCGTTAATTTCTGTTATAATGAAAGAGAATTGTTAATCTCTCTCATTATTTTAACATTAATTAATTTACCTACCTCATAAGTACAAATAATATATTCCCTTTCATCATTTCCACTTTCCTTTTCATTATTTATTTTTGGCATTTTACGTTTTCTTTTTTCAGAAATTTGTAAATCTAATTCACGTTCTAATATTCTTAATAAAGAATTTGATGGAGTTGGTACTTCTGTTGGTTTTTCAAATTGTAGAGATACAGGCAATAAACCAGGGCTCCGATCGACAAAATGCCACTCAAAAGTATCAAAATCTTGTAAAAAAAGTACATAGGGAGAAAATTTACAAATAAAAAGTACACTCAAAATTAAATTTGAAAATATTTATTCGTGATCAGATCTTTTATATTTCTCTCTTAAATTAATCTTTTCTAATAATTTCTTGTTTCAACTGAGCATTTTGTTGACATGTCAAAATTTGCTGTCACATGAAGCAAAGCTCTGACAGTCTTAACCTCAAGCGAGTTTCTTTCCTTCGTCCATTGAATGTTTGCCATTGAGAAGCGCCGCAGGCGAAAATTTTTTGAAATTTGGAGCCTAAGAAGCCAGATTTCTTCTTTTTCAGCGCCGCAGGCGAAAATTTTAAGAATTTTGGAGGTCCTTAAGCCAGATTTCTTCTTTTTCAGCGCCGCAGGCGAAAATTTTAAGAATTTTGGAGGTCCTTAAGCCAGATTTCTTCCATTTTTTGCGCCGCAGGCGAAAATTTTGAGAATTTTGGAGGTCCTTAAGCCAGATTTCTTCGTTTTTTCAAAAATGTTGATAAAAAAGTACATACTTTCAAAAAAGTACAAATTCAATTTCGGAAGTACGAAGGTCGATAAAAAAGTACAATACTTTTAAAAAAGTACGAATCGGAGCCCTGCAATAAACCCTTTATATTTTTAAAAAATAAATAATCTTTTAAAATAATTTTTTAATTTCAAATATCTAATGTCAATTAAAGTTTTAATTTTAATTAACAATAATTTTAGCAAATTATTTTCTCCTTTACCGTTATAAACTTTCTTGCCACAAAAATTCCTTCTAACGGTCCAGATATTAATAAACCTTGGGCATTTAATTGTATTTGTGTATTTGTTCTGTATTTAATTTTAAAATTCAAAATAATTTAAAAATGCCTAAAAAAACCTAAAAGCAATCCATCTAAGAGCACTTAAAGAAGGCAAAGCGGATGATCTAATTTCAAATTGTGAATAACAAAAAAGTTCTTCTCCCGTTGGCTTTAAAATTATTAAAAAATTATTTTTTAAATTATTATTAAATTTCTAAACAAAAATTCCAATTAATTGACATATTTTTCCAAAAGCTCTAAGCATTTCTAATTCATTTCGAGTACTTGAACGCATTACAAAATGTAAAGAACCAAAAGATAATGGCCCTAATCCACACGGACTAAATTGGATATTTAAGTCGTTATTTGAATTATTTGGATTGAAATGACGTTGTAAATAAACTGGAAAGATACAAAAATAATTAAAATATGCTACTAACTTAGTATAATTAAATAAATGGAATTGGACAAAAAATTATTTATTCTCTATTTATAACCTAAAATTCATTTATTCAAAATTATAAAGAAATTTCACTTATCTTCACTTATTCTAAAAATTACATACCTGGATCTAGTCGTGGTTGAATAGCACGAACACTTCTCGATAATGATAGTTGTATATTTACAGAAATTGTCAGAGGGCCACTTGCCTAATTTAAAATTTTTAAAATTAAAATTTATTTTTTAGAAAAACTCTAAGCAATTCCCTAGCTTTTTCAACATCTTTAACACATCCAGATATTGAAACTTGATCATTCTTTGCTTGAGGCAATGTTGGACTTAATACCTTTATTTAAATATTTATTTATGAGAGAATTTAAAAAAGAAAACTTTATTAGAATCTGGAAAATGAATATGACAACCAGTATCCCTCATTATCTAATTAAAGGAAAATAAAAAATAAATTTTTTCTTAAAAATAATTTATACTTGTTGTGTATTTTTACCCGCACGTCCAATAACTTGTGAATGAAGACAATGGCTAATTTCCATTTTGAGGGTTGCTTTCTCTTTCTTTTTTTTTAAAGTTTAATTATTAGTATTTCAATAATATTTTTTACCCTAACTCTTAATCTTTCAGAAATAATTAGAGCAGCTTTTTGAATGTTCAGAGAACTTCCAATTAATTTTATAACAACATCTAAAAATATTTTTAAAATTAAAAATATAAAACTAAAATTTAGGTTATAAACATACATATTTAATTGTTGATATTTTATTTTAAAATAACAATAAGGGAGAGATATTTATAAATAATAAAACTAAAAGTTGAGAAATATTATTGCTAATAATGGAAAACAAATAACTGCCACAACTTACCCTCTATATATCCGAAGGTTTTTTGATTAGGTTTAGTCATAAATATTTATAAAAAACAAATTAAACACCTTTTTTTGTTTTTGCTTTAATCTTCAATCTCGAAGGCCAATAAACTTTTGCCCCAGTTATTTTCTCAACTCTATTAAAAAATGTTTCAGCATTTTCACCTTGTATTTCACCTAAAATATGTATTTTTTGATTAAATTTTAAAATAAAAATGAGAGATCGGACTGGGAGGGTCGTATACTAGAATCGAGATCTCGTCTCGGTTCAGTCTCTAATAAAAATCAACACCAAAAAATAAATTACCTATAATCATAGCTTCTAATCTTCTTCTATCAACTTGTACTTTTAATTCTGTCATGGATTGTTCTATTAAAGGATTAGATTTTTCTAAAAGTAAATTACTAACTTTCATTTAATTTTAAATAAATATATTTTTGCTGATTTTTTATTCAAAAAATGGAGAGGTTAAAAACAAAATTATTTTTATTATTAATTTTTTCCTTCTCAAAAATATCAATTCACGTTCAGCGATCGCGCGGGTTTTAGTCGCCTAACAGCAATAACTCGCCTAACAGTCATTATTTTATCAAATTATTAAGTACCAAACCACTCTTTTAGTTGATGAATTTTCGTAAATAATTAATATTTTTTGTTCTCATTTAAGTGCGAGATTTGTTTGTGTGTGATTATTTGGTGATTATATGTAGGTATATTTTTGATTGATTATATTTTAAATAAAAAAGTAAATATATATGTATTATAATTATCCATCATTTAAAAAAAGTTATTAGTTAAACGCTAATTAATTAATTAATACATAAGTACTTTTTTTAATAAGGACTGAAGAAAATAAAATAATATAAAAATGTTTATTTATTTAAAAAAACTTTTTAGTAATCAATGGCAAAAAAATAATTAAAAATAAATAATTTCAAGTTAATAATTGCAAAAAAATTTTAAAAAATAATAATTTAATTTTGCATTCTTCAGTTAAACTTATTTGGCAAAGCCTGATTGCAATTAAAGTGTTAAAAAGTTAGAAAGACTTTAATGAGTTAAACAAAATGTTAATTAACTCCAAATCCCCCCAGATTGGGAAGATTTAATAGAAGGATTGTTATTATTAAAAGGGAATATTGTAGTCGATTGGACATCAATTTGATCACGGCAAATACCATTATCACAAGTAAATTGTTCTCCACATTCTTTGGCTGCATCCCGGCATGGAGTACCTTCAATTCTTAAACAAATTCCAGAATCACAACGTTCGCCTTTAAAATAAGCATTTAATTAATTTATTACAAAGAATATTTTTTGAAGAATTTTTCATTAAACAATTAATTATAATAAAATATATTTATTTATTCCAATTTGGCAAGCTTTTCTATAACATTCGTCTTTTGTGCAAATACCTCCAATACAATAATAAGGTGGAGGACAATCTTCAATTGCAGCTGTATGTGAACACAATAAACCCTTTATTTAATATTTACATATATCTTTATTTTTAATTTATTTACTTGAAAATGTCTACATTCTCCTTCAGGATTGCTTGTTGGGGAACAAGCATGTTCTGGGGGACATTTCACTTTTCCATTTGCTGCACAAACATCAGAAACGCAACGTCCATCCCGACAAAGATGTAAATCTGGACATTCCCCTGAATTAGCACAATTTGTTCCACTTGAAGGAATACAAAGTCCATTAAAACAACTATTCCCTGAAGGACAAACAATTCTTGTACAAGCTAAAAACGTCAAACTCAATATTAATCTTTAAGTTTATAACCTTCTCCATCATTTGTTACACATTTATCTCCACTTAAAATTTCCCCAGGATCACATTTTGGTGAAGGATGAGTTAAAACAGGTCCTAAAGTATCAAAACGACGCTGACATTTTTGTTGTTTACATTCATAAAAGGATGGGGGACCACAATCAAAAGGTGAAAAACATAAAATTGATGTTATGGACATACACATTCCATCACGACATATTTCATTTGTTTCGTCACAAAGAATATCGGCACATTCTTTGAGAAAAATTGAAATTTAATTAGAAAATATTTTTACTTAATTTTGTTTAATTTCCTGTACGTCCTTAAATTCCTTCATCTTTACTGATTCCTTGAGACAGATTTACTATATGTCAATCAAAAACTAGTACCGTCAATTTATTTTGTTGACAGAAAACTACATAATAACTACTGTACATATTAACTATTATTATTCCCTGACGGATTAACTACATATTACTATTTCCTCATTAACAAAAGAATATTAACTATTCTAAAATCACACACAGAATTTAAAATATTATTTTAATTATTATTATTCTCTTAACTATCAATACTGCAACGTCCACCCATACATTTTCCTCTTGGCCCACAGTCAGATACAATAGTACGTGCTAATCCCTTCCCTACCAATACATTACGGCCACAAAGTCTTCCAGAAAAAGATATACATTTCCCAGCATCTGTACAGACAGAATCTCTTCCACATTTAATCTTTTAAGTATTCACAAACAATTTTTAACTCTAAAAACCTTTAAACAATCCCCATAAGGTTCTTTCCCCATTTCATCTAAACAACGATCAAATTGGCATTCATAACCAATTGGGCATTCATATTCCCCAAAGAAAGGACAACGTTGACTTTTAACAAATAAAAAAAGAAAAATTAAAAATAAAAAAGAATAAAGCATTTTTTAATTTAAATTAAGAAAATAATCTCTCTTTGATTATTTATTTAATTAGTAATTTATTGTATTTTAACGAAGAGGATCGATTTAAAAAAGATAAACAGGTCAGTAAATGAGATAAATAAAAAAACGTATATTGTTTCAAAATAAATTAGCACAAATATATTTTTAAGAGTAAATAGTTTGGAAGTTAATTTAAAAAATTAAGGCAAAACTTTTCATTTATTAACTCGTGGCATTAAATCCAATTGTGATTATAAATTATAATTATAAATCCAAATACCCTTGTGAGTTAAAAAAGTTTTCTGAGAAAGGTGACATATGTACATATTTTTCTGCAGTACGGCCCAACTTAGGTAATTTGTTTAAACAATATTTTTTTAAATTTATTTTTATTAAATTAAAAAAAAATATTTAAAAATTAATATAAAAGAGATTTTTATTTAAAAAATTATTTAATTAATCTGTTGCTTGTTTTAAAAATGTAGTTAATGGGGTTGCATCTATTCCAACATTAAAATTTTCTTCTTCCTCATTATTATCTTCATTATTTAAAGCTACATATAAAGAAACAAATAAAATTTTTAAAAATTAAATTTTTATTTTTCAAAAGAATTAAGGGAAGATTGGGATTTTTGTAAATAAAAACTAGTTTAACAAAAATTTAAATTTTATTAAGTTTTCCTTGTCCTCCTCCCTTCCTTTACCCATAATAGTTAAGAATATTTATTTTAAATATTAAAGTACCTTGTAAATTTAAATTATTAAAATGTTTATGTGAAGGTGCATATAAAGCTAATAATAACAAAACATATAAATTCCACTGTCCAAAAATTCCAATTAAAAAAGCACTTGCTGAGATTGAAATTAATTTTTTTAAAAATGTTTGATTTAAATAATAATTATTTTCTCCCTCCTCTTTATTTTCAATTAATTCAAATTCTTCTGGTTCAAAAAAATTAAAATTTTCTTCATTTTGTCTTTGCATTAAATATGCAAAAATTGTTGTAAATGCACAAAAAATAGTTAAAATCATCAAAAATTTAAAACGATAAATTACATTCTCTACACGAAAACGACGGGATTCACTTTTAAAAAAATTATTTAAAAATTTTTCTTTAGAATTTTTAAACCTTAAATGATATAATTGTGCTTCACGTTTTGATCTATAAAAAATATATATTTTAAATAAATTAATCGAATGTTTAAATTAATATTTAAGAAGAAAAAATAATAAAATAATTTAAATGAGAATATCTCTCTTAGTTAAAGATTTATTGAGTAATATAAATTCTCGGTTTTAATAAATTAAAATATATTTTTATTTAAATAATTACCTAATTCCAATCCAAACTTTATAAACTTTAAAACAAAGAAACACAAAATAAATAAAAATTGATAAAATTCCAAGAAAAATAGAAACAAAAGCAATATTTGGATAACCATCTTCTGATGACCATATTGAATGAAATGGATTAGATAATTGACGGCCCCTTTCACAAATATCAAAAATAAGTAATGAAAAACAAGAAATTAATACTAGAGACAAATTACGCCAATAATTGAACTAAAAAATAAATTAATTAATTTTCTCAGTTAAAAAAGACTACCAAATTATTTCTTGCTGGATCATCAATTAAATGTTCTCCACAAAATATTAACCAAAAAGAAAAAAGAATTGCATAAAATAATCCTTGTTTAATATCACTAATTAATAAAATAGCAGGTAAATTTATCCAAAGAGATAACCATTCTATTGGAACTTTAATAGATGTTTTTAATTAAATTATCATTGAATTTTTTGATATTTAATATTTTACCCCCCCCCCCCAGCATCTAATTTAAATAATTATTTTTAAAACTTCCAAAATAATCTAATAACTACTAAATATCCCCAAATATCCATTTCCAATCCTTTAAAATTAAAAATTTACAATCAAGTATAAGCAAAGAAACCCCCAAAACAGCAATTGCCTTTTCAACTAAAACAGCATTTCTAGGCAAAGATTTAATTCTCTTCCAATACCAACGAAGAATTACAAAAACCAAAGGAAATAAAATTGTTTTCAAAAATAGCCAAACAACAGTAAACCCCCCATTTTGATGAATTGTCTTTTTATTTAAATTATTTATTTTTTAATTTCACCAACAACAAAAAACCTACAATTAATCTAAGTTCACGTAAAGGACCTGGAAATGCACAATTTGGGCCTTTTAAATGTTTAGAAAAGCAAAGGCTTTGATTTGCTGGGATTCGAATATTTAAAAGATAAAATGGATGTTGAACAGAGCTTAACTAAATATTTTTTTTAAATTGAAGAAAATGTTTAAGTTAAAATGCCTGAAAGAAATCTACAAGTGAACAATTGAAAGATAAACCGGGATGTTGCTAAAAGAAATAATAATTTTTAACAAAATTTTTTTTATTTCTCACATTTTCATCAATTAGGCATTCTGTAGTTCTCCTTATTCTCTGAACAGGTAATAATTCTTTCCAATTTTCAGGACTATCCTCTCCCTTTTCTTTATAACCAATTCTCACTTCAAATTCCATTAAAACAGATTTTTCTTTAAATTTTTTTATTTCTTTTCAAAAAAAAATTTAAAAACTAACCAACAGGTTTAGTTTCTGGTGTAAACTCAAAATTAACATCTAAGTAACCCAATAAAAATTGAAAAAGAGGAGAGTATTCTAATTGTATTCCATCTCTCATATGTGGCATTTGTGCCTATTTTTGATAATTTAATTTTTGAAAAATTAAATTAATTAATCTACCACAAATACTAAATCACGAGCATCTTCTGTTGTTGGATTGTGATGCCTCAAGTCATGAATAATTTCACAATTCTTTTAAAAAATATTTAAATAATAGCCTAATTTAGATTATTTAAAAAGCTCTAAGATTTTTTCCAAAAACATTTTTGTGTTTTTAATTAAGCATTAATTTATTTTAATTTAAAATTTTTTCCTCTTTTACCCCTCTATCTGGCCGTAAATAGAACCATTTACTGGTTTTACCAGCATCTTTATCTTTACAAGCACTAAGCAAAAATTCCATAGAAGAAGAAGGACCGGGGGCTTAAAATTAAAAATTAATTTAAAAAATATTTAAAACCAAAAATTGCTCCCAACAAAAAGAAAAGACATTGAAGAAAAAATAATGCTGCTAATAAACAAAATAATTTTTTATTTGACAAATTCTCGAGAACGTAACCAATCATTTGTTGTTTTTTAATTTAAAAATATTTAAACATGTTACATATTTTTGTTGTTTTTTTAATTAAAAAATTATTTTTCTAAATTTTTTCAAAATAAAAAAGGAGTAAAAAATCAATTTTAAAAAATCCTAATAAATTGCTGAAGATTTTTATTAAGAATTGTGACATATGTGAATGTAATAAAATGATAGAAATTGAATACTTTTTTTATTACCCGAAATGGGTAAAATACTACATAGACTGCTCATTTTATTACCGGCCATTCTTCCCTTGGATTGTTGTGAAAATACTAAAGATGCTCACAGCTTGAGAAATGTCCAAAAATTATTTTTTATGTTCGGAATAATAAAGAAATTTTGTTTTTTAAGTTTCAATTTCAAAATAAAAATTTTAAACAAAAAATATATACGAGAATAAAAGTAACATGTCCAGAAAAATAATTAATTATTAACAATTCTTCCCTTCCTAGTTGGCTTTTCCAAAGCAAAAATATTAGCTTAAAGTTAATAAAATCAATATTTGTAGTAAAATTATTTTAAATTTATTGTGCAAAAATAAAAAGATTTTTAAATTAAATTATTCTGTTTTAAAGGCCCATCTTAAATCATCGTCTCTAGGCTTCCAACCAGTTAAAGTACTAACACAAAATTCTAATCTTCGCCAGAAACCTACAGCGTCGAGTAATGGATTTAGCCAACCAGTTGTTATACTTTTAAAAGATTTAATATAATTAAAATGAATTAAAATTCACCAGTAGCGGCAAGCATGAGGAGAAATATGATGCATTTTATGGTGATGCCTAGGTAGAATCAGCTGGAATCTCTAAAAATATTTTTAAAAATCTTTGGTGAATTTTTGCAAATTTTTCCTAATGTTAGAAACCCGGGAAGTCAAAGTGCAGTTAAAATTGCACGTATCTATTTTTGATTCAATAATTCCAAAACTTTTAATATCACCCACCATGTTTCTAATTTAATTTAATATTTTTCAGCAAAATTTTATATTATTTGGTCAACTCAATCCCGAGTTATACAATTTTTCCGAGTGCGCTTATAATTTTGTGCAGTAATGTACTACATACATACATATACATATTAGAAAGAATGAAATATGTGTAAAAACTTTGAAGGAGATCCTGAATAGTGGGTATAAAAGCTAGAAAATCAAAATCTCGAAATCATCCATTCTTCTATTCACTTGTTCCAGCCTACTACAATAATTTCGTCATTTCCTATGTAAGTTACTATTTTCATTTTTTAGTCTTTCAATTAATCGGTAAATTTTCACGATTTTTCAGATGGGCAAGCTCAACATCCCAAAGACAATCGGCATATGGTCTGTTCAAGCCTTGATTGGCACTGGTGCGTTTGGCAGCGTATTCCTGGTCAGGACTGAAGTGAAGGGCAGCAAGAGGTTTGGCTATGCGGCAATGAAAGTGGAGAAACGCAGAAAGCACCGAGAGGAAGAAGTTCTTCGGATGGAAGTGTGGGTCCTGAAGAAGCTTCAAGGCATCCCTTCTTTCTGTACAATCTACAATTTGGGACAGACTGCGGAATTCACGTACTGAAACAATACTTGTTTTTTAAACATGTTTAACTGTTCATTTTTCCAGCTACGTTGTGATGACCTTGCTCGGAAAGCCGATTGACGACCTACGCCGGATGCAGCCAAAGCGCAAGTTCTCAACAGTCACAACTCTTCGGATTGGCATCCAGCTTATGAAGGTGAGAAGGAATTCTCATAGAAGGATCTAAAGAAATATCGGTATTTTACAGGCATTTGGCGCACTTCATCGAGCAGGCTTCATTCATCGTGACGTAAAGCCGGCAAATATCGCTGCAGGTCACAAGCGAGCGGATGTCATCTACTTGTTTGACTTTGGGTTGGCGCGCCTCATCTACACTGATGAGAACATGACAACGTTGAGGCCGCGCCGCAAGAAGGTGAAATGAGAGATGGTAAAAACAGTATTAAGCCTTGATTTTTAAGGTCGCGTTTCGTGGAACCTACCGCTACTGCTCGTTGAACGCTCAAAAGTGCATAGATCAAGGTCGAGTGGATGACATCTGGAGCGTTATGGTATGTTAAACTTTTTTGCCCTTCTAATGCTTAACTATAAAGAAATTTTTTTTAGTACACGCTGATCGAATGCAAAAAGCGGAAGTTGCCGTGGACTGGGATCAAACCAAGACAGTGCCAGACTTTGAAGGAGAGCATTACGAGTGCAGAGCTGCTTGAGGTAAATTGATTGGCTAAAAGTTAAACAAAAATTTTGTTTGCCATTAAAGGGTTGTCCACCTTCCTTCGCACGTATCATCGAGCACTTGACCCCGCTTGGATTCGTTGATGAGCCCAACTACGATTCTCTCGTCCAATGGCTTAATGAAGACCTACAGGCAGACCCAGATGCAAATAGCGTTTTTGATTGGCAGCGAGGAAGTTCAGCGAGCTTCAGACGAATGTCCGCTGATGTGACTGGAAGTGATCCTGAGGCAAGTTTCGCATTGATGTTTGTGTATAAAACCAAAACTCTTAAAAAATTTCCAGGTGAGGTCTGAAACTGTTCAAACGGAAGAAAGTCTGTTTACAACATTGGCTGTGTCAGACGAAGAAGATGGGAGCACTGTGGAATATGACGATACAATCGAGAACATGCCATCTGACAAAAAAATCATGAACATAGAATCTGTGAAGGAAAAGCAAAAGAAGGGAGCTGCAGAAAAAGAAATGACGACCAATCCCCCAGAAGATAAAAAGACCAATCCCCCAGAAGATAAAAAGAAGTAAATATAGATGTAGTGATATTAGGATTGTGATTATGTATATATTAAATGTAAATTGTATATAGTAATTGTCTTATATTGTTTGTAATGTTAAATATGTATGTGGTGTTTTCGATTAAGATTTTCATAGGATGAAAGTTTTAAAAACCCATTTTTAAATTAGTAAAAATAAACACTTGTAATGCCAAAACCCAAGTAGGAAGTCCAGTATAGCTGTGCGACCATTTATGAATCTAATAATTATTTAATATTTTAATTCCAAATTTAATTAACTACTTGATTAGTCATCGCGATATAAACTCCGAAAAGAAACCAAAACCAATGCCAAGCTAGTACTTCTTCTAATTCTCCTTTTTCATTAGGGAGTGAAGTACAATGTTGCCAAGCAATTTGTGTAAGTTTTGGAATACATAACATAAAATTGTCACCGTTCACTTCAATAAAGTCGTGCCTAGTAATTGCTGTTGGGTCAACATGATGTTCACGAAATGGACGAATAAAATTCTAAAAATATATACATAATTAAAAATTAGAAAATAAATTAAAACTTTACCCTTCCAATGAACGTGTCCATTGTTCCCCACGTATCAGCACCTATTTAATTTTTGAATATTTCAATTTTTTATTGTACTTTCCAGGGGTGTGTCGAAACAAAGAGAGAAAAATTGTCTTTTTAAGTGTTAAAACTTGAAAACACCTTACAGATTTTTAACTAATTAGATGATATTATGAAAATTGAAAAATTTGCAAGTTCGAATAACCTTATTATGTATTGTAAAATTTGATTTAGGTATTTTTAACCTTATTTTCTGTTATGAGAATGTTAAAATTAGTATCCCCAGTTTTTAATAAATTCCAATAAAAAACCCCAATGAACAAGGCCAGAACTAAAATCAGCTGCTAAAACACCAAAAATAGCTGCAAAAAGAATTTTTCCTAATTGTATATGTTGTATGTGAAGAAGTAAGGAGATAAAAAGGAGTAAAAAAAGAGCAGTGCCGAACCAAATACATAACAATTCTTGAACTCTTTTCCCTTAAAAAGAAATTTTTTTAGCCTATAGTGAGTGATCTCCCATACCTCTCCCATACATGGATGCCAATTTTTTTGCGCCAACATGATTTGGCCCCCATCGATGCCTCAAAGCAGAATTGTCAAATATTTGGGTTTCATAAGAGAATTCCATTTCTGTTTCGGTGATTTTATCAGAGTTAGCAGACAATCCATTGTCGGAAAAAGAGGAGGAAGCTTCCATCATAAACAAAATTTATATGTTATTTAGTACTGGCAGTAGAATAATTACACTTGGTTTAAGTTTAGTGATTAAAGAAGCAATTGATTTTTAGCGATTTTTGTTAATCGATCACTCAATTATAAATTAAAGATTGAATAGTGGCCAAACCTCAATTCTTGAGTTAAATATATTTCTTGTTAAACTATTAAAAAGTTACGGACCGATATAAATAAATGATAAGAAAGGCAACAAGAGAGATTCTATGAGGGAGAAAAGAAAATTAAATGGCGTGTTAATAGGTTATGATCAATTGCACGATTATTTGAAAGAAAATTCTAGTATTATGTGTAGGTGATTTGAAATTAAAGGAAAAATGAAAGGCAAAGAAAAAATTTAATTTTTAATTATCAGGACCTATTTAAACACTAATTTTTGGTTAAATCGTTATGTTTTTCAAATGAATAATTTAATTTATGTACACACAATAAAAGAGACAAGAACACCTCAACTTCGAGTGAAAAAGATAGGAAGGCTTAAGTAAAACAAAAAGTTATGTCATAGCAACGCGAAAACCAAACGTAAAAAAATAATAAAGGAATTTTGAGAAATTACTAAAGTGATAAAAAATAAAGAACATATAGTAGGGAGTTGTTGATGTTGAGAGTTGACCACTAGACATTGGATAGTACTAAAATGGGGTCGGTATAGTACGTGGGACCCCAGACCTAGATTCGAAATATAACATCCGATCCCTCCCGCCGAGATGAGTTCGAAAATGTAATCCTTTTTCATAGGAGACGAAAACTCGCAGAGATATAGGCTACCACACTGTGGTTTTTTTAAAATCACTTCGCAATAGGGATCACTTCGAAATAGGAGTTGATGGTTAACATTCGATTTGTACCAAATACCAAATTTTTGTAACAGTATCCGATGTTTGCTTGTCAGCTCGGTAGAAGGAATCGAATGGTATATATTTCAAATCTAGGTCCCAGGTCCTACAGCCACTATAATTAAGCTCTATAACACAAAAATTACTAATAAACCCAAATTTTAATACAAAATATTATTAACAATTCACCAAATTTTTGAAGAAAGCATTTATAAATTATCCAAATTACAATTAGAAAATCACTAATGTAGGAGTTTGGAATTTTTCTTGCAACACTTACAATTAAAAAGCATGAAGAGAATGAATGCGAAAAAGGATGTTTTTTAATTAAAAACCGGAACCATTTAAAAAATAATTGTCAATATATAGAAAGGAAAGAAAAAGAGAAAGAAAACCTTTCAGGTTTTGTAAATTAATTTTAAAAAATATTTAAAAATACTTCCCCAAAAATATCAATGCCAATAGGATTTGTCACAATTTCACATTTCCTCATTAATTACTCATTGTTGTCCTCTAAGCTCAAATGTGTAATTTTTGTAAAGTCAAATTCTTCTGTAGTGCCTCGCTTAAAAATGTCAAGCACATCCAAACAAGTAGTCTCAAAGTGAGTCGTAGCATCAAAACTTTATATAAAAAAATTTGGATACTGGATTGGATTTTATAAAAGGTGGGCCAATATAGAGAACAAAAAAGCTTTAACGTAACAGTAAAATCAGAAATTTTCATTTTAGAAAGAAACTTAGGAAAGTGCCCTTAAAATATACAAAAAACATACGATCGAGAGATAAACACCTGTGAGCTATAGCCCTGTTTGAATGAAAATAATTTTCAAAATTGTAATCAAAAATTCAAATTTATTACCATGTCAATTGGTTCGTAGATGTCAGAAACCGTTACGAACCTTAAAAATGTTATAGACTGTTAAACATTAAACAAATACTTTTCAGTAATAGCGCCCAACAATTGCAAAGCTGGCTGGATTTCAGCTTCAGGAGTTTGTGTCTCAACAGTAGTAGAGACACTAGCAATGTACCAAGTTTTAGGTGCCACTTGGTTTGAGTTTGAGACGCAAGATATATAAATATCTATAAGAATCAATCTTATGTAAAATTGGATTTAAAACAAACCGGAGTGGCGCCCAACTTGTTTTTGCGGAATAATAATTTGACAACTAGCCGCATCATTGGTATTAGCAATTGGATGATTCAACAAACAAATTGCACGGACAACTTGACCAACCTTCTTGACTCGAGTGCTGTCGACATATGACGGATCACAATATACCTAATTATTTTAGAAATATGATTCGAATAACCAATTGATAAACTTGTTTGCATTTGGCCACTTCATTTCCGCTTCGAACTCCTATCGCTTTCCCACCTTCAAACACAATCTCATCAACAGGTTTGTCCAACATATAAGTTCCGCCATAAATACTTGAGAGACGAGCAAAGCCTTGAGGGAGTTCTCCAAGACCATAAAGCGGATATAAATAAGGAGATTTCCCATAACGAGCCAATGAATCACTATATAGACGGATACGTGCAACAGTTTGCTCATATGGCTGAGACTTATAATTGTCATCACGATAAAGCGCCAAAGCATGACCAGTAAAATCAGCGGTGTTATCGTCCAAACCAAACTTTTCGTAAACCTTAAATATGAATTCTTGATTTCAAATCAAATTTTAGGTTTAAATAATGATACATAATTTAGAAAAACTCACTTGTTGCATAATAGTATTATTTGGATCCATTCCTTCCCACGTCTTCGAGTCATTCTTATCAAACCCTTGCACCCATACAAGAAATTTTTTGAAGCGTCGTTTCTCAAACATTCCCATGAGACCTAAATTTAGTGATAAAAAGATAGAAAAATTTGGATTTATATATATAGAGACAGAAATTTACTTGTAGACAAAGCCTCCATTTCATCAGCAGGCACCTTGTAAATCTTTCCTCCCTTGTAGACGTAAGAGCCCTCTATCGATTTAAACTCTAAGTAGCGAGTAACTCCAGTATGAATAAGAAGTTTAACCTGAAATCTCGAGTTATTTAGGTAAAAGAAACGTTAAATGCAAACCAATTGTCCATTTGCCATAAGAAACTTTGGAATCAAGTCAACATTCCAATCGCGACCTCTACCCATCTCTTCAGGGGCCTTAGCAGTGGCACCTTTATTTAGACTTTATAAAGGCATTCAAATCACTAGATACCTCGAAACTTCTGGTAGAGTTCATCCAGCGGAGTCAACGAAGCAGATTCGGCACCATAATAATTATTTCGGTCTATATGCAAGACCTTTTTTCCGGAAACAGAAAGCATGCCAGAAAGGATGCACTCCTAGAAATGAAAGGATAACATTTAACGAGTAAATAAATTAAACCTTAAGTCCCGTTCCAAGAACAATTGCATCATATTCTTCATCCATTTTTCAATGTGATAAAACCAATTAATTTGTATGAATTTCTAAGAAAATTGATTTAATAAATTTGTTAATATACTCAAATAATGAATGAATTCATTACATGTAAATACTGTGAAAAATAATGATTTAATAATTTATCAAGAAAAATCTAAAGCTAATATGGCTTTGTAAATGCAACCAATCCATAATTAATTTCTGTGAAATCAGTCCAAGTCCAATGATCAGTCAGTGGATTATAGAACATGCCACGCGTATGTCCAAGTCGACATTGTTCATCAACAAGCAATCTTCGAAGATCCTCAGGTCTAACAAACTTTTCGTATTCATGAAGTCCTTTTGGTAAAAGTCGCAAAATATCCTAACATATGGAATACATAAACTGCTAAAAAAATTTAAAAACCTCTGCAACGAGTATAGCAAATATCCAACTACATAATGTTTTATTTATTGTAGTGAAGAATATTGGAGAATTAGGTTTTGCTAGTTTGCAGCAAGTTTTAACAAAAAGATTAAGATCTGCAACATGCTCTGCAACTTCTGAGGCAACCACTGCGTCAAAAACTAAAGATTTTTATTTAAAATTAATTCCATTTATATTTTAACCATGATGATTGTCTTCATTTAAAGCAAAATTTTCAATCGTATCAGTCACAAATTTTGTATTTGATCGAAGTTCTGGGGAGAGAGTGAAACTCGATTTTTGAGCTAAATTAATTGCACTCTGAACTTCATCAATTCCAACAACTTCTGCACCTAATCGACCAAGTGCAAGAGAGAGAATTCCTGGACCACATCCAACATCAAGTATTTTATTCCCTTCAAGAGGACGATCAGGCCTGACTTGTGTATTCTTTACTTAATTAAATAATTAAAAGTTAAAATAATATAAATAAAAACCTTCGAGATGAAAGATGAGATCCACGGAACTCTAAGCCTATTCATTGATTGCAATGCTTTAAGAGGATCACTACGGCTTCGATCATAGATGTGGACAAATTGTGAATTAAATACTTTAGTAAAAATATTTTGAGACATAAGTACTATCTAAAATTTTATTTTTAAAGAAAACAGATCTATTAATAATTATTAGAAAATATACTGAGTTTCTAAACTTAATTATATTTAACTATATTCGCCACAAAACGCACCTCTACAGTTAACATTTAAAGTTAGAAAAAGGTAGAACGAAAATCGCAATTCAACAGGCATCCAGTTAGCGTATAGCTGGGCTAGGATTCATTCAATAAATTTTAAAAGCATACCCGAAAAGGAACGAAAAGACTACAACCTATTTTCGCCGCTAACATGTCTACGCATGCATCCATTTTTGGCTTTACATAAAATATTTAAAAAGCGGATATTTAAAATTGAATTAAAAATCATAAAAAATGTTAAAAAATAAATTTGGATTTTACACCAAATTTTCTGTAAATTTAACGGAAACAAATAAAATTTTATTCAAAAATGTGTAGTGTTTCTAAAACCGAGTTAAAATTTCTGCTACAAATATGAGATTCAATTTTGGCGATAAATAACAAAAATTGGAGGTTTTTAATTTTTTCCATTATTGCACGACCCTGAATAATATCAACGACTTCTTTGGTTTTATCTCATACGATTTATGAGTGATATTTTCAATTGCCGACCTCCAATGCCAAAATTGACCGCTAGGCTTGTTACCTGGATCACCATAAAGTCCATTAAGTGAAGTGTAGGCGCACCCACCATGCCACCACGCACTATAATAAATTTATAAATAACAATCTAAAGTCATTAAATGTACCCTCGTCGACGAAATTTAGCACAATTCTCATATTTATTCTCATCGTTGTCTACATCAACAGTTGTAAAACTTCGATTATTGCACAACTGTGTAAACAAATCCTTCTCTGGCTGGTTTGGGTCACTTAGATTTCCACGCAGGTATTCCAAGTCTGTTATTCGATATCCTTCATCACGGCTCAAAATCTAAATTTTTCTTATGTTTTTATTTAAAAATCGTAATATTTAATTCAAATAAGTCATTATTTTCCACCTTAAACTTCCAGTCGCCCCACCAATTTCCATCATCACCAAGTCCGCTACAAGCCTTTGAAACACAAAAGTCGCCTTGAAGTCGAATGCGCATTTCCAAACGACGATTACTTTCCACAAAAGCAGATACACGATCTAAACCAAGCCAGTGATCTCCATCTGGTAAGTCACCAAATCCATAAGAATATTCATCAAAACTTGCATTCCAGAAAGGCCATTTTCCGCTTGTTCGTCTAAAAAAATAATTAAGATTAATTTTGCCGTGATAAAAAAAACTTTTGAAGAACAATCCATCCATGTTCCGACTCCATTTCACAATAAGCATAGAAATCTCCGTAATTGGGAACAGAAAGTTGATTAGCACCAGACCCTTTTCCTTTATTACGAAAATGTTCACAGTCGACAACTTCTCCAATTGGTGATAGAAACTTAAAAATCAAGTACTATATTAATGATTAATTCAAAAAATATTAATTATAATGTGTCGTATTCCTTTTTAACTTTTTTTTCAATATTCCCAGAAAAGTTAACAAATTTTATTTTGGGACAGAAAGAAAATATGAAAATTGAAAAAAATGTAAGAATAGCCCCATCCAATTAATGATTAACTTACGATTGATTTTTCTTGTGTTGTAGTCGTTGTTGATTCTGTTGAAGTAGTTGTAATAGTCGACGATGATAACCTTTTTGGAGGTGCATGAGTCCACAGATACGTTCGAAGAGAAATCGGTCGCTGTGTCAATGTAAGTTCTGTCGATGGTGTGGTAGGCATTGAGGTGCTAGACTCGAGAACAGTAGACGGATGACCGAACGGAGGATGGTGTCCAGTTCGAACATGTTCTGCCTGAAGAAGGCCAGATTCAATTTTAGGTCTTTTGTTTTGAAATAAAACATCATGAAATGTTTCAATTACTTCTTCTCCAATATTCTTATGTGTAACATCAGCCAATTCATTTCTTTGATATGCCTCAGTCCAACGTTCTGTCTCTTTGTCCTCATCTGTTATTATGATGCGTCTTGCTTCCTGATTTTCTGCATTACTAGCGTAAGCAGAAACGCTGCTGCTTTGACTAAATATTATGAAAAGAGCAATTGTGAGAAGAATGATTGCAAGAAGAGCAATTAGACAAAGGAGAACATATTTTAATCCTCTGGAAAAAATTAAATTTAAAATTAATTCAATAACAAATAGTAAACTCACATCAGCCCTTTGCTTTTTGATTTATTAAAGCGAACAGCAGCTGAAAGAACTGGATCCAATTCGTCTTCAAGATGATCACGTCCAAATAGACGATCGCTTGTTCCAAAATTCGAGCATCCTACTCTTCCACTTAATCTACTGTCTTCACGTGGCATACTATCCATATTTACTTCGAATCGTTCACAAACGTTATAAGAGCGTGTCATTTTATATACCTTAATAGAAAATTTTAAAAATAATAAAATTTGAAGCAAAGAGATATACAAAAAAAATCTAAAGGAAAATTGCAATAGTATAATGCGCGAATAACAAGGGGAGGACAAAAATAAAGTCCGTTATTTGTTCATTCAATGAGAGGGAAAAAACACATGTAGAAATAATACAATAGCAATTAAAAAACTGAAAATAGGCTCATTTTTAAAAATAAATAAATCATAATGATATGAACGGGAAATTAAAATTTGTAAAATTATAAAATAAAATTTACAAGGCACGTTAAGTCAGAAAGATTTAAGAACATCCTAATCCAAATTTAAAGAAGCAACAGAACAAAAAATTCAAAATTAAAAAAATTAAATAATAATAGAACGCCAAACTTGATTGGTTGCGGCCAGTTGAGTACCGACAACTGATCGCTAGCCAACTTTGATCAAAAAGAACTTTTTTCATAAGTGGTGAAGTACACCGTTTGACTCAAGGGTTTTATGTTTTGAAAAAATTCACAAATTTTTCTATGTACAATTTATTTTTTGCATTTTTCTTGTTAATTTCATTGTCTAAATTTTATAATATTTTTAAAGTTTTTTAGAGATGTATTGGGAGAAAGAAATTAAAGCATATCTTCTAAATTTCCAAGTTTTAGTATCTATTTCAGCAATTTTCATTTTTCTTTATGCTAGAAAATTGGTAAGAAGTGTTGCTGTATTTTATTTAACTGGAATTTTAATTGGAATTTTTGCATCCTTTTTAATTTTTGGACATTTATTTCAAAAATTTATACCAAAAGTAAGAATTTAATTTTTTTACAGCCTAACTGCACTTTATCGGGCGATTTTATATTTGGATTGGACCCCCTATGGTTTTTTACTTTTTAGGGGCTTGTATAGTTATTTCCGCTAATTTTGGTTTCATTCGACTCAGCTCGCCGAGCTCTTTCGATTTACATATAAATTCTCCAAAAATAAAATTGCCCGGTAAAGTGCAGTTTAGCCTTTTTTACAATTAAGAAAATTTTTTTTAGTTTGCCAGATTTCCATTTCTTTTTGGTGGATGGCCGTTGTCTGCTTATATTTACTACTTAACTTGGAGGAATTTTAGCGTAATATTTTTAGAATACAGATTTTATGCAATTCTTTATTTGGTAAATAACTTTTGTAATTTAAATAATTACAAAATATTTAAGGGAATATTTACAATTATTTCCCTTGCTGTTTGCTATAGAATGGGTCCTCCAGAAGATGAACGTTCTTTAAATTTAATGGAATGGACTTTACAAATAATTGCTTTGGCTCTAATTTATTTTTTTAATCAGGTATATTTTATTTTGATATTATTTATTTTTACTAAATTTTAGGTACAAGAAGTTGCATATGCCTTAATATTTTTTGTAATTTTTATATCTATTTGGAGAAGAAACGCTAACAAAATATTTAAATTTTCTAGAAGAAATTGGAACAAATTAAGGTTTTTAAATTAATTTTTTAATTTCGAAAAATTTTTTTAATTCAGAGAATTTTTATTTGGTCCACAGCCTCGAAAACTTCTCTCCGAAGAGGAATATTTGGAAGAGGTATTTTTTGGATAAATTTTGTAGAATTTCTGATCTTGATAAAATAAATTCTAACTGGAGACTTATAAAAGAACTAACTAGTATTTAAATAATCGTTCAAATCTGGGGTTTATTTTGTAGCTTTTAAACTTTGTTTTTAAAATTTCTTGTTAATTTTCCCAATTTGTTTGGATATCATTTTTTAGAGTCTAAGGAAAAAATTGATTTTTTCATTAATTTTTTTAAATTTTTAGTCAAGAATTTATACAAGGATGGAATTGGAAAATTTACGGCAATTTTGTAATTCACAAAATTCAAAAACTAATTGGCAACTTGTTTCACGACTTAAAAGACCAAACAGGTTTTTTTATTAATAATTATATTTTTAATAAAATTTTACTAGAATGGCAAGTTTTATAACGGGCGATAGTGATCATGTTTCAGCAATGGAATTTAGTTATCATTCGGAAATTTATTGTCAAAATGAAGGGAGTGATGAAGAAAATTCATATTTGGAAGAAGGATATATTACTGACGATGATTAAAATAATTTGGTTTTTTTGCAATTGTTACCCGTAAAAGGAAGGTACATTGGACGGAGGGATTGATTCCTTTTCTCCACAAAAGACGGCTATTCCTCCCTCCCTCCCCCTCCCCCTTGGACGGGAAAATTTCAGTTTTGAAATCAGATAAAAAAACAAAATTCGGGGAAGGGAAAACTTAACTCTCATGCCCCTGCTTCCTTTTCAGGAAATGAACACGAGTAACAAAAAATACGGGAGCTGCATAGTACGTGGACCCGAAGGAGGAAAAAGAAAATAAAAATGTGGGCCGATAACAGGAAAGTACCAAAAAGAATATTTGAACTCATTGTCAGCTTGGCGAAAGGAATCGATTGGTATATATTTCGAATCTAGGTCTCGGGTCCCACGTACTTCAGACAAAAATACTCAACAATTATTGCCTTTAAACAAACACTTTAATTTATTTTTAAACCTTTTTTCATTTTCTCGATCTCACCTTAATTCTAATTTTCTTTAAACATTTTGGCAAGTTTCACTCAAATTTGTTTTTTTTTCATCAATTTATTTTGTATATAAAAGATTAAATGTTTCTAGTCTTCTTCTACTACATAAAAGAATTTAATCAAAAAATAAATAATACAAGACTGACAGAGTTAACGCTCAAGGATATACCACAAAATTATTTTTTTAGAATTACTAACTTACATATGAAAATATTCTAAAAAATTTTTCAGACTAGCGATAACTCTGAATTATTTAAAAAATTATTATTCCATCTCTTTTTGTAAATCTTGTGTAACTTCAGGTAAAGGAGTTTCTTCTAATGTTTTTAAATCTTCCACTGCCACTGATCTTCTCCTTAAATATTCCACAGCTTGTGCAACGTTATTTGGATCTGTTGGTGATATATGCTCAGATAAAGGAGTGGAAGATGTTTGACTTTCAAATATTCTACTACCTAACCGAAGCCTTATTCCATTATTTAATTCTTTTGGTTCAAACTCTTCTCTAATTATTTGTAGACTTGTTGGTCTTGTCTAAAATTTGAAAAATTTAAGAAATAAATTGGATCTGAGTAAAACTGTTTGTTCTTGTTGAATTCCTTTATTTTCTTCCAATTCACTCGTATTTTTGTTGTTTTCTTCTAAATAAACTTCATTCGAGTTTATTCCAACAAAATGCCCATTTCCAATCAATTTCCTCGCACCTTCCAAATCTATATCTTGTATTGAATTTCTGCCGAAATTATTTGATGAAATATTCACAGATTGTTCAGCAGGAAAGACTGAATTTCGTCTTTTTTCTTTTAATGTATCCAAATTTGAACGATACATTGGTAAACCACTTTGAGATTTTTGAATGGCAATTCTCAACTAAATAAAAATTGTTTAAAAAAATCTTTCCTTATTTTAAATAATTCTCGAATAAAAATATTCTCTCACATCTCTCAATGCCACAACTCCAACTAAACGGCCTCGATCTTTAATAAAAATAAAATACTGATGTAATTATTATAATAAATTAACCAGTTACATATGCTCGATTTAAATCCAAAAGTGAAAATAACGAATGTACTTTATAAACTGATGTTCTTCTTACCAACTTGGAAATTTTAATTATTTGTCTAGATATTTATTTTTTATTTTTATTTTACTTGAAACGGGGCAGGATCAATTAATTTTTCTTCAATCTCTATTTCCTCACATAATTTAGCTAATTCCCATTCTCTACGCTATAAAAAATATTTTTATTTATCAGAAATTTCCAAAATAATTTACTTCATCATCATGTAAATCATAATCAACAGGTTCTGCTAAATGTTTATTTTGCATCATTCTTAATTTTCTTTTTACTGAACGAACATACTCAGAAATATTTTCTTTAAATTTTTTGATTAACAAAAAATAAGAATCTTGAAAAATCTGACTAGATAAAGATAATTGATGGTCAAAAGGCCCCCATTGTGAATGCATAGTTGCCATTTTTAGGTCTGGACAAGAAATTTTTTTCGGAGGGGAAGTACCTGCCTCAGAACTTTCTGCAAAATAACAAGAATTAAATTAAATTTATTTTTTTCAAACCATCACTATCGCTAATTGTTTTCCAAGGCATTAAAGCAAATGCGTTTCTACGAACTGCTCTAACCGAGGGGAATAATTGTCCGGAGCTTAAATTCCGCCTTTTTGTTGAAATTACTGGTTCGACAATAAATCTACTAAAATAATTTTATTTTTAACAAAATTTTAATTAAAAAGATTTACCTGCTATTACTATCTTTATTGTCTTCAAAAGCCATATTATTATCCTTTTTTTGTTCATTTACTGGATATATTTGACTACAAATACTCATTTTTTGTTGTTCTTTTTTTAATTTATTTTCTTTGGATTTTTTCCTTTTAGTAGAATCATCATTATAATGCTTTTTCTGTACTAAAGCACCTTCTGACAAAGAACATCTAACCATTCTTTTATTTGGTTTATCTAGTATATTTTTAGTATTCTCTCCATTAGGTGTTCTATTCATGTCATAAGCTCCATGACTAAATACTCTTCTCCGTCCATCTTCCTCTTCCTCCTTATCCAAATCTTCTAAAAGCCGTTCTTGTCCATTTAACTTTGTTAAGCCAATTGCTGTACATTCAGAATCTGATTTCTAAATTTGTATAATCATTGTGTAAAATTTGAAAAGAAAATTAACAGTTTCATCCATTTGAGCCTCTCGAAAGTGTTTATCAATTGTTTCAATAGCAATTCGAATTCTCCTTTCAGCCTCTCTTTTTCTTGCTTCTTCACCTATTTGGGCATTTAATATTTCCAAAATTGTTCTACGAGAAATTGATCCTAATAACATTAATGATGCTGAAAATAAAAAAATATTTTAAAATTTTTTTGTCTAAAACTTGGATCATCAACGACAGGAAATGAACGTAATTTTGGCATTTCAATAATTAATTTTCGGATTTCCTCGAATTTAGTTACTCGACAAATATATCGAACCTATAATTAACTAAATTGTTTTAAAGTTAAAAGGAATTAAAAATATTTCTATTTAATATACATTAGCTTCCATTATATTTTCTGCAGCATAAAGATGAACTCTAAAAGATTGTTAGATTAAGCAAATGAATGATAATTATAGTAAATTACTCGGCATTTGAAGGCGGAATGTCCGGCAAATATGGCAAATTTTTGATGCCAATCATTACATCTCAAAATAGTTCAATATTATTATTAGTTTCTCGATATCTTTATTGGTTTTAATCATGCTTCCCAATTCCCCGAACCCGATTTTATTTAAAAACAAAAATCTCTCTTTTCCCGTACATCAATTCATTAAAGATCCTTAATTAATTATTTACCATATATTGATGGTTGTATATAAGCACAAACAGCATTAGCAATAATTACAGCAATCTTATTTTTAAATTTATTCATATTAAATAATCAACTTTTAAAAACCATTAAAGGTATTATATAAATTAATTGTCCGGTTATTTCACAACAAATCATTGCAACAGAAACAGAATGAGTTATTGCCCCAGTTAATGATGCTGCTCCAACAACAGCATATATTCCAGGAAATATTGGCTTTAAAGGATTTTTTATTTCAAATTTAAAAGAAGTACTTGATCTGTTCCTCCAGGTATTCCATCTGGGAAAATACTTGAAATAATTTCACCAATTAATCTATTAAAAATTAATAATTAAAAGGAAATTGTTTAATAATTCTTTCCGGTTATGAAAATAAAATTGTTAATTATTACTTAATTATCCCAGAAAAAAGGAAAGTAGGTATTTATAGAGTTCAAAACTCAAACGGGTTCAACTGACATATACCTAAAAGTCAAATATATTGCCAGAGAAGAGTAACTAACACTGTGCTCTCTGACTTAATTTTTAAAGAAATTTTTAATTAAAATTAAAGATTTAAATTGGAAGTGATTTAAAATATAAATACAAAATTTGAACTCCAGTATCTTAATAATTTGTAAAATTATTTACGGGGAACAGTTTAAATTGTTTCTATCGATATATCAAATTACTATTGAGGAAAGCGACGAGAAGATGAAGAATTAAAAAATATTTTGTTGTGTGTTCTATTTTTGTGTTCATAACCGAAAAGAAATAATTTAATTTACCTTCCAAAAGCAGCCCCAACAACAAATAAAGGCATAAACATTCCACAAGGAATTGGCATTGTATTGCATAGAGCGGATAATAATAACTGTTAATTTATTAAATAATTAAAAAAATTTTTTAAAGAATGCTTTGTAACTCGTTAACTAATTATTTAATTTAAAAAAACATACAAATGTAAAAGCAAACAAAGTTAACACCAAAAATACATTATATGGACTAACAAATTTATACAAAATATTATCAATTAATCAAAACATACCCGTATCCCTCATGATTACTCCAAGAACCGAGTCTGAAAATTAAATAATTATTTATAAATAAAAAATTATTTTACAATTCAGAATGGCATCCATGTGGAGAATATATTGGATGGCGAAGACCTTTAGACCAAGTACAATTCGAAAAGAAATCAATTACTGTACGGGTGAATTTGTACTTTTTTTTTAAATAATTTTAAATAAAAATTATTTAAAAATTACTCTTCCAGAAAGAAAACGTCCATAACCTCTTGGATATGTTACCTTTAATTAATTAAAATATTAATATCAAAATAAAACTTACTGTTGCTACTAAAAAAGCAATAATTGCCGGATATATTAACCAACTTAAAAATTAATAAGAATTAATGTTGATAATTAAATATGGAATTGAATTTATATGTTTTTTTTTAAATTTTTAAATAATTAAAAATATTAAAATGGGTGTTCTAACTACAATAAACAATTTCAAAAAATCTTTCAAGAGAACCTCTAATTATTTTTAAAAAGTAAGTAGTTTAAAGAGTAAATTTAAAAATATTACTTTTTACGTATTTGTTCTTTCACAAAAGAATTTTGTCTAAGAAAAATCACAAAACTTCTATAAAAAACAATAAAACCAGCACCAATAAAACCACAAAGTAATCTAATATAAATAATTTTTTAAATAAATACAATGTAAAATTTACCCAATAAGGGCAAAAAAAGGTAATTCTTCTGGTTCAAAAGCATCTTCAGGGAAATGTGTTTGATAAAAGGCAACAAGTGTAACTTTAAAAATAAATATTTTTCCTCCCTCCAAAATAATTATTTTTATTTATTTTACCTTCAGTTTCAAAAGCAACAACTCTAAGTAACCTATAAAAAAATTTTTTTTGAATAAAAACATCTACATGAATATCTATCTACCTAAAAACGGTAGCACCACATGCTGCAGCAAAGAAACCTCGCCAATAATTACGAACAGAAAAATGCATTGTTGTTGTCTAATAAATAAAATAAAATTAGGTAAGTTGGATAATGTGGAAAATGTAAACTGTTTGTAAATTTTTTTCAAATTTAAATTTAATATAAATTAAGAAGACATACTTCAATTGAAAATAAAACACCTAAAAAATAATTTTTTAAAAACATTAAATATTTTATTCTTCTCTAACTAACCCCCAATAGGAGCACTAAAACAACAAGCAACACCAGTAGCACAAGCAGCTGCTAACATTTCAGATTTTCTACATTCATTACCATAAGCCCCTTCAAATCTAGCAGCAACATTACTTAATAAATTGGCTGTACTAGCAGCTACATGAACAAATGGACCCTAATTATTTTTTTAAATTTAAAATCCAATTTCGAATTTTAATTTTTATTTATTTACCATTTTCCCAATAGGAATTCCAGAACCAAGTGAAAATGTTAATCCAACAATTTTTGAAATTAAAGTTCTAGCAGCTAAATAATCCTTTAAAAGATTATTTTTAATTTAATTAATTCTTCTTTCCTTTTTTTACTTTTAAAACAACCCCACGAAGTGAACATTTCATTTCAGGAATTCCAGAACCTTTAAATAAATTATTAAAAAAATATTTAAAATTATTTTTAAAAAATAACCAATAGCTTGTGGGGCAACATAATGCACAAAAATAGCAGAACAAATAACTAGTAATTCTGTATATCCTAACCAAGAAAGGTAAGTACAAAAATAATCAAAATAATTATTTCCTGTATTTCCACTTATTGTCATTAAAACTAATTGAACTTTAAAAAATATTTATATAAAATTAAGAAAAAAATAATTATTTTTACATGTTTGTAAATATTCAACAACACCATCAATAAACATTGAGGTAAGTGCCTTTAATTAAAAATAAAATAAATATAATTTTATTTTTTAAGAAAATATTTAATAATTTTTGTTGATTATCTATTAAAATTAAGATAATTCAATTAAATATTTACCATTCCAATCCCAAGAATTGCTAAAAACAACCAGTCAATTAGCTGTTAAAAACATTTAATTTTATTAATGAAATAAAAATTAGAATTTAGAATTATCTATATTTACCTACCATAAGTCGAAGATTTTTCCATGAGAGAGCTTTAAATAAATAAATATTTTCTACATATATATTTTATTTAACAACCTTTTCTTGTTTTTTTAACCATCTCTTTTAAAGTAATTCCAAACTTTGTTTGATTAAAACTTTTATTAAAATCTTCGTTTAACCAAATTTCTGGAGTATCCAATTCTTTAAATCGAACACTTTTTTTGCTCGTTGTTGATTGTATACTTATTTTTTGTTCATTTTCTTTTTGTCCTCCTCCTCCATTATCAAATGATTGGGGAACTGCCAAAGTAGTTAATATTGAAGGGGCATTTTCTTCTGCCATTTGTTCGGCCCCACTCGGCTCTAACCGGTAACTACCCAACTACAAAAAAATTTAAATTTAAGAAAAATAATAATTATTAAGGAGGTAGAAGGATGGTGAACTTGTTTATTTTATTTGCGACCTAATATTTTTTTAATTTCAATTCCGATAATTTGTAATGATTTGAAATTGTGTTGTTATTGTTGGCCCTTTTTATTTTTAAAATTTAAAGGATGTTTTTATATTATAATTTGTTTTTTTTCGCTTTTTATTTTATGACTAATAAAATTGAAAAAAAAAAGAATAAAAATATAAATTTATTTATTTAATAATTTTAATTAGATTACTTATCAATTACCAATAAATTTTAAACTATATCCTTAGCTTGTGTTCTGACTTTCAGAGGTTCTGTCTTTTAGGACTAACAAAAAAAACCCTGATTTATCATTTCGATCTCTAGTATCATCGTTTTATAAATTCTAAATTCTTAAAATAATTACCACAGCATGTTCATAGCTATATTGCTGATCTAATTGATCAAATTCTTTTCTCAAAACATCACTTGGACTAGAACAAGCCCTCTTTGCCGCTGATAAAACTTTTTCTGTCATTAATTGCTTATAATCAAAATTTTTAGAAAAAGAGAAAGATTTTTTGTTGTTAATTATTTTGTTATTTTGTTTTTTAAAATAAATAAAATTTTCTGAATTTTTATAAGAATTAATTCGTTCTATGAAAGTTAAGGAAAATAACATTCTTTTTCGAATTTTCGTTTTTAGATTTTTTTTATTTAAATTTAAAAGAAAACGATATAAAAATATTAAAAAAATTTTTGGAGTTTATTCAGATAGAAAAACGTTAAAGAGAAAATTTTGATTAGAACCTTTTTCACAATAATGTTGACAAGAATAAATAAATAAACACAAAACTTTCCAACAGATGGTGGCAAGAAAAAATTAAAATAAAAGATTTGCATTTATGAATTGAGGAAGAATTAAAAAAAAGAATTTTTATATGTAGTGAGTGATTTATGTTTGATATAAACGTGAAAAAGAGGGAGAAAATTAATAAATCTAAGAATTGATAGGGGGAATTTCGAGTGTATTTATAATCAGTTCCAAATGCACTCAAAATGTTGACAGAAAATTTAAAAATAAAAACTTTAAAATTTTATTTAAGCAGTTCCAGTTCTTGTAGGTACTTTTAGGTACAAATTCGAATGGCTTTTTGCTGCTCTTTCCTCAAAAGAAAACAAAAGTTCCTCTTCCCGGGAACTTTAATGATTTGCAAAGTTTTAACTTTAAATAGATTTACCTGAATCTGAGAGTTAATTGTTTGTTGGTGAACACTTAATCCATTCTCCATTTAATGAATTATAAGACTTTGAATTTTGGAAATTCATTAAATTGACATAGGTATTAAACTAGACTTTTCTCACTTTCTTCTAATTAACATTATTTTTCAATTCACTTTTAGTCAGCCAATCCTTACAGTTATTTTAAATTTGATTTGGTTCAGATTAATTATTTATCAAACTTTAAGTAAATAAATTACTAAACAATTATTTTATTAATTAAAAAAAATAATATTTAAATTTAAAGACCACCCAATTATGAAAGCCAATTGATTAAAAACGCAGACTCAATATTTTTTTATAATTAATTTGGCAATTAATTAATAAAAGTATTTCTTAAATAAAAAATATTTATTAAAATAAATGAAATTATTTAATTCCCATAATTCTATTATTTTTATTTTAAGTTTTTGTTTTATTATCTTAATTAATGTTCAATCAAAAGGTTTTAAAAATAAAAATAAAATTTAATTATAAACAATTCACAATTAATTAGACATTTTCGAAATAAAATTTTTTTATAGATAATTTAGTTTATTTTTTTATTAATTTTTGAAATTTAAAATTTTGTTAGCAAGTAAGTTTAAGGATTACCTACTTAATTCCCTATCAAAATATTCTTTCTTTAATTTTTTAAAAATTAATTTTCAGTTTCTGAAGAATATTATCAATACTCCAATCAAAATATTAAAAAAAGAGAAAAACGTTTCATTGATTTACTTGTTGGGGCTATATTATTTGGTGGAGGTTTAGCTTTAGGAAAACATTTAAAAAGTATTTTTCTTTTTTTAATTATTTAATTAATTTAATTTAATTTAGAAAAACAAAAAACTAAATATTTAAATAAATATAAATATTCAAAATATATTTTAAAAAATAAAAGAAAATATTTAAAAAATAATTTAAATAAAAATAAAAGAATTAATAAAAGAAAAATAATTAAAAAAGAAGAATTTAATTTTAAAAATAAAAAAGAAAAATTAAATAAAAATCAAAATTCTTTAAATTCAAAAATTGAGGAAGAAAAAGAAGAGAAAGAAACAAATTCATTAAATAATACAGCAATAAATGGATTAAATAAATTAAATTCAAATCCTTATATGAAGGCTGGAATTAAGAAATTTGGTCCAACAGTTGTTAAAAAAGTTGTGCCTGGAATGACTGCAACTTTAGGTGGAGCACTTGGACCTGCTGGAGTTATTGCTGGGGGATATGCTGGGTAAAGATTTTTTAAAGGAAAAATAAACTTTGATTTTAGAATTTTGATATTTTCCTTATTTTTGACCAATCTTTGTTAACCTCAAATAACTAAAAGAGTAATTTAAGTATCAAAATTCCCTCAATAAAAAATTATTTTTAATTTAATTTTTAAATAATTTTAAGTAATATGGCTGCCGATTATTTGAACGAAAATTACCTTCAATAATTTGAAGAATTTATTATTTTTAAATTAAAAATAATACCTTATATTTATTTTATTTAAATAATTCTTAGAAATTTTTTAAAAATTATTTTAAATAATTCAATTTACATAAAATATTTAAAAACAAATTAATACAAAAAAATATTTTTTATATCAAAACTGTTGCGAAATGCCTAAATATTTTCTTATATTTTTAAAGTCTGAACCAGCTCAATATGTATAGTACATATTCCAATTCCAATCAAAAATGAAACTTCCGATGTTATAAAATTTCGAAAATTTAAATTAGTATTTTCGCAAAAGTTCTGATCTTTAAACATTAATTCCTTCTTTTTATCGCCTTTTTCTTGTATTTGGTCTTTGTGTTGATAAATTATCAGAAGGTACACAAGTAAATGTATTATTGACAGAAGCAGGTGAAAAAGTTGGACAACAAGAAGTTCTAGGGTAAAGACAGACTTGGGTATTACATACTTCCTTCTCAAATGCCGTTCTTTAAAATATAAAAAACATTAAAAATTATTTTAAAAAACCCAGTGCAATTGCAAGTTGGGGCTGTAAGACAGCTACGAAAACGTTGTCTAGTCCCACAACTGCCACAACTGTCATTACAGTCGGACTAAAATTTTTTATAAAAAAATAACTGTTCACAAAACAAACCCATTTCATCCAACTATTCCAAGTACCACAAGGAACGGCCGTAGATACAAGTGTTGTGTTTGTTATTACTATAAAGCTTATTGTTGTTGGTAAGGATCTGATGGTAGTAGTAGAGGTTGTTGGTGGTATTGTTGTTGTGGTTGTGGTTGTTGGTAATGGAGTTGTAGTAGTAGTTGGGGGTAGTGGTAATGTTGTATTTGACAAAGCTGTGATTGTAGGTACTAAAGGTGTTGTTAACATTGTGGTATTTGGTAAACGTGTTGTTGTTGGTAATGGAGTAGTTGCCAAAGTTGTGGTTGTTGGGAGAGATGTCGATGTTGTTGTTGGAGGAGGGGTTGTAGGAGGAGGTGTTGTTGGCGGAGGGGTTGAGGGAGGAGGTGTTGTTGGCGGAGGGGTTGAGGGAGGTGTAGTTGGTTGTGACGTTCTTGTTGTAGTTGGAGTTGTGGTTGTTTGAGTTATAGGAGGGACTGTCGGAGGAGGGGTTGTTGGTGGAAGGGTTGTTGGTGGTGGAGTTGTTGATGGAAGAGTTGTTGGTGGAGGGGTTGTTGGAGGTGGAGTTGTTGGTGGAAGAGTTGTTGGAGGAGGGGTTGTTGGTGGAAGAGTTGTTGGTGGAGGGGTTGTTGGTGGAAGAGTTGTTGTAGGAGAGGTTGTTGGTGGAAGAGTTGTTGGAGGAGGGGTTGTTGGTGGAGGGGTTGTTGGTGGAAGGGTTGTTGGTGGTGGAGTTGTTGGTGGAGGGGTTGTTGGTGGAGGGGTTGTTGGTGGAATGGTTGTTGGTGGTGGAGTTGTTGGAGGAGGGGTTGTTGGTGGAGGGGTTGTTGGTGGAATGGTTGTTGGTGGTGGGGTTGTTGGTGGAGGGGTTGTTGGTGGAGGGGTTGTTGGTGGAATGGTTGTTGGTGGTGGGGTTGTTGGTGGAGGGGTTGTTGGTGGAAGGGTTGTTTGTGGAGGGGTTGTTGTGGGAGGGGTTGTTGGTAATAATGAAGTTGTCGTTGTAGAAGTGTTACACGCTGCTACTTGTGAATAGGGTCCACTTAAATTATAAGAACAGCTAAACTAATCAAAACAAAAAAAAATGCTTACGGGCATTCAAATATAGATTGCGCATCATTACAGCCACTAGGCTGGGCCATGCATGTTCGTATCCGACGCTGAATGCTAACATTAATTGGTATTGCAGTAATACATTGCCCCCAATCTCCCCATTGTCCCCACTCTCCGATACTTAGGCATGAATTATTTGATTGTGTTAATACAAAAGGAAAAATAAAAAATAAATAGATTATTAGAAGGCCAATATTAATTTGAAATTTATTAGTTAAAATAAATAAATGATTTTGATATATCCAACATTGCTTCATTTGATCCTAAAAAAATCTAAAATTTTAAAAATTAAAAAATCTTATCATAAATTTGTTGAAATAATTATTGAATTAAGGATTTAATGCAAATATTTAATGTTTATTTTAAGAATACATAAAACATCGATCATTTTGCTTTGGTCAAGGGGTGGAGGTGAAAGTTTATTACCTTCCCAAAACCTGAATTGAATGAGGGATAGAATTGGAAGAATAAAATATTTGGCCAAATAAGGCAACAAAAACCACATTTACTAACAAAAGCTTTATCTATCTAACAAATAAATAAAGCTTTAGTAAGCAAAACAAACGTTTGTTCAGAAACGTGGTAAAGCATCTACCTCGACTTAATCCTCCTCTCTACAAAAATTATTTTTAAAAATAAAATTTAAATTTTAAATTGATTTTTAATTTAATCGATTGAGAACAATCTACGTGTTTAAACGGAAGAATTAAAAACAAAAATTTAAAATCTCAAAAGGGGCACCACTATTTACTCATCACTCACAAAACTACCCAATTAGTCTCTAAAAAAGATAATCCTCCTTTTAGGCACAGTTTTTAACTAACCAAATGAAAGTACATTTAAATTAGAAATATTTTCACAATATATTTTGATATCGTTTCTCTCCCCTTTTGTGTTTTTAAGATTGGAAAGAAATAATTTAAAATTGAGATCTGTATTTAAATAATAAATTAAATAAAAATATTTTTTAAAGATGCAAGTGAAAATTAAAATTTTTTTATTTTCCAATTAACTTCTTTGTTTATTTTAGCTGACTGTACACAATTCTCTATCTAAAAAATCTGTAAAATTAAATAACAGAAAATTAAATAATTATTATTTTTACCATTTTAATCATTCAATGGCCACAAAACAGAGGGCAAAATAAATAAATATTTATTTATTTATTACAACATTTAAATAATTGTTGATTGTCAAAAATTTTATTTTAATGATTTATATTTTGGAGTTAATCTAATAATAATTAAAATATTTTAAAAACAAGTTTATATGTATTTATTTATTAAAAAATAAAAAAATAAAAATATTATTAAATAGTAATGGAAAATTAATTAAAAAATAAAATTAAAAAATAAAATCAAAATACACCCAATTTAAATGCCAAATTATTAATTTAATAATAATTTTATTATTTTTAATTTAAATAAAATGTCTACCTAATTAAGCATTATTCCTCTACGTCAATCTCCAAAATATTTAAGTAATAAATTAATTTAAAAATAAAATTAAAGAATGCCAAAAATTAATAAATAAGAAAAAAACTTTTAAAAAAAGATTTTGTTCTGTGTTTGAGAAAGAGCAAAGAAATAATGGCTGTGAATTGGTCAGAAACAACAAGGAAGTTGTTTTTAGATGTGACGTTGCTGTTATATATTTAATTTTTGCAAAAAAAACTTTTTTTGTTTATTATTATTATTATTGTAGTGCATTGAGTACTAAATAAATAAATAAATAAATATAGATATAAATTTAGCAATTGGCCGAATTGAAGAATTACGTATGTTGAGATGCCCCACGGGGAAGAATATTTTTGTATAATAATTAACGTCACTGTCACAACTTCTTCAAAACTATTTTTGCCACGCCCCAAGCAACTCAATTTTAAATAAAAATTCTTTGACACCTTTCTTCTACAACAAATAACACCTTTCTTTAATACATTAATTTCTTCCCTTTCCCTCCCTTTTCTTCTTGTTTGTGTTTCTTTTTTTATCTTTTACTAATTTCTTTAAAAACAACGCCCACGCCCAAATTCTCTCAATTAATATTTTTATTTAATAATATTTATTTATTTATAACAAGTCAAAAATCTACTAAATATTTAATAATTCCCTTTCTTTTAAAGTTTTTAATTTTTTTAAATAAATGCCTGAGGGGTTTTTAGTAATTTAAAATTAAAAAGTTTATGCGCGAGTATATAAAATGGACAAATTATTGGGATATTTAGCTTAGATTGTTGTTTTTTAAATAAATTTTTAATTCTTATTTTAAACTCGAAAAATTAAAAAATAAACTGCTCATAAGTATAAGTCCACTCCTTTTTTCGAGATTTTTTAACTTCCAATGATCCAAATTTTCTGAAAAAAAAACTTTTGTGGAGCAGTGTAAATATCAGCAGTTGACATATACATTTTAAAAATAGTTTTTAAGTACATACAGGGTGCACCATAAGTAATTGGACACATGTTTTCTCTCATAACTTTATTAAAACACAATCAAATAAAATCGAAATACAATCAAATGATAGAGAATTAAATATGGAACAATAATAATCAAGAAGTTTCGAAATGCCCACCCTTGGCTTTGATACAGAGGCGAAGGCGCGAAGAAAAATTTTCGCAAATAGCACGCACCTCCTTGAGTGTAATTAAGTCCCACTCCCGGGTGAGAGAATGGCTCAGAGACTCCAAACTTTTTTGAGGCTTAGCACAGACCCTGGACTCCAAAATGTACCAAAAAGAATAATCCATCGAATTCAAATCCGGGGAGTATGGCGGCTATTCCTGAGCGCTAATGAACCCAGGAAAATTGGCCTAGCACCAGTCCTTAACTTCTTTCGCTTTGTGTGCCGGAGCAGAGTCCTGTTGGAAAATCCAGACTCTGCGACCGAAATGGCTCTTGAACCGAGGCTTCAGAACACGCTGAAAAAATTCTCGCAAGTAATAGTCTTTGTTGACTTTTACACCAAAATCCACGAAAATAAGGGGTTTTTTGACTGACGCGCAAATACCGGCCTAAACCATGACAGATTGGGGATGTTGGAAATGAGTGATAAGCTCATCGGAAAGAGGAGATTCTGTAGTCCAGATTCTATAATTTTGATGGTTGTGTACGATTTTTATTGTAAAAATTTTTTCGTCTGAGAAGGGAATGTCCGGACATGCGTGCCACTGAAGGAGCAGTTTGCATCCTGCAAGCCTAACTTTTTTTGTTTTTTCTGTTAGCAGTTGTGCTTTTTGGATTTTGTAGGGTATTAACCCTAGTTTATTTTTAGCTATTCGTCTGACGGTCCTCTCACTTATTCCGGTTTCACGAGCCACTTTTCTCATGGAGGGTCGAGAATTGCGATGCACCTAGTTTTTGATCATTTTAATATTCTTGGAAGTGCTGACGGTACTCGGTCTTCCACTTTTTTGTAAGTTCTTAGTTGTGCCATCATTACTAAATTAATTTCAAAAAAATTTTCTCCCAAAAAATTTTCACCAGAATTTTTTGAAAGTGTATTGTACAGTGCTCTTTGGGACATTCAAAAGAGGTGAAATTTTGCGGACTGAATTTTTTTTCAAAAAAAGTGAAATTATAGAATCACGTTGATTAGCCATAATAGAGAATTGAATGAGCTAAAAAATAAGCATAAAATCGATTAAAAATATTGACAACAAAAAAAGTTATAAGGAATTTAAAAGTGTCCAATTACTTATGGTGCACCCTGTAGATAATAAAAAATATTTTTTAAAGTTTTAGAAGAGTTAGCAACATTTAAAATATATTTATTTATGCAAAATTACTCTTTGCTTTTTAAAATATTATAAATTAGCATTGTAAACTTCCAACTCCCCTCCCCTCTCCCTAACAATCCCTCCTACTCCACACCTAATAAAATATTGTTTATTTTATTTACAAATTAATTGTTGTTATAATCAGAAACGCCCACATTTCTCAACTTTTAAATTAAAAAAAAAGTTGAAAGACAATTGAAAAATAAAAATAAACTAATTAAAATAATTAACATTAATTACCTAAATTTAATTTTACAGTTTTATTTGTTACTATATAATTAATTAATAATTTAAATTTTGCACGATGATCATTGGTTAATTTATTTTAATTTTTAAATTTAAAGTTTATTTTTTGTTTTGTACCGCCTTTATTTTTGCAATTTTGTTATTAATTTTATTTTTTATTTAAAATAATTTTCATAAAACTCGATCTCTGATTACGTCTTTAAATTTTATTAATATATAAAGAGGGAATAAATAGTATATAATTGAACATTTATTTAAAATATAGTATTTTATTTAAATTTAAATTTAAATTATACTGATCGGGAAAATTATACTGTTGGGAAAATTAGTTAAGTTGTTTTTATTTTTTATTAACTTTTAATTTTCTTATAGTACAATACCCATACCTTGCCCATAATTTAAATTTAGAATATTTATACCAGAAAATATCTAGAGATGGACTTAGATGGGATTTCTGTCCCCAAAATATATTTTTTTCATTTTCTCTCCAAATTTTTAAATTTATTTTAAATTTCTTCTTTTTAGCAATATTACATACTCCTTCCAATATATCTGTCCCAAAATATTTGTTACATAAAATATCAGTTTACTGAATAATTTTTCTTTTAGTGATCCAGTAATTAGTTGTATTAAAGCCATTTTTGTAATTAGACTTTTAATAAATTTACTCATTAAAATAATTTTAATTTCAAAAAATTATTAATTTTCAAAACACAAAAAAATTTAATTTAAAAAATCAATTTAACCAAAAACTTTTTTAAATTTATTAATTTAATTTTTATTTTATAATAAATAAATCTATTTAAATATTTATTTCCCTGGCAATAAATTAATTTTTTACTTTAATTTTTTAACAAAATATTACGTCTACACAACTAACTTAGTAATTAATTGAATATTTCTCTCTCTAAAAATTTCTAAAAAAATCTCTTTTTTTCATTTTCCCCTCCCAAAAATATATTTAATTACTCTTTTTTACTTTCTTCCGCGTTCCACGTTAGGGGATCATGATTCAGTTAAACACAATTTTTAGTGTGTAAAAATTTTTTTGAGTTTTTTTAATGTCCAAAATTAATATTTAAAAAATTAATTAATTAATTAATTTTATTTTTTTATTTTATTTTTTAAATTAAAATTTTAAATTTTGAGCGTTCACTTTATTTATTTATCAGCAAACCACAGGTATTTTAAAATACATTAAAGTGGTGCATAAAAAAATATACAAATTGAAAAAATATG